CTCAACTTGTGAAGTGGTTTGCCTCATACCTTGAAAGTCGGTATCAAGTCACATCTGTTGAAAACTGCCAGTCCACTCAACGAAAGGTTCCTGTTGGAGTACCTCAAGGAAGCATCCTTGGGCCTCTTCTTTTTCTACTATACGTTAACGACCTTCCCAGCAGTTTGGAGCACTGCCAGGTAGTCATGTATGCAGACGACACAGCGATTTACTTCAGTGCTAATTGCTGGCAAAATATTGAATACCACCTGAATGCCGACCTTGTCAATCTTGCCGAATGGTTTAACAACAACTATCGGACCTTAAATACATCGAAATAGAAGTTAGTAATGTTTGGTGGTGATAGAAGGTTGCAAACCTGCCAAGGAATTAAGCTTTTCATTTATCACAAAAACCTTGCGAGTGAAGATTCAATCAAGTATCTACATTGTAGGTGTTGTCATTCCTCAAAATCTGACTTGGAATGAGCATATCGAATCATTGATTGCGAAAGTGAATCAAAGAATTGGCTTGTTAAATCGTATCAAACATCTATTGCCTTTGGATGCGAGAGTCGCATTATACAATGCTTTATGGGCCGGACCATTTGAAAAGTTATGGGGGGGAAGAGGGGAATTTTCGAGCCGCAGGAATTTTTTTCGTTATCAAATTCCTTGTATGAATTTTTTGTAGGCCGTAGCATGAATAATATTTTTGGGGGTTAATTGGCGTACATGAATTTTTTTTCATTTAATTTTCCCTTGCGCGAATACTTTTTTTGTAATTCGCCCCCACCCCACCATAAGTTTTCTAAGGGTCCGTCCCTAATAAGACCTCTCTTCGAATTTGCTGATACCATCTGGGGAGACAGAGATCACATTACATTAATGCGTGATTTACTGGTCTGCCAAAATTATCCTTGATTTGTCCAACTATGCTTCATCTACCAACGCTCTGAAATACTCGGATGGTCTACCTTATTTCAAGAGCGCCTTGTACATAGATACATTACCACTTTTAAGTACATCCACGGACTTGCAGATCACAATTTTAATATTTTTAGAAACTCAGACATCCATAGTTATAACACTAGAAGAAGGAACGATTTCCGTCTTCCTCTCGTTAAAAGGAATTAAGGAAAGCAGAGACTTTTTTATCAAAGCGATAAGGAATGGAACATTTTACACGCATCTTTTAAAGAAATTAACTCTCTTCTTCTTGTTAATTAAACAGAACATTATTAAATAAAAGCTATATTAGATATTTTATAGCTTTGAATATTTTAATCTATTTGACATTTTAACATTTTTAACCTGTAGCTTGTATAATTTAGGTTTTTAGCTCCTAACTTTTTACCTATTATTACTGTTACGCATTCATCTAAGATCATTTAATTTTTCTATTGTTTTACAGGGCCTCACTGAATATCACTCTTCGTGAAGTGAGCTCCCTGTATAAAGATTGTTATTATTGTAATAGAGCGGTTTTCACTTGACTGTTGTAAAACCAAAACCAAAGTAAATACACTAGCCAAACAAAGGGCGTAGTAAAACCAAAACCAAAACCAAACCAATCCCTTTCGACAGTCAAGTGAAAACCGCTCTATGTCTGCCAATACTGCCTGGTAAAAGACTCAATTGCAGGTGCCTTGTATAGAGCTCTGTAGGGTTCTAAGGCAGATGACGCAAATTAAAATATTCATTGTTGAACTCAGTCATTCAGTTATGAAAACAGTTGGTGGTAAATCGCTTCATAAAATACAACATTAGTTGGTTTATTGATAACATTTCAAAGTCGGTCTTGATTTTAGTAAAAGATATGATAAAATTCTTAAGTCATTTTGAGAGCATATGATCAGACAACGATAGTGAAAAGGGCGAGTTTATCATCCTGGCGCTATTCGTAAGATGTCAGAGACCGTGCTTTGAGTGATTTACGGGTAGGTGGCAGTACGCAATGTCCCATGTATCTCAAGTTCAAAAAAGAATTCTGTTAAAGAAACTTTGTGCGAGGGAAACTTTCATATCGTTTACAAATGTCATTTGTGCTATAGTTAGTTGAAGCGAAAGCTGCACACTTTGCATTTATGTCATGCGTGTACTGTATTTAACTTACTTATTATAATTGATTGTACAGAAAGTACAGTAAGACCCGGCATGTAAGTATATCCCTGATTTGCAGCAGCAGGCTCTGAAATTGGCCGCGCTCTCATATGTATCTGTATGATGCTAAACTAAATTTTAGCCTGGAGGTTCTTAATCCGCGGTTCCTTATATATGCGGTATTAACTGTGGTCATAAGTGGTCGATTTCATCTGAGAAAGTTAGAACTTCTAGTATATATTTTTCTTATTATATAAGAAAAAATATAATATAGATATTCTCAAGTTATTTGATTGACACGTTTGCCTTAAAGTTGAACCTATCAATTCCCAGCATATAATTATTGAATACCTTTTATATTGAAAATGCCTAGATTTTTTAAATGTAGACGTTTACAAATTTGCTGATTCCATTCCTTCACCCTGTTGAAAAGCTACAAAACATAAATATTTAAATAACACTAAAAGTGAGTTTAAACTTTTCGAAGTATTAGTTCAACCTAAAAAACTTCAGCGACTTAAGCAGCCTGCACGTAACTGTCGCAACTAATAACCTAATAAACTTTAGGTTGCATAAAATTAAAAGTCTTACTAAAACAGAAAAAAGCTAAGAACTTAAGACCATAACATAACCTTAGGATACTTTGCTCAACAGAGGCCCCATGTATAATAAGCTAGTTTCAGATCTGAAATCCTAGAATCGAATTTGGACATGCTAAATACCGAAGCTAAATTATCTTGAATAGCACGACTTGGCGGAAGTTTAGGAAAATTTTATTCTGTGTATTGAAAATGTTCCACTATTTTTCATTAAAATAATGAAGACAATAGGACTTCCAAAACGATATATATTTTGATAACGTCATCACGGGGGTTCGTAACCTATATATTTATAAAGCAACCAATTTAGCTATTACTGCTTTGATCTCAGTTAATAAGAGGACAGTAATCTTAGTTTGTTTCTAATTTTAGAAGATGGATTAAGACTTCATTCCTTGACCAGTCTCACTGAAATTTGTCCCACGAAAGAAATAACTTACAATTAACCGTCACACTGAGTCATTGAAATTTCATGAAGAGGCAAAATCCCAGGGGCACCCAGCGACTTTTTCTGTAAAATAACTGTTCGAAGGAGCAAATATTGCCTAGAAATTTCTAGAGCTTGAGAAAAGCCAAAAACAAAAGAGGTTGTGTTATTCACACTTTAAAACCAAGATAAAGGGAAAATTTCTTCAGCAGTGCCAAACAACCACAACTTTTAAATTGAGTGGATCGGTCAAACCAAAACAAAGCTTAAGAAGAATTTTAAAGAAACTGAGAACTCATTGTTAAAGTATGCACCCACTCGAAAGAGAAGAAATGCCCGTAGAAGGATGTCACGTGACGGTGATTGTTATGCTTCGGATTGGCTAATGAAGAAACGAGCGATTGCGATTAGATCCAAAGCCAAATTTTAGCAATGGGGCGCAAAAGTAAGGCAATCACCAAGCTAAGGCTACTTTGTAATGAATTTTTATGCTTGATCTTTGAAATAAGTATTTTTATCTGTGACTCAAAGGCCATTGCTTTCTTACTCGCTCTTTACGATCCCAGGTCAGATTCCCCCTACATATACAAACACGTATCTAGGCTGAGGACGTGGCGACATCTGAGCAAACTGCATTCACTACATGAAAGTAACTCCCCCTGAGTTGTAGGTCACTAAAATATATATAAATGAACTAATCATTAAATCCTTACTATTCTGTACTAAGGCTATGTTTAACTATCAATTAATTTACGAAGGTAGCACGATAACACTCGATCAGTATTTATACTTTAGGGCGCGCACAATTTTATTTTGTGGAGATGGTAAACAGCCTTTTTTTTAAAGGGATGTATGAGGCGAACCGCGTGATTATCTACCTAAATTACTTTTGTCACCGAAAATTTTACAGTCTTGCTTATCTAAGAAGTCTTTAATAGGAACAGGATAAGAAATAAATGACACTTGTGCAAAAACGTTCTGAATATTAAGATCAACCTTAGACGCTTAAAATAAATGGACTCTTTGACGTTGCTTTTCCATCTTTCGTTTAGGAATCTAAAAATGGACGTAAACTTATTCGTCGTATCATTGATGACAGTGGTGTTATTTGTTGAAAAGGCGCACATGACCAAGATATTCACCTGTGGTACGTCAAACAGATCAATTCGCATATCGGATCGATTTGCTTTTGTTCTTTCTTTTTAATACTTCTAGTCATGTATTACAGTACCTTTAGTTAGAATACATATCATAAGTATGAGTGGTCACGAGAAAAGAGAGATGGGGTTTCCACCTACAACCATCTTTTTTTATAGTATATTAAAAGTACACACAAATTAAAATGGATTTTAAATTTTCAAAATTTGACGTAACGTTTATACGTCATTTGTGACGTCATACTGCTCGACACAAATGCAAAATTTTCTGTAATTAGATGCACAATGTTCCAAACTTTAAGTGTGCCAGGTTTTGTTTCATTGGACTTCTCCTATCAAATTTTGCAGGTCTTTGAAAGATTGGGTTGGAACAAAACACCCATTTCCGACCATCGTGATCCCTTTATAAATGCAAATATTAGGCTAAAATTATTACCACGTCTAATAGATCGGTGCAGATACAAAACTGTCTTAAAATAAGAAACTTGCCCCTTACACGTTACTTAGTCACCGAAGAAAGTGCTAAGTCAATTTGTCACTTACGAAGTTTACCAAAAATGAACATATATGACGAGCGTTATTTTCGAGATCCACATGAAAAAAAAAAAAAAAAAAAAAAAAAACGCCGATTCTCATTCTTTAATTCTAGTGATGCCAAAGTGAATATTTGATTAGGGACATAAACGTTGTTTTTGTTCTCTTTGATTCAGGTTTCATTAACGCAAAACATGAATTTAGCGAGTTTGATGCGCTGAGCCTTGCAGTAAACTCGTCATCTGGTGTAAATAATGTTGCCATAAGGTTGAAGAATTTCACCATCACAAACGATACAAACTTAGTCAACCAAGGTGGGACTTACGTGATTAAACTAATTCTTATTTAAAATAAGTTGTTGCATGACTTGTTGTCTCAGCCCGCTAAATCACCAGATGAAACGGTCAGTGGTTTAGTCCTGTAGAAGATATGTAAGCACGTGACGGTCTACATCTATTTAATTACTCTTCAACGTCTTACACATCAAGAAGAGTTATTTTACGGAGAAGAGTTACTTTACACATCAAGAAGAGTGCTGATTCATAAGATAGAACTAGAAAATGGTTGGGGTATCAGGCAATTTACAGGACCAGATCGTCCCAACCTGTAGAATGTTTCCACTGGCTACAGAATTTGAGCCGTAATCGGAGGAGAAGACAGTGAATAAAAAGAGCGTTCCGATTCCGCTTGCGCTGGACCCCTTTGCTCACGTATTAGTGAAATGGCGGAGTTGCGGGATTAGCGCGTAAGTAATAAGTTACCAAGCGTAAAATAAAGTGAAGAAATGACAATTGTGATTAGTTTATCAGCATCGTCCGCTTCTGCTTCTCGTTCGACTCTGAGATTCAAGAGAGGAACTTGGACTTCAATTTTTTAGTCGCAAGTGGAGTCATGGAGTCATAACAACGGCCAAGTCGGAAAAAATGGAAACGTTTTTGTCTTACAAGCATTTTTGTGGTTCTGATTTTATCGATGGGTAAAAGAATAACCTATTAAATGTATCAGTCCCAATGTGATGTGGGTACTGTTTGTTGTTCTCCATCTTTGTGACCTTAACTTCCTACATCATTCTATTTTCAGCATCTCTTCTTCATCAACTAGACGTCCTTTCTGTTATCGAGGGAAGCCATACTAAGATTTCAACATGCGCCCTCTCTACAATAACCGGCATTCCACTCATTCGTCTCCATGGAGACAGCAACCCACCCGGTCAATGTGAAAACGCGGTACAGTTGTCAGCGGGATACAAAGCCTATGCACATGCTTCACTTGATATACTTAACACGTTCCAGTGGAAAAAGATCTCTTTAGTATATCAAGGTAAAGGAATATATTAATTAGAATAATCATGAATTGCTGCTACGCCTATCTATATATTTCAAAGTCCTCTGTACGTTGCTAATAATAATAGGGACTTTGAGATCTAACGACGCCACGGTAACGATAAGGTCGCCTAAAAAGTGAATTTGCGTTCCTTCAGTCTCAATAGAGAAGATTCCTCCCTTTTTACTTTGTCAAATGTAGGCGAACCCTCCTGAAGCTGAATTTCAAGGGACCATATCCAAGCTCAAGCTCGTTGCCGTCCGCGTCGTTGGATCTTAAAGTCCCTAATTGCGTCCGAAGGATGCATTCCTCTGCGCTCCCACTGTTAGCCTCCCCGCAGATTTTTCAGGGGCTTTTTCTCGGCCAGCCGAGGAACTGGTATCTATGTTTTACCTTGGTTTTAAGGTTTAGCCTCGTTTGCAAAAAATCACGTGAATGGTTCAGTGAAACCACTGCCGGACGCACTCCCCTAATTTTCAGTTAGTACTAGTAACAAGTCAATTTTGTTTGAAATCGACATAGATTTTACGTTTTATTGTCAAACTTGGCAAAACCGTGAGCACCTGATCGATTGTGTTATGAAGATCACAGTAAAGGTCAGGACATGTGTGCAAGCCAAAAAAAAGCCGAAAACGTGGGTCTCGGAAAATTTTGGTCCGATCTCGAAATCAGAAGCGTTTTTGATGGGTCTCAAAGTCTCGTTTTCGGGGGATTTTTGAGTCTCGAAGTCTCGAATTTTGTCGCCCACGGGTCTCGGGGTCTCGTATTTGTCGTTTTTTTCTTTCCGCTTGGTCCTCAAGAGTCGAGATTTTCAGAGTTCATGGGTTAATACAGCTTAATATCAAACTGAGGTAGAAAGTCTGAAACAAGAGAAGTGATTAGTATATTGATGGGCTTCCACTAGATTCCATTGGCGTTTAGGGTCAATTTATTTTTTAGCTTTATTTGTACCATTATCTTGAAATTTTCGGCATTTAGTCCCAGGCTCGAGATTGATAAAAACGTTCAAGTTTTGAAACCAGGGTCTCTAGAAATTTCGCAAAGTCTCTAATTTAAAGCTAAAAATTTAAAATTTCTTTCCTCCAACATTTTCCATAGGTGTCTGTAAAATAGAAGGAGATGTCATTCTAGTCCGTTTCGGAGGGGAATGTTTTTTTCGCAAATTTAAATACCAAGATACTGCGACTATTGTTAAAAAAGGTCTCTTTAAAGCTTTGGTATAACGACAAAACGTCCCTTCAATTTTCTGATGAAAGCAAGGCTACTCAGTCATGTTCTCAAACTTTCGACCGGACCCATAAGGGTAGCTAAAACTTTCGGATGCGATGAAAAAGCCACCTAGGGCTACCAAAGTTTCCGTAAGACATCCGAACACATAAATAGTTTTTAGGGCAACTCCAAATTAACCAAACACTGGCTTCTATAGCACAGAGAAAACCATTTGAGACACTTCTGGCGTATTTGGAAACATTCGCTCGTTAGGTGCCCCTGACCCAACAAGGGCCTCTTGGGTTGAACTTTCCATGTCATACTATTCAAACTAAGTGCCCAGTATTCAATAGGCAATGCTCGGCCAGCCAGTTTCGTATGGAGAGTAGAATTCGGTCACCATGCATAGTTACCTACGGTCAATCTTTGCTGGTTACTCAATCCTTGGCCGACTTGAAAAACTTAGAAGCAATGGCTTTGAAAACTAGTCTTTTTGGTAATATATTTGCGTTCCAAAATTCTTAAATCCATTGACAGTCTCCGTTTTTATTCGTTTTTAATATAATAGTGTTTCTTTCTTCCGCGATGATCTTTCTTTCAGAGAACCGTTTGCACGAAGCTGGATACTTTTATGCCATATCCCAGAGCTCGAAGCTCACGGTTGGATTTGTGCAGATTCCGGGGAAAGGGCAAGTATCAACAGCGATTGAAAAACTTGGCAGTTTTGAACCTGACATGATATTATTGTACGCTGACCAAGAGTACACTGAACTACTCATGCAACAGGTGATCATTAAGGATGTTTATTTTCACAGATAGCTGCACTTGTCATCCATTCAGTGGTTTTCTGCCTGTTCTTGCAGTTTTTAGGCAATGTTTCGGATGTTTTCTCTTGGAATACCAAATCAGCCGAGTCCCTTTTTCTGTTGACATCAATACGAATGACGTTAACTTTCCTGTTATAAGCATTTCGTGAATCATAAGCTGCAGTTCATTTCCCATGACATTTCCAAGACTAATGAGAGCTCGAGAGTGGTGAATTTTCACGACATATGTTTATTATTTCACGTGACCGTCAAATAACTGTCTACAAATAATGGTCTGCTCATGCGCAATGTAGTCCAACTTTGTTTGGCTACAAATAATATTTTGCTCATGCGCAAATGAAACCACGCTTCCCGAAGCTTTCCGAAGCAAAAATATCGTAGATCAATCGATCTACTCGCCACTGACGAGTCACGATATTTTGCTCAACCTCGTTCAATAATTGCCAATAGTTTATTCATTTACCCACGTAACACTAAGGACCTTTGATTCTCATTTTGTTCACTTTTCCAACAGAAACCCTGCGGCAATAAAAACGAATTTAATTGGATTCTTCAAGGAGAGGTAGACATACATAATTTTGTATTCATTTTCTACTTAGAAAAATTCAAAGTATTTTTTGTTGTTGTTGCCCGTTTTAGCGTAGCCAAAGACCAGCTTGACCAGTGGTAGAGCGCTTAACTGAGCACCGAAAGTTGTGTTTCAGTTCTTAACTCCGATTAATTCCATAAACCTTGTGTTAATAGTTATGGAAAGAAAACAAAATAAATCACAACTAGTATTTGTAAAATGTTGTAAAATTGGACCGAACTAAACGCAAAAAATGGGCGTGACAAGTCACTTGACAAAGATAGCTCATTAGTGACAGCGGATAGAAACATTTCTTTAAGAAGTATTTCCTGCATGCAAAGTTTCAAGTCGAAAAGTTAAATCTCCTTTAAACCAGACCACGCGCTTACAAATTTCAAGAGACCCATTCCTTAACTCACCAAAGCACACCTAAATCTTTTTATAGGTGACCGTTATAACATTCGGTACACTGACGGAAAATAATGCCAAGAGCCTGCTGCTACAGCATCGCTAAGATAGTTTAATGCTTTCTTCATTGTTAAGAAACGCCACAGAACATTGTATAAGGCAGTTCCTAGGGTCAGCCTTACGTTTATTGCCGCCAAATTATACAACCGCCTACTTCTCAATAGTACCCGTCAGCTAATAGAAGACACAGATCTTACGGCACAACCAGGCTGGATTTCGTGGAGGACGAGGTTGCGTTGAGCAGATACATATTCTTCGTTGTGTCATCGACGGCTCAGAAGTGTTCAACCTCCCTCTTGTCCTCGTCATCGTGGATTTCAAGAAAGCCTTTTATAGCATTAGCAGGAGTAATAAAAATGCTGCAGATCCTTCGCTCTTTTGGTATCCCGAAAAAGATAGTCAGTGCAATTGGATTACTTTACAACAAAACTAAGAGTCCCGTTCTGGTTGGTGACAGTGTCTCTAAATCATTTGATGTCAACATTGATGTACTTCAAGGCGACACTTTATAACCCTTCCTATTTGTAATCGTTCTGGATTGGGTTATGCGCCAGGCTACCGTTGCTAATTCTAGGTTCGTAGTGATTCCTAGACAGTCACGAAGGCAACCAGAATATAAGCTGAGTGATCTTGGTTATGCAGATGACATTGCTATACTACTATCAAGTATAAGATACGCTCAAAAATTTTTCGATCCACTTGTCTTAGCTGCTTTAGATGTTGGCCTCCATGTCAATGCCACAAAATTCTCAGTCATCCAAGGTCACTTCCCTGCGAGTTAACAACATCGACTTTAACTTCGTAGATGATTTTAAATACCCAGTAGGTTCTTATATTGCTACCACTGAGAACGATGTCAAGAAAAGACAAGGTCAGGAATGGGATGCCTTTTGGAGATAAGAGGGTATTTTAAAGTCTAACCTGCCAATCGGCTATCAAGGTTAGCCTTTACAAGTGTACCGTTCTGAGTGTTTTTCGACTTTATGGGTCGGAGACGTGGACTCTAGCTAACCCCTGTCATCTGAGGTCAAAGGACAGCAGCTCCGCTTCCTTCGCCACTCATTTCGCAGCGACAAGGAGGATCGTGTGAACAGATCGATTCGCCCTGTATGCACCATCTGAAGGGAGACGAAGTGTTGGCGGCCAGAAACTTTTGTTTTTACAATACATCTCAAGGGTCATTGAGGGAGGCTCCGTAAAACCGACGGAACATGCTGCTGAGACCGAGACTACTGGAGTCATCTGGTTGCCGCCTGCCGGGTCAACCGGTTTCACCCACAGACGAAACCTTATACAGCTATTTCTAGAAAGGTTGTGGGGAAAAAAATGTGCACGCGACAATCCCGAAAGGTAAAATGGGATATGAACAATACACTACTTTTTCCGATAAACTTTGCCGAAATAGCTGTATATAAGGTACAGAAGAGAACAGATAAACATTACTTCAAAAATTCTCCTTAAATTTCCCTCGAAATACCAGTTGTAGCGTTGCCAAAAGATTCCAAGGATACACCAATAAAATCCACCATTCGGGTCGTTAATAGAACAAAATGATAGTCGATCAGAAAAATAATTGAAAAATAAATAAAAAATAAAAATTCACCCCCGGTGGGACTCGAACCCACAACCTTTGAATTAGAAGTCCAACACGCTAATCCATTGCGCCACGGGGGCGGCACATACACGGAGATATATTTTTCTTTCTTTATTATACAGTTTTCATTTTCTTTGATGGAAAAAAAAAAATAAAATAAATGAAATAAGTTTATCCTTTGTTTTGCGTTTGCTATTCATGGTTGGTTTGTGTACGGACCAAATGGTGGTACCTGTTATATGAGAAATAACATTTCTTAGAGTCAGGGACCTTTACTTTGTAAACATGCTTTCAATGGTTTTTCTACTTCCAGGTCCCTATGAACTTAACCGCTCGCGATAACAGTGTGGTGTTAGGAATGAAACTTCCTCTCCGAGAGGGCTCAGATTTAAACACAATCAAAGCAGCATTTGGAAGTCAATATAACAATTCTCACAAGGTATGTCCTTAAGCTTGAAGCATCACCAGGATAGAACTATATTATCTCGGTAAGTCTTGAAGGTGTATATTTTCAGCACTTGGACAAAGCAAATTTTGGACAAACGGATATTCAAAGGATCACCCTCTCTTGTCGTCATGCCATCGTTCATTGATCTACGACTCAACAAACTCACCTGGGCACTACCTTATAAATCCAAAACGAATATTCTGAGTGTCGAACAGGGTGCGGTTTTCATGGTGCTGTGCCTTAAACAGGGTATTCAATTTCACTGTTTACCTTCCTTAATAGAAAGAGGAAACACAAGGTTTTTGTCTTAAACAGGGTCAGTATTTGAAGGCCTCTACGGCACACCTGGCTCTACCCTCGAGTGCCTCCGAGGGTAAACTGCACACTCAGTACTTTGTTACTTGGCGTTAATGACATGAGCACTTCCTAAGCAAAAAAACTCAGCCATCTTTTCACCTATATATATTTTTTGAATTCACAGGATGCGATAGCATTGGCCTATGATGCGGGTAAAGTTATCAGCAAAGCAGTCAACTCAGCTTCATGTTCTTCAATCAATGGGTCTGCTGTCACTTCTCAAGACACAGATGCGATATTAAATTGCATAAAACAGGTGAAAGCCAAGAGTCAGTTTTGCCAATGGCCAATTCTGTTAAGCTGACTGTAAAATCCGGAATGAAAGTTCTACTAACAGGGAATCCGGAATCCAATACCAGAATCGAAGACTGTCTTTGGTTCCTTTACATGGGACGTTCCCTTGGAGAGGACCCGTGGCCTATAAGCAGACCCCCAAATACTCTATTGTTCCCACGTACATAACTAGCCTCTTACCGACGATTAGCCACTCACATTTGAAAAAGAAAAGAAAAAAAGGATTTTAGAGGATTAGAAGGGATGTAATTAAACGTACGTTTCCATCAACAGGTCAACATTGACGGTGTTACAGGTTCCATTAGGCTGGACAAGGACGGAATGAGAACTGATCAGGTTGAACTCGAAATCCTGAATCTTCGCAACAATTCCTTTATAACAGTAAGTTGCGCAGTAATTTTATGGCCTCTTAGAGTCCACGTAACTCTGTATTCACTTCATTAAAGAGTAAAGCTCTTGAAAACCACTCGTTAATGTAATAATTTTTTTGGCCTTTGTCTTCAGATTGGGACTTGGAATGCATCGAAGCTCGCAGTACTTTCAACAAACATTTTACGAAATGCGGAGAGTGCGCCATCTGGAATAACTTTAGCGGGGAGGAAGCTCAAGACTGTAGTTATACTTGTAATGACAATGACCACATTTTTTTTCTCCTTCAGTTTTCCATTTGTTATATTATTTTTAAGTATTTTTAACTTAGATATACTTAAGCATCGATTATTACTCAACGACTTGTTTCTTGATGTCCATTCAGTCTTCCTTTTCTGAAACGCAGCCACTTATATTCACTCCATATCCTTCTGTTACTGGAGTAGTCGACAAGTGTAATAGCAATCGTAAACAACTCAAACTCGTTCAATTTTCTTTATGTTGGTGTCCTTTTCGTCATAAAAACAGGATCCACCGTTCGTGATGCACGACGAGCAAGAGGATGGTATCATGAAGTACAAAGGATACTGTATTGATCTGATGAATGAGCTACAAAAACTTCTTCATTTCTCCTACGAGATCTACGAGGTCCCAGATGGGAAGTATGGGGGTCTGACAGATAATGGAACATGGAACGGAATGGTTGGCGAACTTGTCAGAGGGGTTCGTGATATGTGGCATTTTTGTCTTGGCTTATTTGTGATGTTCCATTTTGATTGGGTTTGTGATATCCCTTGTTTGGTTTCGAGACAGGATAGGAAGAAAAAAAGGGGATCGAGTGATGCTGAAAGGGAGTTTTTTTTTTTCCAAAGTGTCACTTTATTTTCTGGTCCCAGTTGTTCAAACTGGATAGCCCAAACCGATGGATAAATCCCTCTCCAGTCGATGGTGCAATTGGTTTCCCAAATACTTATCCGCTGGATAGTGAATATTTAGTGGATAGCGCTATCCAAGTTTTTAACAACCTCGGCCTGACGTTTTCTTCGTTATATATTCCCTCGTTCGATCTGTCTAGCATCAATTTTGTCAGTTAATATTGCGAGATTTAAAACCATGTTCTACAACAAAGCGTCAGATTCAAATAAAAAAAGGCAATTTCTCGAATTAGGTGTAACAATTATTGTTATGGATTAACCTGACATGAAAAATCTCGTTGTTCTGTTAGAAATATTAAACGGCAAAATGTCAGTCAGAGGAAAACTTGGTCACGTGGTACAAACTGGTGTTTGGTGCTTGCCGTAAACGGGATTCTAAATCTCTCTAATTTACCATTTTTTTCCAGTTCACTGGTGTGTAGTTAGCAATATTAAAGATTCCCATCCATCCCATCAGTTGTATTGCGCCACTTCCCATCCCCCTGTGCGCATCTTCTACGCGCATCCCTCGTTAACATTTAATTAGGAGACAAAAGAGACGACTTGGGACGAGTCAGAATATATAATTTATTTATTCCTATTTTGTTTATCCAATTGTACTATAGGCAATAAAATGATCATTACGACGACTTAAAGCCCCGTGCAAACGGACGCAACATTGTTGGATGTTACATGTTGCGTCCGTTTACACACCCTGTTGCATGCTCTTGGATGTTGTTGCGTGTTGTTGCGCAGAGTTTGAAACCGGTCAAACTTTTCAGCCAACAACTCCCAACATTTCTTTTTTTTCTCTGATCGCCGAAGCGTAGCGCAACAATGTTGGATCCGTTTCTCCCAACATTGTAGGGGCCACGCACGCTCATTACGCATGGATTACAAAGACCTAAGGGTTGTATTCTTCCCCCGATGCACTGCAGGTCCCAAACTTGTTGGGAGTTGTTGCACCCGTTTGCACACCACTGCCAACACAGCACGCAACAACTCCTAACATTGTTGGCGCAACAATGTTGGGAGTTGTTGCACCCGTTTGCACACCACTGCCAACACAGCACGCAACAACTCCTAACATTGTTGGCGCAACAATATTGGGAGTTGTTGCGCCCGTTTGCACGCAGCCTAAATGAGGGATAGGGGAACGTTCCTGTTACGTTCTTCTTCTAATGAACCTACCCGAGGGTTGGATCCAAACAAAATTTTAAATAAACAAAATAGGAGATTTATTACATAAATGACATGATATTAAATAACTGAAATTATGTTTCCAAAGAACGCAGACGTTGCCGTTGCCCCTCTGACAGTGACTGAAAGCCGAGAAAAGGTTGTCGACTTCATGATACCATATATGTACTACACGGAGGACATGCTAATCAAGAAAGAAAAAAACGAGGAGAAAGTGGATTATTTACAGTTTATGAACCCGTTCGAGAACAATGTTTGGTTTTGCACGCTGGCTACGATCGTCGTCATCTCTGTTGCTGTGTATGTTGTGAACTATTTCAGCCCTTATGGATACAAAAATGAAAATAACGAAGGGACATCCGAAGAGTTTACATACTTCAACAGTCTCTGGTTCTCAGTGGCTTGTATGCTACAACAGGGGGGTGATAATACTCCGAGGAGCTTGTCAGGTAAATAAGTTTTGTTCAGGCCAACTCCAGATGCACATTGTGGTTGGGGAGGGGATAAGAATTGTAAGAGCCGATAAATTTTACTCAGAAAACGGCGAGAGTCAGTTGCATCTTCTGTTATTGAGATGTAAAGATAGTTTACCTTTCAGGCAATGAGGCATTTTTCGAACGTCTTAAATTAAAAGCACATTTATTTATAAGCTGCAATCAAAGTTCTTTTAACTTTTACATGTTCTAAGCTCCGAGATATTATATTTGGGAAAATCTGAGCTTCCATCAAAGCAAGAAAGGCGGTCGGTCTTGAACGCTATTAGATGATTAGAAGATCTAGATCTTTGCAATTCTCCACGTTAGAAACGAGAAGAGTACTGGAGCCGAAATGCGTCCCGCAATTGTTTCTGGGATAGTTACTGGGGACGCGCCGGCCAGCTATTGGCCAATTTTCTTCTCTGTTCCTAGTAACAGTTCCAGACGCCTTTGCGAAGGTTTACCCGGCCCAATTTCCATCTCGTTTTTTGCACGTGATCAAGTATCTCCCTTCATTGTCGCGCTCTACTCAAAAATAAGTAGTTTCACGCCAGTTTTATCTGTAAGAAATGTTCTGGACAGTTTTTATCTGTCTATTTTCTATTCTGAGAAATTCTCAACTTAAATCTGACGTTTGCCGATTGCCGCAAACGTGAATCTTATTCTCTCTTAACTGTACCCTCTATCAGGGCGCATTCTTGCTGGCTGTTACTGGTTTTGTATCCTTATCTGGGTATCAACGTACACTGCCAATCTCGCTGCTTTCTTCACCGTCAAAAATGCTGAAAGTCCTATCAACAACCTTGAAGACATTGTTAAAACGTCCTATCAAGTAGGAGTGCTCGATTCTTCCAGCACTTCCAGCTTCTTCGAATCGAGCAAATACGAAACACATCAAAAGATCTGGCAGAGGATTGAAAGAGACAAGACCTTAGTTAAGAACTCTGATGAGGGAGTTAAGATGGTGCGTGAGAGAGACTTTGTATTCATTACAGACGGTCCATTACTTGAGCATATCGTGAACAAACCACCTTGTGATCTTAAAATCGGTAGGTATAAATATTGTTATTGTGTTGTTAAATGCAGCTAACAAGATAAACAGCCTTATTAAGTGGATGTAGACTATAACCAAACTAACTGGTAATTAATACTCGGGCCAATGACATTAAAACAGCAATTAGAACTCGAACCAAATACATTAGTGTAACTAGTGTTTGCCTTTCCCGCAAACATTGGAGGACCCCGATAGTTTGCTGTCAGGCTAGAGTTTGCTCCAGAGTACGAGAAGTTTCAGTCATACTTCTAAATGTTTTTAGAGTAGCAAGAAATAGTTCAGCCAGACGCAAAACAACCAAAGTGGAGGGAAAGTAACAACTAATTTCAAATTTTTCGTAAGCCACAAAAAAAAAGGAAAGAAAAAGAGCGCGGTGGACGGGCTTATAGTTTAGAATGGAATTTGGTGAGTTACAGCCTAGTCCCTAGGCGTTCTCGGCTCGGTCAATCCTGGACTCTACCGTGAGCTGTGTCGTCACCGAGAGATACACGCCCGCTCTTTCCCAGACTTCGCGCGGACAACGGGGCAAGAGAGAACGCCTAGGGACTAGGCTGGGTGTGGTATTACCTATTCCCCCGTCCTTACCTTAAAAATTAATCGATATCTTTGATTTTGTAGTCCCAGGCTTAAGCACTTCAAAAGGTCTTTCATTTGCGTTCCCGGCAAATGATCCTGCATTGAACGAGTTCACACTGACTATTTTACGCTTACATGAAAACGACTTCTTGGATGGCCTCAAGCGCAAATGGTGGGATGGCGCAAGCAGCTGTCCCAAAGAAGAGGAAACTGGTAGGAATATATTTCTTTCCAGCATCTATATTCCGTATTTTACTGGCTTATGTTACTACTTTGCATATGCATTAATAATAATAATTTATAACATAACGCGCGTGCTTGCCCTATACAAGTCCTATTGAGCCGCTATGAACAATATCTTTATTTACGCACGCCCGTGCGTAAATAAGATGACGTGAGCATTTTTTTTTACCCGACTGCAAAGTTGTCGTCTTTTAAGCTGCAGAGCACTTTTCCCTCTCTTTAAAATATGGAAGAAACCAGCGAAGAACTGCCCAATTTTTCTATCGGCATTGACCTTTTAGGGCCTGATCCAACAAGCAGCAAAAATAAAGCCGAATTTAAAAAGACTCGCAAGTAGCGCGTTTCGCAAATTTGCCGAAGACCAGCTGCAGCAAACTTTGGCCGAAAGACATTCACTGGGAACAGAACAGACACCAACTGGTCATCAACAACATTTAAAGGCAAAATTTCCGTTTTTATTGTTGTCTTTAAATTTGTTATGCATTTTGTAATCTCCGGACAATCCGACTTAAGCAGGAAAATTTCTCTCGCAATAACAACACAAATTACACGAGAAGACAAATTTATTACTCACAAAAACAACTGCTGCCAGGTCTTCTCAAGAAGCCGTAATGACCAACTAATGTTCGTAAATGAATATGAGTTTAAAGAGGGATGACAGTCGTCTTCGCTAAAAACATGTTTTCTGGATTTCGCCGAGCAAAACGTCTGAAACGTAAACATCTTTTCAGCAAATCTAAACCATGCTCCACGACTTCTTACGAACATGTTAGTGTTTTAACTTCAGGTGAACTTTTAAGACTCTTTTACCTTTGTTTCTGCTTAGTTTCCATTGGTCGTTGACGAATAAAGAAGCAAATTTTCTTTCTCACTTTTACAGAAAGAATATTTTCATTCAAACTAGACGATTGTGGCGTGTTCGTAAACAGCCAATAGAACCGTTTGTTATTGTGTCGCGCGTTACGAGAATTTTGCAGTTAATCAAAAAACAATCATTTTTGTCAGCTATGCTAGAGTTGCACTCGGCTATCGCCTCGTGCAACTCTTACGCATCTTTCGTGCTCTCCAAACTTCCCACGTGCATCCATAACTCGATATACGCACGCTAAGCATGAACAAATTCTTAAATAGCGGTCGCGAATTTCTGTTTATAGATGTATACCAAATTGACTTGTGCATGTGGCTTTGCGCTTTCTTTTATTTAGTTCTACTGGATCGTCTTCTTTTCTTATTCTAACTACACTCTAAAATAGAAAATATTTTAGCCTGCAGAACAGATGCCTTTTTTGGGCGTTGTTTGTGCGAACGAACCACAAAGCGACGTACAACGTGCAGCACAAGGCACGCGCAAAGAGGGAAGACGCGGCAAAAATAATAAATGATCATTTTTTCCTGCGCCTTCCTAGCGCTCTCCTCGACGCTTCTGTTATTGCTCGCAGCTCCTTCGTGGCTGTCCTTCATCGTTATAATTTATACTTATAACGATTTAAGAGAAGTAATGAAATCTAACACTTGGTATCGCGTGGTAACTGAGAAATTTAGAGAAGATTATCTTTGAAATTCGTCTGAACTTATCGGCATTCTTATTTTATGGCAAACTTTTAAAACATGTCTTGCTTAACGTACTTGGACACTCCTACCAAAACACACCAGTTAGCTTATATGATACAAACCCCTACACACTCTTCCTCAAGCAAAGTCTAAACTTTTTTCAATTAACTAAATAAAAGGCTGGATAGAAAATCCCTCTTAAAACGTGGACACTCCATTCTTCAGCTTTAAATACACAAAGTTGGTCATGAGTACAAATCGACAGCTAAATACTGCACATTGAAAACAGATTCAACTAAACAAGCACCCTAAGTGCGACAAAACGGCTGATCAAATCGTAACTTTTATGGTCAGCTGGGTAAATAAGCCGGTAAAAGACATTTTGTCTTGTAAACAGTTATATTTCGAACCAATGGCCAATGGTATACATTTTATCAGTCTCAAAAACGTGAACATATAAACAAAACAACACATATTAAAGAAAACATAAACAAAACTATAAAAAAAACATTCATGAACTGGATTGATAAAGCAAAAGACTGAAAATAGGTCGATAGTTTCGGTGTTAAACTTCCAAGTCTTCCTCCTTCGACTCACTGCTAATTTTTAATTTCTTTAAAGAGGTATCTCCTTCCACAATACTTTCATCAAGTGAGTTCTGCCGCCGTTTCAAATTCGGTTTTTCTTCATTGGAACTATCACCATAATGTCTTTTTAAATCTCCTGTTGTCATTTCCATCTCTTCATGTTTTTCTGTCTTGTCGGTGGATTCTGAAGTCCAATGATATTCGGTTTCTTCGACAGTTTCAGGTAATTTTAAACAGCTTAAAGATTCTTCTTCAAGGATGTTTGTTTCTTTTTCTAATTTTTTCGCTCTTTTCCTTTTTTCGGGAGTTGTTGTCGTCAAGGACATGATTGATTCCGTAGACGAAACTTCTGCCATGCTTGATGTAATAGAATGTAAACTGTAAGAATTATTAGCAACAATCTTCAAGGTATGATATAAAGTTTTCACGAAATGTGTGTGACATCAAAAAGAATAAGCAATTAGATCGTTTTATGACGTCAAAGCAAAACTTGTTAGCGGGGAGACTGATATCGATAATTGTGTTCCAATATACACGTTGTTGGAAACTGAGAAAGTACGTCGGTGAAGTTAATGTTTGAAGCCAGAAACAAATTGGCACAACTGTAGGATGTTTTTATGCTGTTTTCTCAACGAAAATATATCTTCATCGTGACTTCAAGCTTACAATTCAGCTGATTATGCGCGCTATGTAATACGCTTGCTCTGTTTATTAAATAAAAATAAAGGGTGCGTATACTTTAGGTCCTATTAAAAATCAATAATAATAAAATAATAGTAATAAAGAAAGTTCACTTCAGTTTTATGAGCTATTCTAAAAGCAAGGTGTCAGCTAAATCGACTAAATAATTGTTTTTCAGTAATGTTGTCTGCACTTGTTAAATGAAAAACTTGATAATTCATTTCAGGGGAGATATAGCGTAATTTGGTTAACCGCATAGCTGGATTTTTTCATGGATTTTTTTCATTGCACGCTTGTTTTCTTTTCAATTCGAATGGGATAGACAGTAAATTGGTGTTCCTGTTCATATGCATCAGTAGGATGCCTAAAATATGTGCAAATCTACAACTGGTTTTTGCTCCATTAAATTAAATCCTATAACAATTGTAAATCACTTTTAATTAGGAGGATTCAGTGGCCCAAATCGTGAGCACAGTTGTAGTTTAGGTATAATCGAGTTACGAAAAACGGCATTTCAGAGTAAATGTAACAAGTAAAACAAACAAATGATAAAATAAAATAAATAACTAAAGCACGCGCGCACGCGCATGCGTTGTAAAATCTGCATCATTTTCTTGGAGCCGTTGGTCGTAAAACTAGAAAAGGTGCTAGACAATAAGTTTAACAAATTAGTTGCAGGAGATTCTTGGAAGTTCGCTTTTGAGCTATACTAAGCGATGGGACAATACTCTTCTTTTAACATGTTTTTGTCTTTCCGGTTTCCTTTAGCACTTTCCAGAAAGAGAATTGGCTTGAAAAGTATGCTTGGAGTGTATCTTGTACTTATCACGGGACTGTTTATAGCGTTCGTGACGCTACTTGTGGAGAGATATTGGTACAAGAAGAAGTTAACAGAGTCAATCGTGAACAAACTGGTGATAAGGTTGTGGATTAATTCTAATACATGAACTTATTTAACAATAATAATGGTAGATCCAAGTTGCCGGTCATTTTCTGGCGAGCGTTTCCACGTCATATGTGGTTACTAAGTGACGTGATTTAACCTTCAGGCGTCATTATCGGAATTACTGAGTGGACGTTGTTTGTGATATATGTGTTGTGTTTCAATTTTGTCCTTGGTTTTATTTTTATTTCCTTTTGTTTTAAATTCATTATCATACACTACCTTACCCAAAACCAAAGGGAAATAAAATTCAAACGAAGGATAAAATTGAACGACAACATATGTACTTCTTCGCACTCTCTTTTTCTGTACTTATATCCACGAACCATGTTAATTTCATGTCTTCACTTTTAATGAAGACATGAATTCATTGAAACGTTCGAAAACGTCATGTTGCATTTTTTTATCGTTAATTTTTCTTTGAAAATGTATTTTTTTCCCTTTTCACTATGGGTCTGTTTTCTCGGACGAATTTGGACCCAGTTTCTGCTCCACTTTGCAGCAGCTTATTTAACAGTCCGGAATATCCCTAAATTTAAGGACAGGGCCAACTGGTCACGCGACACTTTTCAACCAATGAGAAGGCGCGCTTGTGTTTATCAACAAACAAATCAAAACATTGCCCCAGTGATCAAAAATTTTCAAAACAACGGACGGAGTCGGACAGAATCAGTCATCGTTTCGAGGCTTTCAGGCATATTTCAAAGACTTTTCATGAGGCATACACAATTTTTTTAAGTGGACAGCGTATCGGAAGCCATATTGGAAGTGTCTCGTGAAATATTAAGCACATTTTGTGGCTTATTTCTTCTTTTATCTTTTAAACAATGCGATGTATAGGCGAGATTTTGGTCGGTTTTCAAGGTAGGTGAACAAGTATCTATTATTTTTTCGATTCACAGATTTTTTACGAAGTTCTAGATATTTTTCCTCGATTGTCATGTCATTTCTTTGAAATATTAAATGTGAAACCTAGACGAGTACTGTAAGCTCATCTTTAATTCTGTCCGACTCCGTCCGTTGTTTTGAAAATTTTTGATCACTGGAGCGATGTTTTGATTTGTTTGTTGATAAACACAAGCGCGCCCTCTCATTGGTTGAAAAGTGTCGTGTGACCAGTTGGCTCTGTCCTTAAATTTAGGGATATTCCGGACTGTTTAAAAAGAAGTGATAGTCTCCCTAAAATAGTCCCATGATGCAACTCGGGGTAACACTTGAACCCAGTCCCTGGAACACACCAAAACCGCATATCGAAGGGCTAGGAACTGAAGAGGGAAATGAGAGAAATAGTATGAACTAGCTAAAAATAGCAATTTTAAGACCAGATATAAGCTGTATACACTGTCTAGTACTGTAACAGTGCTTTATTGTATTCTAAACCGCATTTGCATTACTCCTTGGTAAGAAACGTTTCTAGTTCTTCATACTTTTTATATTGTATTTTTTTTTACATTGGCAGGCCTTTAGTGTTCCCGAATCGTGCTATTCAAGTCAGCCCCTCTCCAGCCAATGAAGAGAAAGAAAAAGAAGCAAATGGGAATGATCCTTAAATGTTAAGTCACCTGTCTTTGCGCAATGTACGGCAATCAGTTCTAACAATATATACTGTACATGTTAAATCAACATATAAATAGGCAAGCACTAGCCGTTTTTCTCAACGCTCCATACTTTATTTCAAGACTGTGGGATCTCGGGGAGGGATTCACAAATTAACGACAAAAAGGAGGCGATTATTCGAGGGAAGGCGATTATTTCAAATATTGCTCACTGGAAGTCGTGCCCTAAATATTTTGTTTTATTTTTTCATTAAATCAAAAAATAATCACATCAAATAAACTGAACATGGGCTTTTTAAGTGTTCCAAATTTAGGTCCTTGATTAATTTTCAGATCTTGAATCGCTGTCACTGATCAGTGTTGCTGAATCTTTTTGCACTTCAACTTTACAGGGAGGGAATAAAAGGAAAAGAAGATGGCGAGAGGGACGGGGGAGGGCGGCGATTAAGTATTTCCGTCAAGGGGGTGCGATTATTCGAGGGAGGCCATTTATTGAGGGACGGCTATTATTCGGGGAAATGCCGTATGCAGGTTGAAATAGTTAACGGTTTGCAAAACATGAATTCAAAGGAAAAATGTATGAGATGTAGGTGGGTAGCCCGTTACGTGCCGCTACCTAATATTAGCTTGTTCTGATCTGTAAGTAAGTTCTCTTCTCCCTGTATGGTCCAGTTTCTACAAAATGAACAGTAAAAACTCCAGCCCTCCGTTAAGGTTCCTATTTTTTTCGAATTCACCTCAAAAATAAATCTATTTTTGTGCTACACTGTTAAAACTTGAATTCTTATCGACATTCAACTTAATTGTTGTAAACTTGACTTTGAAAATAATAAAACATATCGGTATTTTTCTGTTGATTTTGGCCCCTCCCACTACCGAAAGTTGATGGAGAAGGACGGCGGAGTGACCATTCATCTTCCAGAGTCGGATTAAAGGGGCTGTGTCACGGCAGTTCAGTTCATTTTGTTTAATTTTTCCAATTACTCGACCTCAATCGGAATGGAACTTAAAGTAGGCAAAAAAATTACATACAAATGACAAAATCAGAGATCTGTGACAAACAAGTATGTCTCCTGAGCATTATTTTTGCAAGCAGCAGGGATCAACTTTGAAAAGCTGTAGGCTGAACAGTTTTCAAAAACCCTAATTTCAATCCGTTTCAATGTTCTTCAGTTTTGCCCATCCGTGGCATCTGTTGTTTCTGTTATGATATTTTAACCGTCCTTTAAAGTTTTGAGCGGATGTTTCTCTTAATTTAACGTGCATTTTGTAATCTCCTAATTTGGCTGAATTTCGTGACACAGCTCCTTTAATTTGTAGAAGAGTCAGGAGCATCCGTGAAGTAAACTGAAAGAAGATACAGTAACTGTTGTAGTTGAGCCTCTCCTGCGGGTACCTGTGACCTTGTTTTCGTCACGCATTTTCCATAAAAATGTCGGTCTTAACGATATCGTCGCATATCAAGAATTGTTTTGATAAACACTTCTAGCAAGCTCGAGCAGCCACTAAAAAAAAATCAAAAAATATATATAATAACTCTTTTCGCACACAGGACACTTTTTCAGATAACTCTGCGATCCTCGAATCAGTGTCGAACGTTGTCAAACTTGATCGGAATGGCAATGCGATCGTCGCGACTTGAATTTCGTTGGACATACCCCTACAGAGGTTCATAGTTCAAGCGAAGTGATTAACCGTGGTTTAAGACTGATCCAGGGTTCCCGGCCAAGAGACTGATTATGCTTCAAAGTCACGTGTAAACTCTCAGTTTCACACTTTTTTAGGAGCTGCTTGTAAACTCTCCATAGATTTGAATGTAATTATCCAAAAACGACCAAAGCAATATACGTTGTAAAAAAGCACTTATTAATTTAAATTTTTGCACTTGTAAGGTAAACGGATAATTAAACCATTTTTCATTGTGTGTCAATGGTCGGGATTACTTTCTTCTAGCGGTAACACTGAAAGACGAACGATTTCTTATGGAACCTTTTATTGTTAGTATCAGGCAGGAGATGAGATAAATCTGAGACTCTGGCCCAGTTCATACGTTGTGCTTCTGCCGCGCCGAAAGGAAGCGCGATGGAAGCACGAGCTCCTCTCTTTGCAGAGTCCCTTGAACGGAGCGAAAAAAAAAATCGTCATCCATTATGGTTATTCATGAAATGTTTTAGTCTCGATTTAGGCGTATTTGCTGAATGAAACAGAATTCTTAATGCTACAGGAAAATTCTCTGAGCGAGAATTTTTGGCTTTGCTTAGAGTAGTTATAAATCAACCCGTTGGTAACAGTTATAGATTCATTTCCCAGAAGGCAGGTGAACGGTACGGATCGACGGCCTAAAGAAAAGGAGAGATTATTAAAGAAAACAATTAAAACACAACTGAAAAAATTTAGCAGAGAGAGAGAGAGAGAGAGAGAGAGAGAGAGAGAGGTTTGAGGGGTGGGAGAGAATCCCTCATCTATTACATTGAAAAAAAACAAAACAAAACAAAACAAAACAAAACAAAAATTAACCTCATACGGCAGTACGTAAAAAAGAGCCAGACTTTTAGCTCCCATTCCCGTACCCTGAGACACTCCTAGTAGGATAATTATATAGTTTTAACAATAACGTCTAAATCACAGAATTTTGGGAGTTCAATGGTGAAATGATCAGCGTGAACCAAAGAGGACGAAAATAAGAGAGTATCATTGTCATCATCATCATAAAAAAATCACAAACCTTTTAAATTTAATCATCTTCAACTTCGTCGCTCTCTTCTTCCACAAGATTTCTGCAATCAACGCCATGAATGCAAGACCTACGCCAACAGCCATTACGACGTACACACCCAACATGCTCTTCAGATCGATACGTTTCTGTGACAAGGCTGAAAATGCAAAATATGGTACACTCAAGTACATCACTTTCATCTAAAACATAAATTTTGTCGCTTCTTTTTTTCTCTCTCTCTTAACTTGAACATGTGGTGTCCGACTTGCTGCGAGATGAGAGTAACTTTTAAAGGAATCTCCATACCAACAGAACCCTTGGATAAATCATATCGCAAAACTATTTACCGTCTCTAGTGAACAAGCGAAGAGGTGTACGCAAGATAAGGTTGGTTTCGCCGCTTTGATTGATCGTGTATTCGTCATCAATGCAACTCCGATCCGTAGTAACAAGAGTACTGACTGGAGGATAAAACTGAAACTGGAACTTTAACGGAACTGTATAGTTAACCACAAAATGTATCAATTCCGAAAGTTAGTTATGACGTATTTTAGGCACCGAAAACTAAGATTTTGAGAGAGTTGGTTTCAAGAAGAGAGTGTGACAAAAAGTAAACTGCTTCATCACTGGTTGACTTTCGAATGTAGTAGCCTTTTCACTTGTACGAATCCCCTTGATCGCTCGGACGATGAAAATAATACGCTATTATTTTTCTCGAAAGGAACTAATGAATGTACAACATGAAATTCATATATTTGAGCCGGAAAATAAAGAAATAAGTGTATGGAATCCGCGCAGTTAAATTCGCAACCTATACACGTATCTTCAAATCTTTTCATACAATATCCGGATGAAAAGATTTATGTTTCGAAGCAATCTAAAGGTGATCTTACACGTGACGATTCGAAACGACGAATTTTAGCGCAACACAGCATTGCAATGCTGGAACAATGTTCTAACCATTCGAAACAATGTCGCAACAATGTTGCAACGCTGTGTTGCGAATCGTCTCGTGTAGCATCACCACAAAACGTCTTGGATGCGTCTAAATACCCGTACGGAAAAGAGTTTTTTTGTTATGATTGGTAACATAGCATATACAAATTAAAGAGCTTTCATACTTTTTTCCTTTTCTTGGCGACATTCGTTGGCATTATCCCACCACTTTCTTTTCAATTTGACCAGGAAATCGTTCTCGTGTAGTTTTAAAATAGCTAGTGTGACATCCGTAACCACTGGATCTTTTTCTTGGAAGGCAAAGGAAAACGCACGAGATGTGCTTAATCCAGGCACTAAAATTGACAAATGGCGGCCTCGTATTAGAAAGAATGAATGTAGACAATAATGAAGAACACTCGGGCCGTAATCGGGACGTGCGGCCAGCCAGGGTACGTTTTTCATGATTTTTGTCTTAAGCAGGGTATCGAATTTATCATTTTTTGTCTTAAACAGGATAAATGTCTTAAACAGGGTATCAAAGATTGGAATTCTGTCTTAAACAGGGTAAGAAAATCAGCGATATTTGTCTTAAACAGGGTCAGGGTATGAGGGGCCGCGCTGCGCCTCCCCACCCAGGGATATATCGAGTACCCCCCCACCCCGGGGAAGAACACAACAACAACCATGGTCTCCCTGCTAAGTGTCCGGGTAATTACAGCGCGTTCAGAATGAAGCTGCTGAATGGTTACAGGTACGTCCCGTTTTAGCCATATTACTCCTGACCATTGTTGTAGTAATTAATTGCACTCACTGGTTGCCAGAGAAGGAGTGCATTCACTATAATAGATAAAATTATACTGACCTTTATGGCCTAGTTAGCACCTACTTATCTTTGTAGTCTGCTAACTATTCAGCGTCCCAACACTTATTTTCTTCGACGAAATGATATGATCTGCTTCTTGAGCCATATCATGCTATGACATCGAAACACTAGGTGACAGGTCGTTTTTAGTGATGGCGCCATCGCTTTTCAACGCTCTTCCTCGACACATTCAATATGAGAAGAATTTCACCCATTTTAAAACCTTGGAAAAGACTTTCTTTTCTAATATTAGCTAACCTATGACTTTTAGATAGTTTTTAGAATGTTTTAATATTTTTAGATCATTTTAATGTTTCTTTCATTTTTTTTTGGAATTTCTTAGTTTACATTGAAAATGACCATGTATTTACTTTATTCCATTCAGTATTTCACGAATCTCTACCCTGAGTACCAGAGGTTTTTCTCGCGTGCAGCGGAATTAATCTCCGGTGTCGGCCGAATGCCGAAGCCACGATCGAGGGGTGAACGCGAGACTTATATATAACAGAAATCGAAAACCGCGAAAGAAAAGTCTCCGGCACCCAGGGTAATATATCACTGTAACGCGCATTTGATCATATACATATCCGAATTTGCTCTTTATTTTTAACTAATAAAATTATTGTTATTAATTTTTATTATCATTAAGTATCTTACATATAGAGTCACGGCGGCAGTGGGAAATTGAGACACGAGTAAAGGAGAGATTTTGATGGGAGAGTTGAAATCTAACATTAATACACTTTGAATGAAAACCAAGCATCACCCAAGCTGTTTTCGCTTGAATTCAGAGCTTGTATTGTGTAGTTACCTGTGGTCAAATCGCAGGGTTGTTTGTTGGCAACATGACGGAGCTTCGGGCCATCATATATTAGTACCATTTCTTCTCTTTCTTTCACCCATTGGATGCCTTGGTTGATGTTTTGAGCAACTGTGCCATGCTCTTCAACCCTGCGCCAAATTTGTCTGTGCTTTTCTATCTGACTTGTCTTGAAAAACTCGTAAGTACTTCCTGAGGATATTATTACTACCTTATAAGACGACGTTAAGATGTCATTGAGGTTATTGATTGGATACCTTGTATTCTTCACCGTGAAAAATGCTGCGAGGTTGGCGGTGTAGGATGAAACAAAAACAAGGATGCAGAACCAGTAACAGGCAGTGAGGACGCGACCTGAATAGTAAAATTAGGCTTTAAAACGTACGTTATGAAAACTTTACAAATAATTAAAGCATATAGTATATCCCAAATTTGTTTTTTGTTGTTGTTGTTATTGTTGTTTGTTTGTTTTTTTCGTGACTCTAAAATATGTGATTTGAATAAGATACCTAATTATAAAAGTTGAGCTTTATTCTAGGAGAGATCTAAGAAGGAAAGTGGGGGATTGATGCTACCCCTTAGACTGACTTTTTTTCTTCATTTTAATAGAACAAAGAAGACCACGCTGTCAACCTCAGATACACTGCAACTACATGTCTCCAGTACTTGGAGTTTTTTACTTTTTAGTTCACGTTAAGCTGTCGCTCGCCAGTCAAATCATGCCTCCGAAAATTTGGCTCCGGCGACTCCAAAGCCGAGCAGCTAAGAGTTCTTAAGAAAATATTCTTCTCTTAAAAGGGAAGAAATCTTGACCTGACCTGGAAAGAACTGACTTCTGTACATCGCAAAGTGCTTTTGAATTTATTAAACGTAAAAACAAAATCACACCAGCTATCGAACTCATGCAATGTTGTCGAACTCTCACTGTGTCTATACGGGTAGGATTTGACACTAGGACGAACACGGCACGTATTGGTTTTTAGTGCTTAATACGTTGTGCTGTTGGACTCCTTATTGATTGAATCGCTTTTTGGGTCTGTGGCCATGGAAATTTCCTCGGAAACTGTCATGGATTTTCTGTTTGTTTCTTTTAGCGTATCCATGAAAATTATGATCATTATACGTTTCTGGGAAACTGCCCACTCACCCCTCCCCTACGCCAACATTAACACTTACTTCTCACTTAATGTCCCCTTAGGGAAAGGGTAGGTGGGCAGTTTCCCAGAAACGTATAATGATCCGAAATTTTTGGGTGGCAATTTCACCCGTGACCCCACAAGAAATCCTTGTCCATGGGCAAAAGCCATTTACCTGATCTAGGGTCAAAAAGGTCGCTATTATATAACACACACACACAACAACAAAAAGGAGGATTGCATCTACCCCTCCCACGGTATGAATTTGCATGTCCGTCCAAAAGGATCAAGGCCTTACAGCATTGGACGCTTATTACAACAGAGAAGTACTATTCTAACTTTAGTAACACTATCAACCAGAACTTCTTTACAATTTTTTTATCGGATGACGTGACGGACATTTGGGACGAAATTCCATGAAGGGGAACATAAAACTTTACGACATGCTAACTTAGGACCACCACCTGACAAACTCTTTGGTGTCTTGTCTTCTCCTTGCTGCAACATACAACTCAATGAAAACCAGACACTGTTGGGAAAGCTGAACTCCCAGGATGTCCCCCGGCCATTCTCATCTTTGTAGCCATAAGGACTGAAATAGTTCAAGACAAACACAGCCCCGGATATGATGAAGATACAGGCAAGTAAAGTGTACCAAACATTTTCATGGAACGGGTCAGCAAATTGTAGGAGATGAATTCTTGCCGACTCTTTCTTCATGAGCAGCATTTCTTTAGAGTAGTACATGAATGGAACGGCGAAGTCCACTACATTCTCTCTGCGTTCGGTTATGGTTAAGGCAGTAACAGCCATATCAGCACGCTTTCAAGGAAAGAAAAAAACTTCTTTTAGTCATAGTTTTAGTTATTTTTTGTCTTTGTCCTCGATTCTTTCGCCAAGGAATAAGGTGAATTGATTGTTTGATACCTACCCGATTTATCAGCTCTCCAATCACGCCATTCCAAGTCCCGTTTTCGGCTTCGGCGCCATAGTTACCGTCTGGGGTGGTGTAGATGTCATAGGTAAAATGAAGATTTCTCGCCAATTCCTCCAACAGATCAATACAATATCCCTTGAATGAAATAGCACCGTCTTTGGTCTTCTCTTTAATAACAAATGGGTCATCCTGTATTGATTGAAAAAAAAAAAAAAAAAATGGGTATAAAGAGTCATATCTTTCAAGAATTAAAAATATTAGAGAGCTATAAATTGAATGTGCTTTCAATACCTCCTTGACAACAACTCTAAGTTTTCTTCCTTCCAGAGCCCCTGTTTGAAATCGATTTCCCATGTTGCACGACAAATTCTTAAACATGGTGAAATGCTTCGTCGAGTTCCACGAACCTACCTGAAAAATCAAAAAGGGATCTTTACAGAATTAAAATAGCACGATACGTCATAAACCACGTCATTCTTGATGTCATAACGGCACAGTCGATCCCAAGAGCTCTAATTTCATTTTTACCCTTGATGATTTTCATGATGCTTAAAACACTTTTTTACATAACTAGAATGAAAGAATCAAAATCACAAATTCAAGCATTGTAGAAGACTTGAGAAAATGACGGGAATACGGTATTACCCTCGGGAAAGCTTAATTCTAAATACCCAAAATCTTCATTACTTACAACTTGGAAGGAGTTGTTCCTTAAGTTATAGATATCAAACTCAATCCCTTTTCTCGTTCCACCTTCGTCAAATTGGACATTTCCTGTTGCACCATTAACATTGGCCTGTGGATTGTAACAAAACCATAAAAGGGGCTGTTCCTGGCATTTGAGTGTCAGAGGTTTAATGTTCGCATAGGTTCATTCCATTGAAGGTACAGTTTCCAGTTACAACACTTTCATAACTGGTCTTTTATCACTCTGCGGCAAACTTACTTTTGTAAGTTAGACTTTAACATCAGAGGTTTGCCACTGATTTCGATGGTGCACGACTTTCATGTTGATTGTGACGTACGTATTTCTGGGCAAATAACAGCGAGCTGCAAACTCAACAGTGCCATTCAGTAAAAATCTCCGTTTGAAATTTCGGAAATTCTACGTGCCGAATGGGGTGTCAGTAAAGGGCGGGTTTTACGGTTAGGGTTGACACTAACCCTAACCATACCCCTACCCTAACACTTACCCTACCCTAACACTAACCCTAAGACCGCATTCTTTAAAGAAAGATGGACCCCGACCCCGACCCGCGTTTTACTGCCGAATTGAACGATACATTCCGTTTGCACAGACCCGAGCCAAGCCACCGCGCGTTTGCTTATTATTCTTGCAAGCAGGATACAAAGGAGCAGTACTAGGGACAACAATTTTGTCAAATGGAAAGGGACATTTCGATCCGACCAAACGAGATGACCGGACCGGTCAAAGTGGACCACCTTCATTAGTTTGAGCACTTGTGCTTAGCTAAAAGCTTGAGACTGTATAAAAGTTTTTACTATTATGATAAATAACGGCGAAATGAACTTCAGCCAGAACAATGAAGAAGAAGACGAACGCGCGTCAAGCCCGAAAGTGAATAATAAACACTGGAATGAGTAATGCGAAATGACTTTGAAATACTCGTTTAAGCTAATTTTCGTCCAATTTATCTTTAAATTCATGATAAGCACAGCTCCACAAGCTTCAAACGGCGTGAATGGCAGAGAAAAATGCCTAAATCTATTTATTTTCCGTTGTGAAAAAAAACTTCAGGGGAAGCGTGGTCCAGTGGTCTGGTAGCTGACTTGTCCCGCAGGAGATAATCTTGGTGTAAGTTCGAATCTCGGCTTGGCAACTTCGTTTACTCTGTACATTTTTTGGTTCTGATTTTGTTTTTGTTTTTTTGTTTTTTTCATATTTTTTCCCTTTGGCTTGTTTCTCACTGGTGACCCTTTCAGCTTGGCAAGATTTTTACAATAACGTATTTCTAGTTCACCTTAATGATACAGGTTAGCATGGTATTTCTTTCATTTGAAGTAATTGTGGTTCCATTTATCGATGAGCAAGGTTCTCTGATCAAAGCCTGACTTATAACTTGGACGGCATCGTAAGCTAGTGAAGCTTGTTCCTATGGAAAGAGTCCCAACACAAAGGTGAATTCAAAATGTGAACAAATAAGAACCGCGGTCCGCTGTATTTTTTAAATATTTTTTTTTTATTGACGAAACATTAACAACATTAATACACAGCAATAGCAAAAACTAAATAAATAGGTCAGTTGGTAACAAAACTTAGTTACTGCTTAAACACACAAAAGAATAAATAAAAAAATAATTAAAAAAACGATAGAAATATAAACTATTGGAAGATTAAAGCATATCAGTTGCCACACTTATTTAATATTGTTCGCCACAATTTTCAATGGGATATTGTTCAAAATTAAGTTTCGTTGCGATGTTTTTGCAAGTATACAAGTATTTGTTTTGCAATAAAGCCAATAGACTGAGTTTGCTTTAAGTTGGAATTTGACATTTGCAATGGACAGGAGTCTTTGAATGTGTCAACTAAATTTAGCTTGTTAAAAAGTTGTACGTTCTCCCTTTGATATTCGTTTTGGAAAGGAATTCCTTTGACTCTTGAATTGAATCAGGATGAAGGCAGAAAGGACACCTGTCATCAGAAGCTAATTTACATTTCAGCAGTTCTTTGTTTGTCGTGTGATTATTCTGTGCATAACCTTAAAAGAGAATTGTCTAGTGAGCTTATTATCTTATCGAGGACTTGTATATATTCACAAAACAATCATCCCAATCAGGAACTTCTGAAAAGCTTTTTCTCCAAGCCCTTACTGCGGAGGGTTCTGCTGTAATAGAGAATTTCTGCGCTCTGAGCAGGGGAGTGGGTGGGGGAGGGGGTACTCTAGGGAAGTCTGGGTAGAGGTGTACCGCCGAAGCCTTTAAACCCACTGACCCTGTTTAAAACAAAGATTGCTCATTTCGCTATCCTGTTTAAGACGAGAGATCTTTTCATATGTGTTTGATTCGTTTCGTTTTGCACACACTTAATTAAATAGGTAATTTTCAAACTAATATTATGGAACTGAAAAAAAGTGTTGGTGACTCAAATGTAGACCGTTCATCTGCAGTCTTTGCAATCTTCTAAGGCTTTCGGTCTGAAAAACACAGCCTGTTAAAGACGCCAAAAAGTTAAATTGAATGCCCTGCTATGCCATTAAATCTTACCGTTTCTTTTACGGCTCTAGAAGATAAATTTTTAGGACGCCTGAGTTTCATTGCTAGAACCACATTGTTTGGATGACTGCTCAAGTTTAACGGAAACTGCAATTCGAAAAAGTAATAATGGTAATAGGAGTAAAATATTTAGTTTAAACTCACGACGACGGGTTGATTAATAACAGAACACTTGTTTTCAAACCTGTCCTTGAAGTATCCATTTGTAGAATTTATCCCTACAAGGAGCCTGACAAGAAATAAACAGGAACGGGTAGATGAATAAACACCAATGAAATACCTTATACTTTCTGAATATTACAATAGCCAGACATTAAATCCAAAGGCTGAGTAACCTGTTGCAACATTATGCCCATATTTCTTTCACTGGTAAAAAGGAGAATGACTTCAGCTTTAAGGCTTTTTATTTCTTCGATTGCTCTCCATATGGGAACTGTCGAGTCCTCGTTCAACATTTCCTCAGAAATCTCCACTAAAGTTGCATTAATATTTGATCTCTGAGATAGCACGTGGAAATATCCAACTTCTTGTAGGCGATTTCCTAAAATGATTAAAAAAAAGTGTCTGAGTTTCCCTTAATGAATGCTGACTGTGGAAAAAAGGGTTGACGGATTGATTGATTGACTTTATTACACTGTAGGAATTTAGAAATCCAAGGTCAGGTTGCAGATATTGGAATCATGATAAAAAGCTTTTTTTCACATTATACGTGAAAACCTCACCTCGAGACAGAATCGTTTTTAAGAGCCAATGTCTGTAATTTTCGAGAATCGCTTGACAGTCGTGAATTTTTGAATTTCTTCATCTTTTGCCCAAATAATCTCTATAGTACACTAATTTCAAAAATCACCTTAAAACTTGTAAGAGCTTTTTATTTTTTCAGGAATCAGGCAAAGTTGGAAAAACTCTAAATCGGCGCTCTTTCGAGTATGAAATTAGCGAAAATTGAGCATTTTCTTTGAGCTCGTACAGAAAAACGGAATAATGTCTCTAGATGAAATCAAATCACAAAACAGACACACATTTTTACTATATAATTTACCAATTAACTTTAAATAAACCGTTTAAATGAGACTGTACCGGTCGCAAGAAGAAGCACGGTCTCAGCACTTTTCAAAAATGGCAAATTTGACCTAACTTTACCATCTTAAAAACCCAGTTGGTACATGGAATTTCACTATAAAACAAGAACTGTATTGAAACATATCCTTTGCTGTTGTTTGCGTTAAAATATTTCTGGCGGCATTCCAAATGCGCACCGTCGAGAGACCAAAACCTGAAGGGTATTTTGACACCAGGAAAGCGCGTGCAAAGAGCAAGTTTCGGCGCTTGGAATATTAATCCTTTCAAACATAAGTTACTTCGATATTTAAACCCTAGTCAGAGTTGCAACGGTTTCAGATTATATTTCGGCGTTTCTGTTTGGTTTAACATGATTCCTTTCAACTGATTTTTGCGATAAGCCACAATGAAGAGACACGAATACGCAGTTCAAATCACAGTTAGTAGAGGGGAATATTGTCGAAACACTCGCTTGCTATAGTTTTAATTGTATTGAAACCTTAAAATCAGAAAAGTTCTTTACTTACCTGAACTTAAATGCTAGACGGGGTCACAGTATCAAAAAGTAAATTCTGCATCAAGGCAGAATCAAAGTTAAGTTTGTGTATGTTTTCAATCTGTCGACACGAGGGAAGATGACATTCCGGAAGTGGGTGACGCGTAACGCGCCGGAAAAGAAATTCCTGGAATAAATGTCTTAAGGTGCAAATCTTTGATGTATGTTCGTTTTGCATCTGGCACATATTCAAACGTGGTTTCTGGCGCCTGTGGCCCCAGTAATGCGGAATGTATTGCGATCATAGAAAAGATGTCGTGAGTCATTTGGTATGCTCCTGAATTGTTAGTCACGTGAGAATGTAGGGCAATAACCAAACATCGACCCTACCATGCTAATGATAAAAGTAAGGTTTTCTGCAGTTACGTTAGGTGACCTTTGTTTGATCCACAAAATTGGCGCATGAAAATAAGAGTTTGTCCTCACCATTGCTAAATGTTTGGTTCCGGGTGGCGGTGCAACAAATCACGTGGTACCGTTCTAGATCAGGCTACTAGCTGCTCATAGAGAGGTCCATATAGGCACCTTGATTGATGACTCTGTATGGCCTGAAGAAAATGATTTACGCAGTCGTTTTCTGAGCGACGAAGGTGCAGCTTTTACACTCCTTTTTCGTTTCGAAAATGGACCAGCACGCGAGCGAAGCGAGCGCGCGAGAGAGATCCCCTTGCGCTAATGGTCAATAACATTCCTGCGGTTTTTATTTTCATACGCGAAATCGACGATCGCCAAAGAGAAAATAGATCGACGATCTCTAAAGAAAAAGTAGAGGGTCTGTGAATAGGCTACGAAGGTGCTTGCTATTATTTTAGTGAACTTTACAAGAGATCTCAGGTGACAATGGTAATGTCATGAAAAGTCTACTTAGCTTGTTTAAGTTTAGGGCAGGAAGAGGAGATCGTTGGGTTGGTAGGCATTGGGTTCTCCATCAGGATCAAGCCTACACATACAAAAATTCATGTCTTTATCGCTGCATTTAGAGCTAGCAGACTTTGTTTGATCCACAAAATTGGCGCATGAAAATAAAAGTTTTTCCTCACCACCGCTAAATGTTTGGTTCCGGGTGGCGGAGAACAAATCACGTTGTACCGTTCCAGAAGAGCCTACTGTCTGCTCATTTAAAAGGGGTCCGTAAGGGCACATTAATTGATGACTCTGAGCGGCCTGAAGAAAATGATATAAGCAGATGTTTTCTGAGCGATGAAGGTGCAGCCTTTACACTTCTTTCTCTTTTCGAAAATGGCCACAGACTTCTCTCCTCGCTCCTCGCTGCTAGGCGGTCGTTTTTGCCTGAGGGATACCACCGCGAAGGAGTTTTAGCACACAGTTCACTGCAGGTGCAGACCTAGCGAAAAGGGCATTCTCCATCTGAAATTTTAAATCGATATGAAAGGCTATTTTCAGCCTTTTATCTCTTTTCCGCGCAACGTATTTGGTTAAAAGATGATAGGTAAAATGGCTGAGGCATTTTAAAGCATTTTTTCATTTGGGCGACGGATTAAAAGAACTTGTCAGTCTTGTCAGTAAATTGGTTTATTTTCTAGCCTGCGAAAGAGTGCCGGGGGGTGATGGCGGAGAGAGCCAGGTGACTATTCCTTTTTTAGGCGGAAGCTAGCATGTACGTGCATTCTGGTCTAACGCCATAATGTGTAGACTGGCCTACAAGGGGCGGGGGATTAGATCGTCAACAGCAGGTTGAGGTCTAGCCAGAAGATACCCTTGCTGCAGAGGAGCAAAGCAATACTACTTTCAGTAATTTAAACATGTTAAATACTTGTATTTCGCTCATCAAATGTGTCCATTGTCCAGTGTCGATTTGTGGTTTTTCAGGAATGTTCTTTTGCGGAGTGTTGGCCAATTTTTCTTTAAACAGTTTTACTCGTTTCCGTATCCCTGCTCTACCTTCATGTTGCATATGGCGTACGTGTGTACCTAAATCCCTCAATTCATACTGAGGTGATCGACAGAGAAGTCTATACGCCAAGCGGGGTTAAGATTAGTTTATTACAAGCAAAGGCTCGGAAGGCTAAGCGCAAATAAAAAAAAACTAGTGTGAAAAGTTTTGCAGACTCGGCTTACTCTATTTGTTTTCTTTCTCTATTTGAGTTTCGGCTTGTACATCCTAAACTCAAGTTTAGTTCGACATGTTTTGGGGAAAATAAAATATAAAAATAATTTAAAAAAAAAACAGTGTTAATTGTCATTGTATTTTTTCTTGTAAACTCCTGCGATGATTTATCCTTGTCTGTACAGTTGCGTGACAAGACTCAAATCACACACGGGCTTTCATCACGCAACACGGGGTTTAGTCCGTGGTTATTAAAACGACGGAAGATTTCAGTAAACTGCGGCCACTTGCAGTTGAAACGACTGTGGTAAGTAAAATTCTTAGAGATCTCGTATCTCATTTAGAGCTAGCAAGCCGTTTCTAGTGGTTTTATTTTAGGTGCAGAAACTCGAGGTCAATATTTACACTCAACACGAAATTAGCAGCGTTGTCTTTTTCAGCTACTTGCGTGCAATCAAATGCAGTGTTAATCTACTTAGTTCTTTTTTATAACCATCAAATTGAAAAGTGTTTTTCAAAAGATCTTAAGAGCTTCCCGTAACGTGCCCCTTGTAAAAGAAGCTAAGTTTGCAAAAACGTTTGTGAGCCGAAATTTTCTTGGATATTCAAAATTGAAGAAATTCAAAAAATCACGGAACGATTTTCGAAAAGGCTGAATTAAACTGTTCCCCTTGGTTCTATTCTTGCCCTTGGTTTAACAACATACCTGTCCAAATAGCATTCAAGACTGTAGCAGTTGAATTTTTCCCATCTTTTCAAATACATTTCTTAAATTTTCACTTTCTAGTTAAATATCAAGCTAGAAAAAGGTGTCTGTCAATCAGCAGTAACATAGCTACTCAGAGGGTATATCCGCATTTTACCCCTTAGTTGTTTTTCACCCACTACTAACATTCAATGTTAGAGTCTGCCATAATCTTTTGAAAACTAAATTAAAAGAGGAGGAGTCAAAAGCTTTTTGGCTACGGTTCAACACCAGAGGGATATAAAACCCCCTAAAAAATCAAGGAGAAAAAACAAAACAAACCAAGACGAATAAACAGACAAAGAAAGAAAATATTAATTTTAAAGTATTCTCTTTAAAAAGAATCTCATGCAATTTTAGAATGAAGCATCGCTCCCCTTCCTGTCCCTTTCTACTTGCTGTCAAAATCCTTCGTTAAAAAATATATAATTATTGTATTTTAACGTACCATCGAAAACCAAGGCAACGTTTTCCCATCTGAACGTCTTGAGGATTGCCAGAGAAGCATGCGCATAATCTTTATACCCAGGTGACATTTGGACCAGTTTTTCACACTGACTGAATGGCGCACTGTGTCCATTGAGACGGATAAGGGGGGTGTTTGTTAATGTAGATAGTGCACATGATGAAGTTTTTGTGTGACCTCCTTCGTCGATGAGTGCTATAACGTTTTGCTGAATGAGTAGTGAAGCTGAAAATAACATGGATTGAGTGGAAAATTCAGGTCACTAGCATGAAAAATAACAACGCTTTTAAAGCTCATTTGTTTTAAAATATACATATATGTTAATCGATGGAACTAGCAACATCCACATTGGGCGGAAATCTCTTCATCGACCCTCGCATTGACATACAACGAGTTTCCAGATGCACACAATTACAGCATTAAAAGAAAATAAAAAAAAGGAATGGTAGATGAATGTTAGCACAGAAAACTGGCAAACAGATCAGCAATGAATCACTGAGAATCGGGTACTCACAGTTTACAACTGAGATTAAAAAGTTATGCATTGGTAGCGTTTACCAACCGGACAGCTCTCAGAACCTTTTAATTAACTGGCCATGCAGATCAAAATCGTTAAAAATACCAAATATAATGAAGCTATAGAATCGCATGAAAGCACTAAATATGGACGTGGTCGGGTTGTTGTTTTTTTTTTAAACAGTTCATCAGACCCACGCCTTACCTTGACTGAAAAGATCAATCGTCTCTGATAGGTTGAAAGTTTTCAAGAATATTGAGAAATTATTCGTAGTGGAAGCATTATTGATGACCATTTCTAGCGCGTTAAAATTAAGGGATCCCGAGCTAATAACACCTGCAAAAGACAAAGTGAGAATAACTTGAATTACGTAAGTATTTAATAAGTAATGCATTTGCCCGGTTTTTGTTTTTCAACGTTGTCTCAAGATAGTATAAAGAAGCTAAAAAAGAGAGTTTTATTCTAAATGTTTCACTTCAGGTCTCACCGCAAGTAAACATCTTATTTTGGGTATATACTTTCTGCAGGGACGACACAATTATCACCAAGGCAATATATCTTATTTCCATTTTGACTACCTAAAAGTAGAACAGGAAAAATAAGTTAATACAAAATTGTACGAAAATGTCTAGGATAATGACAAAATATTGGGATATGCGCTTCTGTATTATCAATATTTACCTGTTATTTACAGACTCTAAATCTCGAAGTCACAGAATAATTGCTTCTTCTAACCTAAAACTCATTTCCGTTTGGAAAGGAAATTTTGCCATTTGTTTTGTATCCTATCCATGGCTGCAACGTAGGCGACTTAAAGACAATTGGCCCACCAAATGCTAAAAATAAGAGATCTAAATAATTAATTAATCCCCAAAAAATATGCCTTTAAATACAGCTTTTTTTTCCTCGTTTGTTTATTAACTTAAGCATCGATGTTTTGGTGGTTTGTTTGATTGATAAACAGTGTTTTATGGGGTAAACAAAATCTCGACTACGAGATATATTGAGCAAACAATATGTGTTACAATTCTGTCAAATTCTCGTTTGACAAATTGACGGTTTTATTTCAACAATGTGAAAATAATTAGTGCACAGCCGGAGAAGAGCGTCTAATTTAAAACTGAAGCAACAAAAATTAAACCCCCTGTTTTGTTTTCAATATCAATTAGCAGTGATAAAAGTACCATACGAATTAGGTAATTTTTTATTAATTTGTTTTGCTGTTTACATGCATTGAAGATGTGGACGCCATTTTTTAATTTAATAGTATACGCGAAAAAGTTTTTAAATCTGGTTGGCTGAGAGCAATACATTCAAATAAGAGAAAATATAAAGCAAAAACAAGGATAAAATGCAAATAGGTAGGTAGATAGTTTATTAGAATAAATACATGGGCAGCCAGAGGCTCAATTGCGTATTTACAAATAAAAGTAAGCTAAAAATATCATAATTTACAATGTATCAATATTAACAATTCGTGCATATAATAAATAAAAGCTTTAAAAGCGAATCATTTGTACTTTAGATACGATGACAAAACAAATTTAAGTGTTCTTAAAACGGCCTGTCTTCCACTTTGGAAGTGCAAAGTGTCCCTGATTTCTCAGTGAATATGGAGCCTTATTGGCTTCAGTTAATAACTTGTTATGTTTGTTATACTTCTTGCCGAAGCGTTAAAAACCATGTCACATATGTCCTCGCAATATGAAACAATGGTTGGAATACCAGCTTCCTTAAGTATCTCGTCATAAGACAGACTAGGACAAATGAATGACAATGCCCTTTTTGGACCCGCTCCATACCCAGCTCACACTGTAAATACTTGGCCATGGGCAGAGCATAGAAGAATACAGGCGCTACATAAACTAGGATTGATCTTATACATGTAACATAAAAGAGGACTAAATCCCTACATGGAAGCCTTGCCCGTTTAAGCGGAACTAGGAAGTACAAACGTTTAGACGCGTTCTTTACAGTTTCGTTAACGTGCTCATTCCAAGATAAATCGCTTGTAATTATAGTCGCACCCAGAAGCTTTGCGCTTCGAAGTACTTCAAGCTCGTTGCCATTTGAAAGAATAGGATGTAACTCTGACTGCTTTTTAGTAAAGGAGATTCTAAGTTAAGCAAGAGAATAGAGCACTGTAATTGGTTAATAAACAAAAGAAAGAGCAAAGAACTAATCAGGTGCCGCAAGCTATATTGGCCACTTTGAGGAAGGGGCGGTGAAAATTGTCATCGTTTTTTCGTACTGAACAGTGGGATTGCTTCAGGGACAAATTTTAATCCAGCAAATTTTCTCACGTTTGTAATTATAAAGGATACCCTTATGAGTTTCTCCTTCACTTTGGAATTTATTTGCACTCGTTTGTTTTTCAAAAAAAGCACAAACTGCATTCGTCTTACGGGCTCAAGCAATTTCGATCATTTTGGAGGGTAAATACATTCTAAATTTAATTTGAAGTCGTATGGTTACCAATACAAACCACTAATTCATGTTTCTAGTCTCCTAGGCCTCTTCATACTGCCTTAGATATTTAATGATTTTTGACAAAAGACCGATCTGATTTTTTTTTAAACGGTACTCAGGAGCGGGGAATGTGGGTGTTTCTCGTAGGTCAGTTTGGCGAAAATTTGGTTATCAAATTCTGCTTTGATTCATGGTCGTAATTTGTGAAAACATGTTGTGGGGAGCTTTACATTTTCTATATTATCCATTCGCGTATGAAAATCTAGATAAAACTGAATTATATAAAAAAGGACGATTTACAGCGAATAAGAACTTATTTCCGAGATGGTTTTCATCTGGACACCCCCTTCCAAAGCACCTAAAGAAGTAGCTATAAAAAATATAGAAAAGAGTACAATGTATCACTAAAATCTCCCAAGATTTTAGTATGTTAAAATTGCTTTATTTTTGCCAAATTAAAGTGCAAATTGAAATTATTATTATTATTCTCTTTGCAAAAAGTGGCTGTTGTGTGGATTGTAAGGGCTCCTACCGTGAAATGGCCAATTTTAAATTCATTGCCAAACAATTCTTATTATCAACTGAAGGCTATTTTGAATTCTGTCATTAGATTGAAAAGTCCTACAGAGTCCAAAAAAGACAATCTGACAAAACCTAGCCAATGTATTGTGCACATATCGATAACTGTACGATCGTAATTTATTATAGTTTTTTTTCATGTATTCTGTATATCTGGACTCAACATAGCCATTCGGCTTCCATTCTGTGGGGACGCAATCTTTATCTTCTTTTGACTGTAGTGCATGACAAATAAAATCTTCTTATGTGAGCACTTGACTGTAAACCCAATTAGCCAAAGCTTAACTGCACACTTGTAGAAGCCTTGCTTACCCTACAAAGGAAAAAAAAATAATTAACGATTATTCCTCGAGCCCGAATGGGCTCTGAGTCAATAGCCCATGGGCCATTGACTCAGAGTTCCATGAGGGCGAGAGGAATAATTGTTTAGCAAAATCCAACTAGTTTGCCAAAATATCGAGATAAAACATATTTAGCTAGCAAAACGCGATTGAGCCGCCATTGTTTTGGTTTTCAAAGCCGGTGCTTTTCGCTACTAGTGAGCTATAACATATAGCCTAGTAGTAGCTCAACCGATCAGAATGCAGCATTGATAGTAGACCACTAGTTGGATTTTACTAATCACTTTTATGACGTGAATCGTTTCTGGTTAACCGTTTCCTTAAGGGGAAATTACTCATGTTTATTTCTTAATACTTTCCGTATGATCAAATTCAGTAAATGGTAAAGTATTTAGTGAACCCTATTACTGAATAAAGTCCAGTGCAGCCCGGGAACACTAAGGATGTTTCTTGCGCCACCCTTTTTAAGAAGCGATCAATGATAACCTCAAGGAATTCATCACAAAACCTCAAAATTTAAAGGATTAGAATATTCATTATCGAAAACTGCTTCGCGGTTTAATTTATTATAGGAAACAAGAGAAAACGCATGTAAAGGTCTATAATACTATCTTAATAATGGAACAAATTTAAGGTCAGTGAAATGCAACTTTGACTGACGCGAGAGATAAAGCTTAAACCGATATATCGTTAAAAGTCGACGACTGACAATTTAAATATCTGTTAGGCCACTGTTTTTGGCTAATAAAAATTATTTGAAATTCTTTACACACCTTGGAATATTTCTCAACATTTTGTGTTTTCTCTTCCATTGTATTTCAGCAATCAGCACCACAAAGGCGAAGACGGCTCCAACAGCTAACAAGGCATACACACCCGTCATGCTACTTAGTTTGATTCGATTCTGAATCAATGCTTGAGGAAGAAAACCAAACGAACAAACAAACAAACAAACAAGAAAATTACAACATTTTGCCGATTTAAAGCTTAACAAATCTAGAAATTTAAGGTATTTCTCTGCAATAACAGCTACACTGAGATATTTGTCAAAATTTGCATATTTGACATTCATTACATGAAGACTACCAAAAAAAAAAAAAAAAAAAAAAAAAAAGATTAGGTTCCCCTTGCTAACTACTAAATTTTAGCTTACATAAAGTCAAAATAAAAATTCAAAGATGCACAGAACACAAATACCCAACGTAGTAAGCACTTTTGGATACTTAGGAACTTTTTTTTCTGTTTTGCTATAACAAAAATTTATCAGGATTGTGTTCTTTTTCATTAAAGTACACAATAGCTTCTCTCCTTTCAGTTTTTAAATCGTTTTCACATGACATAACGTCCGCCATATTGTTGTCCCAAAACGCAATGAAACGCGTTTGTCACTTTGGTGTCTAAACCCAATCCGGTGAGAGTTGAAACTTTTTCTTGTCTAAATACTTTGTTTTCTTCCCATGAATTTGTAGAAGTGCTGGCCAAGTGAGTGAAAAAGTTTTGTTTACACCCGACTAGAACGGACACCCGATGGTACGGACAGCATGCAGCTAGCTAAATCACAGGCAAAAATAAATTACAGTTAATTTATTACTTGAATCTTCTTCTTCGGGGCAACCTTGTGATTTTTTCCACCATTTATTCTCCAGCTGCTTAAGGAAAGAACTTTCGTGAAAACGTAGAATGGCAAGTGTGAACAGGCGGGTGTGCAGATCATTCTCTTGCAAGGCAAGAGCAAGTCCTTTGGCTTTGTTTAGACCTGAAACTTAATGTTAAAACATTGTTGAGAATTGGGGGGTAGTGAATAGTGCAATTCAAATAAAACTATTCAGCAGTGCGGATCCAGACCTTTACTTACTAGGGGGGGTTTGGGGTGTGCGGTCTTCCACACCCTGAGATATGGGGGGGGGCTCGTCTCCAAGAAGGGCCCCTCCCCTGGATCCGCCACTGTTGAGTAAAGTACCAATTCCACAAGAGATGAACGATGACGCAGGGATTATCAACGTTTTCATAACAAATAATACGAAAGGGAGCTCGAATATTTATATAATAAAGATTAAAGCGAGGGAAAAGGCTAAAAAGCAGATCCCGATTGGTTTTTCTCTTTGCTAGCGATTTATACCAGAGCTAGCTAGCGGAGAACTATAGCTGAGAAATCTGGTGTCTCACGCATTTTATTGCCTGTCTGCCCATACCTTCGGTGGTAAGCACCACCGCACCTCAAGAAAACCAGTTTTGGGTGACACAGTTGTGTAGAAAAGAGACCATGTTGAAATATATAGACATGTCACTCTTTTGTAGACTATTATTCTTTAGTGATATACGCTAGCTTCGGTGCTCTATCAATATTAATATTAGGCCATTTCCAAGTTCCAAAAACTCTCACTTTCAAAACGAGGCCAAAACCTTACTTGTCAAAATCTGTTTTAGTGCATGAGAGTAACAAATCATTTTCATATCAAAGGCTTCCCACTAAGCCTCGCTTTGAAACAGAGGCTTGGGCAATTCGGCAATGGCCTATTGACCAATTAAGTTAGAATATGAATATGTTATGCATGAAGACTGATACTGAGGTCGTCGCCTTTTCTCTTAACTCGTCCGCTGGCCGATCTAAAGATTCCTCATTGATTTGCTAGTTCAATTTTTTTCATTTTTTATCTTCAATCATCAGTTTTATTGTTTTGTTTTTGTTTTTAATTTCTGATCAAGTGAATTTTTTTGCAATTATTGTGAAGGGTTAGTATTTAAACAGTTTTTCTGGCTTTAAACAATTTGATATCATACCGTAAAATTCCGAAAATAAGCCCCGGGGCTTATATGTTTCAAGGCCTTTTTTGAGGGGCTTATTTTTGGAGGGGCTTATATTCGGAGGGGCCTATCTATGGAGGGAACATTTCGCTTCAAAATCGAGTGGGCTAGCCTTACAGTTGGAAGGAAATTTACCGTTTTTGCTTTGTTTTACTTTGTATTTGAGGGCAATTCCCGAGTACAAGCCCCCGGGGCGGGGCTTATATATGGAGGGGCGATTCAAAGGACGGTTTTTTTACGTTATAAGTTTGGGGGAGCTTATATTTGGAGGGGCTTATACATGGAGGGGCTTATTTTCGGAATTTTACGGTAACTAATTTCTGTCAAAACCAAGAGAGAATCAGTTCTTGTTAATACCTATTGTCAGATCACATGGTGGCTGGTGTGCAGCGTATCTCAGAACGGGCCCATCTTGAATAAGCACAAACTGCTCCACGTTTCTTGTCAGCTCAACACCTTCACTTACACTGTGGACTTCGGTGTTGTACTCCTCAATTCTCTGCCATATCGCTTTATGCATTTCGTATTCGCTTTTCCTGAGTGTTTCTGATACACTTGACGATTGTATTACCCCCACTTTATAAGCAGACTTAGCAACGTCCTCAAGGCTCTTTATGGGAGTTTCCGCACTTTTTACAGTAAAAAAGGCTGCCAGATTAGCGGTGTATGAAGAGACTAAGATGAGGACACAGAACCAATAGCTTCCTGTTAGAATTCGTCCTAGATGATAAAGCAGCAGCATTATAGTGTTCAGTTGAAATGATTAAGTAAAGAATAAAGGGGAAGAGAAAGAATATTGGAGCGTTGGCCGGGGCGTTATGCCCATTGTGATTTTTTTAAAATAATAGTAATAATAATAATGATAATAATAATAATAATACGACTACGATCAGCCTTGCTGTGTCTCAGAGGAACCAGGAGAAAGAAAAGAGCAGTCAATATATCTGACATTGACATTACATCGGAAAGTGCGCAAGCCAGAATTTAAGTAGTAACTTTTTATCAGTCTGAATTATTTTTAGATAGTTTTATTTTTTTATTAACTTTTTGATGCTTTTTATAATTGTTATTAGTAGTCTTTAGATAGTCATTTTACGACAATTCTCTTTCGTACACAAGGAGAATGTACGTAGGGTATATATTTTAATATTCATATTCTTGAATCTGTAAATAGTCTATTTTTTTTTTGAATCTATGAATAAAGTTATTTTATTATTATTAAAAAAATTACTATTTTTAATAATAATAATAATAATAACAATAGTAACAGAGTTTCAGAAGATTGTCCTCCTTGGGACTGCTCGCATACTTAGGAGGTTCACTATCAATCAAGTAATCCACGAGAGATGACTGCCCTAAGTTCATGGTCTCAACTAGCCTCCGTAAGAGGAAAAAGCACGACACCAAAGCCAAAGAATTAATAATAATAATAATAATAATAATCAATAAATAAATAGATAAACGGGTAGGTTTGGAAGTTTTGGCAGACAAGGTGCGCTACTTCTGCTGCTAGGTTTAGCAATGTCTAAGCCCAACTAGCTCACTCCTTGTTTAAGTGGTTCTACATGTGTACCTGACAAATTTCTTGGCGTATTTTGGGAGGCTTGTCGGAGCATACAAGCCACAGTGAACCAGACACTGTCGTACAAGCTCAATTTATCGTTAGTCCCTAGATATTCACAAGGACTGAAGTAGTTGATTAAAAACAATGCAATGGAAATGACAATCAAGCTGAACAGAGTAGCTGTCCAAACATCTCTGTGAAACGGATGCATAAATTGCAGAAGACCAATTGATCCTTCTGAATGTTGCTTCTTTACGAGCATTTCTTCAGTGTAGAACATGAATGGAATGCTGAAATCCACAACTTCCTCACGACTTTCTGTGACGGTCAAATCTGATATAATCATATCCGCATTCTTTGAACGAAAAAAAGAAAAGAAAAACAAAATGACTGGTAGTGTATGAGCCATAAAACAAGGCTAAATTTAATTTACATCTCAAAGGAGTTTATAATGGATACGCCACCCTAAATTTAAAGTTAAACAAAAGGAAAATTTTACGTCGGTAACTCATGCATATGTATAACGGTCGTATAAGACTGACAAAGCTGAGACCGAGGGTACGCTCAATTTACCCCCTCTCTCCATCAGTGCTCCGTTTTACCAAACCTCCTGCACGGAATCAAAGGCCGCGCGCACTTCCGACTGAGCAAATCCTTGCTCATTTAAAAGATCATGGCCAGTTGCAACTAACTCCAACTTTAAAGTTTCCTAGATTAGCACTAACTAAATGTCATTTTAGTAACAGCAAGAATAGCAAGGCAAAAGGCAAAACAAAAATTTTAGCCAAAAGATGATGATACCTCTCTAAATTTGACTTGACAACGAAATTTATTTTTGTTTTTGTTTGTTTGTTTATTAAAAATAATTACTTGTTTTTGCTTTATTTCTTTGCTTTTTCATCAAACTTCATGACAATCACCTAAAGGTGGATTTCCACTGCCGCGTAATTTTAACGTGCGTAGTGCGTAGAATTTATGTTCGCAAATAAAATAGAGGCAAAGTATGAAAGGTCGCACGTAAAGGTAAAAGTTGAACCTCTCTTAACCTCACGTTTAAGCTCACTCTTTATGTCTTGAATTGCGTCTATTCTATTTACGCGAGTAAAATTTACGTGTACGCACAAATTGCGCGACAGTGGAAATCCAACCTAGGTGTGTCGTACAATTTTGGCGAAATTCACAACAGTCGAGATTCATTGTCGAAAGTCACAGCGTTCATTAACCCTATTCAGACCCGGCTTTTATTTTACTTCCTCCGACCAAGGGGGCCTCGAAGCCCGCCCCCTATAATTTCAACACCGCTCATGCTACGTCCACCAAAATTACACATAATAATGTACCCATCATTTCCAAATCCTGGGCATGATTTGATTGACACAATGACGGAATATGACGTCATATTGAGTTTATTGGCAGAAACCAAATTTCCATCAAACTAGACATAAAGCGAGAAATACTTAAAAATTAAATAGTAAGGTGTCTGATAAAATCAGGAAGATGGAAAACACATATGTTAAATAATCTTAAACAGTAGCAATGATGTCATGATGACGTTAAATCAGGCAGCTGCTCACAAACCTTACTGATCAACTCGCCAATCATCCCATTCCAAGATCCGTTTTCCGTCTCAGCGCCGTACAGTCCATCAGGGGATGTATAGACCTCATAGCTAAACTTGAGTATTCTTGCCAATTCATCTAACAGATCCATACAATAACCTTCATATGACTCAGTGCCATCATCACTGACTTTTCTCATGACGTACGGTGCTGCCTTATGGTTCATAAAGAGAAAAAAAAAATAACAGCTAGGCATTTAGTAAACTTTCGGCAGTTATAGCCATTGGGAAACAGCCAAAAACTAGAAATAAAAAAATAGAAGTAAATAAAAAAAAAAAAATGGAAAAGAATTGTCGGCCCAGGAATTAAAGGAGAGTGAAACGGATTTCGGTTTACCCAAAGGTTTCTTAAAGTTCATTGCTTTCGCTTGTAACGTTTGTTATGATGATTTTTTCAGGAGACGTTTGTTTGCATTAGCATTGTTTACAATTTCTCTTGGGACCACTTTAATACCCAGGAGAAATAAAAAACAAAGGTTATGCAAAGCTTTTTTTTTAAGGGAAACAAGGCACGTTATGCTCCTTGCACCTATCCCGTAATCAAGGTGACCGTTGGGAATAAGTAGCCTGAGCATCTGGCTTTTATTATTCCCATAATGCCTACGAAACGCATAAGCTTAGGTCAAAAGGGACACAGTCAGCTATGGGGCCGCGCTGACCTGGACGCTACTTTTTCCCGTTTGAAAAGCGTTTATCTCAACCCGAAATCAAATCATTCGATCCCGATTTTTTTTTTTCTGAAAACCTCTTTCTGAGCAAACTTTTACTCATCCTAAAACATTATTTTATTATATTTGGTTAAACACAGTATGCAAAGGAACATGAAAAGAGGAGGTGTAGGCTCCGGACGGGAGAAATCGTCTTCGTTCCAAAATAACAAGAGAAATGAATCAACAACATTGCAGAGAAAATCATCGTTATAAATAGTTGGAAACTTGATGGAGGAAGGTTACATATATTTGGAAAAATCAAGCTGTCTCGGCCTTGAATAAGACTTCGTGTCATTTCTTACCTCTGCTGATTCTTCAAATTCGAAAATATTCGTCGATGTTTGGCTTTCTCTGGAGAAGTCCATCGCTGAATTCTCAAATGGCATACAAAAAAATGAGTGCCCTGATATGACTTTGGGTCTATAATGACGATTTTGGCTTGCAATCGAGATCAACTCCTCAAGGTTTGTTTAGATATTTGGGATGTGCTACTCCCTTTCTGTTTGACGCGCGTGCCTTGTGAGGTACGTAATGCGCATGTGCATCAGCTGACTGTGTCCCTGTAAAGGCAAAAACATGAGCTGTAGTTCCCATATTTATCCCCTTTCATTTCTTACCCTACCTCCGCAACTACAACTTTAAACTTTCTTCCTTCTATTCCTCTGGGTGTCGATAAGCTTTGTTTGTTCTGTAGAATCTTGTCAAACAGAACCACTCCTGGTCTAGTTAACTGACTCCACGTACCTATCTGCGGACAAGTAAACAAACCTGCGATGTTAATGAAAATGACAACAAAAATTCACTAACGCAAAATGTTTCGCCTGTGAAAATGGCGGACATTTCACGACTGGCTTCCCCGAGAACAAGCGCAGAAATTCCTTACTGATGACGCGTCATTACCCAGATCTGGGTAGTACTTCTGATTGGCTGAAGTAAATTTCACACGCGAAATGACCCAGATATGCGTAAGACGCATCATTAGCATGGAATTTCTGCGCTCGTTTCGCGGACGTTATTTTCCTAGGAAACCAGTAGTGGCGTCGCGAAATGTCGGCTGTTTTCTCAGGCTACCAAATTTTCAACGCAAAGCAAATACAAAAGTAAAGTGGTAAAAGAAACATAAACTTGGCTGTGTAAGTACACATTGTTATTTTTATTTGTAATGGTGACCCCAAGTTGGCTAATGATGGCAGTTGTGAGAATGAAGCAGTACTGTACTGTACTGGTCATACATTTGAAATTTTACAATTTCACTATTATAAAATTATATATTATTCGAAAATAGATTCACTTGTTTGGAACAAACGCTTTCCGGCATTTTTAGGGACATACCTTTTCAAACGAATTATTTCTCAGGTTTAGAACTTCCATTTCAAATCCATTTCGTTTCCCATCCTTATCGAATTGGACGTTTCCCGTAACACCTTCTACATGAACCTGTTGGAAAATAAGATAAAAACACGGTAGGAAAAAAGTCCTGTAAAACAAACATGGAATTATTCTTGCTTGGTTCTAGTCAATTTAGCAAGAAAGTTAACACAAATTACTCTCGTTGATCGGTGTAGCGGCTTCAAAAGTAGACTACCGAGGTTTAATACAGAAAGTGTGATTCAAGCACTGCAGGCGGTAGTTTTTCCGATATCCGAATAGCGAGAAGTGGGAAGTGGGTTGAGCAATGCGTCGCAGCCAAGTTTTCAAAGACCGACTTCCAGTTCGTATAGCGACGTAAAACGTCTCAAATAAGCAATGATTCTTGAAGAAATTCAAAGCTAAATTTCGAATGATTTGTTAGTTCTTGGTATAAAAAATCTTAAGCTTCTTCCTGGATGTGTCTTTTTTTGTTTATCTTCGTGATCGTGAGTAACTGATAGAAATGAGAAGGTGCTATTCAAAACCACCAAACGGAAAGTTTGATAGCGCATTTACTAAGCTTAGTTTGCTTTCATTCCTCAAGGAAAGCCACTCATAAAAATACTTTTAAATTCTGCCCTCAATACGCACCTTCTTCAAGCAACTAGCCATTTTATTTCTTTCGTTCTGGCCAATGTTAATACCATTCATAGAGGAACAAGGTTCGTGGCTCACCGCTTGAGAGAGTACCAGAGCGCTATCGTATGCGTAGCCAGTCTCCTGAGAATAATACAACGGCCATTTTTGTTAGATAAAGCTAGATGACAGATATCAAAAAAGAAATTCCTCCCTTTTCGAAAGTTACTAAGAAATGTCTAAACCGTCTTTTCCTTTCGTGATATTTCCAGTGCATTTCGTTCCGTAATTTTTTGGATTTTTTTTGGATGACTTAACAGTATTTGTATACTGCATAAAGTTTCCTTGTTGTTTCACTAAGTAATGGTTTAAGGTGGCTCGACTGGATTTTTTGGGGTTGATACCTCCCAACTTTGAGCATTAACTACGTCGGGATGAGTAAAGATATGGAAAAAAGGTTACCACAACTGTATTATATAAAGATGAAAATTTCTTATGATCTGGGTTTTATTGCAATCAGAGTCGCCATGGCAACGTAATGACGCCATTATGTTTTTCATTTATCTTTGTGTTTCTCTGTTCCAGGAGTTTTTTGAAGAAATCGCTTAAGGGAGTATGTACCTGCTATAATTGTCTCCATTAAGGCAAAGTTTGAACAAATTCTATGAGAGCGTTTTCGAAATATTTCGAAATGTAGTTTTAAGAATAATGAAAACAGTGAAATAGCATGCTACCTACACAATTCGCTAATATTTCAAGAAAATGGTAAGGTTTGGGAACGAGGCTTCACCTCATAGTGATTTGATTCCATTGAAAACTGCATACAAAAAAAGAGGGGAATTGCTCTGGGCGATCGCGAGTAAGAAGAATTTTATTAACTTGCATTCAGTTGCTTTTGATAGAGCTTTTGGACGTAATTTGGTCCATGCCTAAAAATTTCGCATTTTTTCAAAAACCGCTCGATAAATTTTTTTATAAATTCGACAATCCCGAGATCAATCGTCAAGATAAATTCCCTACAAGTTTCAAGAACATTGAAAATAGGGAAGGCTTTTAAATAGGGCCTCAAATATAACCAATTTTCCACCCAGATTTTGTGTTGACAACTGAGCGTCCTCATTATTCACTGGCATTGTTTTCAAGTTTCATATGCACGTGCACAACTAGCAAAAGATATAAATTTGCATCAAAAAGAATTCTCGATTACTTTCCGAAGAAATATCCTGAATATGATAACAATTGGCTTGTCGTCGCAGATAGCAGTGAGAGCCGAAACGGTGAAAGTCACGGCTCATCGTGTAGGATGGAATACTTAATTATCTTACTCGGGTTATAACATCACAGAAACTCTCACAAAGAGTTGCTCTGATGTTATAATGTATCATTAATCGCTTTACCCGGTAATTAGCATATCCCGGAGATTTAACCGAGGGTCCTTTTTGATGCAAATTTATATCCTTTGCTAGTTGTGCACGTGCATATGAAACTTGAAAACAATGCCAGTGAATAATGAGGACGCTCAGTTGTAAACACAAAATCTTGGTGGAAAATTGGTTATATTTGAGGCCCTATTTAAAAGCCTTCCCTATTTTCAATGTTCTTGAAACTTGTAGGGAATATATCTTGACAATTGATCTGGGGATTGTCGAATTTATAAAAAAATTTATCGAGCGGTTTTTGAAAAAATGCGAAATTTTTAGGCATGGACCAAATTACGTCCAAAAGCTCTATCAAAAGCAACTGAATGCAAGTTAATAAAATTCTTCTTACTCGCGATCGCCCAGAGCAATTCCCCTCTTTTTTTGTATGCAGTTTTCAATGGAGTCAAATCACTATGAGATGAAGCCTCGTTCCCAAACCTTACCATTTTCTTGAAATATTAGCGAATTGTGTAGGTAGCATGCTATTTCACTGTTTTGATTATTCTTAAAACTACATTTCAAAATATTTCGAAAACGCTCTCATAGAATTTGTTCAAACTACGCCATAATGGAGGCAATTATAGCAGGTACATACTCCCTTAAGCGATTTCTTCAAAAAACTCCTGGAACAGAGAAACACAAAGATAAATGAAAAACGTAATGGCGTCATTACGTTGCCATGGCGACTCCGATTGTAATAAAACCCAGATCATAAGAAATTTTCATCTTTATCTAATACAGTTGTGGTAACCTTTTTTCCATATCTTTACTCATGCAGACGTAGTTAATGCTCAAAGTTGGGAGGTATCAACCCCAAAAATCCAGTCGAGCCACCTTAAATATTGTTTTTATGAAATTTTGTATACTTTTACGCAGGTTTTTCATGTTTTATGCAAAAGGAAATAGGCCATGATATAATCTGAAAGAGACCAAGAGGGAATCATACGTATTATAGGGAAGCTTAACCAAAGGCGTTTTTGAGCGACGCACGTCAACCGGAAGTGGGGTCTTTTTCATTTTAAATCACCTTGACGTTACCAAATGTGCCTTTCTAAGTTCTTTACCATATTATCTGGCCAAACATTTGGGAAAACCACAGTCCAAAAATGAAAAAAAAAAGGTCACTTTCAGCTGACGTGCATCGCTCAAAAACGTCTTTGCTTAATTAAGCTCACTCTGGGAAGGTATGCAACTCAATCAACCTACTTTATTGATAAAAGTATAGTTATTTTCTGAGTTAGACGGTCTGACGTTGTCGAATTTGCAAGGGAGCCTCATAGATACAACCACACTACTTGGCAGACAGCTCAAGTTTAACGGAACCTGTGGCACAAAACATGAAATCTATCACAATTGAATTGGATGTCGAAACATTTTTTTTTAGTAACATAGAAGGGAGTGTTTAGGCAAAAACCTACTACCCTATTACCCTGTACTATTCCATACACACCAAACCAAAATACGTTATCAACTTGCTTTGGGTTCAGCTTCACCGTTAGAATGTGAGTTTACCAATTTTTTTGTAAATCAATGATTTCTTCTTCAGAACCGTTTATGTTGTCGCGGCTGGGCGAAGTGTAACGTCATACGTCATTGGTGTCGAGCCATTTATGGGACAGCATGAATTCTATTTTAAGATAAAAACATACTTCTAGCGAAATTAAAAGTTAAACGTATAGTTGAAATTTTATCATGTTACTGACTGACAGCCTGGCAGAATTAATCTATGCTGCCCTCTTTTGCGCACGTCTTAAAACATAATCAGTTCTGGTTTCATGACATAAATCAAATTAAAGCATTTGCTTCTCTTTAATTTTAACAAGTCTGGGGATTAATTCATCTTAGGAATAGAAGCTAAATTCATTTTTACATACCTCTCCCTGAAGTATCCATATATGATCATGCTTCTCGAACAATGATTCCATCTGCCAGTTCAGAACAAAAAATTCAGAGAAGCACTGACAACGAGCTTACATTCATAGAGTACAAAAGAATGGCCGGAATACTTAGAGAATTTTAAGAGAGATAAAAAAGTGAATGTATGAAAAGATAATTATGATAATGAGGAGATTTATGGTTTATTAAATTCAATTTCATTTTATAATGATGATAATATCGATTATGACAATAAGGATGATATAGAAGTTAGTATAGTTAAATTATGTGTGTCATTCGAAAAAAAAAGAAAACTTCTTTCTCAAAAACACAACATTTGAGGCCTAATGAAAAAGGTTAAAATTTGAATACCTGTTGTAGTGTGTTTTCCATTTTGTCTTTGTTAGTGTACAGAAGTAACACTTGTGGATCAATACCCTTTATCTGCTCTGTAATACTCGACATTGCCTTCGTTCCATCATAAGCATCTTGTTCATCGGATATCTGAATGTACCTTACAGAAAGGCTTGAGCTTTGAGATATGGAGTAGAAATAAGCAGCCTCGTGTAAACGATTCTCTATTAAAACAAATAATTAGCAATGACTTCAGTATCATTTCATCTCAAATCTGCACGCAATATTACAAAAAAAAAAAAAATCAAAGATTACTATTTGAACTTTGTACCTTCAAATACTAATGTGACCTTTTCCCAGTTGAATCTACTGATTATGTCAAGTGAAGCACGCGCGTAGGCTTTGTGTCCAACCATCATCTGTACCGTCTTTTTGCACTTTTTGTCTCCATGGAGACAGACAAGAGGAATCCCGGTCACTGTTGATAGTGCGCATGCGGAATTCTTTGTTTCGCTTCCTTCGATGAGTGCAATTACGTTTTGTTGAAGTAATATCGCAGCTGAAAGATAACGCGATCCAAAATTTAATATGACAATGACAATAAGTATGACAATAAATATGATCATGTTAGTACGAACCGCGGTAGGAGATGGGGTGATAGGGAGATAGCCTTACCAAATTTATTTGTCTCGTGGGCTATATGCATATCACATCGACACTGTCCAAAATAATCTTGAAAACACTTTCAATGGCTGCGCGCCATGTTGGACAAAACAAACTTAAGGAGACAGCCTCTCAGTTTCTGTGACGTCTATTGTGTGCATTGCACTCTTATAATCATGACAGAGACATAGCACACATTGCTTTGAATACAATAAGGAAACTAAACAAAAAAATTTGGTGCCAGGGAATGTTTGTATTAACGTATTTGCATTTACGCGTATAGCTTATTCCGTACATTACCTTGGTCAACTAAGTTCTTATCTTTTGAAATGGTGAACCTTCTTACAACTATGGTAACGTTCCTTAGATTCGACGTTTTTTCGACGGCTGAGTTTATGGCTTTATAACTCGATGAACATCCATTGACAACACCTGCATGAGAAAAAAAAAAACAAAACGAAAAAACCAACAACTAAAAGAAACTTAAAAAGAAAACGAAAGTAAACAACAAAGCCAAGAATAAAAACATTTATCTGCTAGTAGAACACTGTAAATTAAAAAGATCTGTTTCAGCCCCAAAGTGTCAATTCAGCTCTTCAGGCCAAAGTCTGGTTCAGCCCTTCCTGGAGCCATTTGAGCACAATTTAGGCCAAAAAAGCTCAATCAAAAGGCTATTCCAGCCCACGGTAGGGCCCATTTCAGCCCTGGAACCAAATCAGCCCTAGCTAATTGGACTGTATTAGCCCTGATTTAAGGGAGCCAAATTAGACAAAAAAATAGGACTGTATTTTACTCACCGAAACGGCCCTGTTTTTAGGGCTAAAACAGATCTTTCTGATTTAGAGTGAAGAAAAAACGGAATATTCTTGAATTTATTTTAACTAATAACGAGGTTCACTGTCGTTTATTGCTTTTTTACCAAACAACAAAAAAGGTCCCAAAAGAAAGAACATATTCGAGCAAACATAATGAAAGATCCAACTCAACAAATAAATGCAAGTTCGCCAATTTCAGACGTTCGCCCCCCTCCATCTAAACGCTTGAAACAAGGCGGCTTGAATTTATTTGTTGAGTTGGATCTTGGGGCCAAGATAATGAAATAACGGAGCCTCCCCTAAAAAGGAGACCAGTCTGGGAGTGGCCCAACCTTTTTTTGACCCCTGAGAGAACATTTTAAACTTTTAATTAATAACAGGAATCGAGTAAATAAACGAATTGAAAACAGGTAATTTTTTAATACTTATTCGCGTTCAAACCTAAAAGAGACCTTTAAGGCTTAATATAACAGCTTTTTGTCCAGAAAACCCTAAGTGAGACCAAAATCCGAAATTTACACCCCTAAGCGAGAAGAAGAGCATCCCCGCCCCCTTTCATATGGGAGTCCCACCCCAGAAGTCCACTATAGTGGGCTGGTATAGCTGATGGAATAAGCCCCTTTTAATAGCACACCAAAACCTCCCTCGCAAATATTGTTAACTGGAAAGCACTGAATTACTTACCCAATGTAAATATTCTTCTGCTCCGTGTTTCTGTCGTTTGTAACAACCATGTCATAAACAGAGCGTAAAAAGTTCTTCGTTCCATAATTACTTTTTTCTGAGGATAAGCAAATAAAGATTTTGTCTACAGAACAGTCACATCATATTAGAATGTAAAAGTATTGGCAAAGTCTTATAAATTGAAATCGTTGATTGAATGGATTTCACTACCACTGACATCGATTTTTCTTGCATTCCTTCTCAGCAAACCTATCTACAAGGTTCTTAGATGAGCCAATTCATTTGAAAGTCACATGATGAACCCAAAGAAGATTTAACTTTCTTTGTTGGTGGAATAATAATAATAAAAAAAAATCAACAACAACAACACTGCAGCATATGTGTTGTAAACTTAAAACTTTACATTTGTTTTACTCATTTTGAAGTGATTATATAAATGTGAAATATTCTTTGGCTAAACTCGATAGTGTAAATTGTTGTCTATGTTAAGTTGTTCACATGTTTCATCACACCAGTCTTCATCAAAGCAAATATAAAAAGAAAAAAACCAAGCCTTTTATCTTCTCTATTCTTTTCTCTTTTTTTTTTAACCCATTTCTTCTTTTTGAGAACTCAAGCTGAGATCTCCAGCCTGATTACCTTTCTTTGTTTCCATAAAGGAAAAATAACTTGTGCTGGAAGAAATATGTTTTTTTTTTCGTTCTGCTGGCTAAGCAAAGAACGTATTTCACCTTGAAAGTGATAGACAAGCATAGAGAACAAGAAAAAGATAAGAAATCTCACAGCCATTGAAAAATTTTCATCGAATCGCGCATGCTTATTTATTGCTTGTTATCCTTTTTTTTGTAAGTTGAAGCCTTCTACCAGCCGAAATTTTAGACAAAAAATTCCATTTTTCTATATTTTCCTGATATTCAAAGACATTTACAGTCATTCGTAGTGCCTTGTAGTTCCCTAGCTACTATACCTCTAAAAAATAAAATTATTTATTACTAGTGAACTCTAGTTAGGTGCAGTATATAAGAGATCGTTTTTCAAAATAATTAAAAGCTGATTGCTAATATATGCCCAGCAACTTACCCTATATTCTTTCCATCGTCCATGTATTTGAAATTTGACCCTTAAACAAATCTTCTTCAGTTATCCATATAAACTATGGTTTCCACATAAAAGATAACATCTGTCGTGTAATGTGGCAAGATATAATTGGAAAAATTGAACCTTTGAAGAGACAATGGAGTAGCCAACACGACTGTTAAACCCCCAGAGGGTTTAATGACCTGGATGTATGTGAGTGCAATGCATGGTAATCAAGCCTATGAATTCATTTCTTTACAGTTCTCCTTTCTACCCTTAATCTGCATCAGAAAAACACAAAAACGAAATCAATTTTTTTAAAAAATGGGTAAAGTGGGGTAAATGAAAATTTGAATTTTTTTTTTATAAGGCATCAACAAACTCTGTTAATCATCCATTCATACAGTTTAAGGGAGATCGACGAATTTTCGCCCAGGTACTGGCCCCATGGGCGACTTATATTTTATTAAGGAAACTGGCAGACATTATTGAAAGCATATTCACTGACTTACCAAATAATTTTGACAAAGAATATATACCAGGCGCTTTTCCTTTTTAAAATCTCCATTATCAACATACGCTACAATGGAAGCTACGTGAAAACAATGAAGCACATTGCGTGCCAAACACATTTCTAAGTGACCTACCAGTGCGAGAATCATTAAAAAAAGAAATGCAGATGATTCCTTCGTGTAGGTTTCGTACATCGGTTGCATTGACCGATCTATTAATGAAAGACCCGAATAGAATTCCGGGCTTTCAAATTTAATCCACGACCCGTATATAATGTCTCTATGACTTTTTATCAAGCGTGTAATTGTGACTAACTGGCCAGAACATGTTAATAATATTTCGTTTGGGATTTCTACCATATTCAGCCCTCGGTAGTGAACTGGAACGAGCGGCTGTGGGGGATATCTTTCATTATAAATACATGTAAAGTGAAAAGTGTTTACAAGCTCAAAACTCAACCGCAACCTATTCCTTGCCTATTGTTGAAAATACGACAGGTAACTTTTGCACAGTGAGTCATTCTCTATCACCTTTTTTTAATTTAAAAAATCAACTAAGTGTTAAGTACAAGTGTCATTCACCCTATTTTATATGCCTACACTAAGCTGTTAAATTAACAAATGATCCCGCTTTGCATCTAGCCTTTGAAAGGTAAGGCATTATTTAACATGTTCTTTCAGTTACACTGTATGAAGAGTCTTCAAATCGAGTGTTGAACAGTATATAAAAAGTCCTTTAAACAGAGGAATGCACGAAGAAGTGTGTTTCTTCGATTTATTTCCGTCTCTAGCTTCTCTAAACGTGCTTATGTCACGTAAACTTGTCCTAAGTCAATGTAATTGGAAGGAACTCCCCTTGAAGCTAAAAGAAAGCTCTAGGAAATGAAACTTATCAGAAAATTATTGGAAAAATTCAGTTGGACCCTTACATGTTCAGAGTTCATGTTCAACACCTTTTCATGTTTGACATTGCAAAGTTGCATCAGAGACATCTTACTTGCTTGCGCTTTTTACATCTTACATTCAAACTTGTCTATTCTCTAAAATATCAAGGATAGATAGATGCTTCAAAATATTAAAGACATCAAAATCTTTTAAATTATACGTTATTGGTTTACTGTGAAATGGGTGGATAATCTTGTTATTCTCAAAAAAATAATACTTAGCGAAAAGGAGCCTTAAACTGATCTAATTTTCAGGAAAATGCTTAACCAAAATGACCTCTGTACATGGTGTTGTAAAATGTCGTCTGAATATATACCGCCGTCTCCCATCTTAACCCACCTTCAAAAAGAATTGCAAATCTTCAAACGCCATTTTGGAATAGTTATCGTCGTCAAATATGTTAGTAAATTTAATTTAATTAGTCTGATTGCGACATCTCACGGTTTCTTCACATTGTGCGAATTAAAAATGCTGTTTTCCAAACTTTACAATCGAGTTCGTGGTCACAAACACAAAATAAAACTTGTTGATTCGGTATGGATGTCAATTATTCCTCGCTGACAAGTCTCTACAATTGTTTGAAACCATTTTCTTGTTAAATTTGAACAGCTCCAGGGTACCGTTCCTATGTAGGTGGGTCCCTAACGTATTTTCATTGTTAATTTTAAATTATAATAATCGTCTTAAGTAGCTTTACAGCCTTAAAATCATCCTATAAGTAACCCCAAAGAAATTTTCTCTCGGAAGTTGTCCACTCTTTGGCAAACTTAATAGGCAACCCAGCACAACAGGAAGGAATATGGCACTTAAAATATTCATCAAATTGAAAACTGTGCATAATATAGAGTGTATGAATTAAATAGAACCACCAGTTTTAGCTGGTTGGGTGAAACAACAAAGGAATAATTTAGCTTAGCTTAATACCCTCCCTTATTTTAATACATGGTTCATTGATTGACTCAAAAGACGGAAACTGCCAGTTGGAAATAAAAACAAAATTTATTTTATTTTAGGTGTTACCGAAAGAAGCTGTTTTCTTGGTGTTACGCTGTATGATTTGCTTGTGATTAGTTTGAATAGTTATGATTAGTAGTTCCACGAGTTAGTTTAACCTACTTATTGCACCGTGCACCTAGAAGCACGATAATGTCCAGTTGGGTAGACTGATTTCTCCCAACTCTTAAAAATAAATACCTTTGTTATGTCTATTTCTAAGGACTGCTGATGGCAAAGAAAATGTTCTTGGCTTTGTTTATAATAACATCAAGTTTTGTCAAGGTTCAGACGGAGAGAAGAACATTAACTTACGGTAAGTTACATCCCGCTATCTCAAGGGGAAAAAATATTGTCTAACTAGCATCATCATAGGATGAAAAGATTGTTTATTCCGGAGTGTTTTCGGTATAAATGTGTTGAAATGTATCTTAGGTACTTTATTTTATTTATTTATTTTGTTTTGTTTTGTGATCAATAATTAAATAACTTGAAGTGTAACTTGAAGCAGACACGAAGCGTCCTCCCGCCTCTACATGGGCTGATGAATTGAATTATCGTTGCTCTGAGCTAAGAATTCCAGTCAAACGATTCATAAATCTGCACTAGTTAAAACTCTTTCTTCTAAAACCATTGTCGTTCTTCTTTTTGCAGTTACTATTCATGAGCTTTCAATAGAGAAGAAAGTGGTTGACCTTGCTGTCAACGATAGTTCTATTGTTAAAAATGTTTCAGTTGTGTTGAAAAGGGTCAGCCATAATGACAATATCGCTTTATTAAACCAAGGTAAGATATGAGGGGGTAAGAAAGTAAATAAATAAGCACACATGTCAGCAAGTAAAGATTTCATGTAACTACTCATTTTTTTACATTGTCAAATCTCTTCCCTTGAAAAATTATCATCATCATCATCTAGCCTCCTAATAATAATGATAATAATAAGAACTTTATTAATCTCCTCAAAAAGGCTTTCAGCTTAATTTACAATGTCAAATATCTAAAACTTAGTTTTCCAAAAATACCCTTAAAAAATGCTGTTCTATTTTTACTTTAAATACATCTAAATTAGTGATAGATTGAAGCTCGTCTGGGAAACTATTCCACAGCTTTTGGCATCTGAAGATAAAAGCGCGCTGACCTGCAGCCGTCCTACAGAGTGGTATTTGTAGGCGGTCCCTTGTGCACTTCCGATCTGGTTTTAAACTTCTGACAAAGATATGGAGGTGCAAGTCCATTTAAGCACTTAAATACGCCTCTTACGCAGGCGTTTTCAGAGGATGCTCAGCCGAAGACAACATTCCTTTCCCAAGCTCAGCCAATCACGTTGTACTTTCCAAATTCCGGAAAGCTGACCTTGACCGTAGGGTTACCTGATAATTAAGCGATCTGCATGAAACTTTGAGAAACCTTCATGACCTGTAATAATTGTTAGACTAAGAGCGGCAAAAATAAGATTTACTCAGTCAGATTTTAGAATATATTCTCCGTGCACTGCACAACCTTAGCGAAGGAAAGAAAAGAAGGAAAAAGGTAACTCCCCCGAGCTCCCCTAAAAACGCCTGCGTGGATGGCTACATCATCATCATCATCATCATCATCATTATCGTTATCATTATGATTACTATTTTTGATCCTTTTTTCAGCTTTAGTGTTTGTGCAAGAAGATGTCATTGCGCTGATCGAGGGAAGCCATATTAATAAGTCTGACACTTGCGCACTGTCTGCAGTAACTGGTATTCCTGTTATCAGCCTCAGTAGAGACACTAGACCAATTAATGAATGTACAAAATCAGTCCAAATGCATCCAGGATACAAGACTTTCGCTCATGCTACTCTAGACGTCTTAAACACATTTAAGTGGGAAAAGATAGCACTACTTTACGACGGTAAAACTAATCTAACGGATTTTATTTTATGAAAGAACTGTGTATAATTGTCAGCCGCATAAGGTTGCATTTTTTTTGTTCTGTTTTGTTTTAATTTGCCTCTTATCGTCTACCACATAATGCATACAAAATACTTTCCAATTTTGTTTCCCGGTTCGGCATAAAGAAAGGGTATTCACACTGACGCAATGTTACAAATGGGGCAAAATAAAATTTAGTTCGCAATTTAAATGACTTTTTTATTGTCTATTGTTCATTTAATTATCTGAATTATTATTTTCTTTCCAGCGGATCGCTTGCAGGAAGCTGGCTACTTCTACTTCATCTCCCAGGGATCTGAGCTCACCGTGACTTTTGTTCCGATTCCTGAGAAACAGAAAGTGGAGGACAAAACCAAACCAATAGCAACGGCAATGAATCAAATAGAAAAGCTTGAACTGGACGTTATTTTACTTTATACTAAAAAGGAAAATGTGGAACTGTTTTTGAAACAGGTAAAAATCCTCCCCTTAACTATTAATGGTGACACTAACTTTGAAACTATGTAAATGAGTACCTGCAATAAAAGTTACCTCTTGTAACCGGCATGCGATTGAAACCTGCCTCTAAAATCATGCATATTTATCTAGCATTAAATTCTGAATTTCTTTAATGAGTTGTAAATTACCTTGTTCGGCTACCTTTTTTTATCTTTCAACATGATCTACCTTTGCTTCTGTAGAAGAGATGCGAAAATATGAAGGGCTATAAATGGATACTTCAAGGACAGGTTTGTTAATGTCCTAAAAAAGAAAAGTTTATAAATTTCAGTGAGACTATTTCAGCGAAAAAAAGATGAATCCTTATTATCCACTAATTATAGTTATTATAATAAATTCAACATGTTGTAAATATTTCTTCATTGTCAGGAATGTTCCATACAAGTGGCTGCCAACTAAGGATGCACTTTCAGGCCTTTTTTGTAAGAGGGGCTTTGCCAGAGCCTTTTACAGGAACATTTTGTATCCAATGGATGAGTTTTAGTGACAAAATAAGATTTATCTGATCCATGACCCAATTTTTGAGCAAATTAACGACGTCTGGCGAAATGAGTTGTCTTTTTAAGCGTACGTAGTTTTAGAAAATAAAGATAATCGGAGGGCAGACGTTCATTTTTAAGCATTTTCTTTCACTGCAGGTACCAGGAAACCTAAGTAGTCGACCAGTACATGTGGTTTTAACATTCAAGCTTCCGTATAATGAGAAACTGGCTCCCAAAGAACTGCTCTCTATCAACCATTCTCAAAAGGTAGGAAAACAAATCTGCAAATAGTCGAATTCAGCTAAATTTATTCAGCCATTCAAACATTCAAACAAACAATATTTTCCAGACTTGTGTCTATATAATAAATAACAATTATTTTTCCTTTTGAGGTAAAATCCACGACTAGCCACCGATACTGAGGTGAATAATTGTTTTAGAACAAAAAAATGAATTTTTAACTCAAATACTGTTCCATGAATATTCGACTATTGTTTTTAACTTCGGCTTTTTTTGTATTTAAAATCGATTTCTAAATTTAGTTTTAACTTAATGAACAATTTTAAAGTAAAAACTTAAACTTAATTTGCATTTGTAAACAAAAACTTTTTTTCACTGGTTTATATAATCAAAAGACAAAAGTTAAAAAATATTTCATTTGAAACAGGAATTAGTTTGCTTTGTTTGTTTGCCATTTTGCTCATTACGCGAGTTTGGCGTCGTGCTCGGAGGAAAGTGAAATGAATAGTGCAGGACTCGAAAAAAAAATCCACTGGAATCATGTTTATCAATAAACTGCTCGGCAGTGCAAGTAATCAAGCAGACTTAGAAAGACAATAAAACACTGTTTTCATGCATGACAAAGGTAAGCTAATTTCTTTGATTTGTCAATATTTTTCTTTATTTGTATATGAACTCATATTTTTCGGTTTTCCGAGTGTTTCAATGTGTTTTCAATAGGTTTTGATGTTGTTGTAGTCGATTATCTTTTTTTGGTTCTCATGTTTTTTTATTTTGTTTGTTCCTCGAACTAATAGGTGTTTCTTAATTTTTTTTTTCCTTCTTTTTGATATTTAAACTGATGGCATAGCCAACATCCGTTTACTTTACCACAATAATGGAGAAATTTATAGAAACATTTAGAGCCATGTTTACCGCAAACGGCAAACGCAAATTTGTGCCACGTGACCAAGTTTTCCCTTTTCTTGTATTTAACTATTCTTTACTTCTACAAAAAAAGTAGTAGTTTCACAATTTTTTGCATTCATAAGAATTGAACTGTTTTTATCCGCCCATATTCTATTTTGAGAAATCTTAACTCGAGTCTGCCGTTAATTTGGCGTTTGCCGTGATGCATGACTCTAGATCTCTCTGTTATGAGATAGATAGATTAAGTGCTTAGATGGTTTAATTATGAAAATCACTTTACATTGCAGCCATTGCAGCTGATTACGTAATTTTACAATGAATATATTCATCTAAAAATGATATACTAAGACTAGACTTGTTTAATCTATGAAATATGAAATACATCCAAGATTCCAATGAATTTTTTTTTTAAAGTTGAATCCGTTGGTAGTTGTAGATTTCAGGTCGTCATCTCTACATTCTTGCATGCGTAATGAGCTGTAAGCGAGGCAGTTAATATGAAATTTCTACCTGCTCAGTTTCCCTGAATTGATGTAATTGTCTTCAAGGCAATTTTATCCATTCAAAGATTTTCGATCAAATACAAAAACGTTCTCGTAGAATATTCACACAGGAATACGTATTTGAATTTGACATTAGTTACACGAAACATTAACGGATTCATTTTTCAAATAATCAATTCATTAATAGAATCTTAGGGGGTACGCTTTTCCTGCCTTAACTTAACGTGAAACAATATTGCATTTTTAGCACATCGAATGTATAAGTTGTGGTTCAGTTTTATCCTTGGTTTAAATTTTATTTCCCTTTGATTTAAGGTAAGCAACATTACCATACCCAAAAAACAGGGGGAAATAATATTTGAACCAAGGATACAATTGAATCACAACATATATCAACAGGTAACCTTTGATGGTGTAACAGGACCTGTCAGATTTAGCCAGGATGGAAAGAGAGCAGGAGCACAACTGGAAATCTTGAATCTGAGAAACGGTTCATTTAGAAAAGTAAGTACCAAGATCAAGTGCATGGTCAACAAGTTACTTCACAGTGGGCATATAGGAAGCCAAAAAGTGCATCGTATGAACTGCTTTTGCATTTTTTATTTGTTTGAGCTCAAACTTTGCATGATGGTAGAAATTTGTATTGCAAAATATCCTATGCTTTTGTTTTTCGAATTCAACGTTTTTTTAGCGGAAAAATGACGTCACAAGATTGACAGCAAAATTAAAATTTCCAGATATGGTAAACAAATATATAATTTTTAAAAAAGCGCGACGCGATAGAATAAAACGTGAACGATTTTTTGCCCTGTGCACACGGAGAGTGCAAAAACAAAGTAACACTTCGCAGTGGTAGCAATTTGTTCATGTTACCCAGTGACCAAAACTGAAATACGTTAGCGAACAGGCTGGAATATCGATTGTTAATTTAACTTCAAATTAAAGAGAAATTACTTAGTACTGTTAGCATTTACTTCAAGGAATGTATCGCCACTGCATAAATGAATCACCTTCCTTTTTTAATTTATGCCTTTATACTACTACATGAGAAATTTCTGCAATTAGATTGCCTCAGAGCAATGGTATTTCAGCTCAATTTGAAATAATGTACATGTGAAAATTACAAAACCTTTGAGGGTAGTAGTATAAACAAATTATGCCATGATTTGTACGTGACATTTGCCATAAATACTACCCATGATATTTCAAAATTGTCATATAACAATTTCGAAATATCACTCGTGGTATTTATGCCAAATATCATTACAAATCATGCTATTACCTATACAAATTATGCCCATAACCATTTTTCATTCTAGAACAAAATTTCATTTTCAGTAGTGGATGCAAAACTGAAAAGTAACATTTCCAGAGCTTGCTTTATTTTATTCTATTTTATTCCGGCTTTATTTATTTTTGTTCTGTTAGGTAGGGTCTTGGAATTCAAGTGAGAAAGCTGTTATGTTTGAAAATATCCACTCTAATATGTATGACGCAGACAAATTTAAAGGACGCACAATGGAAGGAAAAATTCTCAGAGTTGTTGTTTCAGAGGTAATATATATACAAGCACAATGTGCTGCGTAAATGTTCCTCAAACGACTATCTTGGGCCCTCCGTGACCGGAGAGAGAAGTAAATTTAGTCGAACACAAATCAGCTGAGGTGAAAACGATTTGAGACTCGATTTGGAAAACTGTCCGCACCTACCACTGAAAAGAATCCTGGCAAGTACAGTACCAATAGTGTAAATGCCTTGATAGTGAAGTTAACTTTATGCAGTAAGCTACTGTACATCGCCTCGTTTCCAGTCCCTCCCATTAATTAACTTTTAATAACTTTATGACGTCACAACGAGACGGCAATTCAGACATTGGGGTGAATTTTGTACAATTCTTTTCATTTTTAAAGTTAAGTGTGGACCTTTTTAAAAACTTGTTTTAAAATGTCAACTAAATCAAAGGCCATAGTTTTAGAGAGAATTTGTGATCTGAAGAAAACATTCTAAAATGATACTGTATTAAAGGTATGTTATATATGAGGTGTGTAACTAGTGTAATATCCGTGACAGTATCTGCTTAAAGAGTTTTTAAAAACTCTTACATAAACACAGGATGAGCCATTTGTCATGCTCAAACGACAGGAAGATGGACTTGTTGCATATGAAGGATACTGCATTGATCTGCTAAACGAACTTGCCAAAACACTGCATTTCACTTATAATATCAAACCTTCTCCCGACGGGTTTTTCGGCGTCGAAACGATAAATGGATCCTGGAATGGAATGATAGGAGAACTACTAAACAAGGTAAGAAACAAAAAACAAACTCTCCCAGATCGAGGTGCCCGACAGGTGCCCCATTTCTCTTAGGAAACTTTCCATGGGCACTAAAAGATGCATGGAGGCATCATTCTTTTATAAAAACGGAAATTGAAGTGCAACGCATGATCCTCGAGATACAAAAGATCAAACGTTGGGGCATCTAAAATTAATTGTTCGACAGTCGTTCTTACTAGAAGGCACCAAACACATAAATCACACCTGCTGAGAAGTTACATCGTCTTATTCAATGAGGGAAAATCCCTTTACTAAAAATTATAAATTAAATAATCTTTGGTTAATTTTTGACAGTATCTAATAAGTGGAAGGCTGACTGTGACCGTTTCTCTGACGTATTTTTCTTTTTCATCTCTAAAGCGTGCAGACATTGCCGGAGCTCTGACCATCACTGAAGGCCGAGAAAAAGTGGTAGACTTCGCTGTTCCCTTCATGTATTTCACTGAAGATATGCTACTCAAGAAAACATCATTCAACAACGGGTCGATTGATTTTCTAAAGTTCTTAAATCCTTTTCACAGCGACGTTTGGTTTGCTTCTCTGGCCACCCTGGTAGTGATTTCCGTTTCAACTTTTGTGATAAACTACTTGAGCCCATACGGTTACAAAGGTGCAAATGGCCGAGGGACCTCTGAGGAGTTTAGTTTCTTTAACAGCGTGTGGTTTGCATTGGCTTGCATGCTGCAGCAAGGGTCTGAGAACCAGCCACGATGCCTGTCAGGTGCTTTGGAGATGTTGTTTGTTCGCATTCGAAACACAGTCGATGTTCGGAAAATAAAATTTGCTTTTTAATAATGGTCCTAGCTATTAATTCACAATATCGATAGGTCTTATGCTACTCTAGAGTCAGTAATAATTGCATAGTTTTATGTTAAGTACCTTTTTCGTTTTTCGCTTTTATAGGTCGCATTCTTACCGGGTGTTATTGGTTTTGCATTCTTGTCTGGGTTTCAACATACACTGCAAATCTCGCTGCATTTTTGACTGTGAAAAATGCCGTGGCTCCCATCAATAACCTGGAAGACGTAATAGCATCATCCTATCAAGTCACCACACTAGATTCAGGAAGTATCTACGAGTTTTTCAAGACGAGCAAATATCAAACTCACCGACAGATTTGGCACAGAATTCAAGCTGGCAAATCTTTTGTTCGAAACGTAAATGAGGCTGTTCAGTTGATTCGTGAAAAGGATGACCGTGTGTTTATTTATGATGGACCTGTTATTCGACATATTGCCAACAAGCCACCCTGCGATCTAACAACAGGTAATTAGGTTTAATCTAGAACACTGCAATGTGAACGTGAGTAGAAGTGAATTTTTTTTTTTTTTAATAAATAAATAAATAAAACGCGATCGGAAGTGTTAAGGGGTTAGGACGGGACCAAGGTGGCTAGATTTGTTTGTTTTTGATTTGTTTCTGTTGTGCGAGTTTTGTTACGCTCTTTTATGCACTTATTGTCGGAGCCAAAGGGCCGGGAAACTATTTTGAAATATGACAACCTCCCTTATATCTGTTTCATACTCTTTCATTAATTTACAGTGTAGTGTTTTGGTTTCCTGGAATGGATTGTCGCGCGCGGTGCAGCCCGAGCGGCCAATAGGCAGTTGGGGCAATTTGGCATTTCAGTATTTGGGCACATGGAACTTACTGCAATGATTTGCTTGAGTGGCCACCAAACAATAGCTACCATTGCGCAATTCCTCACAATGCCCAAAGCAACCTTCCTTGAATCAACTATTTATCAGTAGACAATGTTCTGCAATTTTTAAAATTGCACACGGAACCATGCCTTGCCTGAACTGGATCAAAGGAATGATCAAAATTTTCAAAAAATTTAACATTTCTTTTTTTTTTTTAAGTTAATACAGTCAAATCTCTCTAAGACGGACACCTTTGGGACCGGCACTAAGTCTCCGTCCTAGAGAGGTGTCCGTCTTATGGAGAGTCAAATAAAGGGGGTAAAGAAAGGCAGGGACCAACTCTAAGAGTCCGTTTTAAAGAGGTGTCCGTCTTATAGAGGTGTCCGCTAAGAGAGAGTCGACTGTATTCTGCCTTTTTATGGGAAAAAAGTGCAAAACATGCTAAACTGATGAATGAAAAACTCTCTCAGTGCCAGGTTTAACCAACGTGAGAGGAGTTGGTCTCGCTTTTCAAGCGAATGATCCTTATGTCACAGATTTTACACTGGCCATTTTGCGTTTCCAAGAGAACGGTTTCCTAGCAAACCTGGAACGTAAATGGTGGGAATCTTCCTCTGGATGCCCTAAAGAACAAGACACAGGTAAAATAATTTAGTGTGCTTAATCCTCACAGGGATTTGACGTGGCTAAACACTTCTCTAAAATTGCGTTATCCTTTAATATGTACGATATTAGAATTAATCGTTGACTTTTTTTCCAATTAACGATCCACAACCTATCAAACTGGAAACCATATTCAAGAGCAGCTTTAGATGCGGTTTCCAAATTTGCATGTTTAAGAAATAAAGGCCCGCCAAAGCATAGTGAATGGCCTGACGACTATTAGAGGGAGATATAGCCATGCTATTAAGAAAACCCGGTATGAAAGTTGGAATTATCCATTTTCACACTGCCCCTGGCAATAATACACCCTGACGCCCACCCTGACCATAATCACCATGTTTCTGCTGCTGGATTTTTCCTGGTGTACCTACATCGTGATTGAACGCTTCATTCGCAAATGTAGCGTCCCAACTGTACAATGGAACCACGATATAAGGAGCCTCTCTATAACGAAGTTCATAGTATAATGAACATTTTTCTTTACCCCGGTAACAGTAAGTAAAATATATGAAAAAGGCCCCCGATATAACGAAACCTCGTTAAAGTAGCGAACAAATTTACCAGTTCCTTGGCCATTCGTTATAACGGGTTTCCACTGTATTTTTGATGTTCACGAATTTTTTTTTTGCATGTATTCGTTGAAGTGTTGTCAGGAAAACGAATCAACTTAACAAGTATGGCGGGAGTATATGTTGTCTTGGGCGTTGGACTGGTTGTGGCATACTTAGTGCTGATTGCAGAAATTATCTGGAAACGAAAATAGAAGATGAAGGCGAAGGTTAAAGGTCAGTTAGGCAACGACAAAATTTAAATTTTCCGCTTTATACCAGAGTAATACCGATAATCTCTCATTTAATTCAGAAAAGTCCATCTGTAGTTACAGTGCCGCCCCCCCCCAAAGATTATTTGCGTTTGCCCGTGTAACTTACAACATAAATTAAATAAAAACACGTTTCTTGGCGTTGAGTTAACTCGTCTTTGTTCTATTGTCTGCAGGCTTCAATTCCCTCAGCGACAGAAACTGAATGGAACCTTACTACCGACGCTGGAGAGACGATCAATGAATGCATGAATACGACATTTAGTTGCCTGCAAGGATATGGGGATTTGAGCTACTCACGAACAAAAAAATATCAAGCGCAATTACGTTGGTTTAATTTCAAAAACCGAAACGGGAAAGTCAGACAGTACATAAACAATAACCTAGTGCGGTGAAATAATTACAGTCAAACCCCGCTTTAAGTAAACCCCCTTAATTAATATGGAAACCTCATTGTAACGGACAGTTTGCTTTGTCCCTGGGAAAAGAAAGCCCTTACGTTACACGAACACCCCGTTAATATGTCCACTTTTTTTGGCTTCCTCATTGTCTTTATCAACGGGGTTTGACTTAGCCTGAGAAACAGACGACATTTTATGACACGTCACTTCCTAGATCTGGGTAGTGCTTCTGATTGGTTGAAGCTAATTTCCCAAGCGGCACGACCAATCAGAAGCATTACCCAGATCTGGGTAGTGACGCGTCATCAGTATGGAATTTCTGCGCTCGTTGCTCAGACGTCATTTCGCGGGCAAACCGTTGGTGGCGTCGCGAAATGTCGTCTGTTTTCTCAGTGTACGTTTGACTGTACTAATATTATCTCCCTTCAGTCGGCAAGAGTGTTTTGTTGCCAGTAAATGTCCACCTGGCCGTTAAAACTGAGTATTCTGTTATCTATTGTCGGCTTCTCGGTTGTTCTTCTCTTGTTGTACCCTTTTCTGGCAATAGACTTCACTGTCGACGTTATTGTACGTATCTAATAGGGACCTTACGAAACCACGATGACGACGGCAACGGGAACGTCAAAAATCAGTAGGTTTAATGCGCAAAACAACAACTCTGCACTTGTATCATGCTTTTATTGTACATTGCTTTGCCTTCACTGCACAACTACGACGTGAAATGACCAAATTTTAAGTTTACTTGGAAAGGGGAACGGCAAGGCGACAAATTCTACCATCTCTGTCTGAACTCGGGCGCGTTCCCCTCTTTTCAGCCGCAGCCAAAATCCACTTCTTTTAAATAACAGGGCGAAGTGGGATAAACGCGAAAAAGTTTAAAAGGATGCGAGGTCTATTTTCAGTGACGTTTTCATGGACGTCGCCGTTGTCGGATCGTAAGATCTTTAATATCGCAAACGTCCTCCAAATTTGGTCAATGTTAGCTGGTTATGAAGAAGTAGCCGGAGAATTTGAGCCAATGAGAAACGGGGGTGTATTTTGAATGAATAATAATACGTTTTAAACATGGCCTATAACTTTCATAGGATGCCCTCAGATTCGCATTTCCATGATCATGAGTTCGCAGCTATAGGCATTCCAGTCACTCTTTCGCACGTATAATATAGTTAAGTAGTCACTCTGTGGGACGAGCTGCAACAAGGATATATGTCACTCACTAAATTGATTTCATATAAATAAATCCTTTACTTAACTGTATTTTCTAATATATTGTGTAAAACGTTTTTCGAGCATTTCCTTGTAGGCTTTAATTCCCTATTCAGGTAATTATATATCTTGACATCGCCATAAGACTAGAATCTAAGCTCCCGATAAATACTGACATCTGTTACTTAATTGAAGCAATAAACTTTAAGCCATTGCAAAGACACTGGCGGTCTTTTCTCTTAAAGATACTTCATTCTTGTGAACTGCTTTTTAACTGTGAAGCAAATAAAAGCTTTGAGGTATTTAAGACTTATATTGACCGATCTATTAATGAAAGACCCGAATAGAATGCTGGGCTTTTAGATTTAATCCACGACCCGCCAATATGCTTCAATTTCAAGAAGGCATTAAAAGGGGTTAAGGTGTAGTCTCAAATATAATATATATTAATGTCTCTATGACTTTTTATCAAGTGCATAATTGTGACTGACTAGCCAGAACATGTTAATAACATTTCGTTTGGGATTTCATGTCACCATATTCAGCCCTCGGTAGTGAACTGGAACGAGCGGCTGTGGGGGATATCGTTCATTATGTATACATTTCAAGTTGAAGTGTTTACACGCTCAAAACTCAACTGCAACCTATTCCTTGCCTATTGTTGAAAATACGACAGGTAACTTTTGCACAGTGATTCATTACCTATAACCTTTTCTTATCTAGAAAATTAAATAAGTGTTAAGTACAAGTGCCATTTAACCTATTTTATATGCCTATACTAACCTGTTAAATTTACAAATGATCGTGCTTTGAATCAGATAGCCTTTAAAAGTAAGCAGTATATAAAGAGCCCTTTGAACAGAGGAATGCACGAAGAAGTGTGTTTCTTCGCTTTATTTCGGTCTCTATCTTCTCCAAACGTACCTATGTCACCTTTTGTAGTCCCAAGTCAATGTCATTTGAGCGAACTCCGCTTGAAGCTACAAGGAAGCTTCAGGAAGCGAAACTTATTAGAAACCTTTTTGGAAAAATTGTTGGGTTCCTTACATATTCAGAATTCATGTTCAAAACCTAATGTCATGCTTGACATTGTAAAGTTGCATCAGAGACGTCTTACTTGCCTTGGCTTTTTACATTTTACTAGATTTTCTAAAATATCAAGGATACACTGTAGGTGCTTCAAAATATTGAAAACAACAAAATCTTCTAAATTAAACGTTATTAGTTTATGTACAAAAAAATTTTTATGTCTCTTTCTAAGGACTGCTGATGGCAAAGAAAATATTCTTCGTTTTGTTTACTATAACATTAAGTTTTGTCAAGGTTCAGACGGAGAGGAGAACATTAACTTACGGTAAGTTACATCCCGCTAACTCAAGGTGAATAATTAATAGGGAAATGTAATAGAACATTAACTTCCGGATCACCTGGAAGATTTTGAAGCAGGCTATCGCCTACAACCCCTCTTCCAAACGGTGTAATTTATGTCTGTGGGAGAAATATTTTATAATCTGTAACCCCATCTAGCCACTCTAAACAAGCGCAACGAGCAACAGTATTTTCGTGTAGACACGCTAGCAAATTTCTGCGAAAAATTTCAAGTGCTCTTCTGTTACATAACTGAACCCATAGAAACAGCATTGTTTCCGTAGTAACTGCATTTTAAATTTCGGTTATAATCCGCGTACTGTTTGTAATCTACCATTAGGCTATTTTATCTGAAGAGTGCTTCACCACCGTGTAGTACGAAACTATGAAGTAATAAAATGCCTAGGCAAATATTCAGTTGATAAAACATTATACTTCTGGTATTCTCGCTCTTTGACTAGTCCTTTTATTGAGCACTCTGACAGCACTTCTGCATCAGCTGAAATCAAGTATAATAGAAAATATATTTTTAAAAATACTAACTACGTACCATCATCATAAGATGAAGAGATTGTTTATTCTTGTTTTGAATATAAATGTATTGAAATATGTAGGTATTTTATTTTATTTATGTTTTCTTTTGTGATCAATAATTAAAAAAGAAATTTTAGGTGGGAGTTAAGCAGATACGAGGCGTCCTTCCGCCTTCTACATGGGGTGCATTCAATTATCGTTGCTCTAAAGCTAAGAATTCCAGTCAAACAATTCATAAATCTGCACTAGTTAAAACTCTTTTATCTAAAACCATTGTCGTTCTTCTTTTTACAGTTACTATTCGTGAGCATTCAATAGAGAAGAAAGTGATTGACCTTGCTGTCAACGATAGTTCTGCTTTTAAAAATGTTTCAGTTGTGTTGAAAAGGGTCAGCCATAATGACAATATCACTTTATTAAACCAAGGTAAGATATGAGGGGGTAAGAAAGTAAATAAATAAGCACACATGTCAGCAAGTAAAGATTTCGTGTAACTAACTCCATGTTTATTACATTAGTTAAAACCTCTTCCCTTGAAAAATATCATTATTATCATTATCATCATCACAATCATCATCGTCATCATCATCGTCATCATCATCATCATCATCATCACAATCATCATCATCATCATCATCATCATTATCGTTATCATTATCGTTATCATTATTACCATTTTTGTTCCTTTTTTTCTAGGTTTAAAGTTTGTACAAGAAGATGTCATTGTGCTGATCGAGGGAAGCCATATTAATACGTCTGACACCTGTGCACTGTCTGCAGTAACTGGTATTCCTGTTATCAGCCTCAGCAGAGACACCAGGCCAATTAATGAATGCAAAAAATCAGTCCAAATGCATCCAGGATACAAGACTTACGCACATGCTACTCTAGACATCGTAAACACATTTCAGTGGAAAAAGCTAGCACTACTTTATGATGGTAAAAACTTATCTTACGGATTTTATTTTACGAAAGAACTGTGTAGTTGTCAGGTGAATGAAATCGCGTTATTTTTTGGTTTGTTTGTTTTATTTGTTTTGTTTTTGTTTTTTGCTTTAAAATTTGCCTCTTATCGTCAATCACTTTCGGCATATAGAAAGGATATTCACACTGACTTTATGTTACAAATGGGGCAAAATAATATTTAGTTTGCAATTTATATGACTTTTATTTTTCTATTATTTATTTAAATATTATAATTTTTTCTTTCCAGCGGATCTCTTGAACAGAGCTGGATACTTCTACTTTATATCCCAGGCATCTGAGCTCACCGTGACTTTTGTTCCGATTCGTGAAAAAGAGGAAATGGAAGACAAAAGCAAACCAATAGCAACGGCAATGAACCAAATAGAAAAGATTGAATTGGACGTTATTTTACTATATACTAAAAAGGAAAATTTGGAACTGTTTTTGAAACAGGTAAAACTCCTCCTCTTAACTGTTAATGGTGACACTAACTTTGAAACTGTGTAAATGAGTACCTGCAATAAAAACTGCCTATTATAACCGCAATGCGATTGAAACCTGCTTCTAAAAGCATGCATATTTATCTAGCGTTAAATTCTGAGTTTCTTGAATGAGTTGTAAATTGCCTTGTGCGGCTTCCTATTTTATCTCAGTCGCTTTTCAACATGGTCATTGTTACCTTTGCTTCTGTAGAAGAGATGCGAAAATGTGAAGGGCTATAAATGGATACTTCAAGGACAGGTTTGCAAATTTCCTAAAAAAAGTTTATAAATTTCAGTGAGACTATTTCCGTGAAAAAAAGAGGAACCCTTTTCTATTCACTAATAAATTATAATTATCATAATAAATTGAACATGTTGTAGACATTTCTTCATCGTCATCAGGAATGTTTCATACAAGCGGCTGCCAACTAAGGATGCACTTTCAGGCCTTTTTTGTAAGAGAGGCTTTGCCAGTGTCTTTTGCAATAGAATTTTGTGTCCACTGGATCAGTTTTAATGACAAAATAAGATTAGCTAAGATTTATCTGATCCACGACCCAATTTTTGAGCAACTTTAAACGTCCGGTGAAATGAGTTGTCTTTAAAACGTACGTAGTCTTAGAAATTAGAGATAATCCGAGGGCAGACGTAATTATTATTTATGTTAAATATAATTCATTTTTAAGCAATTTATTTCACTACAGGTACCAGGAAACCTAACTAGTCGACCAGTGCATGTGGTTTTAGCATTCAAGCTTCCTTATATTGAGAATCTGGCTCCCAAAGAACTGCTCTCTACCAACGTTTCTCAAAAGGTAGGAATAAAAATCTGCAAATAATCGAATTCAGCTAAATTTATTTAGCCATTCAAACAAAAGAGGTTATGTAGTTTTCCTTTTGAAAAACATGTGTTAACCGGCATCGCACAATATAATATTTCGTGCAGGAACTTGCCGCCATTGCTCACGATGCAGTACAAGTAATCAAGCAGACTCAAAATATAGAAACATGTTTATCAATAAACTTCTCGGCTGTTACTTCTAAAGACCGTGAAACATTGCTTTCATGCATGACAAAGGTAAGCTAATTTCTTTGATTCGTCAATATTTTTCCCGGCTTTATTTATAGATTCGTACTTAATAGTATCGGTTTTACGAGTGTTTCAATGTGTTTTCAATATGTTTTGATGATATTGTAGTTTTTTTCTTTTTTTCTTGTGCTTGGTTTTGATTTTGTTTGTTCCTTGAAGTAATAGGTGTTTCTTAATTTTCCTCCTTCTTCTTGATATGAAAACTGATTGCTTATAACCAACTTTACCACGATACGTTGCCACGATAATGGAGAGATTAGAGCCACGTTTACGGCAAACGGCAAAGGTAAATTTGTGCCACTTGACCAAGTTTTCCCTTGTCTTGTATTTAACTGTTCTTTACTTCTACAAAAGAGTAGTAGTTTCACAATTGTTTGCATTCATAAGAATTGAACTGGTTTTATCTGCTCATTTTCGATTTTCAGAAATCTCAACTTGAATCGCTGCCGTTAATTTGCCTTTTGCCGTGACGCATGAACTTAGATCTCTCTGTTATGAAATAGATAGATTAAGAGATACTTAGATGGTTTATTAAAACCACATTACATATTGCAGCCATTAAAGCTGAATTACGTAATTTTACGATTAATATATTCATCTAAAACTTATATATTAAGATCTACTTGTTTAATATAACAAATATGAAATACAATTTACTTATCTAAAACTGTCAATAAAACACTTCCTAAATCAAAAAATATCTGTTAAAAATACAATTGAAACTAGATTCTAGGGAAAAAAATAGCTACTAAATTACGAAACATGGCAAAGATGGCCCAGCTCCTGACTATAAAGATCCTGAGAGCTTACGATGCGAAAAGGGGCCATTCCAGGACAGGTGATCATGGCGGACGAAACCTGCAGAGATTTTACCGTTGTAACTAGGCACCAAAACTGAAACTAAAAATCCTCCATCATCACGTCTGCATTGACTAATTGTCGAGAAAAACTAACTAAGGTTAAGTCAAGTACTTAAAGTCAAGCCAGGTCAAGTGCACCCCTTAAGATTTCATTAATGAAATTTTATTATTAAGGTTGAATCATTTGGTAGTTGTAGATTTTTTTTTATCCATTCAAAGATTTTCAATCTGATCAAATAAAGAGAAGTTCTCCTAAAATATTCACTGCTCATTGCTCATGCAGGAATGCCGATTTAAATTTGACACTAGTTAAAGGAACGACTAACGGATTCATTTTTCAAATATTAATCAATTCATTTATAGAATCTTAGAGGGTAGGCGTTTCCTGCCTTGACTGCAATATGATGCATGATATTGCATTTTTGAAAAACAAGCACATCGAATGTATAAGTTGCAGGAGGTTTCAGTTTTATCCTTGGTTTAAGTTTTATTTCCTTTTGTTTTAAACTCATTAGCATACATTACCATACCCAAAAACAAAGACCAAGGATAAAATTGAACCACAACATATATCAACAGGTAAACTTTGATGGTGTAACACGACCTGTCAGATTTAGCCAGGATGGAAAGAGAGCAGGAGTACGACTGGAAATCTTGAATCTGAGAAACGATTCCTTTAGGAAAGTAAGTACCAAGATCAAGTGCATAGTCAACAAGTTACTTTAAAGCAACTGACTGGCACTGTGCGCACGGAGAGTACAGAAACAAAGTAACACTTCTCAATGGTAGCAATTTGTTTATGTTATCCAGTGATCAACAAGTACGTAAGCAAACAGGCTGGAACATTATTTGTTAATATAACTTTAATTTGAAAAGAAATTACTAGGTACTGTTTAGCATTTACTTTAAGGAATGTATCCACCTCATAAATGAATCACTTTCCTTTTTCAGTTTATGCTTAAATTATGCCCATGACCATTTTTCATTCTAGAACAAAAATTTCATTTTCAGAAGCGCATGCAAAGAAAGTAACATTCCCGGAGCTTGCTTTATTTTATCTTATTTCATTTTATTTATTTTTGTTCTGTTAGGTAGGGTCTTGGAATTCAAGTAAGAAAGCTGTGATGTTTGAAAATATCCACCCTAATATGTATGACGCGGACAAATTTAAGGGAAGCACCCTGGAAGGAAAAATTCTCAGGGTTGTTGTTACAGAGGTACTATAAAAGCACAATGCATTGCGTAAATGTTCCTCAAACGACTATCTTGGGCTCTCCGTGACCGGAGAGAGAAGTAAATTTAGTCGAAGACAAATCAGCTTGGAAGAAATGACTTGAGACTCGATTTGGAAAACTGTACGCACAACTGAAAACAATCCTGACCAGCACAGTACAAGTAGTGCAATTGCCTTGATAATGACGTTAACTCTATGCAGTTAGTTATTGTAACATCGCCTCGTTTCCAGCGCCCCCCCCCCCAGTAATCAATGTTGAATAACTTTATGACGACACCATAACATGATGGCAATTCAGACATTGGGGTCAATTTGGAGGGGGTTCGTTTTTTGTAAAATTTTTTATATTTTGAAAGTGAAGTGTGGAACTTACGTTTAAAAACGTGTTTTCGAAAGGCCATAGATTTAAAATGATAGTATATTAAATGTATGTTTTATACGTTAGGTGTGTAGCTATTTCTAGTGTAATATCCATGAGACAATTCACTTAAAGATTTTTAAAAACTCTTACATAAACACAGAATGAGCCATTTGTCCTGCTCAAAAGACAGAAAGATGGACAGTTTGCATATGAAGGATACTGCATTGATCTGCTAAACGAACTTGCCAAAACACTTCATTTCACTTATCATACCACACCTTCTCCCGATGGGTTTTTCGGCGTCGAAACGACAAACGGATCCTGGAATGGAATGATAGGAGAACTACTAAACAAGGTTAGAAGCAAAAAAAAAACAAACAAACAAACAAACTCTCCCAGATCGAGGTGCCCTAGAGGTGCCGCATTTCTCTTTGAAACGTTCCTTGCGCATGCACACTAAAAGATGCATGGAGACATCATTCTTTTTATTAACTACAATTTTGAAATGAGGTGCCAAAAAAAGTGCAACGGATCCTCGAGATACAAAAGATAAAAACAATTATTTGACAGTCGTTCTAGAAGGCACCAAACAAATAACTCAAACAAGCTGAGAAGTTACATCATCTTATTCAATGAAGGTAAACCCCTTTAATGAAGATTACAAATTAAATAAACTTTGGTTAACCTTTGACAGTATCTAATAAGTGGAAGAAACTGTGACCGTTTCTCTGATGTATTTTTCTTTTTCATCTCTAAAGCGTGCAGACATTGCTGCTGCAGCTCTGACCATCACTGAAGAGCGAGAAAAAGTGGTAGACTTCGCTGTTCCCTTCATGTATTTCACTGAAGATATGCTACTCAAGAAAACATCATTCAACAACGGATCGATTGATTTTCTAAAGTTCTTAAATCCTTTTCACAGCGACGTTTGGTTTATTACTCTAGCCACTCTGGTAGTGATTTCTGTTTCAACTTTTGTGATAAACTACTTTAGCCCATACGGATACAAAGGTGCAAATGGTCGAGGGACCTCTGAAGAGTTTAGTTTCTTTAACAGTGTGTGGTTTGCATTGGCTTGCATGCTGCAGCAAGGATCTGATAGCCAACCACGATGCCTGTCAGGTACAGTAGACAGTAGAGATGTTACTCGCTCGCAGTCGAAACACAGTCGATGTTCGGAAAGGAAGTTTCGATCAGTCTTAATATACTGCTCTAATATCAGTGATAATTGCGTAGTTGCATGTAGTACCTTCTTCTTTTTTCCCTATTATAGGTCGCATTCTTACCGGGTGTTATTGGTTTTGCATTCTTGTCTGGGTTTCAACGTACACTGCAAATCTCGCCGCATTTTTGACTGTGAAAAATACCGTGGCTCCAATCAATAACCTGGAAGACCTAATAGCATCCTCTCATCAAGTCACCATACTAGATTCAGGAAGTCTCTACGAGTTTTTCAAGACGAGCAAATATCAAACTCACCGACAGATTTGGCACAGAATTCAAGCTGCCAACTCTTTTGTTCGAAGCATAAATGAGGCTGTTCAGTTCATTTGCGAAAAGGATGACCGTGTGTTTATTTGTGACGGACCTGTTATTCGACATATTGCCAACAAGCCACCCTGCGATCTAATAACGGGTAATTAGGTTTGATTCAGAACACTGCGATATGAACATATATATATATGTGAAATTTAAAATTTCTGAAAAACATATGTACATATATATAGAAGCCACCGGATGTGTTAGGGGTGTTGTTGTGTTAGGGGATTTGTTTGTTTTAACTTTAGTTTTTTTCAGTTGTTGCTTATAGTATGTTCAAGCCATTCTCAAGGAAAAGTGCGAGTTTTACTAGGCTACTTTATGCATTTATTGTCTGAGGCAGAGGGACGGGAAACAACCTCGCGTCTCTGTTTCATACACTTTGATTTAGAGTCTTGGTTTCCTGGAAAGGAAACAGATTACTGTCGCAGGCAATGCAGCCCGAGCGGCCAAAGGCAATTGGGACAATTCAGCATTTCACCATTAGGGCATACGGAACTTACTACAATGATTTCCTTGAGCTACCACCAAACAATAGCTTCCCAGTGCGCAATTCCTCACAATGGCCAAAGCGGCTTGCTTGAATTAGCTATACATCAGTAGACGGTGTTCTGCAATTTTAAAATTGCACACGGAGCCATGCCTTGCCTTAGCTGGATGAAAAATTCAACAATTTTTTTTTCACGTAAATATTCTACTTTTTTATGGGGAAAAAGTGCAAAATATGCTAAACTGATGAATGAAAAACTCTTTCAGTGCCAGGTTTAACCAACGTCAGAGGACTTGGCCTTGCTTTTCAAGCGAATGATCCTTATGTTACAGATTTTACACTGGCCATTTTGCGTTTCCAAGAGAATGGTTTCCTAAGAAACCTGGAACGCAAATGGTGGGAATCTTCCTCTGGATGCCCTAAAGAAAAAGACACAGGTAAAATAATTTAGTGTGCTTAATCCTCACAGGGATTTGAGGTGGCTAAACACATTTCTAAAATTGCGTTATCTAATATGTATGAATTGTTGACTTTTTTGGCAATTAACGATCCGTAACCTATCAAACTGGAAAACTTATTCAAGAGCAGCTGTAGATGAGGTTTCCAGATTTGCATGTTTAAGAAATAAAGGCACGCCAAAGCATAGTGAATGGCCTGACGACTATTAGGGGGAGATATTGCCCTGCTATGGATAAAACCCGGTATAAAAGTCGGAATTAATATCCATTTTCACACTGCCCATGGGCATAATACACCCTGATGCCCACCCTGAACATAATCATCTTGTTTCTGTTGCTGGATCTTTCCTGGTGTACATCGTGAGTAAGCGCTTCATTCGCAAATGTAACGTCTGAACTTTACAGTGGAACCACCATTATAACGAACCTCTCTATAACGAAGTCCATGGTATAACGAACACTTTTCTTTACCCCAGTAATAATACTAAGTAAAATATATAAAAAAGGCCCTCGATATAACGAAACCTCGTTATAGTAGCGAACAAACTTTGCCAGTGCCTCGGCCATTCGTTATAACCAGTTTCCATTGTATTTTTATATTTACGTTATAAATTTTGTAATTCTCGAACCTTCTTTGGTTTGCATGTATTCGTCGAAGTGTTGTCAACAAAGCGAATCAACTTAACAAGTATGGCGGGAGTATATGTTGTCTTGGGCGTTGGACTGGTTGTGGCATACCTAGTGCTGATCGCAGAAATTATCTGGAAACGAAAACAGGAGATGAAGGTTGAAGGTCAGTTAGGCAACGATAAAAATTCAAATTTCCTGCTTTTTACTGGAGTAATACCGGTAGTCTCCAATTTAATTCGGAACAGTCCATCTGTAGTTACAGTGCCGCCGCCCACCCCCGCCCAAGATTATTTACGTTTGCTCTTGGCGTTGACATAACTCTTCTTTGTCTGCAGGCTTCAATTCTCCCGGCCAAAGAAACTGAATAAAACCTTACAATAGCACTGAAGAGACGACCAATGAATGCACGAGTACGAAATTTAATTGCTTGAAAGGATATGGGGACTTGAGCTACTAAGTAACAAAAAGACATCAAGCGCAATTACGTTTATTTAATTTACAGAACCGAAAGGAGATCATCAGACACTTACAAGCAATAACCTAGTGCGGTAAAACCAGGGCAGGGGGCGGGGGGTACTGCCATATATGGGCTATATAGGTATGTGCCGCTGTGAAGGGTATGGTTTTCAAGCAGTTTACTCTAGGATAGGACATATAAATAGGAACATTTGGATCTAGAACAGGGTATCAGTTGGCTGAAGATTTTATCCAGACTAGGGAAACAGCTACTCTAGGATAGGGGGTATTTGGGGAGTTTACTCTAGTATAGGGTAGCAAAATTTAGTTGAACTAGCTCTGGTATAGGTTAAGGGTTCCAGGGTCCCAGCGGCACATCCCCACCCAGAAATTCCTAAAGTCCCCCCCGGGGGGGGGGGGTAAATAATTACAGTCAAACCCCACTTTATGTAAACCCGCTTAATATGGAAAACTCGTTATAACGGACAGTTTTCTTTGTCCCGAAAACCCAGTTAATACGGTATTTGACTGTATTTGACTGTATTAATATTTTCTCCCTTCAGTCGGCAAGTGTGTTTTGTTGACAGTAAATCACCACCTGGCTCTTAAAACTGAGTATTCTGTTATGGATTGTCGGCTTCTCGATTTCTCTACCCTTTTCTTCTGGAAATAGCCTGCACTCTTGATGTCATTGTATCTGATATCGCAAACGTCCTCCAAATTTGGTCAACGTTAGTTGGTTATGAAGAATTAGTCGGAGCATTTGAGCCAATAAGAAACGGGGAAATATTTTGAATGAATAATAATACGTTTTAAACATGGCCTATAACTTTCATAGGATGCCCTAAGATTGTTCAAAGATTTGCTTTTCCATGAGGAATAGGAGGAGTTTGCAGCTATAAGCATTCCAGTCACTCTTTCGCAAGTATAATATAGTTAACTAGTCACTATGTGGGACGAGCTGCAGCCAGGATACAAACTCATCAAATCGGTGACTACTTCCAAGCCTACTCTAAGAAGGCCCATTTGTTTTGATATTTCACTCACTAAATTGATTTTATATTAATTTATTTCCTTTACTTAGCTTCAGTTTGTAATATATTGTGTATTAAAGCTTTTTCGAGTATTGGTCGGCTTTACAGGAAATTCGTTGCTTTGCGTTGCGCTTTTTGCAAACTTCGAAGGGATTTTGGGTTTTTCTGTTCCGTCAATCATTTTAGTGAAGGCGGGGTTAATGCAAATCAAAATGTAACGTACACGTCCAGCTTGGCTGAGAATGACTCTAGACTGCTCAAGAATAGCGAAGGAAATCACGATGGCGAGTGGATTTTTTGTCGAAGGAAGGAGGCAGACGTTGCTTTATTCTAGCAAGTGACAAGAATGAGAAAGATTGTAAAAATATGCAAAGCAAACTTAACTAGTCAATAATTGCCCGAAACAGGACGATCACAAAGCAACGAACCTTGAAACATGAAATGAACAAAACGGATCGAAATCCACCAATCACGAATCACAAACCATGACCTTCTGAACTCGTGTAAGTAAATAAGTATTTCCTAAGAGGTCCGCTAAGATAATTGACGAAACAGCAAAAAGCAAAATATGCAAAACGCACAGCGCGATACAAAGAATTTCGCATACTGATTCCCTCTTGTAAGTAATTATACTTATTGACATCGCCAAGCCCAGAATCTAAGCTCCCTATAAATTATACTGACATTTTTTACTGAGGCAATAAACTCCTTAAAGCCGTTGCAAAGGCACTGGTCCTTTCTCTTAAAGTTACGTCAATCTCGTGAACTGATTTCTAACTGTGAAGCAAGGCTTAACAACAAGTGCTATCGAGTGTGGGTAATATTAGGAACTAGTTGGGTGACCAGCTAGGTACGCAGATTTCAATAAATTCATTAAATCTCTAATGTCCTGTATTGTTATCAGTCACGTACTCTGACTCATATTGTCCAAAATATTTGTTTGAATGAGGAGGAGGCGGAGGGGGGAGGGGAGGAGGGTTTACTACATGTGCCACTAAACTAAAATTCGCGAAAGGTTATGACAAGGCCATCCTTTTCAGAAATTCCTACTAAATTCCATTTTGTTGTAGTCTTTCCATTCCGGGAGGTATGAACTAAAGAGAATACCACTTACCATTTACTCTTTTCTCCGTTTCAGTATCGCCCTACTGCGCGCATGTCTAGTACAAATCGCTGGAAATAACTGAAACGAAATCGTTGCGAACCTTGACATGTCTATTTACTGTGCTATACTTAGGGAAAATCGTCTTGTGTAGTGTATTCAAGCCTTTTTAGACTCATAAGCATGAAAAGATTAGTATAAAGAGAAGTATATCCACCAAGCCCTGTAAGAAACGATAACTAATAAGAAACAATGACTTTCTAAACAATTTGCAGTCTGGTTTTCGGAGATCACATTTCACTGAGACAGCCCTCATTCGCTCAATTGATCATTAATTATCAGACACGGATAAAGATCATGTCAGTGGACTTGTGTTTGTTGACTACAAAAAGGCCTTTGACTTAATTGACCATGGCATCCTTTTACCAAAGCTTGAGGCATATGGTGTAGCATCCAAGGAACTCCTCCTACTTGAGAATTACTTAAACGATACGAGGAAATCAGTTGTTATGGACGGGGTGCAGTCTGAACACAGGCTAATAACACATGGCGTTCCCCAGTGATCAATCCTGGGCCCGCTCTCTTATTTATTATCTTTGTAAACGATCTTCCCCGTCAACCGTTGACATCTGTGCTGATGATACTACGTTAAGTGCCTCTGCTGCAGTTTCAGATCTACCCGCAGTACAGGATAAACAGGATAGCTGATTGGCCTTCTGAAAAAAAGGATGGTGCTGAATAAAAAGAGGACAGTGAAACTCAAAATGTATGTAACGTCAGCGAGATTGAGCACGTCACTTCACAGAAGCTACTTGGGGTAACATTAAAAAGACATCTAAATTTTACTGAACATATTGATGACCTTCGCAAGAAAGTGGCACAAAGGATTGCTGTACTTAAAAGTTGAAGCGTAATTTGCCCCTCGCATAGCGCAAGCTGTTTTTAATGCTTTGATTAAGCCCATAATGTTATATGGATCTTACGCATGGACCACGGCGACGGAAGAGAATGTGAAACGTGTATTTAAACTGCAAAAGCAGGCAGCTCGCGTAATTTTAGATGCAAATATAAGGGATAGGAGGACTGAAAGACCTTTTAGAAGGCTTGATTGGCTGCCGTTTAAGGACGAAGTAAATCTTCAAAAGTGTAGTGTAATATTTAGGCGCATAAGAAACGAAGATGACTGCCCAGACGACCTAATGAAACTATTTCCTAGAAACTCAGATCTCAGGAGTGACATCAGAGCTAGCCGTTATTTGGTATGTCCATTTAGTAACAGGGAACAGAAGGGGGCGTACTTTTAAAGTTCGTGGAGCTAAGCTGTGGAATGGGATTCCTCTTGACATGCGGAAGATAGCCACCGCTGGCTCGTTTAAGAATGTTCTTAAAATTTTTTTTTTTTTTCCTACTTCTTATGTGTATAATGTTTTCATATTTTTAAATTCTAATGTACATATCACTTTTTCTTATCTTAGTAGTTTTTATATTCGTAATTTAAGACTGAGGGCCACTAGTTCATCAGTTTTTCTGTCATCTGTCTAATGTACATTGTCTTTTTATCTTTTTATTCTAGCTTATTCTAATCTATACGTACATATCACTTTTTCTTATCTTGTACTATTTTTAAATTTTAATTCGTCGTGTTTATTTTATTAGTTCCAAATATTTCAATTACGATTGAGGGCCACTAGTTCATCAGTTTTTACTGTCATGTGTTACCGTCATTAAATAAAGTTGTTACCTTACGGTACCTAATTTGGCGGTAATGTCAATATTATTCACTTACTACTTGATAACTCAAACGGTCAAAATAATTAGGAGGATAAAAATTTCATATTTGTATCCTTGGTAGTGAACTGGGACGAGCTTGTTGTCGAGGTTATTGTGGTCCAGTATATCGTCGTTCAATATCCATGCATTTGAATAGAGTTACTTAATAGGCACGAGACTCAACCGCAATCTAGTCCTTGCCAATGCTGACAACTTCGAGCCAGGTAACTACTACACAGTACAGCGATTCATGATCCATTACCTTTTTTATATCTTTAAAATAGAACACGTGAATTAGCTATATTTTCATACGCCTAGCTCGTTAAATTAGTAAATGCACTCCTTTTCACCACGTAGATGTTGTTAGAAGGTAACGTATTACAGTAACTTTTATTATTTACAAAGCAAGAAGTGGGTTCTTGTTATAAAAACCGGTCCTTCAAAGTTAGTTTTTATTTTATCTTCTTCTTCCTACTATTATTATTATTATTCTTTTTTTTTTCTTTCTTTCATCGATTCATTTCTCTGACTGCTCCAAACATATTGGGCCAAATACTTACACGAAGTCTAACTTAAGCCGCGGTTTGAATGTCTAGATCTCTTCTTTGGTGGGTTGTTTTAAGAAGGTAAATTCTTTTCCAGTCTTCTCTATGTGCTTTCATAAAACTGTTACAATAAATGATGTTTCGATAAAATCGTTTGGCAAACTGAAAATGACTTAGAACGCGGTTTTGTTAAACACTGGCTAAACTACGTTTAATATTTGGCTCATGAAATAACTCCCAAACTCAAAGGAATTAATACCTCACCTACCTGGGGTCCCCCACCTTCACGTAAAACAGGCCCTAACTCGAATTTAATTATCAGGCCGTTGAAAATGGTTCTAAGCAAAGGGAAAATAAAAGTAGCTAGAATTCTCAGCATGATACATAATTTTCTAATCGCTGACTCATCAGTATCTAAAGCTTACATAAAAGTTTCGGTACTATTTGCGTGGCTAGAGTAACGACGGCTCAATTTCAATTTTAACATCGATTAAACTTAACCCTACTTCACAGAATTTTCAGAACTCTACGCGCCAAATGGTAAAGTTATCTACATGGTTTTATTATGTTAGCAATTTGTAGATATGTATAACTGGTGTAAATTGAAAAGTCCGATTTCAACATCTATTCAGTTTCTTCACAGCTGCATTGATGCAAAATTCAAAACTTTTGCTGGCAAGATTCGATCGTGTTGATGGACACGTACATAAAAAGGTTGTTGACTCACCGCGATGGATATTAATTAGTCCATTGACAAGTCTCTACAATCATTCTAACCAACTGTATTTACATATTTTTCAAATTAAGTCGAATAACACCTAACCAGGGTACCTTAATGAAGGCGGGTCATTATAACCGAATTATAAATTTCAAAATCCTAATATCGTGTTTATGAGATGATTAAGTTTTCGAAAACTACACAGGAAAACTAAGGACAACTGGGAGGAATCCCATAAATTTAATTAATATCATCGGATTGTAATTCTGCATGTGGAAGTAGAATAGAGTATAATTAAATAGAACCACCAGTTGGAGCTTGCTTGGTGGAATAGCAATGAGATGTCAACTTAGCCTACTTCTTATCCCTTGATTCAATATTTGATGAATTGTTGCCTTCAAAGAACAGAAATGAATGCAAATATCTACAGATGTATATCACGACAGAGAGATATCACGAAAAGATTTCGCTAAATTTGTTAACTTTACAACTACTACAGTGCTACTGGTAAAGGCATCGCTTTCTCACAAGTACGTTCGATTGCCGGTGCTGGCCTTGAAACACCGACATGCTCGTTGAGCAGACCCCTTGACATAAATCTTCTCTTTGTTTAATTTTAAGGATTGTGTTTTGGAGATGGCGAAGAAAACGTTTTTCGTTTTGTTTGTAATTTCGTCGAGTTTTGTTCAGGTAGAGACGAAGGAGAGGACATTCACCTATGGTAGGTTGCATCTGAATTAATATCTGACATGGTAACCTTAATGGCTTCAGTCCAACGCGCGCACCCTTAAATCTGCATTATAATCATGGCATGATTTATTTTCTCCCAATAGGTTCAATTCATGAGCGTTCAGTAGAGCGGGAAGTGATCGACATTGCAGTCAATAATAAATCTGTTTTTAAAAATGTTTCTGTTGTGGTGAAAAGGTTTAGCGTTACTGACGATACCACCTTATTCCACAAAGGTAAGATACTCGTGGGTACGCAAGTATGCAAGAACGTACGAAGGAAGGTAATAACTACTCCTTTTAAATTCAAAACCTCTTACTTAGAAAAAATGGCATCCGTTAAGTACTACTCAAGTCGTTAACCGTTTTCATCAAATTGAAGGCCTGGCTTCATTTAGCTTTGAATCTCCCTAGGCTAGGATTTTGGGGTTTTTTGATAAAGTGGGGGTGAGGCGAGGGGGGGCGCTAGGGGGTCAAGGGGGGATTCGCCCGTCCGATCATGCTGTTACAGTCACCAAATCAGTGGTGGAATAATTAACAATTAATGAATGAGGCTGAGTATCTTATGAAGAATTATGGAGATCGAGGAGGGTGTTATCTGTCGAGGCCGTAGGCCAAGGCGGATAACACCCTCCGAGATCTCCGTAATTCTTCGTAGGATACGAAAGCCGAAAATTCCATTATTGTTTTATTATTCATTCAAAATAATTCCTAGTTTAAAAACATGGCTAAAACATGCTTACCTCCATCGATCCATCGACGTTAAGTTCATCTTTGATAGTGCACGTTTAGGTTTGTCCAGCTCCGCAAATATTCTCCAAATAGCAGATGTCGCCCTTCGAGTTGTCTTTTTGCTGTTCTTGCCATGTTTTTAGCTATTTTTTCGCCTAGTTCTTACTCTTGAAACGAGTGAAATGTCCGCCATTTTTCAAGTTTACAACCAAAACAACTCAACCTCGTCCCCAAGTCTTCTCCTTTAACGCCTTAACCTGCACGAACGCTGCATTTTTGACGTTATTTCCTCGTTAAACGCCAAATTCTTCCAAATTTGGTCATCAGAAACTGGTTATGGTGAATTATGTGTGTGCTTTTAGCCAATCAGAATCGGGGGAATATTTTGAATGAATAATAATAGCTAAAATAAATATTCCCCTGATTCTGATTGGCTCAAAGCGCACACATAATTCACCATAACCAGTTTCTGATGACCAAATTTTGTGTAAAGTGATAAAATGTCGGACTCTGGCTTATTTATAGGCGTGATTATGAAGCCACATTGTTAAATTTATTAATTAAACTCTTATTTACTTATTGTTTCTTTTCCCTAAGAATAGGCGTATTATAAAATCGAAAAACACTTACAAAGAACGAGTGACGGTATGATGACATCCTTAATAAACGACGGAAATGGAAGAATCCGCCATCTTGGATTCGCCGTTTCGAAAATCGATATATTATTTTGTTTTTTAACTGGCACTTTATATATCGAGGTTATTAAAATTTTATTCATAACTATAACAAAATTGTCAAATCTGATGATTGGCTATCAACTGCCCTGATTTCAGCCTTAATTGGACAGTTTAATAGGAGAGTACGCGTCATGCCTAAGTAATTGGACAGTACGGGCCATCACCTTAAATGGCTTTTTTTTCACAGCTAGCAAAACAAAATTTCGAATTTCTTGTGTTTTGATTTAAAAAATAACCTATTATGTCACAAATTTTGTTAAAGTTATACTCGTGATTAAACAAATCGGACTCCCGCTACGCGTCGTCCAATTTTGTTAATCACTCGTATGATTACAGACCGATCGCGAATTGGACTCCACTCAGTCCTGTTACCATTACAAATTTATACTATTTGTGTATTAAAAGCTGTGTTAAATCAAGCAGTAAATTTACATGTACCAGTAATTTAATTCTGAGAGAAATAAACGTAATTCCTTTGTCATTTGGCCACCTTTCTTTTCTCCATTTTCTTTCTCAACCGAGTAGCTGAAGAGCCTGTATTATTTATTTAAAAAGGCTTTTAGTTAGATTATTTATTTATTTATTTATTTTTTTAAATATTGTAATTTTACCGGGTAATTTTACTGGTTTTTAATTTAGTTATTAATAATATTGTAATGTGCTTTTGAGTATTTTTATAGAAAAAGCGCAATATAAGTATCAAATATTATTATTATTATTATTACATTAACAGTTATAATAAATTCGATAAATAGATGTAAATAATAATATGATCTGGAAATCTGGGGGAAAACACTGCTGTCATAACCCGGCTGTCATGGTGACGTCAATGTTGACGTAGTGTTCACGTCACAAAGACTCGAGAAACGATAAAAATGTGTTAAACAGCGGCCTTGAAAGATTTTACGAAGTGCTATTCCTTCCCACATTTGTCCCCTTTGTTTGTTTGTTTGTTTTTTTCTTTATTTCCCCAGCTTCGGTGTTTTTTCAAGGAGATGTTATTGCACTGATCGAGGGAAGCCATATTAATACGTCAGACACTTGTGCACTGTCTGCAGTGACTGGTATTCCTGTTATCAGCCTCAGTAGAGACACCAGGCCAATCAGTAAATGTAAAAAATCAGTCCAAATGCATCCAGGATACAAGACGTACGCTCATGCTTCTCTAGACATCTTAAACACATTTCAGTGGAAAAAGATAGCATTACTTTACGACGGTAAAACTAATCTTGACGATTTCAGGGTGTAATATTTGCCTAATTATTATTTATTAATGTAAATTTTGAGTCACTTTGTATCATTTTATGTTTTCAGCGGATCTCTTGCAGGAAGCTGGATACTTCTACTCTATCTCCCAGGGATCTGAGCTCACCGTGACTTTTGTTCCGATTCCTAAGCAGAATGAACTGGAAGACAAAGCCCAAACAATATCAACAGCCATGAAGCTAATAGAAAAGCTTGAACTGGACGTTATTTTACTTTATACTCAAAAAGAAAATTTGGAACTGTTTTTGAAACAGGTGAGAGCCCCTCCTCCTAACTCCTTTTCTTGTCATTCTTCTTCTTGACTCCGATAAGGTACAATTTTTTTTTAAATGCTCGGGGCTGTAACTAAAATTATCTTAAAAACATTACACTAAAATTAATACGAGCAACAATAATTGAGGGTTAGGGTTACCCTATCACCCGAGTCAACTTTACCAGCTTTACTGACGTGTTTTGTCATGCGAGACATTCTTTGTGACAGTCCAAAATTGGAAATAATCTTCAAGTTCTCCATCGAAAACACGTTATTTTCACCAAAAATGGAAAATATTATCATCGTGGAGAGAAAATAACTTTATATTTTTCAGTTGTTTGTAATTAAGCTCAGAAATTGAGTAATACCGTTCAAATTGGCACGATTACTGGTCACGCATGACAACGGAAAGTTGACCCGGGTAGGCGAGTTATCCCTAACTGAGCGTTTACAAGGCAGGTAAAGGGTTACCCTAGCAGTAGGGTAACCCTAGCACTCAGGTAGGTAGAGTTATATTAGCGCTAAGGTAACCCTGTCTTATAAACACGTCGTGTGAAAAAAGAAGAAATATGCGAGTGCTAGGTAACCCTCTTACTGGGGTATCCCTAGCACCTACAGGCTGTAGGTTTCCTTCCCTCCTTGTAAACACGGGTCCTAAGTAGTTTGAGCATAATCTTCTAGGTAGACAAAGTCCTGTTGTTGACAGTAGAGAGCTTTACATTCTAACACGAGTACGACTACGGGTACGAGATTTTCTCAATAGTAAGTATAGTGCTCGCGCGTGAACCAGCGTCATTTTGGCGGGAAAACGTGGTAGCCTTCGTCATTCTACTACGAGTTTTAGCGAGGATGTCGAAGTGGCGGAAACAAGTTATCAAATGTTAGAAGTTTAAGAATTTTGCGATCGGGAGTGGGTGTAACCTCCTTCACCAAAGGTAACAGTGGTAACTTTTCTATTAAAAAATGATAAAATGAAGCTTTCAGGGGAGTGTTTATTTTGACAATACGCGAAAAAAGATTTAAGTCAAATCTCGTTCTCCTAGTTGTCCTCGTCGGCTAATGTAAAGGTCTCTAGTGACTGACGCTTAGACAACCTGTGTGGAAGTCATCGTGACCGATTTTTAGCACTTTTTTTCCAAGCCTAATTTATTCATTTTCATTATTAATGAAGAAACTTTGTTTTCTGTAGGAAAGATGTGGAAAAGTGAAGGGCTACAAATGGATAATTGAAGGACAGGTTTGCTTATGGCCTTAACAGCTAGCAAATTTTAGTAAGACCAAGAATAAACAAGTCATTTAGTGACTACTTCTCTGTCATCATCAAATATTTCATACGTGTAAAATGTCGTTGTTAATGGCTGTTTGTGTGCTTTTTAATCTCAAAATCATCTGTCCAGGTGATAAAGTATTTTAAAGCTGGAAAATATGATTTAGCCAAAAATATACATTTTGAGCAACATAACGTCTAGGCAATGTTTTATTTATTGCTCCCTTTCTTTAAAAAGCGTCTAGTTCTTCTGGAAAATAATAAATGGATAATCCTACTAGGGTCTATGCGGTCAATTATATGAATAATAAGTCACCCTTTTTATAGGTGCCAGGAAGCCTATATAGTCGACCTATGCATGTGGTTTTGGCTTTCAAGCTTCCATATAACGGGAAACTGGCTCCCGAGGAACTCAGGGGAAAAGAAAGGGGAATCCATGCTAACTATTCTCGAAAGGTAATATATAGATTTAGCCAAGGCCAAAAGCGAAGCTCTCTTAGAAACTTTTTAGAAATGATGGTCTTCCTGAAGTAGTTTTTTGAACCTACGACCACTTGAATAACACAACTACTCGGCGAAGAACTTACACACGTCACCTCAATCAGTTGTACATCAGGCCCCGGTTGTACAAACGTTGGATAGCACTATCCAGCCGATAAGTGGTTAAAGAAACCAATTGCGTTATCCACTGGACAAAGTGGATAACTCAATTTTTCACATGGCCCAGCCGCTCAGCGCGATTAGGTTTTTGCTGTTCCTGAGTGGCTTTGCTCTCATTTTTTTTTTCGCAATTATTTCCTTTAAATTACTTTACTCCTTCTTTAGTATCAAGAGCACAATAAAGATTGTTTTAAGTTGTTGTAGTTGTTGTTGTAACCGACTTCGTGCACTGATATATTCCATACAGGAACTTGTTGCTATTGCCTACGATGCAGTGCAGATAATCAAGCAGGCCCAGAATGTAGGGCCATGTTTATCAATAAACGGCTCGGCCGTTACTTCCGAAGATCGAGATGCATTGTTTTCGTGTATGACGAAGGTAAGGTTAAACCAGTTGTTTTGGACAAGTGCAGACCGAAAAATAGTAGTCCGAGTGTTTCAATATGTACTGATTTTCCTTCCCTTTCCTTACTTGTTTTTCTTCCATCATAACGTGTTCATGAATAAATTATGCAGGAAAACCGAAATTGAGCAAAATCCCTAGTATGAAAAGCTTTTGATGCTATATTAATAAAAAAATCTCATGTGCATCCGACAGGTAAACTTTGACGGTATAACAGGATCTGTCAGATTTAGCGAGGATGGAGAAAGAGCAGCAGTGCAGCTGGAAATTTTGAATCTGAGAAACGATTCCTTTCAGCAAGTAAGTACCATGAAGTGGTCAACCAATTCCTTTGAGGCAAGGATTGGAAAAAAGCTCAGATATCCCCACAAATAAACGGTTCAGGAAGAGTTAAAACCTCTTAATGGTAACAATTCAAATTGGTGTTACCTAAAATGGTCCAAAATTAAGAAAATGTTAAACAGCAGTTAAGAAAAAAACTGCAAATAAGTCATGTATCCAAGCATGAATATTCATTATTATTATTATTATTATTATTATTATCATTATTATTATCATTAGAGCAACACATTACATCTTTTTTTGTAGAAATAGGAATTTGGATAGCCCAGATTTAATTAAATTTTGATTCCTTTTCTTTTCTTTTCTTTTTTTTTTTTTTCTTTCTTTCTTTTTTTTTTTTTTAATTAATCCAATCTCAAGCAGCAATTGTAAATCGCCTATACGACGCGAGATTTACAATTGTATATTAAAAAAAAGTTGATTTCCAAGTCTTTGTATTTGTTAAGCTTTTCTGTGGTTTTGACTGAGGTGTTGGTGTCGAGGGGTACAGTCTTGTCAACGAGAAGTTGTACCCATAGTTGTTGTACCCATAGCCACTCTTGTTCAGGAGGGAGCTTAGAGGAGCAATAGCAAGACAAAAGACTAGAGGTGACAGAGAGTCTCCCTGATAGATGCCACTTTTGGTTTTGATAGGTCTGGATGTCATCATGCCCTTGTCGTGGCTTATTATTATTATTGTTATTACTTTATGTGCCACACAATAAAAGAAATTACAAATAATATAGAAAAGTAGAAAAAAAAGTGGCGAGGAGACCTAACAGAAACTATGGGAGCTTATTTGTTATCTTTGGAAGTCCTCAGAAACTGAATCGTATTCAAGGCATTTCGGTTAAAGTAGAGGGCACTAGCATTGAAAGAACACAATCATTCAAATACCTAGGCGTAACGCTTCAACAGTCTATGTCCTGGGCAGATCACGTCGATGCTATCAGCGTGAAGATTAATCAGAGAATAGGCCTAATTAGGAGAATCAGGAATCTATTGCCGCTACAAGCTAGAGTTGCCTTGTACAATGCCCTAATCCTCCCTCTTTTTGATTACGGAGACGTTATATGGGGAGACAAGAACAATGACACCATCATGTCAGAATTACAGATTCTACAGAATAAAGCTGCTAAAGTTATGCTGGGGCAACCACCCCGAAGCTCGTCAACTGAAGCACTGAAAAGTCTAGATTTGAAGACACTGTCCACAAGAAGGTTTTTTCATCGCTGCATTGCAATCCACAAGTGTCTTATTGGAGAAACCGATTTCAACTTTAATTTTACTTAAAGTCAAGCCCTTCATTCATATAATACAAGAACAAGACGCTCTAATGATATTCGCTTACCCCTACCCAGAACAAACTGGGGTAAACAAACTTTTATTTTTCACGCCGCGAAAGACTGGAACAGCCTTCCAAATGATTTAAAAGAGTGTAATATTTTATCTATTTTTAAATCCAAGTTAAAAACTTTTTTAAAAGATCTCAGCTAATTTTAAACCTTGATGTTTTTTTGTATAATCGATTTTAAGATTTTTAATTTTTAAATTTGTTTTACTTGTAAACATATTTTACTTTTTTCGTAATTATTAATTAATTAGTTAGATTAATGCATGAGGGCCCCACAGAAAACCGCCTTGGCGAGTTGGGCTCCCTCTATAAATATTATTACTATTATTATGAGAGGTTAGGCCTCCTAAACTACGGGCTGGAGCTGTTTAACAGCAATTGAAGAAAAGATAGCGAAAAGTCGAAGATGGAAAGAGTTATAAACTGTTTTTATATTTCCTTAATAATTTAATCCTTGGCAGTTTTTTTCTTAAAAAGTAAAAAGGAAAAGAAACGCTCTATAACAATGTTTCAGGAGTGTATTGGACAAAAGATCACCGTTTTTTAGTTAGTTATTTTTTACTATTATGACTGTTTTATGTTCATGATATTCATATTGCAATTTACAGGAAAAGCTTCATTTTGAGGTATCAATATTTATGTAGCTTTTTCAAAATTCACTTTCAACGATTTATAATAAATTATTATAATTATATTTATTATAATTATTGTTTTATTATTGTCATTGTCTCGTTCTAGTTTGTTTACTTTATTTTTTGTTGTCAGATAGGGACTTGGAATTCAACTAAGAAAGCTGTGGTGTTTGAAAACATATGCCCTAATATGAATGAGTCTAAAAGAGGCAGAAGCATTGAAGGAAAATTTCTAAGAGTTGTTATTTCAGAGGTACGAATGATGTATTTGCGTATGTGTTCCTCGAATTTCTTAGCCTGTGCCAGGCTATAAGATAGTAGATACGTTTAAAATTCTAGCTTAATGATGACGATAATTACTAGCTAAGAATGTTTATCATTATCGTCATCACCATTATCAAGTCTCGAAACTCGCGCGTCACATTTTGTGATTTTTACTCCCTCGCAGTAACCAGTTTTGAATAATCTTACGACGGCACAACATTAGGGGCCAATTTAGATACCGGCGTGACTTTGTATAGATATTATTATGGTACCTATTTGCCTACCTTTTCGCCATGTTAAGTGTCACAGTGGCACATCCTTGGACTTAAAAACGTGTTGCTGGTAAGATTTTCTTGAACTTCGGATAATAGACCTATTCGGCTAACTCAATGTTGTACCCAATTCAAACCCTTTGGGAATAAAACGTTTTGTTTCAGGAATTTCCATATCATTTAAATGTGAATGCCACATTATAATGCAAATGCAATACACAAAGAATCTTATCCCCGGGAGATTTGAATTGGGTACAACATTGAGTTAGCCGAATAGGTCTATTGTGAATCCATGATTTTGTTTTGCAATTCCAAGAAGATATTCAAAATCATGGTAAAGGGTGTTTGAGGTATTTTTTAAGGTACGTAGAGTTGCTGACACTTGGGAAAACTTACCTACTATTAATTGAGCCGCAATGATCTTCGTGTTAAAATTGGCGTCGTAGCTATAGCTTTCATTTCCTTTGTTACACATCACAGGAAGAGCCGTTTGTCTTCAGGAAAAGACAGGATGACGGACAGGATGCATATGAAGGATACTTCATTGATCTGCTAAAAGAACTTGCAAAAACACTTCATTTCACATATCATATCAAACGTTCCGCTGACGGGTTTTTCGGCGTTGAAACAAAAAACGGATCTTGGAATGGCTTGATAGGAGAGATACTCAACAAGGTTAGAAAAACAAAATAGAATCTTCATACGATTATTAGACTTTATACTAGCAGTGAAAGCGGCAAGGAATCGTCCAGGTAAAAACAAACTAGCTAACTACAGTTTGCAAGATTTTTGCTAAATTTAAGAGGGAAGCTATCACATTTATATGACCACTGAGTTAAGAACGTCTCAGCTCATTTCATTTTCAGACGAAAAATGTTTTTGCTGAACAATTAAACTAACGTCGGCTAATTTTAAACAAAAAATATTAAGTTTCTTCCAAAAACTATTATGGAAGAAAGAAGGGTTGCTATTCTTAATAAGTATACCTTTTTCCTCAATAGCATGCAGATGTTACCGGAGTTCTGACCTTAACTGAAAGCCGTGAAAAGGTGGTGGACTTCACTGTTCCCTTGATGTATTACACTGAAGATATGCTCCTCAAAAAAACATCGTTCAACAATGGATCAATTGATTTTCTGCAGTTTTTGAATCCTTTTCACAACGACGTTTGGTTTGCAACTTTAGCTACTATGGTAGTTATTTCCGTTTCAATATTTGTGATAAACTACTTTAGTCCATACGGTAACAAAGATGCGAATGGTCTGGGGACCTCTGAAGAGTTTAGTTTCTTCAACAGCGTCTGGTTTGCAGTGGCTTGCATGCTGCAGCAAGGGTCTGAGAGCCAGCCTCGAGGCTTGTCAGGTACAGAGTTGAGGGGAGGTTTCATCGCATTGATTTTTAGAGTATTCACATTTCTGTTTAGTCACTTGTTTTGCACACCAATTTGTTAAAACTCGTTTGTATCATGAGACTAGCTGTCAATTAACAAGATGATTGATTGAACGTATCCGATATCGCTAGGAGAGAAAATTATCAAGTTTGCCTTAATTAAGTTTTTAACATTCTTTTCTTGTACAAGGTCGTATTCTTGCTGGGTGTTATTGGTTTTGCATTCTTGTCTGGGTTTCGACGTACACCGCAAATCTCGCAGCTTTTTTAACTGTAAAAAATGCTGCGACACCCATTAATAACCTGGACGACTTGCTAGCTTCTTCTTATAAAGTTACCACATTACAAGCAGGAGCTGTTCACGAGTTTTTCGAGACAAGCAAATTTGAAACTTACAGAAGGATTTGGCACAGAATTCAAGATAGCAACTCTTTGACTCGGAACACAAGTGAAGCTGTTCAGTTGATCCGTGGCGGAAAGGATGACTATGTATTTATTTATGATGGGCCAACCGTTCGACATATTGCCAACAAGCCTCCCTGCGATCTAATAACAGGTTAGCGTAGAAGATCAACTGACTTTTAAAACGCTGAAACATTATTTACGTACTAATTTCAGACAGTACTGATTCATTTTTACTTTAAGAATATCAGCCTGTCTCTGTACGCACACTGATATGTTGAATTAAGTGTTTAATTTATATTATTATTCATTCAAGTCATTTCCCCAATTCTGATTGGCTGAAAACACACGCATAATTCACCATAACCAGTTACTAATGACCAAATTTGGAAGAATTTTTGGTTTAACGAGGAAATGACGTCAAAAATGCAGCCCGCTACAGGTTAAGGCACCGTTACCGAAAGACCTGGGGACGAGGCTGAGTTGTTTTGGTTGTGAAAAAAAAATGGCGGACATTTCACTCGTGTCAAGAGTAAGAACTACAGCTGGAACTAGGCGAAATAATAGCTAAAAATACGGCAAAAACAGCAAGAAGACAACTCGGAAGGCGAAATCTGCTATTTGGAGAATATTTGCAGAGCTGGACAAACCTAAACGTACACTATCGAAGAAGATGAACTCAATATCGATGCAGGTAAGCATTTTTTAGCTATGTTTTTAAACTAGGAATTATTTTGAATGAATTATAAAGCAATTAATGAATTCTGCTTTCGCAGGATAAAAAGAATTAAGCAGATCTTGGAGGGTGTTATCCACCTCGGCCTTCGGCCTCGATGGATAACACCCTCTTCGATCTGCTTAATTCTTCATATTCTACAGCCTCATTCATTAATTACTAATTATAACTATTTTCTTTTCAGTAACTTAATTTATAAGCTTTTGTGGGTAAGAAAGCTATAAATGTTAACCAAAAAGCAGCCGAATAAAAAATGGCATATATTGTTACCTCGCTAACAAAAAAAAAGTGAAAAGATGTCCTTCTTCTCCATTTCAGGGATGATAAATCAAAATTTTCATATAAAATCAAAATGAGGCGGATTCATATGTTGTCGCTGCTCCTCTCAGCCACAAAGCCGTAAAAAAACTTGTCAAAGGTTATTCAGTTTTGCTATAATTTAGTCATACATGCAACCCGCGTAACTGTAGGATGCCATATGAGAAGATAAAGTTTGCAGCACTCTACTCTGGATTTTGATACGCAAAACAGAGAATCAAATCATTTATTAGGAAAAAAAATAGAAAGAGGGCGCAACTTAACAAAAAACGGTTAATGCAGATGAACATTTTAAGAAAATAACGCATAAAAGCTTTTAAATCACCAATTTTCCAGTTGCACGCCACTGACGGCAAAAAATGCCAGTACGGTACTTTAAGTACAAATTTACTCACCTCAAGTAGAATTAGAGTAAATTGCCTTAAAGGGGTAATTTGAATTGAATTATTGAATTTTTAGTTACTTTTCTTTTTATGTGATGCAAAAGTGCATGGCATAAATGAAATGATAACGAAAACTCGGAACATTTTACGTTTCTGTGAAACTGAACACCTACCCCTCCCCTAAATCAACATTAACCCTTAGTTCTTATTTAGGGCAAAATGTTGGCTTAGGGGAGGGGTAGGTGAGCAATTTCACAGAAACGTAAAATGATCCCTAAACTCTTCTCAGTGCCAGGTTTAAACAACGCCAAAGGACTTGGTCTCGCTTTCCAAGCAAATGATCCCTATGTAACAGATTTTACACTGGCCATTTTGCGCTTACAAGAAAATGGTTTCCTAGAAAACCTGAAACGTAAATGGTGGGAGTCTTCTACTGGATGCGCTAAAGAAAAAGACACAGGTAAGAATATTTTAGACATGAACTTTCCTCAGTAGAATTTTTAGTCTCTTTGATAACTGTAAAGGCCTCAAAGGAAACTTTCGGAACTCTTAGATTCATTAAATTTTAGGACGGGAAAATTGGTTCAAGACCAGCCTTGTCTGTACTGGTTGCTGTTAGTAGTTACGCAAAGGAGGCTGTTAAGAGCTGGTGGTTCAAATTCGCCCATTTCAAAAATTTAGGGCCCGCAAAGGATAGTAATGATTTCGCCCTGTTGCGGAAAGGACCCACTATCAGCAGTACAAAGTCTGTAATACTTAGTTCTGAAATTTTCAAAAACAACCTGGAACTAAGAAAAAGTAGCTTCACCGCAGAAGAGATTGCTCAGTTTGTAGCTGAGAGCTATAGAGCGAGAGGTCACTAATCCCTAGGACCGCATTAATGTAACAATGCGTACGATCTACAAACAGTTAAAATGATGATAAAAGTGAAAATAATAATGACCCGTCTCCGTTAGGGAAAGCAATAGCTTATACTGAAACCAGTTATAACTTTCCCACCATGTATATTGAAACAGAAATACCATGGGGTGTTTTCTTTATTATAAACAAACGTTAACGGGTTCTTCTTTTGAAACCTTAGAATATATGTTTCTCGAGAAACTACCCGATGCAAAGACATCTCATTTATATTCTGATGAGGTTATTAAATGAAAACGTACTGCTTGCAATGAGCATACCTAACAAATAACCTCTTGTTACGGAAAAGATAAAACACTATGGGTACCAACTTATACCTGGTTCTTTGTGAACATTTTTTCATTTCTAAATCTAAACATTCGCTATTTTCCCTTAGTTCTGTCGCAAAAGAGAATCGGCTTAACAAGTATGGCGGGAGTGTATGTTGTCTTGGGCGTTGGATTGGTCTTGTCATTCCTTGTGCTGATCGCAGAAATTGCCTGGAAAAGAAAATTGAAGCTGAAGGCGAAAAAGGTAAAGGTCAGTTAGGCAATGAAAAAACTTTTACTTCCGCTTACAGTGTCAAATCCAATTTAATTTTTTCAGATTGTTGGAGTCTCCCTTGTAACCGCTTACATGAAAGGACCATTAGCGTTTTTAACGTTAGACCGTTACGACGTTTTTATTTTATAACATAACCCTTATCTGTTCTTTTTTCTGCAGGCCGTTGGTCCAATTGCGACTGAATGAACGGGCTTCCAATGACCCTATAGAGACAATTTGTGTGTAAATATGTAGTTTAATTCATTGTAAAGATCATGGATTTCATTGAGAGAAGTCCATGAGAGAGAAGCACAAAAAATTGTTCCTTATAAGTTTTAAAAATGGTCTTTAAACTTACATGATATAGGGTGCCCTAAGCTTAAATTTATCAAAAGATTCTTCTCTTTTCTACAAGGAATATGGGGATCTCGCAACTTTTAAATGTTTTTTTAAGTCAGTCTACAATTTCCCTCTTTCAGTTAAGTCAGGGAAAACTCAAAATAAAGTGGTCTCTCTGTGGATTTCTAAGAAGCCAGCACACAAAATCGGCGACTGCTTGTTAGCCGTGCAGAGACAGGCGCTTTTGCTTGTCACTTACTAGACAGATTTTCCTATTTATTTATCTCCTTGCTTTTTGTACAAAGCGTTTTAATTTATAATCTTATAATAGCAATTACGCCAAGTATAAAACTTAAGCTTTCTGTTAATATTGACATTTTACTTGTTATTAGCAATAAACTTTAAACCTGCAAAAGACACCCATGTAAAGACTTTTAACTTAGAAACAAACAAACAAGTGAACAGAAAATGGTAAGCGCCCTATATTTATGCCCTCGGTAGTGAACTGGAGCGAGCTTGCATTCGAGGCCATATGGCGCCAGGATATTGTCGTTCAATGCAAATTGCATGTAAAAAGTGGTAACACGCACGAGACTCAACCGCAGCCTACTCCTTGTCATTTGCTGACAGCACTCAGGTCAATTTGCACAGCAATTACTAATCCATTAGTATATTCCCATTTATTATATAGACATGAGTGTTTTACTGGAAAATATACCACTCGTAAAATTCATAAAAACTACATCCGGGACCCGAGTGGTTTATTTTCCATAATCTCACACGTGAGTTTATCGATGGCGTAATTTCGGTAATTTCTCTCTATTATTTTATCGATTTCTTTTTGTCTATATAACAAAAAGAACATTACACGGTGGCTTGAAGATATGAATTTTATTTTCTCGTGGCAAAAACAATATTTCACTCACTCGCTGCGCTCGTTCGTAAAATATTGTTTTGCCACTCGAAAATAAAATTCATATCTTCAAGCCACCGTGTAATATCCTCTATTTTTTTTAGAAATTAAGTTACTGCTAAGTACAAGACTAGCTTTATTTTCATATGCTTAGGTTTTAAAATTAGAAGTTGAACCGTTACTGCATCACGCAGCGGTTTCAAAGCAAGGCGCAGTTACACAGCGTTCAGTGCAGCCATTTGATCGATTGCGAAGTAAATAATAAAATAATGAATGAGTTGTCTTTAAATTAAAGCAAATGACGGCAGTTGAATTGCAATTTAAGTTAATAAAAATTAGTCAGACGTAACTTCATAGATTTTTCAATGAGGGAAAAGGAAATCGATCAAAAGATTTAAAAACCTCCTGACTTAGACAATTAAAGCACGTTAGCCGATGACCTTTAATTTTTTAAATGCATAACGCGATAATCAAGTTTGTCTATTCAGGACGTCTACGGACGATCAACCTACATCGTGTTTTTCGTCTATTATTATTGTTATTATTATTATTATTATTTATTGCTTTTGGTGTTTTGCTTTTGTTTCTGCCTATTTCATTTGTTTTTTGTTTGTTTGTTTGTTTTTGTTTATCATTAAACTCACGACTATACGTGTTATTGACTAAGTTTCTTTTTGTCTCGATACCTGCATGAAAACATGTAGAAAACATTTCAAAGGGTCCGATTTTTCACAAGGAATATGTTTAGCTAGTTTGCTACTTTTGAACTCCGAGCTTTTTTGCGATGCCAGTACTACGTAGTCAAGGGTTTTCCTAAAATGCTGCGACTCTATTTGGAACTAGTTGCACAGTTACTAGCATGTCAATCTCAGTAGTTTGTGCTATCATATGCAATCCCTTAGGTAGGCTTTATGGGGCTCATATTTCACTTATTGGATTCTATATTGATTTCATTCACTGCTTCTGTCTAAGATTCCTTTTCTTTTCAATTCTGTCAATCGACTTGTCTTTTGTAAATTCGATTTAGCCAAGCCTAAAAGCCAAGCTCCCGTTAAATAAAAACAATTTGCTTGAATAAAACAAACAAACAAACAAAATTCGCCTTAAAAGACAATCTTCCTTTATTTTAATATTTCCCTCACAAGAACTAAAATTAAACTTTAAGATAAATACACTTTTTGTTTCCAATGCGCACAGACAATATTCAATTCCTTTATCGTGACCTACCATAGTTTGGTTACTACATGATCTTACGACGCAAGTGTGGTGCTCTATTAATTTTGTTTTATTTCATTTATGTACATGCATTTATATTTTTAAGGAATCTTAATGTTTCTTAGAGATTCCCGGGAAACAAACTTACCTGTCTCTTCGGGAAAGTCATTAAGTTTTCTGTTAGTATGCGTGTCCCATTTAGCAAGAGACTTGACCATATTGAACAAAGCCTATGCCTATAGCTGGATATGACAACTATTATATTGAGACATGAGCCAACGAATTTTTATTCAATATCTACTAATAAGTTTTACGTACATGTGCATGTAAATTAACCCCATTTTCATATGAAAGATGGCCCCTTACTTAGAGCATCAGCGTGGGAACCTGTTACCAAATGAATAACCTTTGCAGCAGCACGTCGCCGCAATTATATATGAAGTAAAGCAGATGTTCATTCAGTTACACAGCATAACGATTCTTGCGATCGAGTGTTATATACGTATACAACACTTCAGACGGAGGAATGTGCCAGGTAAGTGTTTTTCGTCTATACAGTCTGTTTGCTTTAAATTAGTAGGTGTTTTAAGGAATTCCTAGTTGGGCATGATATGCACTGCACCATTGTGACATCCACTCTGTGGCAAATTCTATCCCTCAGTGGTTCCGAATCCTGCTCGGAACAATGTTTTTCGCTTTTTCATGAGAGATATTCCCGCGAGAAATTCAAAGGGTATATTCTGCATCTCTCTTCGTCTTTCTTTAAAGAGCCTCTAAATCAAAAATAAAAGTTAAATTGAAGGCTAGGTTCGCTTCAGTAGAGAAGGTTGAGTAGTTGCTAAATACATACAGGCATACATGTAAATACGTCTAGCTTTGACAAACTCCTCGAATCGCACTGGCTTCACAAAATTTAAAAATACTAGTGCCATCCTTGAAAGGGTTCATCGACGCTATATTCATGCAAGAACCTTTAATAGTACACCATGTTGAGAACTTTCCTTTTTAATTAGTGGTTATCCATTACGCTGATGGAAAATTCCAAATAGCGTATATTTCAATTAAGTACATGGCTGTATACTACTTAGTGAACCAAGTTCACGTCGACGATCATGGAAAAGTTGAACTTCAATCTACATTTTCAGTTATCTTGTTTTTCTGCATTCGTATTTACTTTTATTTTTCAATAAATTTAACAGAAAAGTTAACTATAAGTAGGCTGGTTACAAGACAAGTACTGTTCCAAAACGTTTCGTAATCGTGATTATATGTCAGGGTAGAAATAAACAATTGTAAGGGGGTTCAGTAGAATCATCTTAAACTTCACCCGAATAAATTAACTGTTTTTAGGAAAGTTGCCAAATCTATGAAAAATTAATTAGGAAAACTCAGGACATCTGGAAGAAGTCCCATACTTAAACAATTCAATTGCTATATATAACTTTTATTGCAATATAACAGAGAATTAGTTAATCAGACTACCAGTATGATGTGTGGAAACAGTTGGTCGGATGGAATATAACAAAGCGATATCAACTTAGTTTATTTTCACTTATTGCAATGTTTTGATCAGTAATATTTACACAATTTCAAAGGCATCAAGAAATAAAGACAAAACATCTCATGGTCAATAATATTACGTAATCATTCCGTCGCGTTAGTAAAGTAGTGCTAGTTAGTATAGAACTGTACCTTTCCCAGGGAGAAACTATATTTTGTTTTAAAATTTTAGGCATTGAGGATGAGAAGGAGAGTGCTTCTCACTTTCTTTATAATTGTGTCGAGTGTTGTTCAGGTACAGACGAGGAACAGAACATTCACATATGGTAAGTTACACAGATCCAGCTACTGTATAAACACCAATGAAATACCAGGTGAGCTTTCGCGCGAAAACTTGATATCTTCGCATGTGAAAGTAACATGTTATCTTCACATGTGAAAATATCACCTTTGCTATGGCTACATGATAAATCGCGCCTTTCACACCAAAAAACTGGAATGGTTAAAGTGGAATGGTTTGGTATTTCATTGGTGTTTATATAATAAATAGAACATTACATGGCCGCTTGGAGATACAAAATTTCTCTTCTCGTGTTGAAAAAATATTTCACTCGTTCGCTGCGCCGCACTCGTGAAATATTTTTCACCACTCGAAGAGAAATTTCGTATCTCCGCGTGGCCATGTAATATCCTCTATTTCTGTAACTCGTATAAGGGCACCACTGGAACACCAAGGTAGGGCCATCTTGCAGCAGTTTTTCAAGTGCAGTGGCCGCTGGACTCAAGTGCGTAGGAAGGCTAGGGGTTGTCCGGGGGAGACTCGGTGCTCGTTCAAATGAATCTAGCTGTTAAAAGAGTGCTACAGTACAGAACAAATTTCGTCCAGCAAAGAACGAATTGATATCATCGCCAACAAAATAAATGCAGTGTGTTTACCAATTTTGGAGAAACTTATGTACAGCCTCAGAAATTCAGAATTACAACAAGTAACCGCTGTATTACAAATGCATTTCATAAACTAAAATTTATGATTTTGTTTTGTTTTGTTTGCATGCTCGTTCATTTTTTCATGAAAGAGTTCATGAGCAGAACTCTTAAATAAGACAAATTTTTATTTCTTTCTCCCAAAAGTCGTCAAATACCAAGGCTGGTCAGCGGCAACTGAGCTTTCAACAAGTAAAGAGGAACTTTAATAACCCTCTCTATAGCCCGAAATTGTGCTACCTTTTATAGAACGTTCAAAAAAGACCTGCTCCCCCCCCCCCCCCGACCCACCCTCTTTGAAACTGAACGTGTACTGTCCTGAATTAGTATATGCAGACTGAGGTTTGCCGCCGTGCCACCTGTAACTTTATTCGCTTGAAATGTGTCACTTACTGTAAAAAAGAAAAACAAACAAACAAACAAAAAAATAATAAACCAGTAATAATTTGCTGTATATATAAAATAATTAAATTATTTTTGTATCTGATGTTTTAGTATACACTATATACGACACTGCAATGCCAATAATATAGAAATGTCAATGTTCAATAATACCCACACTAGAAACGATAAACATATTTCTCTTTTCATTTTTACCTTTTTATTTATTTGTTTATTTATTTTGAATTATTTTTTCTTCATGCAGGTACTTTTCAAGAGTTTTCAGTAGAGCAAGAAGTTATCGATCATGCATTCAATGATACGTCTTATTTTGATGAAGTTGTGGTGAAAAGGTTTATCATCAGTGAAAATATTACATTGTTGCATCAAGGTAAGATATTATTAATAAGTAAAGTGAGCAAGTGAGGTAAGTTAAAAAGAAAACAACAATTGACCATTTCTCAGTGTTTACGTGTGATCCTAGTTTTTTATTTAAAAAACAAAAATAAACGTAAGACTGAATTGTTATCCTCTTCGGCAGACTGGTGAACAGCGACGAAATGATTGAGGAATCATTGGATGGCACCTAAATTGTGTCGCGGCTTAATTTAAACCTCACGTTATTATTTAAGACTGTCAATTACCTTAGATCGGTAACGTCCCTTGTTGAATGGTAGTTCTGATATATATGATGAATTTTATTACGAAATATCGTCTAATTATGGGCTAGAATTTTAATGGTTTATTTTACTACTCTTTTTCTTTCCTTTACTTCAATTTTTAGCTTTGATGCTTGTCGAAGAAGATGTCATTGCGATGATCGAGGGAAGCCATATTAATACCTCTGACGCTTGCGCACTGTCTGTAGTAACTGGTATTCCTGTTATCAGCCTCCGTCGAGACACGAGGCCAACTGATGGATGCTTAAAAACATTACAAATACAAGCAGGATACAGGACATATGCACATGCTACTCTAGACATCCTGAACACATTTCAATGGAAAAATATAGCATTACTTTATGAAGGTAAACCAATTTCACGAATTTCGATATATAATAAAACTAGTCCTAAACCTACCAACTTCAAATCGTTACAAGGAAACATTTCTGTAATTACACAAAATAGTCCAAGTATTCCCAGAGTATCATGATATTGTTTATAATAACTACAATGTACTTGCCACCGGTTTTTAAATAGCTGCCGTAGAAAATGTGCATACCCGATACACCTGTTTCTTCATCTTCCAAGAAGAAATTTTTTAACCTTAAGATGAAAGTATTGACTTGAAGTAAGAACTTAATTCAGTTCATCTTTAGAGGGCAAGATAAATCAAACAACAAATATTTTTGCATCACAGCTATTCTACACCTGCGTCGCCGTTGCCAGTTTTACATTTCTTAAGTCACCAAAGATAATCCAACGAACATCCTTTCAATAAATCGTCAAACTATATTAAACAAAGTGTTCATCTGAGCAAATATAGGTCAATAAATCTCGTCTATCTCGTTTTTAATATCCTGCGTTCTTGTGTACAAGTTTCCCGCCTTCCCCGTCTTTTTTGTTTTTGTTTGTTTGTTTCTTGTTCTTGTTTGTTAGTTTTCAGTAGATAGATAGATAGAAACTTTATTTAAGTGTCAAAAGCCGTCTAGCCAGGGAAAAAAGAATCCCTTACTAATTTGGGGACACCAAATTACGTCCCTGAAGTAAAACTTGAACGGCGGTGTTTTTCTGCAGGAAACAAGGACGCTTGTACACAAGATATATTAAATGCATGACATTTATACATTTTTTGTCACTTTTTTTTTCCTTTTAGTGGATCTCTTACAGGCAGCTGGCTACTTCTACTCTATCTCCCAGGGATCTGAGCTGACCGTAACTTTCTTCCAGATTGCTGAAAAAGAAGAATCGGACGATAAAACAAAAGCAATGTCAACAGCAATGGAAAAAATAGGAATGCTAATACCTGACGTTATTTTACTCTATGCTTCTACTAGGGAAATTCTGGAACTTTTTCTGAAAAAGGTACTGTTTTGTACATTCATTTGCCATTTCTTTATTTTTCTATTTCCTCGTTTGCTTACTATTAAATGCAAAGCAGTTCCTTTACCTGCCATGAACACGAGCGATGCCGTTAGGATAGTTACTTTGGACTTTAATTGGCTGTTTTTGCCTCTCCAGAAGAGCTGTGTAAACGTCAATGGCTATACCTGGATACTCCAAGGACAGGTTTGTTAACCGACTTAACAGCTGGCAAATTTTTACACCATTTTAACTACAAGAAAATCAAAGGGAAATTTACAACAAAAGTCACCTCATAACATTTTCCTGCTATCGATGAATTTTTCAGGGTCGCTGGTGGACCGTGCCGACGGTGCGCGGTGGAGAAGTCAAATCGCAAAGTTTTACACTCAAGCTAAAAGCGGAGGGCGTTTAGGCACTATACTACTGCATGAGAAATTTCTGCAATTTTGTTGGCTTAGAGCGGTGGTATTTCAGCTTAATTTGAAATACCTACATGTGAAAATTACAAACCTTTTGTATAGTATATACAAGTATAGGGTTGTAATGGTGAACAACGCTAAGACCCCATGCAGAGGCTTTCAAGTTGTTTGTTTTTTTGTTTGCTTTTGTTGTTTCATCTTTTTTTGGGTAATTCACCACAGGTACCAGGAAACCTAAGTAGTCGACCAGAGTATGTGGTTCTAGCCTACAAACTTCCTTATAATGAGAATCTTGCTCCTGAAGAATTGGAAAAAGAAGACAAAACCGACGACTTTAGAAAGGTAACTGCAAGCACATTTGCGAATGAGCGAAGGCAGTGACAAACAAAAGTGATATTTTTATTTTTGTACAAGTAGCATGTATCAAATTAAACGCATCCCTTCTATTAATTCTTATTTACAATAATATCCCCTACAGGAACTTGCTGCGGTTGCTTATGATGCGGTGCAAGTAATCAACAAGGCTCAAACTGTAGAAACGTGCTTGTCAATTAACGGCTCGGCAATTACTTCTAAAGACCGCGAAACAATGTTTTCTTGCTTGAAAAAGGTGAGGGACAATTGTTTTTAAGCAAATTACCTTCCTTCCCCTCGCCCGAGTTTGCATTGATGAACAGGTCGCAGACGAAATTACACACACTGTTTTATGAGAGTTTCTCGAAGCGTTCTGTTTGCACCTCATGATATTGCCAAGTCGAACTAATTCATATTTCATTTCCTATTGATTAGTCCTCGATCATCAAATTTTAATAAGAATATAATATAGAATTAGCGATGATGATGATGATAATAAATAATACATGTAAGAGTATTAAGGAAACCATTATTTTCCACTGAATTAAGACCCAATGGAAAGTATCACTTCCCATTTTAACAACTGGGACCTAAATTATTCCAACAGGTAAAGTTTGAAGGCATAACAGGACCTGTTAGATTTAGCCAGGATGGAAAGAGAGCAGGAGTACAACTGGAAATCTTGAATCTGCGAAACGATTCCTTTAGGAAAGTAAGTACTCCTAAAATCGATCACAGTTTTCCTTGGGAAAAAAAAGGGGAAAACATTCGTGATACAATGCAAATAAATAGAAATGGCGTGAAAAGTGCAGAAAAAGACTATAACGCTTCAAACCAGAAATGTGCAATTAATTAATAGGCGGAAGTTATAATCAACGTCATACAGGATTCAACCTAATTGTTAGTAAAATATTTATCCGTCTCTGATTGACTCAAAAACCTTCAACTAGGGACCTTTGAAAAAATTTGAAAGTCGTTACAATTGACGTCAATTGTAGAGATATCGACAGAAAAGGGGACAGCAGTAGCACGGTACCTTACGGCTGTTTCGACAGAGTTGGAGAAAATGGCGGGAGATTGCACACGTTATGCAAGGGAAAAAATACCCAAAGTACTGCCAGAAAACATGTACTTAGCAAGAATACCAAAAGATCCCTTCACATCTGTCAAGGAACAGGCAAAATTTTAATGAGGGCGAAACTTTAATAAATAGATTGAGGTATGAAGTACCATTTCTAGGTTTCCCAACTCTCTTTTATTCACGCTATCGTGTTTTCTTCCCTTAGGTAGGGACATGGAATGCAACGACGAAAGCCGTAATGTTCGAAAATATACACCATAATATGAATGACAAATTTCATGGCGGCGGTCTAGCAGGCAGAACTCTCCGTGTTGTTGTCACAGAGGTATGCACTTAATATATTGCATGAATGTATTGGCTTTTTATTGTAGATTTTCTTCTAATTAGAAAGAGGTTTCTTGGCGATCCTTGGCCGGAGAACGCAATTATCTCACTTAATCAAGAATACAATGTACTCAATCAAGAAGTCCGTTACCGGCCTTTAATTACTCAATTGCAATATAGCCCTAAATGATCTTATGATTCAGTTAGATGTCGACCAATTACATTTCAAGGATGCTGGATGATCAAATATTGTCGTTTTGTCGTACTTGGAGAGAACAAATCATTACTGTTTAATTTTGACGTAGATAGTAATTTCTTGCGCTGGTTAGAAAACATATTGTTATTAGTACCTTAGACGCTGTAAGTGTAAGAGTCCACCTTTCATAACCTCAACAGGATGAGCCGTTTGTCGTCCTCAAAAGACAAGAAGATGGAAGCATTACACATGAAGGATACTGCATCGACCTGCTACGAGAACTTTCCAAGAGACTTCATTTCTCATATCATATTAAAACATCTCCTGACGGGCTTTATGGCGCGAAATTGGAAAATGGATCCTGGAACGGGATGATTGGAGAGCTTCTAAATAACGTATGAAATATCACTGCATTCAATAGACCAATTTCGATCAATTAAAATTCTCTATAACAGGCTATTTGCACGATGCCGTCATTTTACTACTAGGAACAGAATCTCTTACGTTTTTCCTTTCATATTTAAATTTGGTAATCCCAGCGATGATTAAATAATAAAAGCCCTAATTTGCACGAGAAAGCAAAACCCTGAAGGATTTTGGTTGCACTAGTAAAATGAAGTCATCGTGTAAGTGGCCTATTGGCTGCGAGGCTTGAAGGAATAGAACAAAAGAAATTATCTTGAGGCTCAGCAATAAATATTACATTTCTTTTTTCTTCTTCCCCCAAGCTTTCGTACAAGGTATGAATTTTGATATTTCGAAATTGGTCTGTTCCTTCAAAGTGCCAGAGCTAGAACGTGCACCGTTGACACAGGTTGACAACAATTTAACAGCCGGTCAAGAGGTGGATGAATGCTATTCCTCCTTTCAAATTTAAATTGACCCACGGTATTCCCTCTTTATTAGCCTTCCATTCAGGCTTATTTTGTCTAGATTTTATCATAGTGCGTTGCAACATTTACGAGGTATGACTCAGTCGTCATGAGCTACATGAGGTCAGCCAATGTTTTTTAGCCAAAACTGCCAGGTTAGCATTGTTTCATGCAGTAAAAAAGCAGCAAAATAAATGTGTGCTAATTATACACTGATCTCAAATATCACGCATGACAGTTTTTTCTTAGTTCGAACTAAACAAAATAAGATACCGCCAAGATGGTCGCCATTTTGAAAAAAGACACAAGTCATATGTAATTATTAAAGTATGATGAATACAATGTATTTGTAATAACATAAAGAACGAAAAGACTTTCTAATTTAAAAATTATTGTGAGCGCTAGGAATTCCAAGAGCTAAACCTCCATTAGTTCATGGTTGCAATAGAAATTTACTTGACAATCCACCACCACAATTTTTTTCTTAATAGCGCGCAGACGTTGCCGTTGCAGCTTTGACCATAACTGAAAGCCGCGAAAAAGTGGTGGACTTCACTGTCCCCTTCATGTATTACACTGAAGAAATGCTACTCAAGAAAGCATCGTTCAACAACGGATCGATTGATTTTCTACAGTTTATGAATCCATTTCGCATTGAAGTTTGGTTTGTTACTTTAGCCACCCTGGTAGTGATTTCGGTTTCAACTTTTGTGATAAACTACTTGAGTCCATACGGTCACAAAGATGCGAATGGCCGTGGAACCTCTGAAGAGTTCAGTTTCTTTAACAGCGTGTGGTTTTCATTGGCTTGCATGCTGCAACAAGGATCTGAGAGCCAGCCACGAAGCCTGTCAGGTACTGTAAGGTGGAAGTCGTTCGCTTAAGCAAGTGTCAGCTCAATCGATGACTTGGATACTGGTATACATCTAAGCATGTATATCTAATATTTAGTCAATATTTCTGTTCACTGATTTTTAATCAATGATATAATGCTTTGAGAGGAGGAGTTACTGTCTTCCCACAATATATTGTATTTCAAAATGATATATGGGAATTTTAGTGACGTGATTACTCGGCTGATAGAGTCTCAGCAGCTTGAACAAGTCAAACTAACGTGGCATCGTGTACGTGTGTTACTGTGACTCGCGAGTGTGCGGAATCTTTGACGAATTTTCCTCTTCTTTATGAACATTGTTAAGAAAGACTAGTTCCCCGTTGGCCCTCTTTAGGTGTGTTGACTCAGTTTGTCACCACGTGCACGCTCGTGTGAGTTCTAGTACTAAAATGGCAGGTAGAACGGTTTTAATGATCCCAGTTGCTAAGTGCTATCAAGTAGCATATCAAGTAGCAAACGATTCCGACAATTGAACTATGCGTAGTGATCAATGTTTGTTTGTTTTTTTTTTTTTTACTTACTAGGTCGCATTCTCGCCGCGTGTTATTGGTTTTGCATTCTCGTCTGGGTTTCAACATACACCGCAAATCTCGCAGCCTTTTTCACTGTGAAAAATGCCGCGGCACCCATTAATAACCTGGAAGACATACTTACATCATCTTATAAAGTTACCATAGTGGAATATGGAAGTACCTACGAGTTTTTTCAGACAAGTCAATATGAAACTCATAGAAAGATTTGGTACAGAATTCAAGCTCACAATTCATTTGGTGGAAACACAAGTGAGGCTGTTAAATTGGTCCGTGGAAAGGATGACTATGTCTTCATTTATGATGGGCCAGTTGTTCGACATCTTGCCAACAATCCACCATGTGATCTGATAACAGGTAAAGATTATTTCTCAAGATTTATAACACTGTGATGAGAAATACTTAATATTTTAAGAGGGTGAGGGTGAAGGTGATGGGAAGCACGAGTGGGGGGGGGGGTGAGTTTACTATATTATTCTTGGATGTTTATACATGTACATATTACCCTGCGAGCAGAGACCGTGACATTTTCGCTGAGTGAGCTGGCGTGCGAACAGTAGCCTCTGCCGACAACCGTTCAATTTTCTATCGTGAATGCGCGAAATTCGTCACGCGATTCACAAGAAAAATTAATCCTCAGGTCTGTCGTCAAATGACGCGAGTTTCGCGGGAGTTAAAAAAATGCGACAACTCTTATCTGCTACGCAAGACTCACGCTAGACTCACGCAATGCTCTAAACCGGTCAAGAACAGGAAAAACCTGTTTTTTTCAATTTATTCGTCAATATTTCTCGACGGATTTGAACGGTTGACGGCAGAGGCTACGTTTCGCACTCCAGCTCACACAGTGCAAATGTAGCCTCTGCTCGCAAGGTATGTACATATATGCTTTATTTTTCCATTTGCTTTAGTTTTGCATCAAGGGAAGGGCGTTGTAATAATTTTTAATAACCGACTACACGTACGTGAAAAAAAAAAAAACAAATGAAAAAGAAATAAATTCCTAAAGCGGAACTGAAGGTTGCTTTCTAAAAATGTGTGGCACGGTTTAAAGTATATTTATTTTAAAAACACTCATTTACAAGTACACACAGTGTATAGTGGCAAAAAAACGAAATCTACACCTCTTATATTTCGTATATTTTAGACAGCTCTTGTGTGTCTCCCTTTTGAGTCTAGGGATTAGCAAATTTCCGGGAGTTTTACATCACAGCCCAAAATGCGCGGACGCACTTCCAACCCGTCTCCAACGGCGAATTTGATAATTATGACATAAACCAGTTTTCGACGTTTTCGTTTTCTAGTCCCAGGTTTAAGCACGGCCAAAGGACTTGGCCTCGCGTTCCAAGCGGATGATCCAGACATCACAGACTTTTCACTTGCCATTCTGCGTTTACATGAAAATAGTTTTCTAGAAAACCTAAAACGTAAATGGTGGGAATCTTCTAATGGATGTCCTCAAGAGCAAGAGACAAGTAAGACTCTACTGTATATTATACATTGCACTGTCTACTGTATAAGTGGAAGCATACGTTTCCTAACCCTTGTTTTGATACGTTGAATAAAACCTACACCTACAATTGTCACAGAGTGGCCCTGTGGTAACTTTTGGACCAGTTCCAATTTTCAGGAGGGAAATCATTCATGGAAAGCTTTGCCTGCAGAAGTTGCGGCCGTGAGTTGCAACTCAAGTACCCTAACGACCGGTTTAACTTGTTAACAACTGGTTGCTCACTTGTACGATTTCAGGGAAAATTTAAGCGGCGGAGTCGCCAGTGCTTGTGGAGGACTCCAAAATTTCCCCGACCTCGCACTAGCAGAATAGGGTTTAACCACGCAGGGTTAGCTGAGTTGGTTGAGGGATGGTCTGCAGCCCAGGACTAAGGACACAGGTTAACGTTCCATTCACATGAATCTAGAGCAATATCATCAAATAACTGAAGAATAGGCATTTTCTCTGATTACGGCTACTTGTGCCTTGGATGACCACCGTGAATTAAAATGGCTGTGTTGTCTCTAGTTTTTTTCTTAATGTTCTTGAATACTGACAAATTACGCCGTGCAAAATAATGTCAATTCTGATGAGAGTTATTAATTAAAAACATGCTTTATGCCCATATGTATGCCGTTTTCTCCACGGCGTCCATCTCAAACTTTCTGTATCACGTGATCAATCCATTTGATAACGTTTCAAACGCAAAGCTTGATGAAATACATGATGAAATCCTCCTTTCTGTATGCCTACTTTAAGCATCTTCAATATAAGGGGCTCACACGAAGGAAGGAAGATCTTAGAAGGCCGATCATCCTAGTTTCAGTCATATGTTTTCTGTAAATTCAGAGTGCATGCGAAGGGTTGCACTTGTCCCTAGCACTAGGATCTTCCTGGTACTAAATAGAGTCGTCCTAGCTGAGAGGTAAGAAGATGCTAGTACCAGGAAGTTCCTAACACCATGTTAACTGCCTTCGCTAGGAAGATGCCAGTGCATTGCATGGTCAAACCTAGCCTGCGTAGCAGGCGTCGAAAGGTATCGGGGATAGTCAAACTAGACAAAAATTGCGGCGGGTCGTTCAATGGGTAACCACGACAACAAAGGCCGACCATTTCGTTTGGCGTTTCCATTAGCTGATTTATTGTGATAACTTTGCTGTAAGGTAGTTATCATCACTAGTAAGGAGAGCAGAAAAGCTCAAATTGCCTTTTCTTTTTGGTCGCCTGCCATCTTTGATTTTCTCTATACTTGGTCACCACACGAACCAAATGTCTGCATGTAAACCCAAAGAGAAGTCGTTCCGCCTTGCAGTATGTTAAGTCGAATGCCTCAGGTCTAACTCTGCACTACTTACCAGCCGAACCCTAGGCCTTCTCACGAAAAAGGTAAATTTGTATGCGGTATAATATCTGCTCACCCAAATCTGTTGTTCGCGAATTTTGTTGTAAATCTAAGCATTTGCTTTTTTTCTTGAAGTGTTGTCCCGAAAGCGTATCGGCTTGACAAGTATGGCGGGAGTGTATGTTGTCTTGGGCGTGGGGTTGATCTTGTCATTCCTAGTGCTGATCGCAGAAATCATCTGGAAACGCAAAAAAAAGCTCAAGACGACAAGGTTAGTGGCTATCTAGGCAATATACATGTTGAAATTTCATCATGTTGATCACTGAGGGAATGAAATCGTTGCTTCTCTAATAAGACTTAGCAGACACGCTACAAATACAGTATCATAGACCACCGTAGGCAATGCACTTTACAAGCCAAAAGAAAATTTAATTGAAGGTGGAGACCCTTCCAAATTGTAAGTGCGGTGTTGCAAACTGCAATAATACTTGCAGAAATGCAACAATGATTTTAACAGAATTGCTAAAGACAGGTATGTCCTCTTTAATCAGAATAACACAGAATGCGTTCTAAACAAGAGGCTTGCGGCTGTCTCCATGTTTTTGCTGTCCCTCTAAACGACCCATACAACTTTTGGAGTCATAATTCGTACCAGCTGTCCTCTCGCTTAGAACAATGGTAATTTCGGCGTTAACAAAATTCCCCTATGTTTTTTCGTCTCCAGGTCAAATATCCGATCGATACGCATCCACCCACGAACAAAATGAGTGAGAACTTAGAACGTCTTTCAACGTATTTGTATTATATTAAGGGTATGTATGGGTTGGGACTTATTTGGTGATCTACTTGCAAACAAACGTAAAGTTTGTTGAACGAGACTAATAAAGGTAAACTTCACGAACTTCAAAACCGTAGCCGAGTGCCGTTTAAAAAATATCAGATGATTTCGATTTCTAACGCTCTCTAACAGCCAGCAAGTGTTACGTTTATTACACAGTTAATCATAACTACAACAAAATTCTCAAATCTGATTGGCTATCAACTGCCCTGATTTCAGCCTTAATTGGACAATTTAATAGGACAGTACGCGTCATGCCTAAGTAATTGGACAGTACGCGCCATTACGCGCACGCTTAAATGGCTTTTTTTCACTACTAGCAAAACAAAATTGGAATTTCTTCTGTTTTGATTTTAAAAAAGGACCGTATATATCACAAATTTTGTTACAGTTATGATTAATTGGTAACAGAACTTTGTGTCGTCCAATTCAGTCTGTAATCATACTCGTGATTAAACAAATCGTACTCCCGCTACGCGGTCGTCTGATTTTGTTAATCACTCGTATGATTACAGACCGAATTGGACTCCACTCAGTCCAGTTACCATTACTAATCACAAGTTTTAAATAGACAGTATATCTGGATAATTAAAATTAATATGAGCTAATATGTAAGTGAATTATAAGGAACGTTTCTTGATTAGGTATCAGGAAGGTAATGCAAAGATAATTTGTTAGAGAAGGCACTGTGTACAATTCATGAACTTTGCATGACGAGGAATAAAAGGAACGCACGAAATGGTTGCACGGAAATAATGGGTGTTGGTGGAAATTCCGAGAAAAGACTGCTCTTTCATATTGAAAAGAGATGGTCCGGCCGACCAGTTATGACTTTCAGAAGGCGCCCTAGGACAAGTGCTTTTAGGCATATATTTAACTCTTGTTTATATGTTTTATCTGTTGAATTTTATCTTATTATAAATTAAAGTATACACTTTTCTTCACGATTTGTTTTTAATTACTTAATTATTGCGTGGTTCTGAAAAAGGGGTGACTCAATAAAGTATGTACTGTTAGCTATTCTCACGCTCGTAAATGCTCGGTCACTTATTTTTTATAGCCTACATGACGTAAGCGTATTTTTGTGGGGCAAGCGAAATTAATTTAAAGACAAAGGAGAACAGGAAAGTAGAAATAGCAATTCTTGGGGTAACTCCTTGGGCGAAAGAAAGAGACAGAGAGGGGAGGGTAAGTTTAACTCGGCCCATCCCTCTTTTTGCAATTCAATAGAGCGAATTCAACGTGGATTCAGGCTAATTTTTCTACTTGGTTAGCTCTGAGCTTTTAACGTAGAATTCATAATCACTTCTGTTGTTGTTCTGTTGTTGGCAGCTTTGTCCGCTAACTTGTGCAGAGTGAAGAGATCTTTCAAACCATACCAGAATGAGTATAATTCAGTCAAGGACACCGAAGAAAAAGGACAAAAACCATGTGACATTGACCTGAAAATCTCCATGAAAATCTTGTTCCATTGCTCACCTACCTTTCCTTTCACCTAATCCTAAGATCCTAAAAGCTTTCCTAAAAACTCTTCCCACCAAAATGAGGCCTACTAAATGCCCAGCAAGAGAAAAAAAAAATATGCAAGAAAAGCGAAATTTTGCTTCCTGCGCATGCCCGAACTTCGCAAGCTAACAGTTTGCATCTGGATCAGAAAGCCGTAAGGTGTACAAGTTGTAGCTCTTTATAGCGCGACAGTGACCAGAAAACACTCGACTAGCTTCAAAACGCGTTTTTCGGCAAAATCTCCAGGAGCGTTCAATGGGTTAAAGCTCTCTAATTAATAAGTTACTTCGTGTTACTTAGGGCGGTTAATGTTCTGCTTACACAAAGTTAACGGAGTAAGTATAATCCCATTTTTTACTAAAAATTCCCTTGCCGATGAGTGCCAAAACCTTTTTTTTATATTTCTGTCACCTGCTTGCTTAGTTGAAATGAAATGCAAAAGGGTTAACTTGTGAAGACCATTTTTGTTTATTTCGCACAAAAGAGTTATAATTGTATTTTTTACTACGGGAAGTAAGCCAGAATATGGACTGCAAGTATGCAAGGTAATTGCTTTGTAATTTCGATTCAAAAAAACCTTTACCGTCTTAAATCCAAAGAACACTGATATTTCAAATGATTTCGAGGGGAAAAACAAAGCACTGTCCTCGGCTGGTCCACAACTTAATTTAATGCGTGATTTCCAGTGTAACCGAAAATAATCAGAGGTTTTGATGATTTCGTGCGAATTTGTATCGCATAGATAAAAGGCACAACAGGGCATATAGCTCCAGCAGATTAGTATGTTGCAATTCTCCCTCAGAAAATTAAAACCTGGCATAATATCAGTTGGATATATAGCATGTCAAACTCTTCAGTCTCAGGTTATTCAGCACAGACCTTAACAACTTACATTAAGCTGTAACCTGTAACTTATTACAATTATAGTGTTTTTTTTCTTCTTTTTCAGCTGAGACGCTACTTTTATGCGTCAATTAGTAATAAGCAGGGTGATAATTAAATTACATGCATAAACAACCCAAAGAATTGAATTAATACTATACACCACAACAAATTTAACCAAAGTTGGTGCATAATTCGCGTACGAAACAGCCAGACGGCAACTTAATCGATAAAGGTCTGTTTCTGAAGTATAAAAATGAAAAAGAAAAAAAGAGAATTAATAAATGCCTGCAGACTAGATCATCATCATTTCCTATAGATTACAAAGGATTACGACTTCCGCGGTAATTGTACTGCAATGAATGAATGTTCATGAAGAGGAGCCAGAATATTCTCATAAGTTCCGCTATTTTTTTATATTATTATTATTTTTTTTTGTCATGACTGACTGGCTTTGTTAACAAGGTTTGAGATACGCGGTGGCAACACACTATGAGGTCTCGTAAACTTCAAGGAAAAAAAAACTGACAAGGCAAGGCTCATAATATTCCGGATATATCGCAAAAACGACGAACAAATTTAAAGTTGAACATTTCGGCCTCATAAACGTGTTTGACAATGTCAGTTTCCAACTTCCTCTTTTATACAAGACAGTCTACTTAGCTGAGCCTCTGATTAAGGCAGAATGAAACAGATACTTTGAAATAAGAAGGGAGTCAGAGTTATATATAACAGGTACGAGAGCTGATACCATCTTACGAATACTATAAAAATTATAATTACTCTTGATATGAAATGTTTGTTTCAGTACCTTGACTTGTTTCCACCGTTGGTGCATTAACTTGGACGAGTGAGCAAGACCTTTCTAAAAATCTGCTCTTAATCGAGTTGTATTTAAGATGTTTCGATATAGTTTTTCGGAGACCATGCAGATCTTTCCAAGCAGCCAGCGAAATATCATTCTGACGCTACTTAAGACTAATTTGTGAAACAATTTATCACAAATATCAAAAAAAAAAAGGTTTGAGGTATATTTACGTTTCATTTGGATTCAATACAGAATTATTTTACTTGTCACGGAGGTTTGCTTAACACCACACTTTAAACTCCTGGTGTCGGATTTTCAATAGCAGGTCTAAATCGCGCAAAATCCGGCTTTTGTTGAGTTAAATTTTTCTTGTTATTGTTACCATTAGTGATATCGATTTTGACAAACGTAAAACCAAAGTCAGTCAGTGGTGGAAATTTCAAATAGCGATCGTGACAAGGATAAAATCACTTTGAACGCGATTGAAAATTATCGGTTATGGTCTCCGAAAAACTGTTCCGAAACACCTTAAATTACTATTACCGTTATGATAATTATTTGAAATCTCAGGCTAAACATTCGTTGCTTAAGAGAGTCTCGGGTGTTGTATGTGTGGGGATTTTGTTTTTGTTTTGTCCAACCAAACACGTTTTAAGATACTCAAATAAGTTTCCAAATTAAATGACTCATTCGATAATCGATTCTTATTTCCACGTTTTTTTTTTCGATTCGATTCGATTCGACAATAGATTTTTTTACTAGTTTATTAATTTTAAGATACTTTTAAGATACTTTACGCATGCCTCACTTGATATCCTGAGTGCATTCCAATGGCAACCAAACACGTTTTAAGATACTCAAATAAGTTTCCAAATTAAATGACTCATTCGATAATCGATTCTTATTTCCACGTTTTTTTTTTCGATTCGATTCGATTCGACAATAGATTTTTTTACTAGTTTATTAATTTAACTAATGACTATATTATATTCACTTCAGAGACTGAAGATGGTATGGCTAACAATCAACATTTATATATCAACAATTATTGTAGCCACGGAGGGAACAACAAGCAGAATGTTTACGTGCGGTAAGCTTTCACGAAACGCAGTAAATTGAACACCGATATAGAAATTTGTCAGGAGGTTTTTGTGTACGGTGTCTCCCGGTGTTATATTATTCTTCAAACGTCGAACCGAAGAAGTACTTACAAGGTGAATATAGGTCATCACTTATATGTGTAAACTACATGGTACTTTTTTTCATTTCTTTTTATATCTTATTTATACTGAATAATGGTTAAATACCATGTTTAAGCTCCTTCTTCTACTCTTCTTCTTTTTCTTCTTTCCAAAGAAAAAAATAAGGTTACTACAGATTATGAGTTCGATTTTCATTTCAATTTCAGATCAGCAAGTTTGTAAGAACTCGACTCAAATTGCTGTCTCAATAACTTTTTACTCTTTCCTCCTTCTCCCTCCGGCAGGTATTATTAATGCATACTCAGTGGAATATGAGGCACTGAAAATTGCAGCCAGCAATTCGTCAATCATACAAAATATTTCAATCAACGTGCAACAGTTTGACTTTTCGGAGAGTTCCCATCTGTTTAATCAAGGTATGATGACTGGGAGTAATTAATGCTTTCAAGAACGGTAAATACAAATACAAAAAAATGTTGTATTGGTAACACACAAAATATACGCCAGAAAGCCAGGACCAAAATCTTTGAGTTAATTACTGGAAGGTGCAAGCATTTTTCCCGATGTTGTAAACAGTCACATCGTCGAGTTGCGAAGCAGCTAATGCGTTAAATATGTGCAGGATTAAAGTCTGTATACCTATAATTCTTTTTTGTAAGTTTTTATGCTGACAACAAGGTCTGTAAACGGAAAATCGATGAAGACGATCAGTTAAATCTGAATAATACTGTTGGACAATTAAAATCAGAATTGTCATGGGCAAATTTCTACCGCCTGTGAGTCTCATTAAGCTTAAGTGACATCCGAGTTCGACAAAATAAACCGAGAAAAGAAAGCACTGTTTAATCACTAGTGTTTGGACCTCACGAAGCTTCTCCTTTGCCGCTTATTTGCTAATTTTCAGCAATAATATCTCTTTCAGCGTCAAATCTTATTCAACAAAACATAGCTGTCCTTATAGAGGGAAGCAAGGCAAAAACCCCAGCATGTGCCTTCTCTATAATAACTGGCATTCCTCTAATCAAGCTGCAAGAAAACAGCCATCCATTTGAACAATGTGGAAATGCAATAAAGATGGCAGCGGACTACAGAGACTTTACGCATGCCTCACTTGATATCCTGAGTGCATTCCAATGGCAAACGATTGCAATAGTATTTGATGGTAAATTTCAGCTTGTGTCTTTATGGAATGATAATTGTGTTGGTTTGTCTACTCAAAGAACTGCATTTTATACATACATTATGTCTGTATAGCTTGATGATAGGATTTATAGCTGGTTGCATAGCAAAGAAAATTATCTAATTTTCTATGCGGACGTCACGTGTACAAGTGGCTGTAAAAGCCTAACGCCATTATAGCAAAAGCTATTCAAAGATTTTTTTTGGGGGGGTGGCCGAATAAAATAATAGGGAAAAACTTTATTTTTCTTTTCTTCTCTTTTTTGAATCAACATAAATTCTAAAACCTACAAAGGATGATATAGGAGAAGTTTCACGTGTACAAGTGGTTGTAAATGACTAACGCCATTATAGCAAAAGCTATTCAAAGATTTTTTTTGGGGGGGGGGGGGTGGCCGAATAAAATAATAGGGAAAAACATTATTTTTCTTTTCTTCTCTTTTTTGAATCAACATAAATTCTAAAACCTACAAAGCATGATATAGGAGAAGTTTCAATTTATCATAAACAAACTCTCTTACCGGTTTATTTTTATTCTGTTTCTTTTTTCCTTTTTCCCAGGAACCAGGTTGATTCTAGAAAAGCAGAAACAATAAAACAGATTTATCTTCTCTCTTTTTAGAGAAACGTATGTACCAGGCCAACTATTTTTACGCGCTGTCTCGAAAATTAACGGTGCCAGCACTATCTGTGAACCTAATCCCTTTTACTGGGCAAGGGAGACCTGAAGATACAATGGGATCTATTTTGGGAGTGATGGATGAATTAAGAAGTATTGAGCCCGAAATAATTATGCTCTACGCTACAAGGGAAAGCACTGAACTCTTTCTACAACAGGTGATAGTCGATGTAGCTTTATATTCCGTGAGCACTATGATCTTTAAGGCCCTTGACTTTGATAAAGAGACATCCGTCATGTTATGTTTAAATAGCTGAAAAGATTTTTTGCTAAGACTGTTTTATGTTTTATAAGGTAACACAGAAAATTTTGCATCGACAGTTGTTATTTTGCTGTTGTTGTTGTTGTTGTCGTCGTAGAATAAAGAATATCACTTTTTTTTCTTTCACAAAGAAACCATGCAACCACAAGAAAGATTTCAAATGGATACTTCAGGGAGAGGTATGAAAAAGGAGATGTCCAAGTAAGGACCTCAAAGACATTTAAAGAAGACCGCCAACTCATCATCATCATCATAATCAATGTCATCATCATCATCATTATTATCATATTCATTAAAATGATCATCACTATCAATCTTGAATTAATCATCACCATCATCATTAACTCAATCATCGCGAACGAAAATAATCCGGTGGTCAAAACTAATCTGCGCAAGAAAAAAAAAACTTGTCAACGCAGCACACTGCATGGAGCGCTTCGATTTTCATACAATTTTTCAGAAAGAGTCTAAGTTATTGATCAATCCTTCTTCATTTTCCTCAACATGACGTAAATATATTGTTTGACTTTCAGATTTCACTAAACTTAAGCAGCCATGGAAACAATGTAGTTCTAGCAATAAATATTCCATACATCAAAGACCAAGTTTTTGAGGAGATGGAGAATAACCTCAAAATAACCTACAACAATACCAACAAGGTATGTCGTGCTATTCTGTGATTTTATACAACCCGTGAGCGAGCGTTCTGTTAGAGAATCGAAGATTTAAATTCTTTACAAAGTTAATAAGGGCGTTTGATGTTTTTCTAGTATCGATATGTCTTTACGCACAACCCTAAGCGATGTCTTTATATGAGTAAAAGTGTTGGCTTTCCGAACGAGGCCAAAATCTACAATTTCCACCCCTATGCGAGACGACAAGTACGCACATCACTTTATCGGAGTCCCCCCTGCGGTATCCTAATTTATTTCGCTTTGAAATTAATAATGAATCAATGAATGTCGTATATATTCCTGTTTTTCGATTGAATTAATGGAGAGATGCTTATTTTTTCAGGGGCTTCTTGCACTAGCTTACGATTCCGTCCAAGTTCTAAAACAAGCATTGAACGAACAGCCATGCTCCTCTATTAATGGGACGGCCGTTACTATGAACGATACAGCGAAAATATTAGCTTGCATAAGAAAGGTAACCAGCGTTGAATTAGATATTGGAACGTTATCATATGAAAGTCTAATTCTAATAATTCTTTTCCAGACGTTTTACAAATATACCCTTAACTGAATCTTAGTCAGGATGAAACTGATTACGACAGTTGGCACTTGAATCTCATTCAACTCCATGTGGCAATTCACGGAAGCTATATTTTTTAGTTAGATTAGCAAAAAACCCTTGATACCATGGGTTATCTAAGACCATTACATTTATTAAAAGGCATTTCAAGGCAAGTGAGCTTGACTTCCAATAGTGAGTTAAAAATTTTCATTTATTAACTATTCTTAACTGCCCGTCCCTCTAGATTTTAGTCTCTTAGCTGTCGTCATTTCTGTGTCTTCACCAATGACCACTGTGTTTAACAGGTTGACATGAGTGGCAGAACAGGAAAAGTCAAGTTTGACGAGAAAGGAAGTAGAAAGGAGGTTAATCTGGAAATTCTAAACCTACAAAACAATTCTTTTAAAGGAGTAAGTATTCTCCATTGGTTAACTTGCTTATACGGTGTGCTTGTAATTGCTAGCAAAACTGCTGGCGTACAATTTAAAGTATATCGCTTGTATTCAAGATATAGTGTGGGAGAGAATGCATAATTATATCGTGCATTGATTGTTTCTAAGAAAACGGTACTTTTATAGAATGAAGCTAAGACATTTATTTGTTGTCCGGACCTAGAATCGTAATATTTTGTTTCTTTATGTAATATACTTCTAAGTGTTGTGAAGTATTTTGAAAGTAATTTTTAAGACGGATCTATCTTAACTTTTGAGTTTAGTTTTTGTTTCATTAAGTCTTGTTTTTGTCCACGTACTGTTTTCCTGTTTTGATCTTTTGTTTTACTTGTACTTGAAGTTATGCTTAGCTCCCGAATTTACTTATTGCCATATTAGGAATGTTACAGGTGGTCGTGTTTGTGGTGTTAGAGCTGACCTTCGTTATTTGGTACCTATCAGCTGCGGCTGTGCGTAGGCTAGACTATTCCCTGACAATAGCAAACCTGTTGCAATGTTAGCGATAAGAAATACAATGGAAACTCTTCCGGCCAGCTAACCCAAACACGTCCAGCTTTGGCTATTAAAACCGCTACTATGCTTGAACTAGTGAGTAGAGAAGAGTAGGAAAAGTAGAGTAGAAGTAGTGTAAGCAGAAGTTGTAAGAAGATTAAGAAGAATAAAAGCAAGATGTAAATCAGATTCCTGGTACCTCGTCGTGTAGCGAGCGAGTTGCTCGAACACACCCCCACATATTTTGGTGGAGAACCCGTTATTTTGGAGGAGAACGCGTTATTTTGGTGAAGAGTCCGGAGTCTGTTTGGAGGAGAACTTTCTTATTTTGCTGAGCATGGTTTGGTGTGAGCAAGTGAAGAGTACAAGATCAGCCCCTGGAAATCGGTAAGTGCTAAGAACTTTACCATTGCAAGCAACTGAGAAGTCATATGTAGCATAAGAGTTATATTTAAAACAGAATAATAATGCCAAAGTCTCGTTTTTAAGTAATGAATAGGCCCGTTGTTGAGTTTCCACTATTTTATGGCGACGAGAGAGAAGATGTTCGTGAGTTTCTTGGCAATTATAGACGCGCCGGTTTGTTAAATGGTTGGGATGAAGAAAAATTAGCGCTTGGTCTTCCCCTTTTTCTAAAAAAACACGCTAGCGTGTGGTTTAAAACTTTAACAGAAGCCGATGAAAATGAGTCGTTTCAAGTTTTGTCTCAAAAATTAATTTCTCATTTTGAATCAAAAGTAACTCTATGGCAGTTGAGGCAAAAATTAGAAGAACGTCGTCAGTTGTTAGGGGAGACTGTTGCCGATTATTATTACGATATTCTTTCATTCTGCTCCCGTCTAAATTTACCTGAAAGTGAATGGCTTTATTGTTTTGTACGTGGTTTAAGGCCTGAAATAAGTGAACATGTTATTTTACAACAACCGCCTGATTTGGAGTCTGCATTGAACATTGCAAAACTTAAAGAGTTAGTAACTCTTAGCCGTAAATCAAATAATGGTCAAGAAGTCGAGAATTTTGAAGAATTACAGTCTAACCCCTCAGAAGAGGAAGTCAAACAGTCTGTCGGGGAAGAATTTAATGTTTGTAGTACAGATGTCCAAAATAATGGAAATCGTCGTATTAATCGTAAATTTCGATCGGGCAAACTTAATCGTTTTCGTTATGGGGGCAGCGTTTTCAGAAAGAATCCTAAATTGGGCAGTTATAGAAGTTCGAAACCCAACTTTAGAGGCCTGTATCGGAGAAACAATATGAAGAATGCTCTTCACCAGGGTAAAATGGGCGCTCAGTTAAACTGGCTGGCGCCCCTATCGTGTGTGGTAGTGAACCCTTGATGGGGGCGCTTGAAAATTCTACAAGTAATAACCATTCTTCCGTCGGATCTAGTTCTGATAAATGTGCTTTCAGTAACTCTGGAAATTCGGCCGAGAATGTTACTAAAAAGAATGTTCAAGAGTTTAGCCATGTTTTGTCTAATCCCTGTGAGCCTATTGTTACGCCAAAGTCTAAAATGTTTAAACCTCAAGTTTCCGTCACATGTCAACATGAGTGTTCTCAAGGCTGCCAACCTCAAGATGTCCCTAATGAAAATATTATGTTTGGAGTTATTAAGTGTCTTTCTCAGGTCATAACAAAATTTGATAGTGTAATTGCTGGGTCATCGCCAAATGAAAAAGAAAATGGTCATTCGCCACATGTACCTATGTTTTCCCCTAAAAGTGAAGTCATTTATGAGAAGTCTTCAAGTGAAAATTTATCTCGAGACGTCCGTAAAGAAGAAATTAAAAAAGATGAACAGTTGGCGCCTGAGTCTAAAAATGAAGAAAATTTTGAAGTAAATATCGTTGGGGCTAAAAATAATGTTTGTAGTGAGTGTCGTGGCTTATCTGTCGCAAGTAGCCCAGAGACAGGGGCATATGTGACTGATGTGACTGACAGGGTTTCTTTGCCTGTCACGTCCAGTAAAATTGATTCTATTCATCCTTTCGAGAGTGACAATTTTAATGTAAGTGTAACAATAAAGGGAAATAGTTGTCGTGCTCTCCTTGACACAGGAGCAGCTGTAACAGCAATTAGTTCTCAAGTTTGGGACAAGTATCTTAGTCACGAAAATTGTTGTTTAAATTCCTTGTCGACCTGTTGTGTAACGACTGTAAGTGGTTCTTCTCTTAGCGTTCTTGGTAAAGTATGGCTCAATTTTGTTATTAAGTCTGGTGTTTTTCCTTTTGAAGCCTATGTTATCAAAGATTTAACTCATGACGTTGTTTTGGGCAGAGATTTTCTTCAAAAACATTGTTCGAGAATTGATTTTATGGAGAACATCATTGAATTTTCCCACCCCGAGGATCCCCTCCCCTTTGCTGATTGTTTTGGTGATGATTTGGATGCTGAAGTTTTTGATCAATGTATTTTGTCAGTGCATGCTGATAATTCTTTTACTATTCCCGCTCAATCAGAAGTCGTTGTCATTGGTAGATTAAGTTCAATGCCGAAAGGTGTAAACACAAGTGCCAGTGAAATTTATGGATTGGTCACGCCTAAGTCTGATTTGCCTCACCGTTACTCAGTTTTTGGAGCGTCAGAGCTCGTAAAGGTTTCTAATGATGCAACTATTCCTGTTAGGATGGTAAACCCTTCCGCTCAACCAGTTAAAATTTTTCGTAGGACTAAATTGGCAGATTTTGAGCGTGTTGACAATGACGTAGCAACATTTGAGATTGGCAAAAATTCCCCTTCTTCGGATGCTCAACATAATTCTTCAGATGATCTGCAACAGCCAAAAGATTATTCAGAGTTTCCTGATTTGTCGAATAGTATTCTGAATGATGATGAGAAAGTAAAATTTAAGAATTTGTTTAATAAATATCGTAATGTTTTTGCTTTTCCTGGGGATCAGTTGGGTAGAACATCCCTTGTACAGCATGTCATTGATACCGGTGATGCTATGCCTATTAAGCAAAGGCCGTATAGAGTATCTCCTGATGTTAAGAAAGAGATTGACCGTCAGGTGGAAGAAATGCTTGAAAAAGGAATAATTCAAGAGTCTGTCTCTCCTTGGAGCTCTCCAGTTGTTTTGGTAAAAAAGAAGGATGGGTCATTTAGATTTTGTGTTGATTTTCGTAAAGTTAATAAAGTCACTAAAGTAGATAGCTTTCCAATGCCTTTAGTTGCTGATGCGCTAGATTCTTTAGCTGGTGCAAACGTGTTTTCCGTGTTGGATCTAAAAAGTGGTTTTTGGCAAATACAAATGCAGAAGGAATCGCAACAAAAGACAACCTTTTCTACTCACAATGGCCTTTATGAATTTCTCACAATGCCGTTTGGATTAGTGAATTCAGGAGCCAGTTTTCAGAGGTTTATGGGTCATATTTTGAGAGGCTTAGAATACCGTTTTGCTTTGATTTACATCGATGATATAATCATTTTCTCTAAGTCTGTAGATGAGCATTTAAACCATTTGGAGGAAGTTTTTAGGAGATTGCGTGACGCCAATGTTAAGTTAAATCCAAAGAAGTGCAGTTTTGTTAAACAAAGAGTAGAGTATCTTGGTCACGTAGTTACGCCAGAAGGCATTAGTCCCAACCCAGACAAAGTAAGGGTGGTTCAGGAATACCCCACCCCCACAAATCTGAAGGAATTGAGAAGTTTCTTAGGCCTTGCTAATTATTACAGACGTTTTGTAAGAGGTTTTTCACATATTGCCAACCCTTTGAATGCTTTGACAAAGAAGAACATTCCTTTTGTTTGGACTGTAGCTTGTGCTGAGGCTTTTGACCAGCTTAAGCGTGCCTTAGTTTCTGCACCCATTTTGGCATATCCTAATTTTCGGGAACCATTTTTGCTATTTGTTGATGCTAGCTCCACTGGTATTGGTTTTACCTTGGCACAAATTCAAAATGGAAAAGAAGTAGTCATTTCTTACAGTGGTCGTGGTTTGAATCAGGCAGAGCAAAATTATAGTACCACAGAAAGAGAAGCTCTCGCATTAGTTGAGGGTATTAAGAAATTTCAGCCCTATTTACATAATCATAAGTTTACTGTTGTTACTGATCATAGTTCTCTTCGTTGGTTAATGAATGTTAAAGATGCCTCTGGTCGTCTTGCTAGATGGGCCTTACTTTTGCAACAATATGACTTAAATATTGTTCATCGCCCTGGTAGAATCCATGGTAATGCTGATTGTTTGTCTAGACGTCCTTATGATTCTTGTGAAATGAGTTCGCTTAAGAAAGAACCTCAAACGCCCCACACTCAAGAAATGCAAAGAAGAGATCCTGAATTAGCTGTAATGATTGATTTTCTAGAGAATGATATCCTACCTACTAACGATAAAGATGCACGCAAGATTTTACTCACTAGCGATAATTTTTATATTGGTCAAGATGCTTTGCTTTACCACATTGATTTTAATCGAATGCGTAATGCTCGTGAGTCTTTTTCTCAGCTTGTTGTCCCAGCTGCATTACGTTTTGAAATTCTCTCTAATGTACATGATCATATTGCCGGAGCTCATTTTGGTTTGAACAAAACTTTTACTAAACTTAAGCAAAGATACTGGTGGAAAGGTATGTTTAAAGATGTAGAACATTGGGTCAAGTCTTGCGTTGAGTGTTCAATGAGGAAGTCTCCACGAAATTCGAAAAAGGCACCTTTACTTCCGATTCCAGTCGAGGGTGCATTTGACAGAGTGGCTGTTGATGTTTTAGGTCCTTTTCCACCTTCTAGTAAAGGCAGTAGGTATATTGTAGTTTTTAGTGATTATTTAACTCGTTGGGTCGAAGCATTCCCAGTGCCTAGTGTCGAAGCAACTGTTATTGCACGTCTTTTGATTGATGAAATTATTTCTAGACATGGGGCACCACGTGTATTGCTCTCTGACAGGGGGACTAACTTTTTATCTAAGGTCATTGCAGAAGTTTGTAAAATATTTCAAATTCAAAAGGTCAATACTTCTAGTTATCACCCACAGACCGATGGTCTTGTAGAAAGGTTTAATTCTACCTTGTGTCAGTCTTTGTCAATGTACGTTTCCAAAAACCAGAAAGATTGGGACGAGTTTATACCGCTTGTTTTGTTTGCGCATAGGACTTCTGTTTTAGATGCAATTGGGGATTCTCCTTTTTACGTTCTTTATGGGCGAGAGCCACGCTTGCCAATTGACGTTAAGTATTTGCCTCCTGCGGCTGATGATTTGAGTACTTCGGTCCTTGACTATCGAAAACGTGTTGTCGAAAAAGTCGAATTGGCTCAAAATTTAGCGAGAGAAAATTTACAACGTGCACAACAAAAAATGAAGGATTATTATGATCAAAAGACAAAACAACCTGTTTTTGAAGTTGGACAACGTGTTTGGGTTTATACCCCGAGAACTAGAAAAGGGTTATCCAAAAAGTTAATGCATAATTGGTTGGGTCCATACAGAATTGTTGAGAAATTGTCACCGGTTCACTTTAAGTTGCGCACGACCACCAATAAAAAAGTTGCTTTTTCGTGTCACGCAAATCGTATGAAGCCATTTGTTGATCCTAATTTGAGACCAATTGACCCTCCGCCTTTTGATGACCCTGCCGAGCAGTACATTAATGAATCTGATATTCCAAAAGATTGTTTTGAGTAAAGTTCTGCTGAACTGAATCCTAAAGACACTGACTTAAATCCAGTAAGTATTGAGACGCAATTGTCCCCACAGCCTCAAAAAGAGAACGAGTCAAACAAAGAATCATATCGCGAAAAGACAAAGAATCAACTTCAAAATGCAAAAGAATCAACTCCGGAAGCAATTGTTATTGACAATGAAACTGTATTTAGTGCAGAAAAAATTCTAAAACATCGAAAGAGAAATGGAAAGGTCGAGTACTTGGTCAAGTGGCTCTTCTTTCCTAAGAGCCAATCAACGTGGGAACTGGAACACCATATTTTGGATAGACGTCTCATTGATAATTATCTTCAATCACAAAAATAATTTTAGTTTTTGTACTCTGCCTTGCTGCTTGGCTTATATTTCTTTGATTTTCTCTTACCCATGAATTGAGTTCGGTAATACCCAAAATATTCTTGTCCATGAATTTATGAACGCCTTCTCCCCGTTTATCAAGTCTGTCAATAATCTTTTTGTAAGTTGTTATTTACATTATATCATGAATTTGATAAGTTTTTGAAGTCAGAACTTCACCATCTGTTATTAGTCAGTTTTCCATTAGTGTCTGAAGTGTTGTTATAAACACAGCTATTAAGTTCTTCATTAAGCAAGTTGAGTAGTTGTTCAATGGTCAGTATCAAGTTATGCGCACCTGAAATTATTGCATCTAATGTCTTTTTAAAATCTTTTGATCTATTAGCTTCTATATTCATGTTTTGTTTCTCTGGCTAGTTTGATTAACTTGTTTGTGTAAAATAGTTATTATAACCTTAGACGTCGGAAATTAGATAATTAGATATATTACGTGCTTTGTAATAGATATTTTGCAAAGTTGCTTGCATTGGTATTTCGTCATGTATTCAATCACCGATTCTTCTGTTCTTCTTCGATGGCTTTTCGGTGAATTTTCGTCGCTTTTGAACTACTGAAATGGATCTGAGCATTACTCGATTGTTTGTCTCCAAGAAGTCTAAACACACTTTGATTACTCCGCATGGCATTGGCTACTCTGTTTAGTCGAGTTTGACCCCTTCTTTGTTACAGTTAAGCAGAACTGTTCTTGTTGATACTTATCACTGGTCAGTACATCCTGTCTTCATCAGACGAGTTCGCTTCATTTGGAGCTGTGTTTCATAACAAGAATTATCAGTGATTTACAAACAAGATAGCCTTGTCTTCCAAGTATGCGTTCTCCGCTACATTCAAGTTGAAATGGCATTTCTAGCTACCGTATGTATGCTAATACAGGATGATTTATGCTGTTAATTCTCAAGGTTTTCAAGTGGTTCTCTTTTCAAGTCCTTCACAAGAACACTGTCATCAATTTATTTAGCTCAAGTTTTCAAGTCTCAAGACTCAAGAACAATGAATTGAACACTCAACTATTGACATTGAACTGTTGACATTGTTTAAATTAACCTTGTGTAGTGTGGTAGTTTTGTGTTGATATTTAACGCACTTGTTTCCCATTTATATGTATTACGTCCTTTTGCATCGAGGACGATGCTTTTTCTAAGGGGGGAGGAATGTTGTGAAGTATTTTGAAAGTAATTTTTAAGACGGATCTATCTTAACTTTTGAGTTTAGTTTTTGTTTCATTAAGTCTTGTTTTTGTCCACGTACTGTTTTCCTGTTTTGATCTTTTGTTTTACTTGTACTTGAAGTTATGCTTAGCTCCCGAATTTACTTATTGCCATATTAGGAATGTTACAGGTGGTCGTGTTTGTGGTGTTAGAGCTGACCTTCGTTATTTGGTACCTATCAGCTGCGGCTGTGCGTAGGCTAGACTATTCCCTGACAATAGCAAACCTGTTGCAATGTTAGCGATAAGAAATACAATGGAAACTCTTCCGGCCAGCTAACCCAAACACGTCCAGCTTTGGCTATTAAAACCGCTACTATGCTTGAACTAGTGAGTAGAGAAGAGTAGGAAAAGTAGAGTAGAAGTAGTGTAAGCAGAAGTTGTAAGAAGATTAAGAAGAATAAAAGCAAGATGTAAATCAGATTCCTGGTACCTCGTCGTGTAGCGAGCGAGTTGCTCGAACACACCCCCACATAAGTATAAAGAAGCTAACAATTGCGATTCTAGGCCTAGACTCTGACTAGGCCTGGCGAGTCAGTTTAAGGCTTAAGGTAATTATTTTCCGTTTTCCTTAAGAACAGCACAAAACATATTTTTATAGAACATCTTTACCCAGCACAGTATTTGCTTGTCTGAGAGTTATTTATTATATGAACTAGCAACATTAATTGAATGATCATGATAATTAAACTCCATTGTCGCTCGTAGATAGGTACGTGGAATTCAACGACAGGTGTTACGATGTTTGGAAATATTTTACGTAACTCAAAACCTTCATCTACTGCAGAAACTTTGGAAGGGAAAAAGTTGAGAGTTGTCATAGTGGAGGTAAAAAAGCCTTTAATTAAGACTGTGATTACGAGATTAGCTATGGGTGCAAAAAATGAATAACATAACACAACAAATTCGAAGCAAATGCTTAAGTCCAGGGCCCAGTTGTTCGAAGGCCGATTAGCGCTTAACCCGGGGTTAAATTTAACCCAGGTTTCTTTTTCTTGAGTTCAAAAGCATTTTCTCGGATAATTTTCTGTGCTATTTTTAGAGCTTCTGTGAGATGACGTAATTGCAATTTAGAGAACTCGTGACCTGTGTCACGTGACTTGTAAGATCTTCGACAGCGTGCGACATGGAAAAGGTTTTAAAAAGTGCGGAAAGGGTTAAAAAAACACTGTAACTGTCTGGACTTTGGGTCCATTACTTCCAGCATATTAAAGCGTTGTTTAAAATCAGTCGTTCGAGCCTGGCAACATTTTGGCGACCCTGCCAGGACGAACAGTTCGTGTGGAAATTCGTACTCACAAACAGATGTGATCGAAGGAAATTACCGATCGACTGCTTGGCTTGTGTATCATCTTCTGCGGTGGAATATATGTTGTTGATTCTGTGACAAGAAAGGTCTTACGGTAGTCGAAACAACCAAGATGAATTCAGAGCTCGAAGAACTGCAACTTCAAGTTGAGGGAGGAATTTGTAAGCTCCCGATATCGGAAATGGAGCAGCTAGCGGAGCACGTGGGCCTGGAATCAAAGGAATACAAAGGGAAAAGTAAGCTTGCCATGTCACGGATCGTTCGTTCGAAAGTCGAGGATGAGCTTGGAAAAGCCGAAGACAAGACTGAGTATCTCACAGCACTCCAGAATTTTATCTCTGGGACACCACCACCACTCGAAGAATCATCGAACAGCGAGGATCAAAACAAAGAATCGGTGAAAGCACTAATGACGGAATACGAAACTCTACGTAAACAATTCGAGGCAATGATGGCGTCTTGCAAAAAGAAAATGGAGGAGGCATCGGTAAAATTCGAGGACGAAAAATCGACTACGCCAGCTGCTACAACTTCAAAGCCAAAGGAAGGTAGCGTAGTGTCACTTGTAGATGTAAAAACTGCTCTTCGGAGAGATTTTAAGATTGTGGGTGTCATTGGAGGGGAGGAACAGAAGGACCGGTTGTCCTTCGTCAGTTTAATTCGCCAGATTGATACAGGGCTAGAGAAAGCATACAAAGAACGGGAGATTATTGACGGTGTTATCCGTGCTATCAGCCCCAGCTTAAAGTTAAGGTCATACTTAGAAACCATGAAGGAACTTACCCTGCCGAAATTAAGACAAATGTTACGAGCCCATTACAAACAGAAGTCGGGCACGGAACTATACCAAGAACTAACAACCATGTGCCAGTCACCAAAGGAAAGAGAAAGGATGTTACTGGCGATGGCATGTATGTTAGTCACCTAACACCGAATCAACACGCCAAAGTAGTTAAATTGGTGGGAAAGAGATGTATGGTTCAGTGTGTTATGAACAATGTTCAGACTGAAGCTCTGTGGGACACCGGTGCCCAAGTTTCTATTGTTTCTAAGGATTGGGTTGCTCAGAACCTGCCCACAGCTGAGAGACGCCAAATTAACGAACTGTTAGATAAAGGACTTGATCTGAAAGCTGCCAATGGTAGTGAAATCCCATATGAAGGCTGGATTGAAGTTTCATTCAAACTTGCGACCTCGGACGACAAACCTGGTATGTCAGTACCCTTCCTGATTTCTACGGATCCTTTGGACCACCCTATTGTCGGATACAATGTCATTGAAGAAATTGTTAAAAACCCGGATAGTCATTTTCGTAACAGCCATGAAGAGACACTACTCAGCGCCCTTAACTCTAGCCTTCCGAATGCAAAGCAAGAGAATGTTGAAGCTTTGATTAATCTCATTAGGACAACCACTCCAAGTGAACTGTGTAGCGTGAAAGTAACGAAAAGAGATGTGTTAGTTCCGAAGAATGAGACAATGGTAGTCACTTGCTCCGCGAATACTGGCCCAATCGAATCAAGATTTCCAGTATTGTTCGAACCAGATGTTGAGTCACCTTGGCCATCAGGGCTTGAAGTCCCAGAAACATTAGTAACGCTCAGAGGTGGCGCTTCATCACGAGTTGGCATTCAAGTGAGAAATATCACAGACCATGACATCATCTTGAAAAACAGGACGGTATTAGGCAAACTTGAACTAATTAAATCCGTAACACCGCTTGAAGTACGGGAGAGAGAGGAGGAGGAAAGTTCAGCAGACTGTGTTCTTCATGCAGACAAGTTATTGGCAGAGGATGAACAGCAGAGAAGGAAACCTCAAGCGCCTGTTATGCAGGGATGTCAAAGTGAGACTAGTAATCCACTTCCAGATGTGGATTTAGGAGACCTGTCAAGAGATCAGAAAACTGTAGTATTGAACATGTTAAGAGAGGAAGCAGACTCCTTTTCGAAAAATGATGAGGATGTAGGGTGCGCAGAAGGTCTACAGCTCAATATTAACTTGTCAGACAGTCGTCCAGTTCAGAAGAACTACACAGCAGTGCCAAAGCCCTTGTACCCAGAAGTTAAACAATATGTTGAAGATTTACTCAATCGTGGATGGGTGCGGAAGTCTCGTTCGGCATACTCGTCACCAGTGGTATGTGTTAGGAAAAAGGATGGTTCTCTGCGACTATGTGTGGACTTTCGTGAGCTGAACAAGAGAACAGAACCCGACCGACACCCACTTCCACGTGTAAAAAAACGACGATCGAGAATTTGGGGAAACAAGTGGTTTCTCTTTTAGACCAAGGCAAGGCTTACCACCAGGGATTTGTTAACCCTCAGTGCCAACATATGACTGCATTTGTGACGCCTTGGGGTCTTTACGAGTGGGTTCGGATCCCGTTCGGTCTCAGGAACGCTCCGGCAGAATTTCAAAGATACATGGAAAACTGTCTAGACGGACTCAGGGATAATATTTGTGTGCCTTACCTGGACGATGTGATTGTCTTTAGTAAGACTTTCGACGAACACGTAGAAAATTTACGAACAGTTTTGCGGAGGCTGCGTTCACATGGAATAAAGCTTAAAGCCAAAAAGTGCAAGTTGTTTCAGAGAGAGGTTAATTATCTGGGCAGAGTTGTATCGGCAGATGGATATCGAGTTGATCCTTCAAACACCAAAGCGGTTCTTGCACTGAAAGAAACTAGTCCGAAAACGGTTGGAGACGTCCGGAAACTCTTGGGCTTGTTGGGATACTACCGCAGGTACATCCAGGACTTCTCGAGGGTTGCGCAACCGCTATTCAAACTCCTGAAAACACCAGAGATTAATGGTAAGAGACCTCCGATGGAAACAGCAAGGCGTGGTCAGAAAGGACATGGGACACAAGCACAATCTAACCGTACCATCTATTGGACACAGGAACACCAAGGGGCGTTGGAGAGACTTTTGGACTGTCTTGTTAACCCGCCAATCCTCGGATACCCGGATTATAGCCTTCCATTTGTTCTGCACACAGATGCGTCGAACGACGGCCTTGGCGCAGTACTTTATCAGCGCCAGTCTGGAATCATGCGTGTAATAGGATACGGATCCAGGACCCTTACCCCCGCTGAGAGAAACTACCACCTTCACTCTGGGAAATTGGAGTTTCTAGCTTTGAAATGGGCCATCTGTGAACAGTTTAGGGATTACTTGTACTATGCGCCATCATTTACAGTTTACACTGACAACAACCCCCTAACCTATGTTTTGTCCACTGCTAAACTTAATTCAACCGGACATCGCTGGGTGTCAGAACTTGCAGATTACAATTTTGATATCAAGTATCGGCCCGGTAAAGTGAACAAGGATGCTGACACATTGTCAAGATTTCCTTTGGATATCAACCAGTACATCCCTAGCTGTACCCAGGAGACATCGCAGGAGGTGATCAGTGCGACATTGTCTGGTATAATGGCACTACAGGATGGTGGGACGGTTTGGATAACCGCGGTCAGTGACAGGACTGAGATGTTGAACTTTGATTCTGATCTTCTCGATTTCAGTAAATATGACAAGATTGAGCCCGCGTTATTCTGGAAAGTCAGCAGCGAGATCCAAGTATTGGCAGAGTGTTGGCATACAAATTAAATGGACACAAACCGGCAGCCCATGAAATTTGTAAAGAACGCCTGTACACCAGAAAGTTGCTGCGTGAATGGCCAAAGTTGGAGGTTGGAAAAGATGGGCTTTTGAGAAGAAAGTGTGGAGAGTATTTACAGTTGGTGCTGCCGAAGACATTCCACTCATTGGTGTACAAGGAGTTACATCAGGAGATGGGTCATTTGGGGGTGGAGAGAGTGCTACAATTAGCTCGTGAGAGGTTTTACTGGCCCTACATGCAGCGTGACATTACTCACTTTGTGACTCGGGTGTGCAGTTGTCTGAAGCAAAGGCGACCAAATATCTCCACTCGTGCTCCTCTCCAACCTATTGTCACAAATGCACCGTTTGAGTTAATATCCATAGACTATCTGCACCTGGAAAGAAGCTCCGGCGGTCACGAATACATTCTGGTCATCGTTGATCACTTCACACGATTCGCACAAAGTCGTCCCCAGCGTGTCCGTCATCCGCCAAGAATGTTTACATACGATACACTGGGAGAGCCAACTATCTGTGGTGTCCGGGCCGCTTCAAACCCTGTCCCTGGATGGTGCTGTCAACCATTCCAATCACCCTGGATACAACCTATGTTTCAGTACCCTGCACAACCATATTATGGTCCTCTGGCATACCCACCCTGTATACAGATGATTCATGTGTAATTTGCATGCACATATTGACTGCCCAAGACTCTCATTGACGTTGTTGTTGAACTGATTATTTAATTACCTGCCTTTTGTGCTGTTGTGCCTTTCAAACAGGCGCATGAATGATATTGTTATCATGGAACTATGACTGTGCCTAGTCATTTATTGAATCACGTGCGAACAGGGATAGGTTTTGATTACGTATTTGCATAAGTTTTGTTGTATAAAATACCGGAGTAATGCATGAGATTTGTTGGGAGGCGAGAACTCCACTGAACATTGTAACAAATGTCACAGAGGACATTTTTAAAGTCGGGGAGTGTGTGAGATGACGTAATTGCAATTTAGAGAACTCGTGACCTGTGTCACGTGACTTGTAAGATCTTCGACAGCGTGCGACATGGAAAAGGTTTTAAAAAGTGCGGAAAGGGTTAAAAAAACACTGTAACTGTCTGGACTTTGGGTCCATTACTTCCAGCATATTAAAGCGTTGTTTAAAATCAGTCGTTCGAGCCTGGCAACACTTCCAATCATCAACTTGTAGACAAAAAGAATTAAAACTGAAATGCTTTCTAAGCTTTCATATCTGAATTCAAATATCGCACTAACCCTGGGTTATCTTAACCCAGTTTTGAACAACTCGGCCCTGGGGGATTAACTTGTATGTCCTTGAGTTGAGGTATGTTTAGTATCATGTTATGAAGCCGGGGGTTAATTAATCATACAAATTGACGTTTCTATTTCTTTTCCTTCTCCAAAACAGAACGAACCTTTTGTTATGAAGAAACAAGATGGTGACAGCGTATGGTATGAAGGGTATAGCATCGATCTTTTCAAAGAACTGGCAAAAATTCTCAAGTTTACATATGAGTTCTACCCTACGCCTGACGGATATTATGGCGCTAAAACGGAAAATGGAACATGGAACGGATTGGTTGGGGAGCTCATAGGAAAGGTAGATTATTTTGTTTATGAAAATTTATACCCAAAAGAATGTGATACCAGGGTTGAGACTTCAGAAACGAGCACTAGACGACCCTTGGGAGGGGAGTACTTGGATTAATTTTTGCTGGCTATGCGCCGCTGGCCTCTCAGAATCCCTAGCCCATTACAGTCTGATTTTCAATTTTTTTCAGATTCAGGTTTTTTTTTATATTTATTGCACTATTTCAAGAGTTTACTATGAAACAAATTACAATACACTACAAATTAAAATTAAAAAAACATTAAATTAGTACATAAATCTATTCTGTGGCCATATCAGAGACCCCATTTTAGTCACTTTAGGAAAAAAAAAAGTAATTTTTGCAATCCCAACTTAGTCACTTTCTGTTTATGCATCTACCTCACAATTAGCCTTCTAGCTAGGTCATCCTAAAATGAACTGGCACATTTGTTAAACTGACTGTGGTGTAAATCTTTCGATTTCTAAATCCCTTAATAATGAATTTTCTGACCCCCAGAATCCTCAAAATGACTGCAACCCCAGTCTAGTAACTCGTATAAAAACGCCATAATAGTCAACCCAGGCGTGAAAAGGAGACCCCATCCCGCGGCACATAGCCATTAGCCTACTACTAGGTAGACACCTCCCGGATAGACAACCTAGACCGAAATTGGTTACTAACAGAACATGGAAATAACAATAAGTGAGCTCCATGAGCTACTCTAAAATTCAGAGAGATACAGCCTCTACTCTTTTATTATTGGTTTAGAACGATTATTTGGCCTCGAAAGATGAATTTTCCAAATATAGCTTGGAAGTCCTATATGCTGTCGTGACCCACTGCCCTCTAAGGGAGATAGAGGTCTGGCGCGAGGTTCCTTCGTAACAACATTTTCATTAACAGGACTTGCCTCTTTTTTTTTCTCCTTAGAAAGCTGATGTTGTCGTAGCTTCACTAACTGTCACCGAACTTAGGGCGAAGGTGGTGGACTTCACTGTCCCATTCATGTTTTACACTAATGATATTTTAATGAAAAAATCCTCAAAGGAACACCACGATTTGTTGCAGTTCATGAGCCCATTTCACAATAGCGTTTGGTTCTGTACTTTGGGCACGCTGGTTCTAATTTCTGTAGCCGTGTTTGCAATAAACTACTACAGTCCTTATGGGTACAAAGACGAAAGTGGCCATAGAACCTCGGATGAGTTCAGCTATTTCAATAGTCTGTGGTTTGCTGTGGCCTGTATGCTGCAACAAGGCGGTGATAACACGCCACGAAGCCTATCAGGTTTTTTCTCCTTCTCGTTCTTGTTGTTGATTGCTTTAAATTTGTATCCGGCTATAGCTAATTTAACCCACGGAAAATATGCACAATATGATACCTGATAATAATGACAAGTACCTAGTTTCTTTGATGGCGCTCAACTGTGGCAATCAACATCCTCAACAATACTTTAGTTCAGTGTTGTGAAGAAAAGGCAACTCCCTTACTGCGATCTTAAGCAACTGAGAAGGGCAAAATACAAAATTAAAAAGCATGGACCTTCGCTTGGTCTGTTTATAAGGCTGATTCAACAATATATATTCCTTTTATTTTAGGCCGAATTCTGACCGGATGTTACTGGTTTTGCATTTTGATCTGGGTCTCAACGTACACTGCCAATCTGGCCGCCTTCTTTACCGTGAAAAACGCGGAGCGCCCTATTAACAACCTGAAAGACCTGGCAAAGTCAAATTATGAAGTTGGAGTCGTTCATTCAGGTTCAACTTACCAGGCTTTTAAAGAAAGCCAATACGAGACACACAAAACGATTTGGCATAGGATGGAGGCTGCAAATACCTTCCTCCCCAGCATAGCTGAAGGTGTTCAATGGGTCAGGGAAAGGGAGAAATTTGCTTTTATTTCTGAAGGACTCACTCTCAGGCATGCGGCTAAGAAGCCACCTTGCAACCTTAAAACAGGTAACTATTTCACATTCGTTGAAAGAAATAGTCTGTTAAATTAAGAAACTTTAGTCCTTATCGCATTACCTGAGTGCATGTGAATATTCATTCAAAACTGTAACTCAACTCCAATAGACTGCTATATACCAGCAAGTCATGATAATTTTATCAGCTTGATGTCAAACAACTAGAGAATCCTTAGTATAATCGGCCCTCTCAACTTATTGTATTCTATCGTATCTAGTATTTTCCTTACAAAAACAATTATCTATCACACTTAAACCTAACTTGTTTCCTTTTCCTTAATAAAAAAAAGTTTGATAGAGTCGCTTCTTTGTAGTAACTATTGAATTAGTTATTATGAAAAAAAGACACACTGTGCAAAAATAGTTGGCAGTTTTGCCAGGGTCACTCGCATATAAGAGGTATAAGGTCATGAAAGCCACCCTGACAAAATAAAAGATATGGAAAATGCATGTTCGAGGCCATGTACAACCAAGATTGCCATGGCTACACAACCATTTCATTATTACCTTAGTTTGTTTGTTTGTTTCTACAAATGGCTTCTGTTTGTTAGTTCCAGGTTTAAGTTCAACCAGTGGGTTAGCGTTCGCTCTTCAAGCAAATGATCCTCATACCAGGGAATTTACGCTAGCCATTCTACGTCTTCAAAGGACTCATGTTCTCGAGGATTTGTATCGAAAATGGTGGCAAACATCTAACAGTTGTGTCGATGAAGAGAATACACGTAAGAAGAAGTTGATGGAGTCTGAGAGAATTTCGTGCCTTATTTCCAAAAGAGAAATGAGGTAGCACCGGTGTTAAATCAGGCTAATTCGAAAATTGGCAAACTTTTGTTAGGCTCAGAACTTGATAATGACAACCCTTGTAAGGAAAATCGATATTACAGACTGGTATTCAACAGATCGATTCCCTTTTTTATTTCGTCAGTTTACCTGGCGATACATAGGCATTCATGATAGGTCAAACAATAATTATTGGCTAAGTTAACAAGACAAATTGATTCTTTAGAGCCATAGGCGTACGGGCAGTTTTCGGCCAGGAGGGGGGGAAGGGGGTAAACCATTTGCCCAAAAAATTCTTGCAAGTTGCCCAAATTTTTACAAAACAGTCGAAAAGAAACGAGGGCCGTACGATGCAACAACATAGGCCATACTTGCATATGAAAGTTCCTCGATACAGTTTTCAGGGTCAATACCTGCCAAGTTTGAGCATAAACTACGTCGCCATAAACAAACATTTGGAAAAATTGCCACCACAGTTGTATTAGATAAAGATGAAAATTTGTCATAATCAGGGTTGCAATGACATCAGAGTTGTCATAGCAACGAAATGACGCCATTACCTATTACACTTGCAGCATTATTTCTCACTATGAAATCGTTCACCGGAGTTTTTTCCTCCAATAGTCGCCTTGATGTTCGTGAAGTTAAAATGGAATTTGTAAGAGCGTTATCGGGATATTTTGCGATAAAGTTTGTATGTGTAATCAAATGGTGACGAGTGAAATTAGGGAATAATTTCACGCGCGTTTTGTACAAATCCTAAAAGGCTCGGGAAATTATAAGGATTTGGACAAAACGCGCGTGAAGTTATTCCCTAATTTCACGAGTATACCATTTGATTTCCTATTAATATCACGGGTGACGAATTACGTTAGCAACCGAGGATTTTTGACTTGTTTACCTGGATCGTATCGATCGATCGTGAACTCCACTCTCAAACGTTTAGAGCTAAAATTTGGCTTAAGTTTTCAGAATTTTTCCACAACATGCCTCTAAGAATCCTTCTTGATGTGCTCTTTCGCGTGTTCAGGTTTTCTAACGCGTCTTTTTATGCCCTGTCATCTTCATTCATGACATTTTAAAACTTCGTCGCCATCTTGAAACGGAGACGTACGGCAGGTTGCCATGGCAATTTAGTAATTTCACATGTGAAATTACAAATTAACGCTGAAATTTCGCGCCAAAATTAAGGAGTAATTCGTTACCTATGATATTATTGTAGTTAGAAATACAGTAAAAAAAGGAAAATCTTAATGTTTAGCAGTTATCTGTAGAAGCGCTTTTGACATGCAATTTCTCCTCATTAGTAGCTTCAATCTTTTTAAAAATGTGTATGAATTATTTGAGAGATAATTCTGGTCAATTGCTACAAAGAAGGATTTCATTAGTATGTATCATGGCCCTCTTGTTAGCGGTTTTGTAAACAGTTCGGTCTAATTTAACAAATAAGTGAATAATTTGAATCATTTGATATATTTTTTGAAAAAAATTAAGATTCTTCTGGTAATTCAAAGTGAGAATTAGTCAGCCACTTCCTCACTTTCTGATCGATCGCTGGTGCTATCTGCCATACACTGTTCTACAAGCGGAGATGATTCTAGAAAGTTAGGCGGAAGTTCATTCCAATAAATTCACGATTGGAAATAGCCCATTGCAGTACAGTGCCCAACGATAAAGAAAAACTCAGTATACGATACCCTTCCCTTATAAACAGAAACTCATCACGTGCTTGGCAACCACTGTCTCGTGTGAATGTAACTGGATTATTACGCCGACTTCGGGTTAAAATAGAAAATATTTATCTCTTCAAAATACTAATAACATGAAAACGTCTTTAAAAGCTGGCTTTGCCCAAATTTTCTCATGCTGCCCAAAAAATCTGAGTTGCCCAAAATTTGGGGGGTCTGCAGCCCCCCTCGCCCCCCCGGCCCGGACGCCTATGTTTAGAGCAGCTTAGAGTCTCTGCTTTTAGGTAATTTATCAAAGGAGCACAGCAAAGGATATTTAAGAGCTGTGCACCTGACCTTTATAACTTAATATGGGGATAAGATCCGTGATAACTGATGCAGTTTCATCTCAACTGCACTTTGTTAACTAGCGGTGAACTTTGCACCCTATTATTATTTATAAATGTTCCTGCTTTCAGTAAACATTGTCGTCTGCTTTCTTTCACTTCAGTTTTGGCTCAGAAGCAGATTGATCTGAAAAGTATGCTTGGTGTGTATATTGTTCTTTTTGGTGGGATAGTCTTAGCATTCATCACACTAATAGCCGAGATATACTGGGAGAGAAGAATAAGGAGAAGAGTTCTTGACACACTTCGAAGGTAATTAAAAAAAATAACAACTGAGCACAATGGACCAAACATACTGCACTTAAAATTATTGAATAACGATGATTAATGACCTGAGATTTCACTAATCAAAAAGCACTGCGCATGTCAGCTATTCAAAGTAATTAGAAAAGGACAAGGACGATGATTGTTATTTCTAACTTTTTTACTTTTTTTACTTTTTTTTCACTTCTAGATGCAAGACAAAGATTTCTGCTAAAACGAACAGCTAGAGAAAAAGTTATGAAACACACTTTTCGTGGCATTGAAATAAGCAATGTTCGGTGTGTCAAATCTATCTTTAGCAAATCAAATGTCTGCTGTATGGTTTCCTGACAAATCATTTAATATAGCAATTAATGAATGAGGCTGAGTAGGATCCACCGAGGCCGAAGGCCGAGGCGGATAACACCTTCCGAGATCTGCATAATTCTTTATATCCTACGAAAGCCGAATTCATTAATTGCTTATTATTCATTCAAAATAGTTCCTAGTTTAAGAACAAGCTATAACATGCTTACCTTCGTCGATGTTAAGTTCACCTCGATAATGCACGCTTAGAAGATAAAGGGCTGTTCGCTTCTGCAAATATACTTCAAGTAGCAGATGTTGTCCGTCGAGTTGTTTTCTTGCTATGTTTTTAGACGATAGTTCGTCGTGAAACGAGTAAAATATTCCGCCGACTGTTCGGCCATTTTTCTTTTCACAACCAAAACAACTCAACCTCGTCCTCAGGTCTTCTCGGTTAACGGTGCATTAACCTGCAACTGTGCTGCCCTTTTAACGTAATCGGTTGATTGATTGCTACATTCTTCCAAATTTGGTCAACAGTAGCTGGTTACGGTGACTAATGTGATTGCTTTTAGCCAATCAGAAACGGAGAAATATTTTGAATGAATAATAATTTTTAAAATGAATTTATTAATGCCAGTGTACAGCAGTAACAATACTGGCTGCATGTCCTAAATTACTTGGGGTATAGATATTGCTGTATTGTATTGTTATTTGTTGTAAGGTGAAGTCAAATTAAATGACGCTTTCAATTGTAACTATAAACAGTGTGTGGTTACTTTATAGTACTCCCTCAATCATCTTGTCACGCGGGTCTCTAAAGTCCTGAAACTGCGAAGTTTTGCTTATTGCTTTTTCTTAACTCTCTAAAAGCCGCAAAGTGCTTTTATGCTTTTATTAACATGTCAACTTTTTAAGCAGAAAATATCGTACGATAAAGCTACATTCGATAAATGTATGCTTTCATAAAGTCCTATTTGAACTTACTTACATGGAATTTCTGAGATGAAGTTGGGCTATCGTCTTGAATGTTTAAAAGCTATAACCAACTGCAAAAAGACTTGAGCTGACTCCGCAATATATTTGGCCTGAGTAATTGGTATTTTTCGGTCTTTGCAAGAATTATTCCCCTGTCACCCTTATAAGCTTTGGGTTAATAAGGCTTCCAAAATCGTAAAAAGAAATTGCAATGAGAACTTTGAAGAAGGAAGAGGGGGAATCCCTTGTAATTCTGTCTCCGATGGACACTTTTTTTTCCAGCAAAAGTGTGTCAAACTTTTTGCAATTAGCTGCAGTGCGTTAGTTTCTCGCGGGCTGTGACTGGCTGTAGTGTGTTAATTTTCCTTGAGCTATGATGCTTGACCTGCGCAGTACAGTCAACGTTTCTGAAATAGTAGTTGTTACACAACTATGGAGTAGAAAACATAAATAAATGAAGATAGTGCAGATTGCTTGTAAATCATTAAACACTTTTATGTACTGATGATTCCTCATAACCCTCCTAGATTTGAAAACACTATAATCCAAATCCAATCTAGAAGGATTTTTATATATGTTGCACCGCCGTAGCCAGTATGAGGCGAACCGAGGCATTCGCCTCGGTAAAATTTTATCAAATGCTGTCGATTTTTATTTTTTTTATCAGACTGATAATATTAGAAGATTTTATACGGCTGATTTCGTACAACGGACCGTGTGTTCGCCTCGGTTGTAGTTTCTTCCTGGCTACGGCCCTGTGTTATGTTATGTAATGCATGGATGACAGGATAACAGTAGGCGTTTCTCTTACATTGAACATATACAGTAAGATTAGGCATCACCTTTTTGCTCTATGTTCAAAGTTATCCACAATTTTAAATACGGGATAATTACATATTACCAATAGTTCTTTCGGTTGCATATAGCTCATAACCACAATAATCCATAACGTCGCACTAGCTGTTAATTATCTAATCTACTTTTAAATGACAAGAATTCAAATGGGTTGGCCTGCAAACAGTTAGTCTCGCCTTTTGAAAGCAGCTGTCTTATCAGGTGGGTTCAACGTCCAAATGGTAGGGGTCAATGCGTTAACAAATTTGGTTGCCTGGCTAGTCAAACCGAATAACACATATTAACCTCAAGGTAAGTATAATTTTCTCGTTTTTTCTCGCTTTTTAAACTTAATTTTTATTTATCAAACCTAAATTTCATTTTGCCTGCCCACTATAAACTTTTATTTTACTTTATTTTTAGAAAATTAGCACACAATCTGTACACCAACATTTTTAGGACCGATTTATTAGCTTAAATGAGTTAGGCGAAACAGTGATAAGAAAATTAGAGAAACCGATGTTGGAAATTGGAATATACGGTAAATATACAAAAAAGGGATTATACCAGAAGTGCTCATAAAAATATAATCTTCTAAGTTTCAATAGTTATTGTTGGAAAAGTAAATTTATCGTACGGTTGTAACGACTTCAAGCCGATCTACGCTATGGTTACAAGAGTAATTGATGTTGTTTGGAATTCAAAGGAGATTTTTTTGTATTTTCCACACGTCATAATTTCATATAGAAAAATTAAAACGATTAATTCTTAAAAGATAAATAGCCGAAACTGGCCGCATGGAACCAGATTCCTGATCTTTATTAGGTAGCTTTCAAGTTTGCCAAAGTAAAGAAGAAAAATCAGCTGCTTCCACGTATAATTAAGGAGATCTCCCAAGAGGATATACCCACGGTAGGAAACTTAAAACGTTGTTTGTGTGCGCCATACTCCTACAAGAAAGATAAAAACAGTTACTTTAGTGGCCTTTTTCATGTTTTAAAAGCGGCACTGATTCATATTTTTTTTATTCCCTTTCTAGTTGACTGCACTTGGTAGTGTTCTAATTTTCTTAATTTGTAACAAAAAGATGCGTTGGAATACGGTCTTTATCTTTACATTGGTAATTATATTCACGATCCTGGCGAATGTGAAAACGACAAATAGAACATTTACTTGCGGTAGGTCTGGATCAAAGGTAGTTCTCAGATAGAGTATTTTTCCATATCTAATCGTAATGTGTAGCACCGGTCAACTATGTTCACTAGATTTTCAGAATTTTGCTCAAAATTACAAATTTATGACAACTTTCTAAAACCTTCATACTCCCAGCTTTATGTATTTTGCGAGGATGAATATCTATCACAACAATAATTTCAGTTCCTAAACCAAATAAAACCAAACATAGTTCTTTTAATTTTTAAGATCTTGCTTGTTTCTTTTTTCAAGAAAACCTCTTAGTGCAACGCTTTCTAGACCTCGACAGGACCAGAATGAGTTGCTTTCATTTATTTTTAAACAATTGTCCTGCCTCAGGACATTATTGGTGCCCAAGGATGACAAACCAAGCATCGGTATTACTTCATGATTTTATACGTTGTGTCCCCCCACATCATGTTGAGGGTCTCAATGGGGTTAACCGTCAGCCGTGAAAAAGGCCTAAAATTTAACCGTCAACCGTCAAAAAAAGTTATTTTTTACCGTCAACCGACAAAAATGCAGTGTAATATGAAGTGTCAAAACGTTTCAGATCTCGCTATTTCAGATGATCTTCACGGACTTCTGGCTCCTGAAGAATCTCTCAACTGGAAAACCAGTTTCCATGTTCTCAAAAACACTCTCTCTTGAAATTGCAAGACCTGACTTGCTTACACCTGAAAGTATTTCGAAATTTTGTATTTGAAAGGCCAAGGCAACCACCAAACCAGAACAGTTAATAAAAACGTATAGGGAATTAATATTTAACTTGACCCTTGGACTAAATTTCCGCTCTGTCAACCGTCAAAAGCTCTAAAATTAAACTGTCATCCGTCAAAATTGAAAAAAAAAAAAAACCGTCAACTGACGTCAAAGCTACCTCCTGGGATACAACTGCCTGATTCTTGGCATCACCATCGGGATACATGTGTATTTTGTCAAGGCCACGTGACCAAGCATCAACCAATGGCAGTCCCTTTTCAGTCGAGAGAAACTCTGGGAATATGTCAAATAACGTTTTACGAGAGTTAAGTAAACCTTAATTCTGTACAAGGAAAGGATAATTGCCATTATAACTTTGTCTGATCTCTGTTCTTTCCATAGCTGTTATAAATGTGCACTCAGTAGAATGCGATACAGTTATGATTGCTCTTAGTTCCAATTCGTCAACGGAGAATAATATTACACTTAACGTTCAAAAGTTCGACTTCTCAGAGAACTCCCACTATTTCAATCACGGTAAGTGATAGTATTGTCACAGAATAAATTCATAGGAAGATATCAGATCAGTATATTGGGCAAAAAAAACACAAAATGGTAGAAGTTGTATTTAATGCTTTACACTGCATGACTTAAAATAGAAATCACATCCAGTGAATTGGACAAACTATCAATATTCTCCTCCGTGCAGTTTACTAGAGCGCTGAACTGGCCCAGAGTTCAATTCCCGCCCTGACCGCTGACCGGATTTGTTCTCAGTAGTCCCCAGATCAAATCCTCGAACACTGTTGTAAATAGTCAAATGGTTTGCCTCCGGCCAGATGAGATTCCTTAACCCCATTATGTTTGATTTAAATTATCTGTTTCTGGCTTCTGCTCTACCCCACTAGCATTAGTGCTAGAAATACTGTTGTTTTAATCTCTTCTAAACCCGTCTTGTTTAGTCGCTATATTTCAATGATATAAAAAAAGGATTTCTTATGTAAACGGGTTTGTTTCTATTAACATGGCCTACAAAGAAGGACTGATTGGCGCTCTTGAAAACTTAATAACAAAATAAAGAAATTGTAATAGTTGGGAAAACCCAGCGATTTTACTATTCAGAGTTTTAGCCAATCGCAGTCGATCTCCTTCGGCAGAATATTCAGATTTTAAAATATAGGCGTTGCTTTTTAATTTTTGTTCGGTCACATCACTTTATTTTCAGCGTCAGCATTTATTGCACAAAACGTCGCCGTTCTTATAGAGGGAAGCAACACAAAGATTCCCGCATGTGAACTCTCTAAAATTACTGGCATTCCTCTTATCCGACTCCATGAAGACAACAGACCATTCGAACAATGTGGGAAAGCAGTGACCATGGCAGCAGACTATAAATACTACGCCTATGCCTCACTTGATATACTAAGCAAATTCCAGTGGCAGAAGATTGCACTAGTATTCGATGGTAAAAGTTAATCTACTAATATTATACACTTAATGTAAGGTTCCGAAGGAAACAGTTAGTTTTGTTTTCCCGAGAGTCCTGATGTTTCCCGAGATGAAGTCGAGGGACTCGAGGTAACAAATGAATAACCGGTGGAGCGAACCAAAACAGTCGACTCCGTACTTATAACAACACAAATCTAATTCTCAGAATCACTGAATGAATGATTTACAAACAACTTTCCTCATATTATCTGCATCTTTTTCCTCCACTAGCTGCTGTTTCTCTTCTGAGATAACTTTAAAAATCGTTGCTTTTTACCTTGAGGTAGCCTGCGAAAACATCCGTTTCTCCTAGCTCTTCGCCGATGGGAACGTTTCGCTCGGAGGAAAGTCTGCGACTCAGCGACAGAAATTCCATACTGATGACGTAAAATCTGTCCGGAATCCGGTCAGAAGCGCTGATTGGTCGACGAAGTAGTTACATTGTTTTAGCTATTGTTTACGAATGACAGACAAAAGACAAAAGGCCACAAAGGTCAAATGTAAACGCGAAGAATCTCGAACAAAACAGTCAATGTTTGTGGAAAAATAGTCTTCTCTAAAAGAAGCACGTGAGTTTTGCTGGAGCTCGTTGGCAGATGAACACAACAATGTGCCAAAATTGACCAGAAGACACGTAAAATTGGACAAATTTGTATTTGGAACCCCATGACTACTGGATTTATTATGTAAACATTGGATTGCGTCATCAGTATGGAATTTCTGTCGCTGAGTCGCAGACGTTCCTCCTCGCGAAACGTCCCCGGCGGCGAAGAGCGAGGAGAAACGGATGTTTTCGCAGGCTAACCTTGAGGCTTCGTGTTTGTGTTGTTGTGTTCAATCACGAAAAAGAAAACTGGCGGTGTTTTTCCCGCCTTCTGTGACGCCACTTTTCACCATGCTTTGATCACGTGCTGTAATGTATCCCGAGGGTACATTGCTTAATGTATCACGATCGGGATCCATTTGATTTTAGTCAAGGCCGCGTGACCAATAATCAACCAATGGCAGTCCCTTTTTAGTTGATTGAAAGTCTAGGAATATAACAGCTACGGTTCAGAAAACGGGCAACAAAAACGTGGAACCTGTTAACATTGCTACAAAACGAGTTGTATAAATAGCCAACAGGAATTTAACAAAATCAGGTTGCCATGGATTTTTTTAACACTGGGTTTATGTTTTGATGCCATAATTTTCTTTATTAAATATGCTCTAAGATGAAAGTTCTCAGAAAATAAAAATGTTCTATTTCCTTGAAAACTTTGGTGTCACTTTTTACCACTACTGCCCCTGTACAATGCCCATTTTCCTCTGTACGCAATTATGCAAAGGGTGTTGCAAAGACGCTCGACCGTATGCACGAAACATTTTCATTACCACTGAAAATTTTTCACAACAATCACGAAATAAGATGAATAATCTAAAATGACTTGAAACTAAAACCCATCTGTTAACAGATCACAACGTAACCAATCGACACCACAAGGTGATTTACCTTATATCTTTTAGAGAACCGTTTTCAAGAAGCGAGTTATTTTTACGTCCTGTCCGGAAAATCAGCACTGTCTGTAAACTTAATCCAGCTCGCTGGGGGAGACCGAAACGCATCTATTTTGGCAGCGATGGAAGAAGTTAGAAGACTGGAACCTGAAGTTATACTGCTTTTTACTACAAGGGAAAACACTGAAATCATGCTACAGCAGGTAATGTTTGCTTAAAAGCTGCCGTGTCTAACGCTAAGTTCTTTCAAACTCACTTTTCCCGGGTTAACAGCTCTGTTAATAATAAAAATTGAGCAACTTAAACGACAGCAACGATTCACTTGCCAACTTTATACACTGGCTATACTACTGCCGAATTAGCAATTAAGGCTGTTCGAGATGGGTTACATACATATACTAAGTTTGTTGAGCGTCCCTGGCTTTTCAGTAACTGAGTAGGTTATATTTACAATACTGGGGGAAAAAATAAGTTCGAGAAGAAAGGACAAGATCTGAGACAAAACCAAAGGAATGAAAGATTATAAACCTTATCTGTGAACTGTACTTTGTTCTGAGAAATAACTTAACTGAATAACTGATATCATCATACCTTATGATCAGTATTAGATGTAATGTAGATTCCTTGCATAAAAACGGATGGTTCAAAGGGACAGAACGAAAACAAAGCTGAACAGTTCTTTGTTGTTTGGTTTAAAAATAAGAGGATTACTTTGCTCTAATTTTAATGACAGAAACCTTTCCTGCAGAGGGACGGATTGAAATGGTTACTTCAAGGACAGGTATGAAAAAGGCCCGTGGAAAGGGTACTCCCTTATATGACCTATACGGGGATGCATATGTGCCGCTAGACAGGGTATGGTTTTTGAACTCTCTGTCCTAAACAGGGTGTATAATTTCGAGCGAGTCTGTTCTAATTGTAAACAGGGTATTGGCTGCACAATTGATCTGTATGATTTGTTTGATAAAATTTGTGTGTCTTGCAAGTATACAAAGCAAGGAACTTTAATTTGAACTATTGCAATTGCCAATATTAAATTGCTTTAAACAAGACGGCATGCATTTTGTCCTTTGTCCTAAACAGGGTAATAAAAATGAAGACTCTTTTTCCTCTGCACAGTGTTAGTGTTTCAAACCCTCAGCCGCTCACCCATATGCACATATTGGTCGAGTACCCGCCTCCCCCCCCCTTCACCCCTCCCCCCCCCCTTCGCCACGCGCCCCTCACCTCCCTAGGGAGAAAAGTCTGAGAAGTTACATGAAACGATTCGCAAAACCTTACAGGAACACCAAATCTCTCAACTTAGAGAAACCAGAATGCAACCCGGGCTGTAACTAACCCGGCCCTTTCCCAACCAATCCGTGGCTTGGTTGCACTTGGTTTGAGTTTAATTATTTACGTACTTTTAAATTACTGAGCTTTGCGTAAAACAGTACCGTAAACAGCTTTCAATAAAAGATTAGCGTGTTTCACACCGTAGAAATTTGCCCTTTCATCATAAAAAGTGCGAGGCAATGACCCAAATGAGATTGTTCTTCGTTGTTTAGATTCCATTGAACTTAAGAAGTCATGAAAACAATGTGGTTCTGGCAATGAAGCTTCCATATATTGAAAGCCAAGATCTAAATAAAATGAAAAGCATCGTTCAAAGAACGAACAAAAATGTCAGTAAGGTATGTTGAACTTTGCATTTTTGTATTGCTTGATCAATTCAACTCACAAGAAGTAGCGTTGATTTACATTGAAGGCCAGTTGGTCGGGGATGCAGGGAAAATACTGAACAAAGTTTTGTACTGGAGAACTACGGCCCAGGTCATATCACCGCTAGTAATCCTTTCATATGCAGTGACCGTGAAACCTCGATATAACGAACCTCTATTGTAACGAAACACCAGTCCTAGTTCGGTAAAACGAGCGATTTTCTTTTGCCCAGTAATAATATTGGTAAAGTATATGGAAAAGAACCTTAATATAACGAAACCTCGTTTCCGAAAGCATTTGACCCTTCGTTTCTTCGAGTTTAACTCTATATCGGTCTTTTTTATACTTTAGGAAACGTTTCACTGAAACCCACTCAAATACCCTTTCATGTATTCGATGCAACCATAGGGTGAGCACCTCAGTTAACTTAAGATCAGGTTTTACTTTCGTTACAAATACTGACAGGAAAGGCGACAGAGCTGCGAGAGAACTAATAAACCGCCACTGTATAAACGACTTATTGAAGGAACCAAGCAAAACTAACCACGAGAGAACGACTGGACAACTGGAGATTTGACTAACACTAAATGACTGTTTTTCTGAGACAATAGGCGGATCGAAACGCAAAAAAGGCCTACGAGTCTTCATAGCGAATAACTTCACAGCTTAACTGACAGACTACCAATAACATAGCGACTTAATTGACCAATCAGGTCAATAACCATGAGTTTAATACCATCAACTGGGGTGATACAACTCACTTTGACTCTGAAGATAACTACCGCTCAGGTTGTCGAGACGTCAGTCAATATCAACAACAACAGTCCTATTCCGGACTACGTTCACCCGGACGATCATACTCAACCCACTTAAATGACTCCTAGGTTCAAAACACAAAAGTGGGTCGGATATATATCATTCAGGTTCGTTAATCAAAATCCCTAACAATCTTTTGCAGTGCCTGAAACCTGAGAAAATGTATCCCTTCCAGGTGGGGCCTCCTTGATAAAGGGGAAAAGGGGGAGGATGCATATCACATGTGAATTACCTTATTATAGGAAATTAACGCTCCATGAAATTAAGGTATTGGAAATTAACGCGACTTAAATTCACGCGAATTTAATGCAAAACGACTTTCGAATAAAGGAAATTAACGCGATTAAGACACAGTTGGTGGTAACAACTGGAACCGGATTATTTCAACACTGGATGCAAAAAAATTCAAAACTGAGCTGACATCACTTCTGACTGCGACAACGATGAAGATGAACTCGAAATATTGTAACCCTTCGCCTTAGCTTTTGTGAAAGATGAAAAATAAAGGGTAAATGGAAAGAAAGAAAGCTTGTAGTTAATGTTTTTTAGGTGTCAAGAATGTCTGGACAGGTTCCAAAATTGGGGTTAAAAGACTGGAAATTAAGAGCGCCGAAAATTAACGCTGCACTTAATTAACGTCGCGGAAATTAACGCCCAACAAAATTAACGCGACTTAAATTAACGCGAATTTTAACGATTCCCGTTAATTTCATGGAGCGTTAATTTCCTATAATAAGGTACTTCTTATTTTGAGCCTCCACAAAACTGATTGAAAATCATTTACTTTCTTAGGAATTTTTTGCACTTGCTTACGATTCTTCACAAGTTCTGAAGCAAGCGCTGAACAAAGAACTATGCTCTGTTATTAACGACACGGCCCTTACTCTAGACGATAAGGAGACGTTATCAACTTGTATAAAGAAGGTAACTATTTAACTTTTCTACGTAATGACATATTAATTTTATCTAAACCTGCTATAATTGATCCGGCCTCAGCTGCTGAGAGGTGGCTTCACCAGTTTTTTTCTTTCTTTAGAACCTAATTGTTTTCTTTCTATTTATTATAATAATTAATAATAAAGTCGCCGTCAAATCCAGTTAGCCGTCTCACGGAGGGATTTGAACCCGCGGCCTTGAGACTACTTATAAGTGCAGCTCTCTGACCTCTCATCCACTCTGCCATCTTAAATAAGCCATTTGCACGACGGCGTCATCATACTACTACTACGACCGCAATCCCTTTCGTTTTTCCTTTCATATTTAAATTTAGTAATCCCAGGGATATTTTAATACGAAAAGTCCTAATTTGTACAACGAAGCAAAACCATGAAGGTTCTGGTCGTAGTAGTAAAATAACGTAATGTGCACATGGCATTTTGTTAAGGGAGGCAGCCCATTAGTTGTCCTCACTGTAATTTGTTTTTCATCTTTATGAATAGGTGAAATTGAATGGCAAGACAGGGAAAGTCCAGTTTGACGAGAATGGAAATAGGAAAGAAATTAATCTGGATATTTTGAATCTACAAAACAATTCCTTTCAAAGGGTAAGTACAAGTGTTGTATGCCTAACGTCATTATTCAATGTGCAAAGTAAGAAAGAAAGCAATTATCAATGAAAGTAAAAAGTTCTTTTAGTGATAAAACTATGTGAAATATTTTACGAATATGGGCGAGAGGGAAACTATCTTTTCGATGATCCCGAAGTCAAGTTTAGGAATACATGGAGATTTTAAAGGGAAAAAAATAACTGGCTTTCTGAGGGACAAGTCTTTAAGTCAGATTTGCAATGTAGTCAACTAGTAGAAATTTCTACGAGTACGAATTGACCAATTCGTCCCTTATTAATTGCTAAACCGCCCCTAAACGCTCCTGCGGATCCAAGTCCCTTGAACCACTTGTTTAGTCATCAGTTTTAACGGTCATAGCAACTTTGTGATCTCACTTGTGCAGAAAGGAAAAGATCTTTCAAGCTCTGCCAGAGTGGGCACGATTCAGTCAGTCACGAATCATGGTAAAGTTGACCCAAAAGTTCCAATGAAAATCTTATGCCATTAGCATGGGAAGATGCATGCCAATCGCCTAAGATTTACGCTTTTTTTTTTTTTTTTTTTTTTTTGACAACAGTAAAGCTACAACTGCCTGATTTTTTGTTTGTAGATAGGAACGTGGAATTCAACCAAAGGTGCATCAATGTTTGGAAATATTTTACCAAACGTGAATCTTCCATCCGCCGGAAAATCTTTGGAGGGAACAAAGTTGAGAGTTGTTACTGTGGAGGTAATGGAGACTTTAAGTTTGCACCCAGTGCATACCGGTTACCATAGCAAAGCTTAGCTCAAGATGGACATGACTCGCGTTCGTGAAATTAAATTATTTTAATCTAGTAAGATACAATCAAAAGATGAACTTCCAGGTTAGTATGAACTGTAAAAAGTGGGGGCGTTTTGGTGACTACAATACGGTACTCTTTTTTGGGTCTAATTTGACTCCCTTAATCGGGGCCTTTGCAGTCCAATTACCTAGGGCTGATTTGGACCCAAGGGCTGAGTCCCAGGGTAGGCTGAAACTGATTCATTTGATAGCGTTGTTTTGGCTTAAATTGTGCTCAAAAAAGCTCTACAAGACGGTGAATCAGACTTTGTCCTGCTGGGCTAAATTGGCACTTTTACTGGTGAAATATGATCGATGTTGGCAGCACGTGCACCTTTTTTAAGCATTTTGCTACGTAATAGATTAGAATAAACATATCATGACATATGGAGGTCTCTTGATTGACAAAAATTTGTTACTTTTAAACTCTAATTCAGAGCCCACCCTACGTTGTGCAGAAACAGGATGGTGGCAGCATATGGTATGAAGGATATTGCATAGACCTTTTCGAGGAATTGGCTAAAATTCTCAAGTTTTCATATGAGATCTACCCCTCACCTGACGGGTTTTATGGCGCTGAAACTGAAAATGGTACATGGGATGGAATGATTGGGGAACTCATATCGAAGGTTTGCAAAATCATTTTTTTTTTTTAATTTTGTGTCTCATAGATAACAGGGTTGGTAGTTGACAAATTGCTGGAAGGTTAGAACAAGAGAGGGAGAGAGTTTCATGCTGTTAATTTTGTGGAATTATTGATAAATGAGATCTTTTATTACTTTTACTATAATTATTTAACAAACATGGTTATCGATATTCAGGTCTTATCTTTATAACTTATGGCTTTTAGTATTGTAAAGGACTTGGAGAGTTATGATAATGGCAACGTAAGCTTTGTATTATTATTCTCATAATATAATGCGTTTGCTGCAATTTTTTAGATTTATAAAACAAAACTCTAACTGGATCAAAACGTGCGTCATGGTAAAACTACACTAGTTTACAAACTCTGCATGGAAATGATAATGATTGCAGAATCATGAGCTCGATGATTAACTGACAGTCACTGGTCAGGAGCTTTGTAATCATGAACAGTGATATTTTCATAGCATGCGGCATCCTTTTCTTTCAGCGCGCTGATGTCAGTGTAGCTTCTCTGACAGTAAATTTCCATCGAAAAAAAGTGGTGGATTTTACTATCCCTTACATGTTTTACATGAACGAAATGTTGATGAAGAAAACTTCCTCAAAAGAAGACATGGACCTACTGCAGTTCATGAGCCCATTTCACAATAACATTTGGTTTTGCACTTTGGCAACGTTGGTTATCATTTCTGTAGCCGTGTTTGGAATGAACTATTACAGTCCTTATGGGTACAAGGATGAAAGTGGCCGTGGAACTTCAGATGAGTTCAGATATTTCAATAGTCTGTGGTTTGCCGTGGCTTGTATGCTACAACAAGGTGGTGATAACACCCCACGAAACTTGTCAGGTTAGTCCCAATAGTTGTAATAATAATTTTAACAAATAAGTAACACACTCACCGCAATCCCTTCTTTGTTTTTACCACTTTACCATATTTTGACATAATCTAATGTTCTATCACTGAACAGACGCACGACAACATAGAATCTCCTTTAAAAATAACTGCAAGCGGAAAGGTGCACGAAAGAAGCGTTAGAGTTAGCAATTCCATCCTCTTCCATAAAGCATTTCATTTGCGTTTTATAACGTAGCAGTTTTAACCAGACTAATAATGTGCAAACGGTAGATAATCATTGACCAATCAGACCGCGCGCTTGACTTTTGTATTGTTGTATTATAATCGGTAATGGTGTAGATTTGTATTTCGATGAATGTGTTGAATTTTTTGTTCCGGTGGCAGCCTTAATCTAACAATTTTAAAATAATAGGATTAATTTTTTGCAGAAAATTCACTTTTCAGAAAAAAAAATCTAGCAACATACGTAATTGCTCTACCGGGAACTTTCCGGCCATTACCTTTTTTATCCATTATTTTACTTGTCTCTGTCTATTTATTTTAATAAAGGCCGCATTCTAGCTGGATGTTACTGGTTTTGTATTTTGATCTGGGTCTCTACCTACACTGCCAATCTCGCCGCCTTCTTAACCGTCAAAAATGCCGAGAGTCCCATCAACAGCCTGGAAGACCTTGCAAAGTCAAATTATGAACTCGGAGTTATTCCCTCAACCACCGAATATGAATACTTTAAAGAAAGTCAAGACCCAACACTACAGAAAATATGGCGTAGAATGGAAGCTGGGAACAGTTTCCCAAAAAATGGAACTGAGGGTGTTCAATGGGTCAGAGAAAGAGAAAACTTTGTCTTCATTACTGATGGTCCTTTTCTCAGGCATATGGCCAAGCAACCCCCTTGTGATCTTACAACAGGTATTTTCTTCACACCTTTAGTTAACAAATACGTCGTCAAAAGTAGTTAAAAATCATATGGTTGTTATGTTGTTGTTGATGACAAACAGTTAAATAATAATCTCACAAAGGGTCAGTGGTATCATCTGTGTAGCCTGTGTGACTGGCAATGTTAATCGCGTTTGTCTGCCTCATTTCACAATACTTCTGTTTTCTGGTTTGGTTTGACTCAGGCTGTAAAGCCCCGTAAAAAGGACAGGTCAAGTTGAGCGACCTTATTTTCGTAGCGGGCTTCTCAGGCAAACACTCCTGCACCCTGGTGTTCCGCCAGTTACCCTGAGTACATATGTGTAGCTGGATGAAATATCGATCGTTAATGTTAAAATACAAGCCATAATCAGCGGATGTTAAGTACATGACGCATGTTTTGGGATACTCAGTGAACTGAAACTGGGCACATACAGTTCATGTATATGCACAGTAATTAATAACGGCCCCCAATATCTCGATTCTTCAGGGTAAATATTATGATGGGTTCGAGTTCCATACATTGCAAGTTCGAGTTATCGGGGATGAAAACAAATAATCAGAAATAGGCCTTTTATACATAAAATATTTTATACATACAATATATATTTACATATTTGTACGTATTTGATCACGAATTTATCAAGATTATTGTGCATGTGTCTCTTTCTTGGTCTCTTTCATTATCCATTATCATTATCACGATCATTATCATTATCATTATCATTGTTAAAAATATACAATAGAATAAATGACAACAACTTTATTATAAACATTATCCAATACAGGATTACAGTATAGAAGCATTGACAAAAGTTATTACAAATTCATTGATAAAAATCTGTTATAAAAAATATTAAAAGCCTTAGACTTGGTCTAAAACTGTTCTATAAAATGATTGAAAAAATAGAACGTGTCTACTTTATCTTTCCAATTATACATTTGCGATTTCTGGCCAGCAAAAACCAGAGTTCAACTCATGTTTGGCTTTCTAGAGCCTCTTACATGTAACACTGCTGATCCTAATAAGTTAAAAGAAATTTTTGCTCTCAGTCAGCTACTTACAATGCTATATATAGTCTATCTACTTACTTCTCCACCAATAGAACAATGCTTTATTTCCATGTCATTAACTGTCACATTGAACAAGTTGATTTGTTCCGAATTTATCTCGTGCGAGTTTTTTTTAGTCTTTATGTCATTATCTTATCTAATGTAACCTTTATGTCATAGCTTTGGAAAATATAACCTTGCGCAATCTGCATGTATTGGTTAATTATAGCTTGGCCACCCGAAATATCATTGCATTAGCACGTGGTTCAGTTTATAGGTTATGCAGTTTATTTAAAAGGCAAAAAGTTTAAAAAAGATGCTTCACGTACCCATCACATTATCTAAATCACTTCCTTGGCCATAATGGTGTCCGTTCATTTCTCCCCGCGAACAGATCTCACCCCTAGCAATGCATATTGTACGTATATTGTACAGTACAGGGCCTATTGGCAAGCGAGAAAAGGCTATAAATATCTCTTTTTTATTAGTTTCAGGTCTAAGTTCTCCCTACGGACTTGCATTCGCCCTTCAACCCAATGATTCCCGTACCATTAACTTTACGCTGGCAATTCTACGTCTTCAAGAAAATCATTTCCTCGAGGATCTTTATCGCAAATGGTGGCAAACATCAGATACTTGCTCACAAGAAGAAAATGCACGTAAGAACGTTCAAATTCTCTATCGGACTATTGTATTCCAGGACAAAAATATATTTTCCATCTTTAAACAAAGCAATAGCATGGGAGTATAGGCCTAATGTTATCATGAATCCATTACCCTAAGGATTGCACGGCAAAATAACAATAACACTAGTTACTGGACCGTCACATGACATTCTTTTTTTTTTTCAGTGAAATCACGTTACTCGTTTATTTTTTGGTGAAATGAACGGGGTAGTTCTTATGTAACTTTTTGCAAGTGCAAATAGATTTAATAGAGTCGTTGATTTCAAAGAGTAAAGTTTTTAACTTCTTGGCTTTTTCTGTTTCATTTCAGTTTTGTCCCAGAAGCAAATTGACGTTAAAAGTATGCTGGGTGTGTACATTGTTCTAATTGTAGGGATAGTGTTAGCATTTATCACGCTGATCACCGAGATTCAATGGGAAAAGGGGCTGAAAGAGAAAGTTTTAAACAAATTTCGAAGGTGAGTGAAATAAAAAAAGTGTCTTAGAGTTTCCAGCAGTTCAGGCCAAAGTTACTCCTGAATGTGGAGAGTAAGATTTTTTTCAGTCTCTTGGCAAGGAGTGAATCAGAATGGCTTAATCTTCGACACATCTGTCAAGAAGGCTGGATGCCAGGATTCCCTAATTGCTTGTAGCATGCGTTATGATCTGGAACACCATTCAGGGTGCCGGGTAGAGAAGACAGCCATGCGTGTTACCTGGTTGGATCTAGCTAATGCTTATGACTGACTACACCACAAAGCCTTGGATTTCTTCTAGTCCCAAAGTCTTATCATGATGCGTTCCAATTAAACTTTTCTACATCTGAATGTACTACGAGTTAGAAGTTCTTGGAGATTACAATTCCCATGGGTATCCAGTTTCCCACTTCTGTTTATTTTGGCCAAGGAGATGGTGCTAAGAGAAGCTAAGCGGTGTTCACAAAGAGATGGGTAGGTCATGCCTCCCATGAAGGCCCTCGTGGACGGAGATACAGAGGCAAATGTAAGAGGGTTTCAAGATAACAGTCACAATTGTAGCCTCCTTGGTAAGCCGAAAGTCTGGCTTGCTTATCTTTCCAGACTTACGTGGCCACTACAGGTGTATGAAGTGGCTATGACTAGGGTGGAGGCCGTGGAGTAGAGCATCGGAAGCTGCCTTAGGGAGTGGCTTGGTGTAAGGAGGACTATGACAAGCGTGGCCCTATAAATTAGTTCGACAGCAAAGGTTCTGCTCACAATGAAGTCACTGGCCCGGGAGTGGAAGGTCGGTAAAGCTCTGCTCTACATGATGTTAAGGGAATTATCTGCTGATTCTGTGACTAGACCCATCCGTCCTGATGTGCCAATTGGAATGAAATGAGGCTGAGGGTAGGCTAAAACACAACGAGATCGTTGGAGCTGTACAGCAGGATCTTACGTTGCTTAGCTGGAGGGAGAGAACTTGGTGGTCTAAGGAGAGAGAGTGGGTAAACGTGAAATTGGTGACTGATGATCTTAAGAGGATAGAGGAAAAGAGACGAGTCTCTACCTCAGCAAGGTGCATGGACTGGTAATAAGGCAGTGGTGAGCATGCACAATAATTGGTCACACTTATGGTCGATTAACTCCCTGGGGATCAGTATGTTCCTGATACATGGAATGGGCTCATAAGAAAAATGGCCCGGTGTACAGATATGAAGAATCGGAGAGAAGATTGTGGGTGCCATATTATGGGTTTGGGTGTGGTAACTTTGTTAGCAGGTTTGGCCTCCAGTTCTTCTCTGATAAAAGTCTCACTCCAGGAGTAAAAGCACGTTCAGATTGAGTTGGCAAAAAATAGTTTCCTTTATGGAATTAGCTATGTTATGTACGTTTTCGAGGTAACATCTATGATAACGCTTTACTTTGGGCAACAAATACAAGAGTGTATGTGATGGGGTAAGGTTTCACCCGATCATTCGCAGGCGATTTATTTTCAATTATCTATCTCTATTTATCTTTTTAGATTTGCCAGTTCCTGGCAGAGCAAACGGAACAGTATCAAGCCAAACAATGCTGGCCACGTAAAAGCTGCCTCTCACTGATAAAAGATACACCTCTAGTGATGCCTCATGGATTATAAACCATGTCATACTGTATTTTAAAGCTATTCCTTATATTACCATATTATATTGCTGAGTTGCACCTGCTGTTATAGATTCTACAATCACTATTGTCAGTGCTTAACACTAATCACTAACGTTTGCTCACTCTATTATATGGAATCTCCTTGTGTAGACATCATAAAGTGGCCAAGATGGATTTGTGGATAGAATTTTGACCGAACAGGATTGACTGATGCACCGACAACATATCCCAGGAGGGGACTCCCGTATAAAAATGACGGGGATGCTCGTCGCCTCGCTTTGTGGAGTAAATTGTAAATCTTGGTCTCACGTAGGGTGATTGGGATGGAAAGTCACTATATTTGCCATTCAGGTATCGCTTAGTACTGCGCATAAAGAAATTTACAAAAAATGCCTGGACACCGACCACACAGGTGAATCTCCCTTAGGGGTCAGTTCAAGCTTGAGCCAGACCCAAATAGGTCCCCCTTAGGGGTCTAGTTTGCATTTACCGAAGAGCATCTTCGTCACTTCCATATGGGAGTTCCCCCTGGGCAAACATATAAGGTCTGCAACATCATTCAAGCTTTAAGATAAACTCTTTCTTAGGTTGCATACATTGCTATCTATGACGTGATATCTCATAACCATAACAACCTACTAACCCCCAACATGACAAAATGTAGTCAAATCCCGCTTTACGGACACCCGCTTAATGCGAACACCTAATTATTACGAACAGCTTGCTTTGTCCCAGAGGAAAGAAAGCCCTTACATTCTCTCGAAATCCAACCCGCTTAATACGGACATCGCTATTAAAAAAACACTTTCTAGGGCCCCTCATTGTCTGTATTAACAAGATTTGACTGTAAATGTCCTTTTTACTCTCTCCGCTCTACTTTTTCTCAGCTTTTTCCGTTTTATAGTATGATTTTCTGGCTTATCGGACGCAAGAAACCTTGGTATTTTGCGTTTCGGCCTTTTGTCAATCAAACTGCTATTATAATTTTTGCCAGCTGAGTTTTCAAAAATCTTGCATGATGTATATTAGTGAACATGTAGAGAACATATTGAAGAGAAGCTTGGGTCAGGATTGTTCTTAAGTAGAAAAAATGAGGAGAGACCATCCCAGTGCAAACTCTCGATCTCCTACGTTACGCACCTGAAAGGTAGTACGATGGCACGCCCGCGTGTGGTTGGGAAGCCATTAGGAGAAAGGGATATTCATAGACCTGCTAAGAAGTAAAATTATGAGTTCCTGATTTTGGTCTCCTTATGGTATTCAGGACCAGAAAGGTATATTATACTTTTACAGGTATCACTCAGGCTGAATTCTACACTGAAAAATAAAGACAAAACAAAACAAAAACAAAAGCTGGGGGGTCATCTGTGCTAAAGACAGCATTCGATGTCAACATCGTCAGTGCAAATGAAATCAGTAATTAAAAGCCTGAATATTTGGTTGTCTTTTTTATTATCGTCACCTTTATGGTCAAATAAGGCGTGAGCCACGCCCAAATTGTTCTCTTTCTGGGGTTTGATTCTAATTCTCCAACAGCTTCCCCATCCCATTCATGTGGGAGCCACCCCTACTCCACACCCTCCTGCATCAAGCCAAACATTGCTGGCCATGTGACAGTTGTCTCTCACCCTGAAAAGTTGTACCTCTGGCAATGCCTGAAGGATTATTAACCATGTCATAAGCTACTTTTTTTAATTTTTTAAAGTTATTCCTTATATTACCATGTTATATTGCTTTGTTTAAGGTACATCTGCTTTAATGGATTCTACAATCACTATTGTCAGTGCTTAACACTGATCCTTATAGTGTACTCACTCTGTTATAACGAATCTCCTTGTGTAGACATCTTGAGGGCCAGGACGAAAGGGCTTTGGTCATCCGTTTTATACATGAGCCTCGATCTAGTTCGGATGATCGGGGCAAACCCATCCCACGTATTGACGTTAATAAATTGATTGATTGATTGATTGATTGATTGATTGGTCACGTTTTTGAACGAAGCACGTCATTTGGAGTAAACGTTTTGCATCTTTGGGCCATGGTTTTACCCGCATTTTCTGGCAAATCTTATCTTTAACAATAAAACTACTTAGCACGACAATTTGCAGGCGTTTATGTTAAAAGGGAAAATACCTCACTTCCAGTTGACGACATCGCTCAAAGTCTTTGCTTAAGCTCTTTATGAATCAGTAAAAGCAATTTTTTTTTATCATGAGAGATTGTTATTTGCTACTACGCTAAAAACATAAATGAATTTTATTTCTGAAAGAAATGTATGGTTTTATGCTTAACGTGACTGACTGATATGTCATTTCTCCAGCTGCAAGTAAGGGGGCATCCCCGCAATCCGGGACATTATGTGTATTTTTAAGACATGAAAGCGAGGCACAAAGACTCTCTGCTCAGTGCAACAAGAGAACATTTTTACCCTCCCTTCCCTCCCCTTTTGCTTCCCCTTCCTCCCCCGGATGGCGGGTGTGTCCTCACCTTTGCTGGGATAATCTTCATGTGTGTCGGGATTTTCCTAGCTTTATATGCTTAAACGGCCACTCTTGTGGCCAAATTTATCCCATGCAAACTGGAATCGTCATGATTATTTTGGTAGCCCAGCAAACAGAGCTCACCCAAAGTGAGACTCCGCCAACATCAATAACTGACTCAATAATTACTATCTAAAGGAACATGAAGCATAAAGTAACATTTTTATCTACAGTCGACAGAGTGTGCTTTGTCAAGCGCAGATATGTATCATTTCTTTATTTATTTTTGCTTTGAACAACTTTTTTTCTCTATAGAACGTTTATTTGCATTTTAAATTTGAGAGGCTTAATATATCAGTTCGAAGTACGAAGCAACTAACATCTTTTGGAATCATATTGGGCTAATGTCATTACATAAATTTTTAAATTTCTTTGCTTGATAATAATGAAATTTACCAGAATAGAACCCTTTATGAGCTGCTTGAGACCGGAACTCCAACAGAGTTATTTTGCAACCGTGCATCAAAGCAAGGCCTTTTTTTTGTTTTTTTTGTTGTTGTTTTTTCTCGTTTTACTTTTAATTACGGATTTGCGTCTACAGACTGAGCTATCTATTTTATGGCCGAGTGAAACTAAATCCTTTCAAGTCACTATTTTTGTGATAGACTTTCTTCAGAAGTGTTTCTGTTTACTGTCCCGTAGAAAATTTTTTTGACTTTGACATTTCGTTCCTGGCAACCTAAGGGCTAGGACAATGGACTGATTAATTTCAAACAGGTGGCTTACTTTGTTGGTATTGAACAGATACCACTAGCAATGCTGAAGCAGGCTGAAAATTAGTTGCGCAAAACTTGGACACATTACTCTTCAGTTTATTCTCACAAAATTACAAGTAAGTATTATTCGAAATTAAAAATATACAACATTGTTTCATGAAAAGTCAAATGCAGTAAGATAAATTAAGTCTTTCTTGCTTCGTGTTTTTTCTTTTTTCTTTTTTTTTTCTGACTTTAAAAATTGAAGTTAAACATTTCTTATAAATAAAGATTTGTACCTTAAATCATAACCGTTTACACAGTGAATCAGGCGTTAGATCGTATACCAAACGTTGGTTAGAAGACTTATTTCTACCTCAAGGAATGAGTTTTATCAAAGCTTCTGTGATACAATTGACGTTGCACTTGTTCAAATGACAGGGTATGTATGTGGTCAGATAATTTTGAGTTCAGCACAGTCACTGGTGAATTAGAAAAAGAGACGCCGAGAAGGTGAGGACGATGCTAACCTAGTTAAGGAACAATATCTAGTTAAGGAACAATATTAAGCTTACTCTCCAGATAGGTGTTGACAAATTAGAAGTGACTTGACGCTATATAATTACATTTTGTATTTACAGAATATAATGTGAGGTTTTTGCCAAAACAACGCTTTTAATTGTCGTAATACATGTAGAAGTGTGGGATAACAAAACGGAATAAACACCAAGTACTCCCACATTAAATTACCTTAAAAACAGCCGTTTAGCAATTTTAAAATTCATTCACGCAGACAAATATAATTGAAAATAAGACCTGTAACTCCACCATTGTTTGAAAACTTAAAATAATTATCTGACAGCATGACTGTAAATAGGAAAATGCCCCAGTGAGCAAAATATATTGAGCAGAATTTAAAGAAATCCTAGTCTTTTCAAAGGTGGATTGGGGGGGTCGGGGGGGGGGGGGTGGGGAGGAGAACTAGCCGGTGGGGTTGAACTTACTGGTAGAAACTGATGCGTAATGGCGAACAACAGACTAGATGTAAGGTTTTTCGAGTATCCCCCTACCCTGCACATAAAAGTACCCCTGGAATCGAAATGTTATCGACGTTAAAAGCACAATTGCGACATCTCCTACCTTAACTATTCTTTCTAAAAATGATAAAATTTTACAATTTCCTTTCTTATTACATTTCCCCATCTAGAAAATTAAGATGAAAAGGAAAGCTGCCTTAAGCTTGATCATTATTTTGTTCTTGCTGGTAAGAGGCGCACGTATGGAAAATAGAGTGTTTTCCTTAGGTAAGCAGGTTATGTGAGTATATGATCCTATATAATATTTATTGGGGGTTGCGTGAGCGTTTTACCTGGAAATTAAATAAACGCACGCCTTGCAGGATGTAGAATGAACGAAAAATTCAAAAGTGCCGAAGCAAGGATTGGAACATTTGTTTAGTGTACGGCCTTGTGTGGGGTTTAAATTCACTGTATTTAATCTCCTTTTACTTAATTGTAGTGTCGTGTTGAACAACACTTAAAACGAAAATTAAATCGTGAAGAACAAATTTAAGTTCCAAGGGTTATCATTAAAATATGCTGAGGCACATAACCGGCTCGAAGTTTTAATTAGCTAGCCTCCCCCTTCCTTCATACAATCAAAGTAACGCCCAGCTTTTCAGACAGTTGACTTGAGTCCGGGTTGTGTGATATATTCCCCTCTAAATCAAGAAGTAGAAACCTGATCTCATTTAAAAAAATCATTAAAAGACCCGATTATCACATTCCCTTCACGAAGTTTGATTATTCAACAAAAGATCTCTAACAAGACATTTTGTTGTTTGCAAAATACAGAAAATGAACAGACAAGACGTTAAGGTTGTAGGGTGTTTTGTTCTTTCTTCCACAGGTGTTGTTAATGGATATTTGGCAGATTATGATGCACTAAACTTTGCAGTAAATAAAACTTCTAGGTTTTACAACATTACTATGATCGTCAAAATGTATAATCAATCAGAAAAGATAGATCTATGCCATCAAGGTAAGGCAGGTAACTTTTTTTGCATCCCTTTATTTCAATTACAACAATAAAAAATATAGTTAGATAATTACCTGTCCGTAAATTTATATATAGTAGGGTAAACTCTGAGGGGAAGCTTTATCCCTTTCCCCTTTGAAGAAAAAAAACTTAGACGTTTGTACATTATGCTAGCATTTTTTCCCCGCGCATTGTAGTGTGAAAAGTATTAATTAATTAAAGTATTATTCGAGCATTTTAAAGAAATTGAAGAAATAAAAAATATATATTTTTACGAGAAAATGTACTCTTTATGTCAAATTAAAAAAAAAAACAAAATTCATATACCACCTTTTGCTATATTGACGTTGTGGTTATACCACTTATAGGTTTTGGTAGCGTTATGATGGGCATCATGACTGAGTATTTTAGTGACATTTTGAGCTCTTTTGGGAGGATACAGGGCATTTTAAGGAGAAAAATGGAACATTAAAGGGGAGCATTTTAGTAGGTAAAGGAACGCCTTAGGTAAAAAAGCCTACTAAGTATAGTAACAAGTGTTTTAGTACATATTGTATTTATTCCTTTACATTTAGAGCTTTGTCAAGCAAAAGTTGTTGCACTTATCGAAGGAAGCCAAGTAAAATTACCTGCATGCGCAATATCTACAGTAACCAGCGTTCCACTTATCCGTCTCCATGGAAACACCAGACTAAATGATCAATGTGAAAATGCAGTACACATGACAGTAGGCTACAGAAATTACGCGCATGCGTCACTTGACATACTAGCTAAGTTCCGGTGGGACAATATCGCACTAGTTTTTGACGGTGAGTGTTCTTGACAAGCATTATAACTACTACTGTTATACTTATGAGGGGGAGATACCATGTTCATGTATAAAGTTATGCGTTAGGGACAAAATCAGAAGCCATTAGGGGTGCCGCATGGGACCCACCCCGATTTCAAAGGTTGTATAAAAAAAAAACCTATTTCACCAACAGAGCATAAGAAAAAAATAACTACCTAAATTAATTCTCTTTTGCAACATCGTAATCTTACATTTTTAAAACTTTTTTAGAGAGCCGTTTACATGAAGCTGTCTATTTCCACGCAGCATCCCAGAAATTACAGCTAAAGGTGAATTTTTTTCACCTTCAAACAAAAGGAATTGATGTTGACAGAATTGCGCGAATATTGGACGTAATGGAAGAAATTAAAGGTATCGAGCCCGACATCATACTACTCTACACCAATAACGAAAATATTGACTTCATGCTGCAACAGGTACGAGAGATAATTAAACATATTTCATGTTTAAGATGACAGCTAAAACTACTTTAGTGGTGTTCTTTTAGGAACCCTTTTGTTGTTGTTGCTGTTGTTGTTGTTTGCAAGAGTCTTGTAACTGAAGCCCTGTCGTCGAAACAAAAGGAAATACTGTTTTTTCTTTCTTTCTTTCTTTCTTTTTTCTAACTGCAATACCATACAACTCCACAACTAAGAATTAAATATCTTTTATATATAATTTTCGATAAAATTCAGTTTTCAACGATTTCATGTTTAGACTGCTTTATTCTGACTCAGAGATAGCAGATAGAGAACCTAGTTTTCTGGCAATCCTGGCTTAATCGATATGATCTACCCTCTCTCACTCTGTCATTCATAGCTATAATTCCCTCTTGTATAAAATTGTAAGATTGAATTTCATTGGTTGTAAGACTTAGTCATTCTGTTTCCCGTTTTCCTTTATTAATACAGCGACCATGCAAATGTAAAAAGGGCTATAAATGGATACTTCAAGGAGAGGTACGGTAATAAATTAAGAGCCTGGATACTTTTAGTATTTTAATTATTACATTAAAGAATTCATTTTATTCTCTGCAGGTACCGACAAACGTAACCAGTCATCCAAACAATGTTGTTGTGGCAATGAGGCTTCCGTATATTAAAAGCCATGCTCCTAAGGGCCTGGAAACGTTTATGGAGAAAAATTACGATGATTCTTACAAGGTGTGTGTTTTGCATCTATTGAGCTAGTGTCCTGATAATATCTCATTTCATTCGGAAGTTTGCAAGGATCGTTCTTCATATTCAGTTGCCACCCAAGTTCAATTAATAAATTCAACCTGCTTGTTTTACTTTTTTGAAACTGTGTAAAAGAAACGAAAATTAAATATTGTAATGTTTAATTTCTCTAGGAGGACGTCCTTGCCCTTGCTTACGACTCAGTCGAAGTTCTAAATCAAGCGCTAAAAGAAGCACCCTGCTTGTCTATTAACGGGACTTCCACTGTTCTACAAGATCGACAAACAATATTGACTTGCATAAGAAAGGTATTTACAAGTATGCTATATATAACAAAAATAAACGGAGCCTTTCATTTTAGCTCTTTTTACATCAACCTTACATTGTTTTAGTAAGGCTCAGCCAAAGAAGATAATAATTTAGCATGTTTTGTTTTCTGTGTTTGTTTTTTTTCTTTTGTTGGTCAGGTTAATTGGCAAAACGGTATGACAGGGCCTGTCCAGTTTACAGAGGATGGATATCGGAAAGAAATTCACTTGGAAATTTTAAACCTTCAGAACAATTCATTTCAAAAGGTATGTGTACACCATCACTATTTCACCTTTTTTTTTCTTTTCTATTTGAGTAACAAATACTGCTAATGTAAGACCAGTCAGTGGTTTTCTTTCGCTTGTGAACCGGAAACTCTTTCATGTCTGTCACTTAATCTCAAGCGTCTAAGTCGTATTATCAGTCTCCTTCAGTTTCATTTTCTCCACTTCATAGCACTCTGCGCTTTTGACCACTACTTTTGCACACAGTGAAGCACTTTCCACTTGGCTTTCTTTTCCACAGATAGGCACTTGGAATTCAACCCAAGGTGCCATGATGTCTGGGGATATCTTAAGTAACAGGATAACTCCATCTTCTGGAGAAACTGTGGAAGGAAAACAGTTGGCAGTGGTACTATTGGAGGTAAAAGAAGAAGCATTGGTTTACGAAATTTTCGAGAAATGTTATGTTGAACTCAAAGGAAAGGCTTTTTAAGAGCTAATTCCCGAAAGTTGCCTTAATTTTTTATGTCTTACATTAAACTATAATTTAACGTACTTAATTTCATTGTAGTATGATTTAAATACTTAATTTAATGCCTTTTAATTAGCATGTTTCTAATTTATATGTAGACTGCCCCGAAAGCTGTATTAGCTTTAATTTAAACGGCGTTTAAATATAAGTTGTTGTTTTTGTTATTTATAGTAAAGGAAAGGGAACAAAAACGTGCAACTTGTGTTGCAACATTGTCTCAAAACGAGTTGGGAAGCAATGTTGCGCGTTTTACCACCCACGAATCAAACCTGTCTTGCAACAAAGCAGATTGTCGCAACCTGATTTTTTTGCAAAACAGGTTTGATGTTGCAGGCCTGAAGTTGCCAAACTTGCTCGTTTTTGTTGCCCGTTTTAATGTAGGCTGATATCACCAGAGAGAATTGTAATCTGTTAATGATACGAAAGTCATATAAATGGCTTATTATTAGTTAATCTTTCTATCTACTACTCTTTAGAGAATTTTATTGATATATGATGACTGAATTAATATTGGTTTTGTACATCAGCAATATTGATATTTATTAAAATCCAACTAGTGGTCTATTATCAATGCTGCGTTCTGATTGGTCGAGCTACTACTAGGCTATATGTTATAGCCCACTAATAGCGAAAAGCACGGGCTTTTTGGCGGCAGAAAAGGATTAAAGCCTAGCTTTAACTAGCTAAAAGTTTTTTATTCTCGATATTTTTGACCAACTAGTTGGATTTTACTAAAACAATTATTCCTCTCGCCCTCATGGCCTCTGAGTCGATAGCCCATACGGCCTTCGGCCTCATGGGTTATTGACTCAGAGCCCATTCGGGCTCGAGGAATAATTGTTAAGTATACGGCTGATACTCATACATATTTTTCCCAACACAGAGTGATCCCCCATTTGTCATGGTAAAAAAAGAGGATGGTGGCGCTAAGTCATACGAAGGATATTCTATTGATCTGTTAAATGAACTGTCAAGAGTTCTTAAGTTTACATATGACATATATCGAGCCCCAGATGGTTTGTTTGGTGCCGAAACGGAAAATGGAACCTGGAATGGAATGATTGGAGAGATAATTAAAGGGGTTTGTAATTTAAATAAGTCAATTTGTTTAAGATTGTCGTAGTTTCGTAAGAGAGCTGAAAGAGTAATGATCCTGAAAGGAATGGAATGTCTGCTCAAACCTTTACCTGATACGTAGTTGTGTCTAATGAATGTTCAAAATGGGTATTGTATGGAATTTGGAAGATTTTAAAAGAGCTGGCGAACCTTTTAAAACCCATTGATAAATTTTGAACACTGGTTTTGTAGATTCTGATCCAGGTTAATTGTATGAGACTTTTCTTTTAAGTATAGTAACGTATTTAAATTTTTCTTTTCACCCAAAGAGAGCTGATTTGGCAGTAAGCTCGCTGACTGTGACTGAGGCTCGAGAAAATGTGGTGGACTTCACAGTTGCCTTCATGTTTTACGCAGATGAAATCTTATTAAAGAAAACGTATTCCAAAGAAAAATCGGATTTGCTACAATTCATGAGCCCTTTTCATGATCATGTTTGGTTTTGTACTCTGGCCACACTCATTCTCATCTCTGTTGCTGTTTTTGTCATAAACTACCTCAGTCCATATGGTCACAAGGACGCGAATGGCAAGGGGACGTCAGAAGAGTTCAGCTTTGTAAACAGTATGTGGTTTGCATTGGCATGCATGCTACAACAAGGTGGTGATAACACGCCTCGAAACTTGTCGGGTTAGTATATACGTCTAGAATAATTCTAACGTTTAAGGATCAGCTTTCGTTTGATAATATGAAGAATTATGCAGATCTCGAAAGGTTTTGCCCACCTTAGTCCTCCACTTCCCCTCATAAAACACCCTATATTATCTGTGTAGTTCCTCATATCTTTATGCCTAGCCTTAGCTAACTTTTAGAACTTAAAACAGTGTTAAATCATGGGAAAAAGAGGCATGAGGGAAACTTGGGAGAAATTCTACATGGTACAACTTCAATAGTGCCTCTAAATAAAGTGTTCTGATAAGCAAATACTAATGCTAAGGAACGTTTTTCGGTCTGTACGAAAAGCTTTTATCACTGTACATTGTAATTGGGGAAGTTTTACTTACCTTTAGGTCGTATTCTCGCTGGCTGCTATTGGTTTTGTATCCTTATCTGGATCTCAACATACACCGCCAATCTGGCAGCCTTCCTCACCGTGAAGAACGCTGAAAGTCCCGTCAAAAACCTTGAAGACATTGCCAAATCAGACTACCAAGTGGGAGTACTTAGATCTTCAAGTGTTTCTGAGGCATTTAGGACAAGTCAGTATGAAATACACCAAATCATTTGGCAACGAATTATTTCAGGAGACAACTTGCCTAAAAATAGGTCGGAAGGTATTCAGTGGGTCAGAGATCGAGAAAAATTTGTGTTCATAAGTGGAGGTCCATCGCTCAGATACTACGTCAACCAGCCACCTTGCGATCTAAAGCTAGGTAATAAGCTGTGTTTTTAGAGAGCACAATGATATCGCAACCCCTTTCGCTTTACTTTGATTCTGTTCCCAAAGACTAAGAGCTCTGTTTGTCATAAATGGTGCGTCCAGGGGTCTATTTAATAAAACTTTTACAAGTGTAATTTACTAGTGTTACAAGTGTTAGACTCTAAAAACAATAGCTAAACTAGTAAGTTACACTTGTGAAAGTTTTATTAAATAGACCCCAGACTTGGAGACTCTTAAAGTTGTTGAGAAGAGCTAAGGTGGGGATGCACATCGGAAGATTAGAATGAAACCCCTCGAGAAGACCAATTTGGGCGCGTCTCGTACCATAATCCGACACAGTATGAAAATGTTTTGCTATATTATGTACAGATTAGTTTCTCTACGCTCCTCTCCTACCTTCATGGGTAGAAATAACATATGTCCAGAAATGAACACAAAAAAAGAAATGACGAATTTGGTAAAAATCGAATTCACCAAAGGTTTGGTCTTTGAACAATCCAAGTAAGGTAAAAAAAAAAAAACTAAATAAATAACAAAAAAATTCACTTTGATTTCCAGTCTGGGGGGTGGGGCCTTTTCCAATTCTACGGTTTAAGGGATACAAGAGGAGTGTTAATGGCTACCCAAAACAGTATGTCTCTGACACCAAGTGGGCACCCTTATATTCTGTAAGTCGATATTGGGTGACCATGCTTCTTTGATGTTTCCTCTTTATACGATTCGGAGAAAAAGAAAGCCGCGTAAAGTGAAACCGGGTACTTTAATTAAAATTAAAATTTTGAGCAGTTTCAGACCCTAAGAAATTTCTTTGAAACAGTTGCAGGTTTAAGCACAGCAAAAGGAATGGCATTCGCTCTACAACATAACTCTCCTTTTACCAGGGAATTCACATTGGCGATTTTGCGTCTTCAAGAAAATGGTTTTCTTGAGGGATTAAGACGAAAATGGTGGCATGTCACAAGTAACTGCCCCCAAGAGGAAGATACAAGTAAGAAATAAGTATTGCATTTTGTAATTTCAAGAGTTTCGACGCTTTGATATCCACAGAGCTCGAAGAGAAGTTCTTCACTTGGCGCACATTTGCCCATCTGAATGTCATGCAAATCTAGTCGATCTTCTTTTTCTTTGTCATTCTATGCCCAAGATATGCTAGGCGAACAGCTGCTTAGAATACTGCTCTGCAGTTACATTTAACACTTTTTAGAGTGACAAGAGTAATAAGTATTTACAACAAGAAAAATGGAAACACTAAAAAATCATCTTTTGCCTTCCTTGCAGCATTGGGGCGGAAGCAGATTGATCTGTCCAGCATGCTGGGGGTTTACATTGTGCTCATCGCTGGAACATTTGTGGCATTCTTTGCGCTTTGCGTTGAAATTTACTGGAAACGAAGAGTAGATGGGAGAAAAATCAGCAATTTTCTAAGGTTGATAACTTACGTGCAGATTTAAGTTCTTAGACTACAGATATAGCTCCATATTTTTTCTTGAGGATAGTTCAACAAGTACAGTCAAAACGCGAGTGTGCGGACGTGAAATCGCCTTCCGCGAGGAAAGGTGTCGTGCGGAGGAAAGTGGAGAAATTCTGTTTCTTTCTTCTTTGTCGAACTTTGAGCATATCTGTATATTCTAACATCTCTTCTTGCAGCAAGTAAATAAATCGTCAGAGCTTGATCGTTACCTGCTGCACCTAGACCTGGCTCACTGGTGAAAAAGGAAAGATTTACTAAAGGTCTACCACATATTGACAAAGCTGCCGTAAAAAACGCAAGTCAACTCCTTGAAGTGACACAGTGTGAAAACTACTTAATGATAAGGTTAAAGAAAGCACATCACGTTCAATTACGACAATAAGGCCAAGAACTGTTAAATATATAACGCAGAAATCACGTGTTCTTTCTTCTAATTTGTTACATTTTGTTTTTCCTCCTACAGACGGAGCACGCTGAGGATTGAAGGCAATGGCAAATAATTCGCATTCAGTTGAACCTCTCTATAAGAGTCACCTTGGGGGCAGAAGAAAGTGGCCAGTGTAGACAGGTTGAAACAAGAGCGAATGTATGGACTGTCCGGCAAAAAAAACAACTGGCCGTGGTAGAGAGGTGCCCGTTAGTGGAGGTTCGACTGTACTTGCCTTTTCACAGTAATTCATTACAGGCATTACTACTACATATAATCAAAACAAATAAACTGAACCAATCTTACAATTGTCAGCTAGTATAATTATCATATATAAAATACGAAATAAAGCAAATGATACTGGAAACATGAAATGTATGTAGAAATTTCCCGACTCGGTGAAGCGAACACAGAGCCGTCAACTGCATGTGTCCTATACTATATTAAATAAATCGCTAATTTTATTCAATAAAATTATCTAAACACAATCAGCCATCAAGTTCAGCTAACAAAACTTGTATTTATAGGAAATGTGACAAACGTTAACTGATTCTAGAAGCAAGAAAGATATTAAGTAATTACATTTACCCGGACTTAAGCGAGCAAGAAGTTCAAACACCTGTATTAAGTAGTCAACTGCACCCCAGAATCATATCATACACTGTGTCGTTCCAGTTACGTAGCTTATATTTAGCAAGGTGTAAATTTGTGTGAATTACTATTTTATGGGTTTGGTAGCGCTAGAAATATTAATTAAAGTGATCGTGAAAACGTTTGCTGTTGTCCCCTTGATGAGTTGATCTACCTTAAAAGCTTTTCAAGATACCGTTTTTACTCAACGAAACGATCTTGGCCAAGTAATGCACCGAGCGTTTACTTTGATCAGCAGTCAATGTGCCCGCTATTTTTAGGGAACAACTTATAATAAGTTAACATATTTTATTACAAATAAATGTCTTAAAGGACTGGGTTTTTAAAGCCTCCTTTTCTTTCGTGGCGTGATGTTTAATCAAGGAAAATACGCAAATTGTATATCAATCATCTCATCATTACACAGTCTGGCACTATGCTTACAGCAATAAAAGTGCTATTTAGTCCCATATAGAGGCGAGTTTTACTTTCTTTTTTTTTTTCTTTGTTTTTTCAGTGCTTTCCGACAAAGTCCTTTCCGACAAAGTCAAGGTCAATGCAATTAAAGATACACCGGGTTGGCCGGCCCCAAGGTGTTCTCTTTTCTCTCTCCCTAAGTACTCTTGTCCCTGCTCTTTCCATTGTTCCTAAGCAGGCATTGCCAACCCCAATCAGCGAAAAGAAACTTTTTGGCACACCCTTAACCCTCGTCAGGTATAATTTAGTTAATAAGGTGTCTCACGTGGTTTTCATGGTGACCAGTGTATTTAACATGTGCTATTCATAAGTTGCATATATTTAGTATAACCACCCAAGTCATTACAGGGATTACCCTAGATGCTATGATCGGTCCTAGATGAAGTCACATCCCCACTCCCCCCCCTCTTAATAATCGCCTGGCGTGAAGTAACCTTAACCATCTCCTACAAAACATATGTAAGTTGTTAATTACCTGTCTTTAACTATTAAAACCTGACAAGAGCCTGAAGACCCTGCCTTCGAAGAAGACAGTTTGTCTGTGAGAAGAAGAGGAAATACGTGCAATCATAAGAGAAGAAGCGGGCTGTAATCAGGATTCCAAGAAGTTTATTTCAGTCTATAGTGGTGCAATGAAAAGGCGCAAATCGTCCCATGTAAGATAATTCAAGAGAGTCTTGGATTGTGGATTCTAAGCTGTGGATTCCGGATTCCAGGTACTGGATTCTGGATTCCTTATCGGTGGAATCGAACCTGTTTTCCGGATATCAATCCGAAAAGTAGGTTTCCCGATTCCTTGAGCTGAAGTCCGATTTCGAAAGCCCAGGATATCGATTCCGATTGCACATGTTCCGCAGAGGTTTTGGTTACAGGGGGTAGCGCAGAGTGTTTCAGTACAGACTTAAAACAGCCACCTTGTATAGCGAAGACAAAACAGCATAATGATATATGCACCACAGGAAAGTTCTGCCCAGCAGCTTTCATTTAGGAGTTTACGATTATATCCGCCGCAGACACAAGACTCAGAATTCTTTCAGGGCTTAACAAAATAAATGATTTAATTAAAAAGCAGCAGGTGACGGTATTTTTCCAAACATAATTACTCACCATCCATTTCACCTTTGTTGACTTAACGACTTGAACACGATTTAGCGTACCTTAAAAGCTTTTGTACAAAAGGGAAAAGTAAGTATTGGATTTAAAAATTCTTTCCTACGTACTCTGTCCCTTGCTAAAAATCATTTAAAAATGAATAGAAATTATCGGTCTTGAGAATGATTTATTAATCACGAAATCAATTATTTTTATTAGCGGTTTGCCTAGTATCAAACTTTTATTGGAAGAACATCTTTCTGCCTTTAACTAAAAATCTCAAGCACAGTTTAAAAATGACAAATTAGAAATAATTTCTATACGAAATGCCACAACAGTTTCATGAATTTAAGAGACTTCTCCCCTATGCTAAAGGCATTTTTTTTGCTCAGATTGTTATTTTTTAGAATGCTTAAAAGGGTTCATTCAGAGACCGAAAGTGTCCCTTCTTTATTCTATTTTATGTTTAACCTGACAGTCAAAACTTCATCCCGGCCTTATTATTATTATTATATTGAGAGAAAAAAAAAACATTTCTCATCCTCACAAATAAAGGAGATCTCTTGTTAAAATAATTTTTTTCTTTGTAGTACTTTCACGAGCCAAACACGCGCATTTCACTCATTTAGAAACTCGAAAAAGGATATAAAATGTTGACAAAAGAACTACTAAATAATTCAACTTCAGCAAGTAAATGTACCTACATGTATATTACACGGAAAAGACATGGAAATGATTAAAAAGTTTCCACTGTACGAAAGACTTTCAGAGAGACGATTTTTGCATTCTGCAAAAAGAACTGTAAAAAAGCAAAGACAAAAGCTGGGAATGAAATAACTTTAGCATACAGCTGATAAATATTTAAATGTTAACGGGAATGAAGGGTCTTAAGATTGTCTGTCCGTGTTTAAAAACACCACGTTAACCTTCACATTTGTTTTCTAAGTAGCAAACTATTACTTTACTGCTCAAGGACCAGACTTACCCACTGTTGCGCACTTTTTTACAAAAGGCAAAAACTAAAATGTAAGGCTCATTCATAAAAGGCTTAAATTTTATTATTATGTTTAGTATCAACATTATTATGCATGGAGCAACCTTTAAGGCATTCAGTATCGATTTAACTTGTATAAAGAGTGTGTCATTAAGAAGAGGTGAGCGGAGGAGTTAACTATTACCCTTGAGACGGCAAAACGTTTTAGTAGTATACGCCCAGTAGGAGTGTAGCTTCAGAAACATACGCACGCGTGTGCGTTCCTTTTTTACAGGTAAGCACGTTTACGCACGTTGATAATAAGAAGACGAAACATGTCGATAGAAATAATAAAACATACGGGAAGGAGGCCAAATGATTGATAGAGACACAACCCCTGCTATTCATAAAGCCTCGGTTGCTTCTTTAAACTAACTATCGCTTTGTTTTCAAAACAGAAGGCATCACTTCCTACAAGTGTCTTTTTTACCACAGTTAACTGGGTGCGTGATTGGAGGGCTAATATCTATGCTGGTGTAGGCAAACCCCAGTCAGACAAAATTTTCATGAGCTGATCTTAATTCGAATTTGGGTTTAGTGCCCGAATAAACTACTTTTCAACCGTAAAATATAGTTGCATCAATTATTCATCCATTGTTGAATAACTGTCTTTTCTCTACGTGATTGGTTTTGCTGCGCATGAAATGAAGTTTTGTGTTTAAAAAGCTTGACGGACTGGAAAAGGCTAAGCTGCCCATTGCCTCATGTTTGATGGGAGAAATTTGCCAAAGCAGCGAAAAGAAATCGAGCTCTTGCAAAGAACAGACAAGCACATATAAACAAGGTGGCCGCCTGTTATGGTAAAGAAACATGGAGCGTTAGGACGGCTAAACTTTTCGCCAAAACGAATATCGCCATGTTGAGGTCGCACCATGTAATAATGTAAGGGAATCCGGATTCCGGAATCCCAGGAATTTTTGCTTGTGGAATAAGAAATCTTGGGCTTTGGAATCCGGAATACAGCTTAAAGAATCCGGAATCCCGTTAACGATTATAATCCGGAATCCGAATGCCATTTACAAATTCTGGAATCCAGAATCGACAGCGTGGAATCCAGAATACAAGACTGTCTTGTGTTCCCTTACATTTTGCCTCATAGATCACATCCTGAGCACGGCAAAACTTTGAACAAGGCCGGTGTAACGCGTCGAAGGTGAAAATGTTTCGGGGCCGTTTTCTTTAAGCCACGTGTATATAAAAAAAAAACTATAAAACGTGATGAAGTCAGTGTGTGTTTCACATTAAACATGCGAGAGAATTTCTTCTTTTTCACTTTATAAACTTGTTTCGTGCTAAATTTGACTGTTTTATATGGAAAAAGAATAATTGAAACAAATTGGTAACTTTCTTTAACACAATTATCCCGTTATGGACCTAAGACCTTTGCTTAGTTGTTTAGAAACAAATGAAATAGAAAATGAAATAGGGTTTATCTAAAACATTATTTAAAAAAACTGAGATTGTTTAAGGTTTGTTAACCGAAAGGAAGAAAAATTTACCGTTAGCCGGATAAATGCAAAAAATATTAGAAAGTTAATCGTAGACCCGCATTCTACGTCTCTCACTAAAAAGCATTATTTGAGATTTGTCAAGAAAAATTTATAAGTTTCGAGGCGATATTTGCATGTTTCAGTTAAACAGCTGCCACGATTTTTTTCCTTGGCGGTTCTACGATTGGCTAGAAACCAAAAACATGCTGAATTCCTACCCTGAATATCTTTAAGAATAGATTTAATGAATAGTAACTAAGACATGTTTTGCAAGGTCATAATTTTTTTCCTAAGTGGCATCTTACAAATATACTTACACAAAACTTCTTAAATGCATCATTAGATTCGGTATTTCATATTCTTAGTACGTGTAATAAGTTCTGGACCTTTATGGCGCGAGTATTTGGTATCAAATTTCAAATTTCAATGGCGTTATGAATTTCCATCTAACTTTGTTTGAATTGTTGAATCTTTACTTAGATGGAAAAAACAACCGTCTTCACAGTACTAATCTCTGCTATCCTGTCCACGAGGAGTGTACAGACGGCAGCAAATAGAAAATTCACATTCGGTAGGTAGTTGGTCTTATAATTTGTTTACGTTTTTTAATTCACTAGTTTTCAACACTCTTGTTAGAATATACTGACTTCCCACCGATCGTACAAAGGTAATTTTCGTCCGAGCCATCAGCTTTGATTTCACAGTACGTCTAATCATTTGTAGCATGATCAAAGAAAGGTCCCCATTTCTCAATGTGTAACTCTTAGACTCACTGTCATGCACTTAGAATTCTTTAAGGAGACTCAATAGCTCTTAAAGCAAACTCGGTTAGAAAAGAAAGTTCATTAATTTTCACGCGTCTCCAGTTCTTTACCTGTGACCCCCTAAATCTATTGTCTTGTAAGAAAATATCTAGCTAGGCTATCAGTCTGCTTTTCCTGTTTTATATTTGTTGGAAGAATCAGACTAAGTCTTCTTTCCAAACGGTTACTTCCTCTCCTAGATTAGTTTATAAAAGCAACCGAAAACAGGTGATTTTGATGAAAATGAACGAACCTTCTTAAGCTTGTATATTTTTTGTTTGTAACTTGTCTATCGGCATCACACCATTAAGTATCATGATATATCGGGTTTAACAAGGTCTCGGCTGTAGTTTGTTGGTATACTACGTAACGAAACTATTTTTTTTCCAATGACCACAGGTGTTATAAGTGAATCTCCAGAGGAGTATGAAGCCATCAATTTTTCTGTCAATAAGGAGTTTGTCTTCAGCAATGTTTCGATAATCTTACAAACTTTCAACTTATCTGAAGACATGGACCTGTTTGATAAAGGTGAGGGATGCTTTTTTTTCTTCTTCCATTATCGATACTGAAAATGTGTTTAGACCAATAGAAATTGATTTGCGTAAAGGCTTTTTGAGGAAGAAGCAGTCTCCAATGCAACCGTTATTGACTCTTCACACAACGTTCGTCCCCAAGAAACCTCTTGGTGAGACCAAGATTTGGCAGCAGGAGCTTAGTGTAACATAACGACACAAAAACGACTACGTGAGAGACTAAGAAGGAAAAAATGCCCACAGTATTTTCGACATCGTCATCATTGCTTACATTGACAAAATTAACGTGTCTGAGTACAAACAATCACTTGTCGCGACTGTTTCTCGGTATCATTTCGTATGAATAAGCCTGAATAAGGAAGAAAAAAACTTGTTTCTCTCATCTTCCAAAAAAAGACGGCTTGACCGATCATCAATAAATCATTGGTAATAATCATTACTTAAAAAGCAAAATTACATGGATAATCATTTACTGATTAAAACTTGTCAATTGTTTACACGCTTTGGATTCGGTGTTTGGGATTTATTGCAAAAAGGAAATATTCATAGGTTAAGGAAAAATATCATAAAAAAGCAATTTACTCATTTTACTTGGTGTTAACTCCTACGCATTGATCAAACGACATCCTCTCCCGAAATGAGAAAATGATTTCTTGGTCTTAAATTCTGCCTTGTACTTTGAACTGCATTTTTAATTTACCCTTTGAGTTGCGATCACGTTCGTGGTTAAATTATGGAAAAGTTGTAGCCAATCATCTTCGATGAAGAAGCTTAAATACCTTCTGTAAATTGACAACAACCTTAGATTTTCAAACTGTAATTTTAGTACTTTCCTATCTGTTAGTATAAAAAGTCTGTTTAATGGTATATACCTTGTAGTTTTTATATTGTTCTAATAGTTTTATATTGGCCAGTTGACTTAAGCTTAGCAATGAAAACTTCGGTTAAAGAGTCATTTCGACAAAGCAATTATCTCGAAGGTTTCATGCTAATGAAGCTGTTTTAACCAATCGGATTGGACTTACGTCAGCATTCGGTTTGCGCTAAGCAGCTGGTTTCCTGGCTGATATAAAAATGCGTGTAACACTGATCTGGTAGAGAATTGTGAAACACAAGTTGCGTTAACTTCGTGACGCCTTACAGAAGAATTAAAGAGAGTCATTGAGCAAGTACTCGTCTGTCTTGCTGTTTGTTGCTAGAACCTGCTAGTCCCCAGTAAAGTTCTTCAACAACATTTAGTTATTTATTTAATTTCATATTATTTTACTATTATTTTCTGTCAGCAAAAGAAGTTTTCATTTAATTTTCAGCTTCAATGTTTCTTGGGGAAAGTGTGCTTACATTTATTGAAGGAAGCTACGCAAACACTTCTACATGCGTGCTATCCGCAGTAACCAGCATTCCTTTTTTCCGTCTCCATGGAAACAGCATCCCATTGGATCACTGTGGGCCCGTGGTACAGATGTCAGCGGGATACAAAGATTACGCAAAAGCCTCTCTTGACATAATTAGCACATTCCAATGGGAAAAAATTGCTCTTGTTTTCGATGGTAAAAACATGTCTAAGTAATTTTTATGATGTGTACTGTAAATGGTTAGGACAAGCTTTGCCGTGAATCAATTTATTCGTTTCTTTCCTTCTAACTTTTCTCTTATAAGCTTATGAAAAGCAATGGTTTTTTCCTTCACACTGACTGTTGGGCAAATTCAACAGATTAATATAAATAGCTGTACAAGTAATTCTTACGAATTTAGTAGAATAACAAGTCTACTTGAAAAAAAATCATTGAAACTTATTTGCCAATAAAAATACTTTTTCACTTACTGTTTGTAGAAAATCGTGTGCACGAAGCAGGATATTTCCACGCCATATCCAAGCCATTCAAGATCACTGTGAACCTAGTTCATCTTTCTGGGAAGATGCAAACTGGAGATGAAGAGTCACAGATATTGACAACAATGAGTGAAATTCAAAGTCTTGAACCAGATATCATCTTACTTTATACCACAAAGAAAAACATTGAGCTAATACTTCAGCAGAGGGTAATTTGACATTGTTTGCCTCTATCACTGTCCACTTTAATTTTGTGACTTCACGTTGCTCTTTTTGTCAAGAAACTAAGGATTTTTGCAATTTTGCCTCCTTTCTGGAATTTTGTAGAAAACGTATTTCTCATAGCGGTTGCGACTCGTGCAAAGATTTCTGATCAGCGTAATTATAAAGAGGAGAGTTTATTTCGATTTACATTAACGATTTGAATTAAAAAGTTGGACAAGACAACCTTGTTCCCATCAGCTTTCAGCGCCCCAGCTTCCTGCTTCAGCGTTTACAGTTTGGATCATAAAAAACTGATCGTATCAATGAGTTAGTATAACCGACCTCGTGATACTTAATAAGCCTTCCTGATTTAAGTGATGACAATAATTAGTTGCTTGTTTGTTTGTTTGTTTGATTGCTTTACTTACTATAGACTTCTTTTATATGGAGAAAATGTGTCTTGTGTGGAAGGGTCACTCCCCTTCCCAAGCTACCCTGGGAAAACTAACTTTTTCTAAATATCCTTAAAAAAACTGGACGAACCCTTCACACGAGAAACAAAACGTTGGCTGGGCTAGAAGGATGACGCGCTTAGCCGGGCTACCTTTCTGTGATGGTAGGGTCACCCTCCTAGCCGAGCCAATTTTTCTCCGTCTAAACAATTTGGCTCGCTAAGCTGGGTCACCTCTATTGAGGTGAGACAATCACAGCATGCCAGAGCGCTGTTGTCAGCTCTTGTCTCGGGCAAAGGGGTCGCTAAACATGTTAAAGTTGATTCGACTGGGAGGGGGTGACTCTCTTTACAACTTTTCCCCCTACAAACGAGGCTATATTCTCACCCAGAACCTCAATATTTAGGAGGTAAAATTATACAGAAAATAAAGTTAGGGGACTCGAAAGAGTGAACCTTGGTTGTACAAAACCAATAGCTGGGTCAACGAGGATGTGTAATGAGGAGATGACGACTGGAAGTTCGCGCTAGGTCCTTCAAATAGTGTTCGGACCTTAAATAATGGGGTAGTTGTATGGAAATCAGTGCGCTCCACTGTACTGTTTGCATGGTGGAAAAAAAAATAAATTTGCAGCAAAATGTCCGTATTATTGATATTTTTAATCTGGTATTTTTTTATATGTATCAAATTTATTACGTTCACATGAAAGGTCCTTGTTTTGCACAGATTTTTTTCGTCCATTGATCGTCTCCAGACATGGACTCGTAGAAGAGCAACTAGAGAACGAATTGGCAACAAAACTTTACCTTCGATTTCTCTTTATTTTTGTTCCTCAGAAATCTTGTCAGCACTACAAAGGCTACAGAATTATTCTCCAAGGAAAGGTAAGGCAGATGATTAACTTTTTTTTCTTTCATTAAAATTCAAATGACTTTTTTTTAGTTCCAGCAAAATAAAATTCAAGCTATTTTTAACAAGAAGACGAGAATGCAAGACTTGGCAATTCCCGGCCGTTTTTCTAGAGTAAAGTAGAAATTTTATTTCTTTGTTAACTTTTTAGGTGCCGATGCAAGTGAAAAGCCATCCAAATAACGTGGTTATAGCAATGAAACTTCCGTACGTTGAGAGCCAGTCTTCTGAGGAACTGGAAAATGTTACACTAGGAAAGTACAACGTGACAGATAAGGTATCTTCAATGACAATAGCTAATGGGCTGAGGTGTGTATTTTTTTTTACTTTCCAAAAAAGTAGCTGTCTTGGGTTTCCAGGATAGGATTTGCGCTTGGTAAACTGGGTATGCTTATAACAACAACTCCTATCCCAATCAAATTTTTCCCTAACCCAAGATAACTTGTGTATAACAAAATAAACATAATTTTTTGTCGTGTAAGCTGAAACAAGAGTAACCAGTTAACAATGGTAAATAAATGCGGAAAAAATTTGGTTGTGTGTTCAGCAGATAGCAGTCCAAGCAAAAAATCTGAGAATTTATTTCTATTGAATGTTTTATAAACGGTAGTTTTTATGAAATGAGGCCAACGAGAAATCTAATTAATACAAAAAAATAATAATTCTCTAGGAAACGATTGCCCTTGCTTACGATTCTGTCCAAGTTATTAATCAGGCCCTGAGCACAGTGCCCTGCTCATCAATAAACGGGACAAATATTACTTCAAAGCAAAGACAGTCAATACTAACCTGCATTAAACAGGTAAGTTAACTTCGTTTATATTTATAAAATTTCATTATTAAAAATAACATATTAAATGCTTTCAGTTGATTTGTTTAAGGTGGAAGTGCAGTGTTTTACTGCACTACACTTGAATAATGGGAAACAAATACAGTTGTACAGTTGAGTTGTAACGAGAACATATAAATTGTACATAAACTCGGTAATCAGTTTTGCTAAGGTTACCATGATAAACCTCTGCAAGCATTAATAGTTTATTTATTTTTCTGGTTATAAACAATCTATTATCTCCTTCACAAAAATTAAGTACCTAATTAAGAACCTTCTTAGCCTAAATTGCCAATAAGTACCTCAAAATACAAGAAACTATCTTGCCAAGCTTCAAAGAAAGTAAGTTCTTGATAGCAGGTGTTTATTGTAAGTAAATACAAATATAGTTAAAAACGGATTAAAAGACCCGGGTAAGCAGATGGCTTTTTTACCAGCTTGGGTGAGGATTTAAACTTGGGACGACCTAGAAAAGCAATTTGCAATTAAATTTTCATCTATTTTCCTCAGGTTGATCTTAAAGGCTTGACAGGAACTGTTAAATTCACTGAGAATGGACACAGAGAGGAGATTAACTTGGAAATTTTTAATCTACAAAATAATTCCTTTGAAAAGGTAAGTAGCAAATGATAATCCAAAAAAGCAACATAAATTGGCTAGGCTCCTATTGATGCTCAATCCTACAGCAACCTTGACAATTAGCAAGCTCCGGGAGTGTTTCCGGGAAGGTTTAATTACATCTGATTTATCGTTCCATAGAAAGGTATGTGGAACTTAACAAGACGAGCCGTTATGTTTGGAAACATCACGCCCAACATAATTACCAGCTCTTCCTCAGGAGAAACTCTAGAAGGAAAAAAGTTGCGAGTTGTTGTTGTCGAGGTAAGGCCAGTAATTAAATATATTACAATAAATAAGGAGTGATTTACACTCTATACAAACATTTTGTTACATCTCTAGGGCTTTCACGCATGTTCGTTGTAATCTCGTCCCCAGAGGAAGGGTAACAAAGGCTAAGGATACGGGATTGGCCCCGAAACCCATCAAGTTATATCCTGTCGTGCTAGTCAATGGCTAATTTCTTTTACTGTCACGCCATCAAAAATGAATCAAACCGTTAGGTAAATATGACGTAAATATGCAAAGATCCGGTCGGAAACCACCAGAAACGTTTTGAGTTTTGTTACGAAAGACTGATTCGTCCCTCGAGAAACTCATAAATAGTAGTACAATGTACAATGCTAATACAAGGACTATTCAGGTACCAAAATCCCCCAAAATGAGTCACACGATGTTAACTTAACTTCAACGTTCATGACAATGACAGATCTCCGGGCGCCAAGGTGAAATTCTTGGCTTGCAACCACGTGATAAGGCGGCCATGTTGGTGGTGTGTTGGTGGTCAATACAATAGTTGAGTTAGAATTTTTTCTCCAAGAATTTGTATAGGTAACAGCCTGATTAGTAGTGGTATTTGGCATAGATACCACGAGTGATATATATTTCAAAATTGTTATACGTAATTTCACGAGGCCGTCAGGGGAGTGAAATTTGAGACAATTTGGAAATGTCATAAGTGGTATATATGCCAAAAATCACCTACAAATCATTCTATTATTTGTTTATACTACTACCCGCAAAATGTTGTAATTTTCAAGTGTGGGTATTTCAAATTAAGCTGAAATACCACTGCTCTAAGCCAATCAAATGCAGAAATTTCTCATGTAGTAGTATAAACATGAAAATAAGGTTTATTTCCCAGAGGAGAGAAATGTTTTTGTTCTTAACCCTAACACACCACCCATATGGCCACCGTGACGTCACGTACAAACCGGCAATACCACGCCTATGCAAAAGCTTAGAAATTCAAGCGCACGCTATCACAAAACAATGGGCCCTTGCGAAGTGAACATTTGTGTAGATATTAGCTTTTAGCTTCTCTAATACTTCGTGAAAGTAAAAACTAAAGAGGATCGATAATTCTCCAGCTTTGAATTAGCGATGACGTCATCTAAATACTGGCAGTAAAAATGCACTTCCAAGTTTTTCCTTTAAGAGTCGACATAAGTTTTTCGGCTAACATCACTGATTTGTATATTGCGTCGATAAGTACGACTCTAATTTATCTACTTTTCTCTAGGATCATCCTTTTGTTATTAAGAAAGAAAGTAATGATACTTTACCATACAAAGGTTTCTGTATCGATCTTCTTCTTGAACTGGCCAGACTTCTCAAGTTTACGTTTGAAATAAACTACTCTCCAGATGGTTTATATGGCGGAAAAACGGAAAATGGAAGCTGGAATGGCATGATTGGAGAGCTAGTAGAGAAGGTTTGTAAAATAAAAGGTCGTGTAATGCTTGAATGTGATAATTAAAATGCAAAATCGAGGGATTATCGCTGAAGCTTCATGAAAACCAATGCTGAAAAAGGTAGCCTGCGAAAACAGCCGTTTTTCCTTGCTCTTCACCGCCGGGAGAAGTTTCGCGAGGAATAACGTCTGCGACTCAGCGACAGAAATTGCATACTGATGACGTAAAATCCTGCCGGAAGCCGGTAAAAAGCGCTCATTGGACGAAGGAGTAGTTACATTGTTTTAGCTATTGTCTAGGAATGACAGACAAAAGACAAAAGGCTACAAAGGTCAAATGTAAATGTGATAAATCTATAACAAAACAGTCAACATTTGTGGAATATATTCTTCTCTAAAAGAAACATTTGAGTTTTGCTGGAGCTCGTTCGCCGATGAACACAACACTACAAAAATCGGCCAGGGGAAACGTAAAATCGAATAAATTTGTATTTGAAACCCCATGAATTCCGGGTTTATTGTGTAAACATTGGTTTACGTCATCAGTATAGAATTTCTGCCGCTGAGTCGCAGACGTTCCTCCTCACGAAGCGTTCCCAGCGGCGAGGAGCGAGGAGACACGACTGTTTTCGCAGGCTATGCTGAAATGCCGCGTGAAATAAATCTATAGTAGTTATTTTAAATATATATTTCAAAAAATCAAATATCCAAAATCGACCCTTCGCCAAATATTCGCGGCTCGACCAATATCCCCTGAAGACGTTGAAGCTTTTTGGTTCGAACGCAGCTTTTCTAAATCTTAACTACATCACTGATAACGTCAGAACTTTTGAGACATGTTTCTTTTAGCTTCAGGATCGTGCGCTCTCCACTATTTCTCTTGCATGATCAGATTCATTGACCTTTCCACTAAGGAAAAAAGGGAATCAAAGTCTTGAACGTATGTTCAAACTTTTGAGTCTGTGGACAAATTAATTCTGTGAAGTTTGACCCGTTCGATCAACCTGTTAGGAAGTAATGTCCAGTTGTACTGTTAGATTTTTGGCATTTAACAAAACCATGTTTGGAAATTTTGTTCAATCATTATTTTGGACGCTTTGGGAGTGAAAGGCTTAAGACGGATATCAACAGGCGAGTTTCATGCGTTTAATTAGAGTTCTATCAGGTGTTTTACAAAATGAAAACGGACCGTTCTCAATTATATTCTCCTTTTTCTCTGAAGAGAGCTGACCTCGCTGTAGCTTCGCTGACGGTAACTGAAGCTCGTGAAAAGGTAATAGACTTTACAGTTCCCTTCATGTTCTACACGGAAGACATGTTGCTGAAGAAATGGTCATCCGAAGGCAAAACCGATTTGCTACAATTTATGAATCCCTTCGATAATTACGTTTGGTGTTGCACTCTGGCAATAGTTCTACTCATCTCAGTCGCTGTGTTTGTAATTAACTACTTCAGCCCTTATGGCTACAAAGACGAGAATGGCACAGGAACTTCGGAGGAGTTCAACTATATTAACAGCTTATGGTTTGCGTTTGCTTGTATGCTACAACAAGGTGGTGATAATACACCCCGAAACTTGTCAGGTTAGTCTGATCTTGGCTGAGAAGTTTTTTTCATTCGATTATATTGAGAGTTTAAAATAAAAAGGGTCTATTATCCGTTATTTTTGTACAAACAGGAAAACTGAGTTGGAATTCCTGTTAAGCCGCTTCTGAGTTTCAGACTACTTTTGTTAATGACATCGAATTGAGAACAACCGCATTTACGATTACTCAGCAATGCACATTTGCGCGTCTTTCAAATATTATTTGCAGAAAGAACAATCGCAGCCGATAAATTTACCAAATGAATAATACTCCTTTTATCGATGCATTTGCTTTTGTGGTGGCTACTAAATAAACTTCAGATACGTGGTTAGCTAGTTCAAAGTGTGGCACCAAAAATTGACTGTGGTCTGGAACAGATGCTACGATCGGTTTTCAAAGATTCCTTGGTTCGATAAAGGTTTCGTACAAGGAGACCGCGTATTCAAACTTATGGCCGCCACAAAACAGACTCATGATTGTATGATTCAGTGCCCATTTCATGAATTCACGTTCAGTTGTATTTCCCTTAGGTCGCATTCTTGCTGGTTGCTACTGGTTTTGTATCCTTATCTGGGTTTCAACCTACACAGCCAACCTGGCCGCATTTTTTACCGTAAAAAACACTGAACATCCCATTCACAATCTTGAAGAACTTGCAAAGTCTACTTATCAAGTTGGCATCCTTAGATCATCGAGTTTGTCTGATGCGTTTGAGACAAGTCAGTATGAGACACACCAAAAACTTTGGCAAAGAGTGCGAACGGGAAATACATTTGTTGAAAGCACATCTCAGGGAATTCAGTGGGTCAGAGAGAGAGAGAAGTTTGCGTTCATTCATGACGGACCGGCTATCAAATATACTTCAAACCAGCCACCATGCGACCTAACAACAGGTAGCCTAGGTTGTGTGCACACTATAAGGCATAGCTCTTGGACCAGCACCAAAACCATATCAGATACTTTAATTCTTATGTTCACACATAAAGAAAGGTTATTTTGACGCAATTTCTGTAAAGGAACGAGGTTGCACCTCGCCTGTCTCCAAGATAAAGAGTCATATCTCGGATAGGTTTGTGTCACACTTTGACGCAAGTGAATAAGCAGGAGCGCGGACTGGAACTCATTGAGGTGGAAGTAAATATTCAGGACGAGTGAGGACTGGAATTCAGTGCACCAAAACCCTCTCAGTCAACCGCTCTGGCACGATGTTCGGTACTCCGAAGTGCACGAACGGCTTCGGTTCCAGTCCGAATCCCGGGCTGTTGCTGTTCATGATATACCGGATAGCTATCTGTTATGTGTAGACATAAAAGTATATTGTATAATTCAGAATAGACCTCTTTACCGATACGGTGGCCATATTGAATTCATTGGATTTAAGGAGTATTATGGGATGCGCAGGGGGCATGAGCACGATCTCAAATACTCGCATCAGTATTTACGCGCGCTTTTCCGGCCATTTTTTTTAAAGTTTTCTTAGAAAAAGATTGTAATGAGAAAAAAAGATCGTTGTGCCGTCTTTGGATGTAATAATGATCGCCTTTTTCCCGAGAAATATACTTTGAAGTTCTCTTTTTGTCCGAAAAGCTCGCGTAGATACTGAGCGAGTGCCCCCTGGGCATCCCATAATACTTCTTAAATCTAATAAATTCAATCTGGCCGCCGTATCGGTAAAAAGGTCTATTGAAATTAATCATAATTTAATCGAGTGTCTCAGAATTGTTAAGGGGGTTAAAAGATGCTCTTGCTGAAACGAAAAAATGTGTTCTTCCTCTGAGGCACCTCAGAGGAAGCACGTTTTTCAAATTAAATTATGTTTTAACACCGTAAAAACAATGTTGTTTCATAGTTCCAGGTCTTAGCGCGGCCAAAGCAATGGCGTTCGCTCTGCAAGCAAATAATCCGCATACTAAAGAGTTAACTCTGACTATTCTGCGCTTGCAAGAAAACAATTTCCTTGATGGACTTAGACGCAAATGGTGGGAAACCACAAGTAGCTGCCCTGAAGAAGAAGATACGGGTAAGAAACAACTAATAATTATCTATTTTAAATTTGTTTGGAAAAATAGGCATAATTTTACTCGAAACCAACTGAATCCTGCTAAGGGACATTTAAAAACAACTACTCAGTAAAGAGAGGTGGTTGTTTCAGTAGAGGAAGTATATTTACGGATTGAAACAAAACATGACCTTTAAACAGCCAGAGAAAGTAATAAATGCATTTCCCAGCTTGTTAACAAAGGCACTGCCAAAGGTTAATTTTTGAACGATCTTTCCCGGATGACAATGTCAAGCGTTTCAAGGTTTGCATTCGTTCCTCAGTTTTTCGTCCGTACTAAGCCGAAGAAACGGTTGAATAATTAACATATACTAACATTGTAACTCTTAGAAAGACCTTTAGTGACACTACTTCCCATAATTAAAAACCGCTCTTCAAGTTACTTCTTATTTGCATGCTCCCATGCAAAATTAGCAACATTCAATCAAAATAGTTGTTTACTGTCTGATACTAATTTTTTTAACACATATTTGTTACCGAAAATGGTGTATGGCAAAATGTCAAACAATATTGATGGATTCTCCAAATATTTGGTGGACTATCCTAATTCTCCAATACTTGGCCAGGCATATTTTTCTGAACTTGCTTCAGTGGCCAGTAAACATAGAATGATATAATTTCATGACAACGTCATAATTAGCAAATATTGAATGACGCTGAGTAGGATATGAAGAATTATGCAGATCAGATCAGATCGTCCCCAGGTCTTCTCAATAACGGTTGAATAATCTGCAACTTTGCTCCTTTTTTGACGTCATCGGTTGAATACGGTAAAATTCTTCCAAATTTGGTCAACAGTAGCTGGTTATGATAAATTATGTGTGTTATTTTAGCCAATCAGAGACGAATAAATAGTTTGAATAAATTATAATCAAATATAATACACTACCTATAGAATCAGATCTGTTCTCATATATTTTATCTCGTAGTTGAATCATCTACATCATTTCTTCGACCAGGAACAAGGATTATTTTTGATAAAGGGATTATATTCTTGCCTTCTTTATGTTTCAGTTATATCACGTCGGCAAATCGGTCTGAAGAGTATGCTGGGAGTTTATATTGTACTTGCTGGTGGAATTATCATGGCATTCATAACGCTGGTTGTAGAGATCTACTGGAAACGAAGAGTTAAACAAAGCGTTGTCGATAAATTTCAAAGGTTAGTGGTAGTTTGAGCAAATTGCGAATGTTTGCAGAATTCACAGTCACCCTATGTAAGGTAGAGATTGTGGACTTGGAATCTGATAATGTTTGCTTGTAGAATCCGGACTTCTGCGCTTTGGAATCCGAAATCCGTTAACGACTAGATTCCGGAATCCAAATTCCACTAACAAGGAATCCTGAATCTAGTACCTGTAATCCGGGATCCACAGCGTGGCCGAGTCCAGAATCCAAGCCAGGGCCGAGTTGTTCAAAACCCAGGGTTAGTTAATTCAGATTTGAAAGCTTAAAAAGTATTTCAGTTATAATTCTTTTTGTCTGCAAGATGACTGGATCGGAAGCTCTAAAAATAACAGAGAAAATTATCCGAGAAAATTCTTTAGAACACAAGAAAAAGAGAACGTACCGGGTTAAGCGCTAACCGGCCTTCGAACAACTAGGCTGGAGACTGTCTTTGATTACCTTACATGGGGAGATACAGAGTCACATGAAATCCATTTCGTTTGTGACGAGTTTCCCGCGCTTTCGTGAAAGCGGAGAAGACTAAAAGTGCTGATTGAGTCCCTGCTTAAAGCTACCTTATTGAATCCATTACCAAAGAGTTTTAGTCAATTATTCTGGTCCATTTTCGAGAGAGACGTGCGCATAAATGAGATGGAACTAGGAAGAAAGCGGGTCATCCCTTCAGATTCTCGTTCTTTTTTTTTTTTTTCGTTCTCTGTTGGTAATAAGCGGCCGAGCTAATTGATCGGCACTTCCAAAAGACTGATTTGTGCGCTGATCTAATGGTACATGTACATCTGTCTGAATTTATCAAAAAGTATCTACAGAAATTTCAAGAGCGTCTTAGAAATTTGAGTCTTGACGGGAATAAAATGAGACGAAATACGGCAACATATGGGACGACGGCAGACTTTGCCAATCGTGAGAGTTGTTCCTTTATAAGGCTTAATTAACCTGGGCTTAATGATGCCTTCCGGAAAACTTTGCCACAAGTGGCCAAAAAGAAATCTAAAAAAATTAACTGACCACGGAAAACAACTTCTACCGCGCGCACTGCAGATTTCAAATGTAATAGTGTTTTATAACACAGAGAGAATTATGGGAAATGATAGGTGGGGGAGAGAAGGGTAGGGAAAGATATAAACAGCATTATAAAATGTTTCTTTGTCTACTACAGCTTGTTAGGGGCTTTTGTACTGAAAACATCATAAGAAAAAAATGCTCAGGTAGTGAACAAGCCTCAAATGAGACTGTTGCTAAAACATCCTGGAAGTGCCTTTTTGCAAATCCACACAGATATATGAGGGCTACGGATCAGTGATTTGTGTAGTGATGAGTGGAAGACTGTCACACCCCTTGTGAGGTTTGAAGATATTACATGTTGAGACGATGTATTGCCCTCTATCCATTACCTGTTAGTAACTTTAAGTGGTAGCTCGTCTATAAATAAGGGGGGGCCCTCCCCTGGATCCACTACTGCTCATTACCTGTTCACCTGCTCTGAGTAACTCTACATTTCTGTCATTTTCCTTTTTAGAGCCAAGACAAAGATCTCCGCTTTTAACGTCCTTCAAAGAAATAATAATGTTGCTTGAAATCTTCTTAGCTTTCAATCGTAGACTTCTTTTTACTTCTATCCTATGACAGGATTGTCTCCACAGTTGTAAAAACTACCTTACACTTCTTAAATTTCAACTAGCGAAATTTTTGCAAAATAGCAGTCTTCTTCCTGTATTCAATTGTCAAAGCATGTTTTAATTAATAATAGACACATTAAATTCTGCAAGCAGAATACTGCAATGCTGAGGGCTGCGTGAGAATTAACTTTGCAAGACATCAACACGACCCTGGAAGAACTCAAAACAGAGCGGGATTGTAGCCATAGACAGCTGTTTCGCCCTTTTGGGGGCTCGTCAGTATGGCGTAACAACCAGACAAAGCTCTGATGAAAAATATCCGCGCACGCTGATTTAAGCCCTGACTTAGAACCCTCAACACCCACAGAATCACGCCATACCACGTGTCATCTGGGGGGCAAGTGTCAAGTTAATGTCTGGCAAAGAAAATAAAGGATTGGCCAATACCAACCTCTAGAACATGGACAGAAACATGCAATAATTACAGCATATCGAATCTATAAACGATCTACGGCCCCAAAATACATAAAGTAAAAACATTAACCACAAATGACGGGTGCAAAGGACCGCAAAGTAATATGCCGAAGAACGTAGGTTCTATAAAGACCTTATCGGCAAAAATGACAAGTAAACATATTAAATTCTGCAAGCAGAATACTGCAATGCCGTACTACGTGAAAATTCACTTTGCAAGAAATCAACACTACACCGAAAGAACTCACAACAGAGCAGGATATTGTAGCCATAGACAGCTGTTTCGCCCTTTTGGGGTCTCGTCAGTATGGCGTAACAAACCAGAGAAAGCTCTGATGAAAAATATCCGCCCACTCTGATTTTTTTAAAAGCCCTGACCTAGAACCCTCAACAGCGAATAGCGAGCGCGCGTGAAAATCACCCCACGCGAGAAAGGCGAGACCAGGCGGTGAGGGGGGAAAATGAGGGACTACAGACAAAGCCCAAGCTTTTGAACTTATGCGTCGCTCTCACAACGCAAAATTCTGATTGGCTCTTCCATGGAAATCTGTCACCATCTGTCAAAAACGCGCCAGCTGCTATCAACGCTCGACATAATCACAATTTGAAGAACAAGAGCGGAACAAATAACAGCACAGAACCAATAACCAGAGTTGATCTTGTAGACGCAACTAAGTAGACACCCAATCCGGCAATTAAGAGATGAGGTTCGCGTGGAGAACTGAAACCATGGTCTTGTCTGATCACAAAGTGACAATAACAGAACAGTCGCAAGGCTGTTGAGCTAATTCAAAGGTTACTACGCGCTCCAGTCCAAAGACTTACATTATCCTTAGAAAAACAAGCGGAAGTTAAAATTACACTGAATTGCCTGCTTTAAGAGCAATCATAACTGCGTCACATCACAATTCTCCATAGTTAATATAGCTTCCGTTTGAGCTGCAATCCATTCTTCGAGATTTGGATTGCCGGAGAAATTAAGCAACCTAAAGCCCTTATGTAGCCGCATTGAAGAGCTTCACGTTTCAAAGAGGTCAAATAAAATTCTCTTCCATCAGAGGGCAAATCATGCCGACCATAAACAATAACCGTAGAGTCACGACCTCTTAGCATGTAATAAGCGGCAAAACTCACACTCGCTCAATCAAAATGTTTTCCTCCAGAGCATAATCTATCCGTCAGAGGAAAAAAATCATTGGAACCAGCAGCATTTTGGCATGAGGTAAAAGTCGTGTGTGGCCTACCGAACCCCTTTTTTACACTATCAAATTCTTCACGAGAAACAGCCGCGAAGAAAATTAGTATCTGGGTTTTCTTTTATTTGTGATAAATATCCCCGGCAGTTTACCGATGGGGCAAAAGCAATAACAGCTCAATGAGAGAAGGAACCTCATTGGATGCGCTTAATTGATTTGAAAAGCGATACGAACTTCACACTCCAAAATCAGTCGGCTGTGAAAGGTCAAAAACTCGGGCTTTGTCAGTAGTCCCTCATTTTTCTCTCTCACCGCCGCGTCTCGCCTTTCTCGCGTGGGGTGATTTTCACGCGCGCTCGCGTTTTGCTCGCTCTTACTATCCCTGAGGAAAAATGGGGACGACTCGTAGTATAACAGAATCACGCCATACCATGGATCGCCATGGTTCTGTCCATGTTTTAGAGGTTGGTTTTGGCAAAATAATCCTTTACTTTCTATGCGAGACATCATCTTGACACTTGGACTCTTGACCCCCCAGAAGACACATGGTATGGCGTGATTCTGTGGGTGTTGAGGGTTCTAGGTCAGGGCTTAAATCAGAGCGCGCGAAGCAGCTGTCTATGGCTACAATCCCGCTCTGTGTTGAGTTCTTTCGGTGTCGTGTTGATGTCTTGCAAAGTTCATTTTCACGTAGTACGATCAGCATTGCAGTATTCTGCTTGCAGAATTTAGTATGTTTACTTGTCATTTTTGCTGATCAGGTCTTTATAGATCCTACGTTGTTCGGCATATTCGTTTGCGGTCCTTTGCAGTCCTTTGTGGTTAATGTTTGTAAAAGTGTTAAGCCTTGTTCTCAGTTTTATTTTCTATTCAGCAAATCATTAAAATGACAAAGTGCAACAAAATTACAGATGCTCGGATAAAATGCAGTAATGACTCATTCGAATTCCGTTACGGCCGGGCTGACCAGCTCCAGCTCTGTGTTTATTTGTAGAACAAAATTAATAAAACAATAAAGAGTACAAGTTCACAAATCCTACTCCTTCTTTATATTATTTTTAAAAGTAACATAAGAATCATTGTAATTAGCACCGTCACAGTAGTTAAAGTTGTACTTAATAACAGATATCCAATCACCTGCTTTTGGACGATATAGCCGCTTAGATAGCTCGCCCGTCTAATGATGAGGTACGCTTGGAGATTAGCCAAACGGTAAATATGTTTTTATATTACCAAAGATGGAAAATAACAAGAACATTTTAAGGGTCCTTCCTTCTTAAAACGTGGTCCTTGGCAACAGTATCGATGAATGGTATGGTTCTCAAGAACGTTTTGGCTAAGTGAATATTTCCTGTTTAAATTCATTCTGATTTGACAAAGTTGACAAACTCTCACTATAAAAAGGAAAAGAAAACTTCGACAATGTCGATTCTGCCGAACATAGCAGAACAAAAAACGGGATAAATATTAATCAAAACGGAGAAATGCTCGGTTGCCTTTGTCGTTCACTGTCTCTGTACATCTGCGGACTGGGCCTGGACCGCAGCCAAGTGAAGCCATGTCTAGTCATGTCTCGTCTGGTATTCATTGTGTTATAAATAAAATAACTTTGGAAATTCTTTCAGATTTGCAACCGACAAACAAAAGTTCTATATTCTTTCGTCTCCTTGGCTTATAGTTGGTCTATTTTTCGTTATATCCATACGCTAAAAAATTCTCAAAAGATTTCGCACGTATTTCTCAACAAAAGCGCGATGAGCATTAATTTAATCACGGCAGCCATGTTGGAATTAACAAAGCGGTTCTCTCCACTGGATTCTTACCGGCCTATTTAGCCTCCACGCAGACGTCCTTTGGGGTTCGTTCGTCATTTTGTTCCTGGAGAAACGAATGCGTGACGAAGGACCCCAAAGGACGTCCTCGGGGAGGCTAACCCCTATTCAACCTCATGCAAATTCTGCGAATTCTGGCTGTCTTGACACGTGACTCCAAGCCAATAATTTGCCAAGGAGAGCACTGTCTAACTCAGTGCTAAGTATTCACCTGGTTTTACTAAAGTGGACAAAATTAGCTATCTCGCCTCTTAAAAGGTTACGATTAAATATTGGTAGTACCGTCCTTGAATGAAAGTCTACTTTAAGGTAAGATCATGATAATCTTCAGTTTATCATTTAATATTTTCTCGCGTACAATTTGGACAACTGTGGTTATAATTGTCTTTCTCTGATATGTTATTACATGTACTCTAACGTAAACTTGACCTGTCTTTTGCAAGCAAAGCAAATCACTATTTATCTTTCTTCGTTTGTGAACTACATCTGGCAGGCACAAATATTCCCAATTTCTTTTTAGTCTGGAAAATCATCAAACATTTCCTTTAACGAGATACAATTGCATTGAAGCAAGCATTTTTATTGAAGTTGGCCGTCAGTGGAAGATAACTTAGTCAAGGTGACCCATTCCTTTCATATTTTCTTAGAGAAGTTCATTAAGCTAAAAAGCTATATATGGCATTCTTTTTTGTGAACATTTCTACTGCAAGTTCGAAGTTAGTAACAAAATCAGGATTTTACCTGAAAAATTGTTCGGCCACAAATGTCATAGGAGGGAAACTAAACAAGGAACATTTTCTTAATGTACTCAAAGTTTGGTAAAATGGACGAAAAATACTCAATTATTAGCTGGTTTGTTAAGCCGTAACAAGCTGTTATTGATCTGAATAAATATTGAACCACCTGTCGGTGAATAATTGCCACGGTAATATCACTACTGGAAACCACTCAAATGCAAGACAGAACTTCCTTTTCTATAAGAAATGTTCCCTCTATAGCAGACAGACACTCGGGCCTTTGTTCACAACGTAATCAAAACTTCTCAGCATGGTATTTCGTTGAGCGTCATCGAAATAATTTCATGTTCACATATGAATTTTAAACAGTATTTTTCATTATTTGTACTAAGTGAGTTTCCTTTTTTAATCTAAGCGGAAATGCATGAAGAAGAATAAACAAACACGTATGTTTACCAGTTGGACGTGAGCTGATTACTTGCCAGTCCTATCTTTGCTTCGTTCGGTGTGTTGGATTTCAAGAACAGAAACTTTTTTCTTGCAGGTAGGACAGTGTAAAATAATCCAAAAGGAAGTGTAAATGATAATATTTTCCAGGTATGAGACAATTATGTCAAGTCGAAAATAGGGCATTTTGAATAAGATAAGCAGTGTTGAGATAGGATAATGATCGACTTACGAGTGTGAATTGAGTTAGAGTTGAGTTTGAGTTAGGTTTGAGTTAAGATTGAGTAAGGTTTGAGTTACCGTTTTTAGCTATCTATTTTTTTTTTTAATTTTTACACTCTGTGAATGCAAATTATGGCAAATATTATCGGCGCTACACATATTTCTGTATATCAAGTGCGTAAATTCAATTGTTTTTCAATTTTACAAAAGGGTAAGGTTGTAAACAGCCACATATCACCTCCCCAGAAGCCTTGGAATCCTACTTTTAGCAAAGATCCTGGACCTCATTCTGAACGCTTGGAACAGGCTATTAATAATGAACACATTATTTGAATACTAAAAGAACGTATGATTACATTCGCTTAATTCCTGGTATCATTTTCCTTGATTTCAAGAAGAAGATCAAGACTTCTGCAGAAAGCACCCTTTAAACGATAACTATTCTGAAGAAGGCTGGAGTATATTAACGGGTCCGGATAATCTGTGAGCCATGGAAAAAAATAGAGTTTTACGAAATTGTAAATGCATGAAAAACGTTTCCTGCTTAGTTCCGAGGTTTGCTGATGGAATATTTGCAGAATTACGCAGTATTGATCAACTTTCACTGATTAGGGTTAAGCGCTCATTTTACCGACTAGGGTTAAGCACTCGCTTTTCGGATTAGGGTTAGGCGCTGTTTAGGGTTAAGAAACTTTTTTACGGATTAGGAATAAGCACTTTTAGGCGTTAAACACTCATTTACAACGGTTATCTTTCGGTTATTTTTTTTCGTATTACTGCTTTTTCGATTTTTTTTTCTATTTTTCTTTCGCGTTGCTCGCTGTCTCACCCTGTGTCTTAACTCTATACTAACAAAACAACCTCTTCGTTAATTAATCTCCGAAAGACATGGGTGTACAAGTAGTTCTACATTTTAAAACCATGACTCGCTCTATTTCGTTTGTCGCGATCTTGATTTATGTAGTGTCAGTATTGCATTCTGAATTGCGGACTGGGTATTAAAAAACGGAAATGCTCAAGGCAGATTATATATTAGCAATAAAGGAACTTGATAAAATTCAGCTTGAATTAATATAGTAAGCTTTGACCGTGCACCACACTTTTGGGTAGATTCAGGACTGATTACTGTTCGATTGTCTCGACTTCCATTTCATCATCATCAACATGACTTTATTAAAGGGTCAGAATGTGGTACTTAGCCTAGGGTAAAAACCCTCTACTAATTGGGGACAATGAAATAAGACTAATTTTAGATTGACAACTCTCGTTCCTAAAAAAGCTAGCCTAGATGAACATACTATAAAATTATACAGCAATTTACAATAAAATGACATGGTTATTTACAATAAGATGATACAGTTATTATTCATGTTAACTAGAATGTTCAATAAAAGAAAAAAATAGTAATAACATAAAAAAATAAATAAATAAAGCAATTAGGTCAGTCTTTGTGTCAGTTGCTACATAATACGCAGTTCTCACAATCAGACTTTAACTTAAGCGAAAGATTGACAAGACGAATCTGTCGTTTAAATGGTTGTGATGGTAAATTTCTAAGATTGCTAGGCAGGCTATTCCACAATTTTGGTCCTAGATATCTCAATGAATGAATTCTTCAGCGAATATATCCATACAGTCTCAAATGTAGCATGCGTTCTTTATTTGCGTTTAAAAAAAGAAGAGAAAAAGATGAAACCGGTGCCAGCCACGCGGGCTATCTCAAATGTACGTGTAACTTCAGTAATAGAAGACAAGAGGGATGATTGTCGAGGTCGTTTCACTTCAAATTCCAGAAAATGAAATAGACTATACTGGTCACGTAAATTCTTAATGTCACTTCTTTACTTTGTTTCTTTAACGATAACAATTTAGTAAAAACTAGACAGCTATAAATAGTACCTTACTTTGGCCGAGAGAACGCGTGAATGATCAAAAAGTTGCGACTATAGGCCCTATTTTTCCGTAAGATAAGATTGTCGAAATCGAACGGCCGTGCTCGTATCATCTCTACGATCTTACGGTAAAATAGGGGGACCTAACGGTAGCAGGTTATACAAACACCTGAAAAGTATCAAATAAACAATGATATATAAATTGATATTCTAGCATTAAGAGAAGCTGGCGTGATCGAAAAGGCGGAGTTTTCTAGGAGTCCAAGACAGGCCTGTCAACTCTCCCGAATAATCCGGGAGACTCCAGATTTTGAACCGTTTCTCCCGGTCTCCAGATTAGAGTCTGAAATCTCCCGAATAATCGCCATGGTTTGCAATTTCTTGTAGAATCGACTTTCTGACGATGAAATTTTTTCAAATACTTTGCGTTGCTTCAGCTATTTTACTGTTAACACCAAGACACTTCCTCGCAAACTCCGGAATGCCATTCTAATATAAGCAATCATGTAGCAATAATTTTTCTTTTACCGATCCTAGCCGCAAAGAAAACAGTTATCAATTCATCCAGGGCAAATTTGTTGCTTGATCGTTTGACGTTTTTTCTTCACAACGACAACTGAGTATTTTCTTCAACTTCCACTTTCCATTTGTACATTTTATCAATGCCTTTTACTGACAGCCTGTCAGTAAACAACAAAATTCAACAAATCTCCTTTCCGGGAAAGGAGATTTGTTTAATTTGCCTCAATTTTACGGCGCTAGCTCATTTTCTTGGCGTACTCCCACAGGTAAATGGTAGTGGCTAACTGACCAATCAGAGCGCGTGCTTTACTTTTGTTATGTTATAATGTAATAGAAGCAATAATGTGATTGGTGAGAAGTAAGCCAATTAGTTCAAATGTTGCAATTCCTACAACATCTTTTCACAAATGACGTCATGTGCCGTGGTATGACGTCATTTATGATCCCTTCCCCATCAATTCTCAATATTTGCAGACGTGGGGGGTTGACAGCCCTGCCAAGAGTACGTGGGACATTTACAACTACCTTTGGATAAAATAATTAGTTACAATTCTTTTTTACAATAATTAAGCGATTTCTCGCCCGCTGATTTGTCGAGAGCTATTGTCGACAAACGATAACAATACAGACCATGGAAATGAACTGATGATGTCGCAGTTTGTTTTTCTCTTTCCCACGAGCGATTTTCCGCTGAAAGTCAACGGAAATGGACGACAAAAACTGTCAATGTTATTGTAAAAAACAAATCGACAACAGTTTTCAATGGTCTGTACATTTATCGACCATAGAAATGACGTCAAAATGTTCAAAGCTCAAGTGGTATCTTCATTGTAAAGTTTTGATCACTGATTTTGACGTCATTGCTATGGCCGATAAGAGTACAGACTATGGTGTAAGGAGCGATTTTCCATGAATTCCTTATTTGCCTCGAATTTTATATATAGCTTTCCAATATTCGCTTTGACGTTGTTTTCAGTAATTCATACTGAATTCGTATAAAGAGGTTTTAGCTCCGCTAAAAGGCTCGCTCCATTTTATTGTACTTGTTTGATTACTTAGTGTTGGAACTTAACGCAATAATACCTGAAAAAGCCAACAGTGTTTACAGCTATCAAAACTATTTGCTACTTACTCTTTTCAAAGGTAGACGGACTTTGAAGAGAAAATAGAGGGTCTGTGAACAGGCTACATTTCGATTTCTTTGCATTTTTTCATTTCCGTTAATTTCATCGTCAGACCCAGTTCTCAAAGATTATGGTGTCTGCGTTGTTTGTTGCTATTTTCCTAGGAACTAGCAGAAATTAATTCATCTATTAAACAACACTGTCGAGATTAAGCATGCTCTGAAAAGTTAAGCAACGTACACTTTAGCAAGAGTTTTCCTGATTTCTATTTTTTATTCCATAAAGGAAGGAGATATAAGCAATTTTCGTTAATCAACTGAATGGGGTAATGAAGTAAGTTGAAAAAGAACTCAAAGTTCGAAGGAACTATAACAAATTGCGACACCTTAAATGGGTTTATTACAAAGTGCGACACGACCAGATTTACGTCAGGTATTACAAAGTGCGATGATTATAACAAAATGCGATGTCTGTAAACACGCTTTTGATCATGAATGTTGTGAGTGCACTATCAAAAATAGATGTTCAAAATTTCTGGAAGGCAAAAGTCTTTTAATGAGCTGTGCATTAAGTCTCGAGCTTTGATTCAACTGCATTGCATTCTTTCAACATACAGAAGTAAGTGAGTCGTTAGGAACAAAGGGAATAACAAAAATCGCGCGACTTGAGAATCGCCTGCTAACGTGCCCTTTCTTGTTTATGAGGAATATCATGCAAGTTATTGCATGTAAAGTTGATGGGTAACTCCGGCTCTTTTGTAGGTAATCACATATTTCATAAAGATACCATTTTTATTTTTTCCAGAAACATGATATGAATGGAAAGGGAAAGATGAAAGTTTCCCTTGTGATTTTAATAGCCGCTGTTAATTTATTTATGCATGTGAACTCCAAAGAAAAACGACAGATAACATGTGGTAAGAGAGCGACTTTTTTATGTATTTTTGGCTTTCAGATAGCTTAATTCCATCCCGCAGTTATTTCTGGCATAAACACTTTCCTTCCAATATTTTTCCTTCCTTATTCTGCCTCGTCCCACGTCGCTCGCAGTCTCCGCTCGCTCTCTACGCTCGTTCCCTTCATCCCTCTCTCACGCTTCTCGCTTGTCTGTCTCGGCTTGTCTCTCGCGCTCGCGAGTTTCCCAACTCCACTTAGCCTTGCGAAAGCCCATGGATGAGGCAGTTCCTTATTGACTTTTTATATCTTTCATTTATCTTAGGGCGGCTGTGCACAGGCTACCTATTGCAGTACTAGCAATTAACTTAGTGCTTGCGGTGTGGTGAAATTAGACTCTCCCATGGTTTCTTTTTTTTTTTCTTTTTTAGTTAAATTTTGACCAATTAGCAAAGATGTATAGATACATCTCGGAAGAGCGCCTTAAAATAAGTAAAGCTGTCAAATCTAAGAGCCAAGAGTTGGCTCCGGAAAATGTTGAAATTTTAATTTTTCAAAGTTCGTATGACGGGGGTCAAACTTGTACAAAATATTCATGGCTTGGAACCAACTGTCAAATGAAACACGTGGGATGGGGGATCTTACTAGCTTTAAACTCGCCATATCTTAGGAGATAACTTTTTATTATATTTTTATCTTATTTCTTTAATGCTCATTTCTTTGTTATATTGAACGATGTCTGAAAAAGCCCCATTTACCGTGTTTAAATAAAGTTGATTGAATTGAATTGAATTGAAGCTGTTTATCCCATTTAGCCTGGGCTTTTTATTCGTCCCTGAACCAGGGGGGAGTTCCAAGGTGCTCAATAGCCGCCCTCCCCCAACAATAATAATCTAAAGGTATCACGCTGAATCGCTGATGCCAGAAAACGCAGCAGTTTTGTATCAAATCATCCAGCTAATATTGTGGCAACACGTCATAATTACGGCGTTTATTTAGAACGGATCACTTTTTTACAAACCCTCTGTAAAACCAAATTCATTGATACTTTTATTCGCTTTATGACAAATGCACAATGTTTTGCTGTTGTTGCTAAGAATTTTACGTTAGTAACACATCGCTCTGGACGAGAAGAAATGTGACGTAACTGATAGCGTCTTACAAAGATTAACCACAAAAGACTGCAAAGGACTGTCTATGGCTACAATCCCACTCTGTTTTGCGTTCTTTCGGTTTTTTCACCATTGCAGTATTTTTGCAGAATTTAATATGTCTACAAAACGTGATTTGAGGCAATCTTAAGTTGCAGATAACGATGAAGTTAGCGAAAGTAAAGCATTTTATCTTTATAAAGTTTGAAGGTTTTCCTGTCACCCCGTTAAGTTATGATTAATCAAAGTTAACTCGGCTCGTTGTGCCCTCTCCTCCAGATTAAATAACGTGGAAAATACAAAAACGAGTTGCAATATAATATTTTTTTCAACACAACGCAGGTTTTATTTACGATGGAAGTAAAAATGAATACGACGCAATCAAATCTGCTGTCAACCACACAAGCGCCACCAGCAACGTTTCCATAGCATTAAACATTTTTGACGTCTCTTCAGAGAGGACCCTTTTTGACCAAGGTAAGTTATCAAGGTTAACTTTGCGATTGAACGTGGAGATAACATTAGCTTTAAAGAAGCAGTGTTACCAATTTTCTCAAGGTTCTAACAGTATGAACTGCCACCAAACTGAGGGAAACATAAAAGTAATCACTCAAAACATTAAATAAGATATTAATAACAAAGCAAATACAAAATTAGGCACGGATGGATCGGACAAAGTTAAAGAATAATAAAATGAATTGAAATGATGGGAGGGGGTTAACGTTTTAGCGCCTTACGGCCATTTGCCTGTCTAAAGATTTGCATTGGTGGACACTGCCGGCATCTAACACGCTGGAAAATCATGACGTGCTCACGCAGCAAAGTCCTCTATCACTTAGCATACAGCCCCTATTTTCAAGAAATACAAGGCCACCAAAAAGCACATAAATGACTAGTACTTACCCCAAAGCCGACGAATTGTACGTGAATTCTCGAAGTTATATACGAATAGACTCTCGTTAAGAAAAATCATAATATCTTTTACCCTAAATATGGATGTGTTCACAATTTATTTCCTATCTTTAGTGGTTCGCTGCCACTTTGATTTCATTTAACATCGGTTCGATCTGTCATATTTTGTTTAAATCATCATCACCTTTATTTTCAGCCACTGGTGTGTTCCAGCAGCAAAATATTACGGTACTGATTGGCGGGAGTCAATCGGAGTCGCACGCATGCTCACTGTCTACAGTTACTGGGATCCCTCTTATTCGTCTCTATGAAAGACTTATACCATTTAATCAGTGCAATAAAACAGTGGATATGTCAGTGGACTACAGATACTTTGTGCATGCCACATTTGACGTTCTAGCCAGCTTTCACTGGAGGAAGATTTCATTAGTGTTTGATGGTAACCAAGAGTGTCTTAGGCCCCTTCTATTTAGAGGAAAGTTGCCCTGAATGGAAAGGTCACCACTGCAAGAAAAACTAGATTTGCAAAAATTTGCTCGGGCAAATAAGGTGCAAAAGAGTGCAAAGTAAGAGAAAATCAAAGGCCAAGATGGTAAATACCACATTTACATTCTAGTTTACATAGGGTTGAAGATTCGAGGGCCAATAGGGTATTTACGTACATCTTTGCCCTTGAATTAACCGTAGTTTGCACTTTTTTGCACCATATAAATGACTCAGCTAGAAGAGTGACCAGCCTGGTCAGCCTTTAGTGGTAGTACTAGTGGGTCACCTTCCTAGCCAGGCCAACTTTTCTCCATATATAACAATGTGGATCGCCCAGCCGGATCAATAAGGTCAAAGTAGGACAATCAGAGCATGTGCAAGCGCTGTTGTAGACAACCAGATCAAGTGCAGAGCATACACGAGCGCTGTTGAGGCCAAAGAGGACAAATTTTGTCATATAAATTAAACGCGCGCTAAAGTTGACTCTGCTGTGAGCTAGGGTGACCCTTCTACTCAGAACAGATTTACTCCATCTAAACGGGACCTAAGTATCATCTAGCATTATTTTCTGATGACGCAAATTTCTGATAAAATGTGATGTAATTGTTAATGAGATTATTCGTTTGCAGCTGTAATTAGGACTACATTTATGCTAAAGCTTTTCCGCAAAACCGCCTATTCCATAGATGAAACATTGAACGGCTTCCTTATATATGACATTCATGTCTGTAACTTCTACAGAGAATCGGTTACTTGATGCTGGTTACTTCTACGCAACTTTCCAGAATTCCAACTTGGCCATGAATTTAGTCCAGCTTGCAAACGGAAGAACAAGTGAAGAACAGAGAAAGACAGTTTTGAAAGCTACTGAGGAAATAACAAAATTTGGTCCTGAAGTTATACTGCTTTACGCCAGCAAAGAAATAGCCCAACTACTGTTGCAACAGGTAAGATAAAGAACTTTGTCTATTCTCATTCGCGTAAAATCCGCCGTATGACGATTTAATCCGTTGGATAGCCGAATGCGTCCGTATAAGGTACTCTGTTGGCCATAAGTGTCTCCAGGAAAGCTCTCTAGGCCTTTCATCCATCGACCTTGACTCCTTGAGGCAACTAGGAAACCTGTCAAACCGGTTAAACCCCCCTATTAATATATAGCAAATGACCTTAACTTTAATGAGATTCCCCTCACTCTCCTCTAAATCTCAGTTTGACCCAACAAGAAAACACACAACCCTTATGTGCGCCTCGCTTTCAGCCAAGCGCTCGGTTTATTCTCCGAAAAGACTAAAAGATACAGGATATATCATAGAAAAGTAATATACAATCCAAGTAACATTCATCTCTAAAGAACTAAATCAAAAACTAACTGAAATGGGGGACAACAGCTGGGTGAAAAACCTCCTCGTACGTCCACTTGCACCTAGGAGGAAAACCCCTGGCCAGCTGTACCCCATAAACAGCGGTCCCCCTGGCAAGACCAACTAAATAGAAACTAGAATTAAAAAGCGGCACGAACGAGAAAAGTCAATGCTTAAAGCCTTAGAATCCGACAACGTGAAGATAAAGAATCTTGGACATACCCGTCCTTAGCCGATTCACTTGCCCAGCGGCCATGACGCTTAAAAAGTCGGTCTGGTACGCCAGTATTTGCGGCAGCAGTAGCCCCGCCACTCCTAAGGCCATGGGTACCAATGGCAGAAATATCAGGTACAATATCTTGAAAAGCCTCTAGCACTAATCCTCTTAACCGTGAATAGCTTAAACCTTTAGATCTAGGCCTATAACCACATTTAGTTTTGGAAAGCTGGCACGAGCGAGGCTAATAATGGGTTGACGATGTGTAAAAAGGTTTATTGTTTACGTTCCTCCGCCTCCGCACACACATACACAAACCTCATACTAATAACCTTTATACAATTGAGATGTTTACAGTATTTATGATAAATTAAAAAGAGGCCCATATTATAATCCATTTCGTAAAGTTCAGTGGTTCCTAGCTACAGTGTGTATTTTGTTTACTTGAGATAAGAAAAGTGGAAATAGCTTGACGTTTTAATCTCTATTTATAGGTACCCTGTGATCTGAAGAAATAC